TTGATTTTGCCAACTTTAGCGAATGTAGAAGAAGATGAGATTGGTTTGTTCTCCCCTCCTTTCTTTCCTCTATCTTCTATTTTTCCTGGACACGGCCAAATCTTGTCTGATGTACCATTTGCGAATACCACCAAAATTCACTTAATCCCCCAATCGTATGATGATGGCGCAGACTCGCCAATAAGAGCCATGCGTATTAGGATAGCCTGCTCCACCATCCGGGAACATGCAGGTTAGGCAGCAGCACTGGCGATACCATATTAAGTACAATTTTCACAGCAATTTTTTTCATCCCAGAGACTACCATACTATGATTACATTAACCTGACTAATATATATATAATATAACATCCGGGAACATGCAGGTTGGGCAGCACTGCCGCTGAGAGCTTCTCCACAGCAATTTTTTTTCATCTCAGAGACCACCGTACTAAACATACATCAGCCTCACCAGAATATCAATACTACTATTTCAATTTCTCGTATTGCCTTCCCATATCAAACAGCGTCATAAAGCTTAGCCAAGAAGATAGGTAGCAAGGGCGTTCCCAGCAATCGTTTTCTTGGGTAGGCATGGGGGATTTGGATTACATATCTTCAAAACGTAACTGAAACTCCCAGTCGCAGCCGTTGAGTGCTCGAACATTTGGGAACATGCAAGTAAGCCAAAACAAGCATTAGGCACTAAGATAGGTCTTTTCACAGCATTTTTTCTCTTCCCAGAGGCCATATGTGCTTACATCATCAGCCTTACGAAAACACAGACAGACATTTCACAATCCAATAATTCAAGCTCTGCTATTGCCTCCCCATATTAAACAGCGTCATAAAGCGATTTGAAGCCAAGAAAGATAGATAAGCAAGAGCATTCCCGGCAACTGTTTTCTAATGCAGGCCTAGGAAATGTAAATGATCCACCAGGTATATGTTCAGCCATGGCCGCAGAGCAGAGACTTTGCTACGAAGGCATCACTTCCATCACTTAAGTCTTACAGGTAGCTTTCAGGGAGAAGTCCCGTCAAGGCATCATCCGCTTGTGAATGTTCAAAGCATGCAATTCCCCTCTGCATACACCACCACTTGTCATACTTGACACATACAACCCAAGGTTTTGTTTGTATTCGGGCGCATTTTCAACAAACCCGAATTTTTCAATAGTCTTGCAACCATCATGAAGAAGGCTATTTAGAGAGGAGGGTCACCTGTTCGTAGGCGCAACAGTCGCAAGAAACAAAAATCAACGGCGTTATAGATAGCTCATGAGAATACCGATATTTACAGCTGAGTAGCTGAGATGTGGGGAAGGAAGACTGATCGACGTCCACCGCGCGATGAGTGTGATCAAATCGATGAGACCATTTCCATACACCGACGTGTTTTGTGGGATCGACGCGTGACGGCGCGGCATAATCACATACTGCGTGCGTATTGTAACCAGACTATCATCTTCTCAAATACCGAATGTCTCTATTTAGGCATCTGTGGCGAGCTGTGAGATTCGGGCGCTTAGATTTTACTGCTCTTTGCTTGTGGCTGAAATGCTCGGTGAACATAATCATGCTAGTGAACAGAGTTGAGTTTGAGTGTGGCTTCTTGCTACGGGCGAAAAGAGGCGCACACCGGCTCAGCTTTTTGGATGCACTGGTGAGAAGTTAAAAAAAAAAGTATGCGTACAAAGTATAGTAGCGAGGCAACTGGGCGTTATATGTGACATGTGAATCAAAGAGTTTACGACATCTGTTACTGTTACGCTATCTAAGAGCATGTTGTGGATCATGTCACAGAAGCTGGAGTCTCCACGGGGAATGGACAAAAGCGAGATCTTGGGGGCAGAGCGCCTGGCGCGCGAGAATTTCAAAGTAAAGAGCTGCGTATGTATAACGGATAAGCTCCAAGAGAGGGGAAACTATCTAAAGAAAAGCAAAAAGCAGGAAAAAGTGAGGCCTCTCCAGGGTAGCGCGTTGCCCAAAGCAGAGCTTTTGAGCGATTGCTCGTCAGTGGAGGCAGCCATCGACGTAGCCCCTCTGCCCCGCCTCAGATCAGCGGCTTTTAGCCGGTGAATAGGCGGAGAAGAGCGAGAGAAGACAAGAAAAATGAGAAAAAGGCGGATGTTAACCGAAGACCCTGAATTCTAGCCTGCAGGCTGCATAGACGAATGGAGCTCCCGCTGGCCCCCTGACAACCTTACTGCGACTCGCATCTGTGAATGTTTTGCAAAGCTCAATGTACATGTATCATCCCAAGATCTGCATTGTATGACGCCAGAGAAGTATGCCGTATGTATGAAAGAGGGGAAGAAAGACAGCGACGTTCTGGAATCTCTAATCTGGAATCTGGAAAAAACTTTCATCGGAGCTTTTGCGTATGCAGTAATTGTGGCGCTTCGCCCGTCAGATTGCTATTCTATTCCCTAGCGGTGGCGGCGGTGGCGGTGACGGACGGCAACCAATTTTTTTTTTTCTTTTTTTCTTTTTTTTTTTTTTTTTTTTTTTTTTTTGGCTGACTTAATTTTTTTTTCCAGCGATGATCCGTACTTGTTCAAGCCGCCTTTTCTCTCCCTTGAAACTTGTGCTATTTTCTCCGAGTTGACGTGTAGGATTGAGCACGTGCTGTCGCAAAACCCTCGATTCGTAGCGAGACAAGCGCGGAGGCAGCGCCTTGGCTGCGCTGGGGCTCGAGCTTCATGCACAGTCGCTGCCAACGTGTGAGACGCGGTGTCTAATCATGCTGCAGCTGCTGACTGAAACCGCCTGATGCTGCTCCGGCGCTACGACAGAAAAAAAAAAAAAAAGGGCTTGGCAAAACAAATGCTTCTATAGTAGTACACAGGTACAGCAGGTATACGAGCGGTAAGTTTTTTCGAGGTCACAACTTTACACATGCCACCTACCTGATTTGCTCGCGTGAGACAGGCATCAATAGGTGATTGTCGCGGCTCTCAATGAGAGTCCAAATCGGGCCAGCAGGCGCTGCACGTTCTTCACTGATTGGATCAAAAGCACAGAAAGGCTCGGGCGCGGCCGCCAGAAACTAAATCGCCATTAAACTTTAAATCTCTATGGCCCTGACTACGGAATCTGCGAATAGTAACCAAAACCCCTGGACAGGTGCCGGGACCCTATAGCGGCGCCACGGCGAGTAGAGCGATAGAGTCTCGGTGCATGTTTGGGGAAATAAATGGATTCACCGTTCGATAGTCTGATAATCACGACACCTTTTTCGCCCTCTGTCCCTTTTGTGACTTGCCCTCTGTCTTGCTCCGGCGCTCTTTCCATTTACAGCGTGGAGCAGCATGCGAGGAGACGAGGTCCAGACTCTGGACTTGACTCACGCGACAACTTTCCTACTGCGGCTGGCTCGACTTGGCAAGGGTGGATTGTGCGACTTGAGTGACGTATAAGAGCCGTCGCCAAGCAGATCCGGCGCGTGACAGGCTGCAAGTGCCGGCCGAGACTGGACGACATGCGAAGACGCAGAAAAGCAAAGCGGCGGCGTGCAAGGCTGCAAAAGCGAATTGAAGCAATTCAAAGCCTCATTTTGGGTAATTTTAACACCAGAGCTGAATCTCACCGTCGGTGCCAAAAACGGCCAGTATCTGTTGGACGCTGCTGGGGGCCCCAATAATTTGGGCAAGATCGGCATGGAATTCTGGCAGTCTGAGGTGCCGCTCTATCCGGATGCAGCAGCACAGCGCCAACCAGGAAAGAGCCACGCACCACGCCCTTGCGCTCTTTCCTGGTGCGACGCCTTCGAGTCGACTAGGCGCGACTTTAAGATGCTGACCAAGGCCTGTAGAGAGCCTGTAGAATGCCTGTAGTGCCTGCAAGAGACCTGGCGAGCATCAGCTCCAGAAGGGACGTGACGCCTAAATTGGGTGCATCAAAGCGCATCTCGGTGCCCTGAGGGCCAGCCCCAGTGGAGACGCCTTCTTTTTTTCTTCTGCTCTCCCGCCACCCAACCACACTGTACACCCGTTATTCCATGCCACCAAAGCACCACGAGCAGTAAACATTTTCCTGCTCCATATTTGTGCATGAAGATCGAAGCAGGGAACCTTTGGTCGCTGTTGACCGAGGCCCGAGCCCGTGGAGGGTGTTCACCAGCGGCCGCAAATGCCAGAAGGGCTACCGAGCAGACCCCTACCGCAATGCCTACCGCAATGGCCCGCGAGAATGGCATCCTGGAATGGTCCGTTGCTGGCGAGATGGCCCGATTTGCTCAGTAGATCCTGCGTAGGCGAGAGCATACCGAGACAAAAAGACTGGGGGACAAGAAGAAAAGCCTAGATTTCCAGGCTCCAGAATTCACCCAAGGAGGATTGACTGCGCCAAAGCAGCCATCGGGTCGTCTAGACGCAAAGTGGCGGTAGAATCTGAGATCCTGGCTTTGCAAACCTTGACTGTCTTGGACTACGGCGAATCGAACGTTGCAAGTACCTCTCGGCGATCTTATTTTTCTTCTCTACTAACGGCGAGTACGACAGCGCTAGATCCCAGACGAGGCGACTCTTAGCATCTGTTGGCTTTCCGCTACGACCAGCTGGGTAGCACTTATTACGGGTCGATGGCTGCTCAAAAGGCAAAGCGACCGAACGGCTTCCAACGGAGCCACAGTCGCGCAAGGTGTGTGGGCAGCTGTGGAGAGCATCCCAAATCTCCACGAGGCGACGACGGCGGAATGGAGCAGCTGGACCAGGCGAGGCCGCCCCCGGCAAGGCCACTGAAGGTCCAAGATTCACCCACGATGTTGAATACGGGCTTCTGACTGGCTGTGCTGAAGCTGTCTTTCGGTCGTCGAATGCGGCCTAAACCGTGAAGCACATGGCGCATGTTCACAATGCCTCGAAAATACTGCCTTTTGCCTGTCTTTAGCTCGCAGCGTGCAGATACCGCCAATCTGGGGTGAACCTACATACGCCTGCGACAAACAAATAAAGCAGTTGCGGCCCTGTCCCAGTTTCTCGCCTCCCTTTCTTTCTTTCTTCATCCTCATCTTCATCACACTTCTTCTCTCGAGTGTGTTGGTGTGGTGGAAGCTGCAAGCAACCCTCCCTTGCTGCAAAGGGCACCGTCTCGCTTCCCTTTCTCGGACAATCCCCCCCCGCAACCACAGCGCCCGCTGTCCAATCACAGCGCTCGTTTCGACGGCAGTTGCACAATTCTCGCTACTGTGCGTTGCATACACGTTACATAACCTGCTCGTACCGTCGCCATGGCCGCCAGAGAGCACCATGGCCTGGGCGGCATGATCCCCGGCGAGATCCCAATCCCCCACGGCCCTCACGGCGACAACGACGACCGCGATGACTTCCCGCTGGATCTCGACGAGCAGCGTGTCTTCGCCCACGTTACCCGTCCCGACGACAGCTACACCCCGGATGGCGTCTACTGGGCTGATCTGCCCATTGCCCAGCGCGTCAAGTTCGTCTCGGCCGTCGACCGCCAGGCCGCCGCCGAGGAGCTGAGCACCATCTGGTCCATGATGAAGAAGGACCCGTTGTCCCCCGTCTCATGGTATTTCCGCAATGCTGTCATCCCCGGTGCTGGTCTTGGTCTGGAGGGCTACGTGCTCTTCTCCATTGGTAACTTGTCCTCTCTTTTCGCCGCTGCCTGGCCCGAATGCTGGGGCTCCAAGGCCACAGTGTGCGACCCCAACTGGATTGCCGCTGTGACATATTTGGAAATTATCGGTATCATGATTGGTCAGGTCATCGTCGGTGTAAGTGCTCGCTTTCAATTGGCCCAGCCAAGATAACTTGTGACTGACTAGAGATATTATAGGTTATTGGTGACTGGATCGGTCGTCGCTGGGGTCTCATCCAGGACGCCATCATCATGTTTGTTGGTCTCCTCATGCTTACCGCTTCCTGGGGTCTTACTCTGCAGGGCTGGGTCATCTGCTATGCCTGGTCTCTCTTCTTCTACTCTGTCGGTGTTGGTGGTGAATACCCCATCACTGCTACTTCTTCCCTCGAGAGCGCCGTCACTGCTGGCAGACTCTCTACCAAGGAGGACCGTCTGCACCGTGGTCGCCGTGTCACCATGGCTTTCCTGATGCAGGGCTGGGGCCAGTTCTTCAACCAGGTTATCCTGATTGTCCTTCTCGCCATCTTCAACAGCGGCCGCGGCGGCCCCCCTTACTCCAAGGAGGCTGCTCAGTTCACCTTCCGTCTGTCCTTTGCCTTCCCCGCCATCGGTACTCTGTGGCTCGTCTACTACAGAACCTGGAAGATGCCCAACGCCTCCAAGCAGCTTGCTGAAGCCAAGAGCCGTACCAGCGTCACCGGCTACGACGTCACCGCCCTCAAGTCCTGCTTCACCAACTTCGGTGGCCGTCTGCTCGCCACCGCTGGCACCTGGTTCTGCAACGACGTTTTCTTCTACGGCAACAAGCTCTTCCAGGGTCAGTTCATCAAGATCATCTCCGACAACCCCAACTCCCTCATGACCGCTTGGTCTTGGAACTTGGTCAACATTGTTGTCTCCCTCGCTGGTTACTACGCTGCTACCTTCCTTATCGACAACAAGCTCTACGGCCGCAAGTGGATGCAGCAGATCGGTTTCTTGATGTGCTTCCTCATGTTTGTCATCCCCGCCTTCAAGTATGAGTACTACTCCAGCCCTGCCGGCATCCACTCTTTCCAGGCCATGTACTTCTTGTCGTCCTTCTTCAACCAGTTTGGTCCCAACTCTGTCACTTTCCTCGTTGCCGGTGAGGTTTTCCCCACCCCCATCCGAGCTTCTGCCCACGGCTTCTCTGCCTGTATCGGCAAGGCTGGTGCTCTGCTCGCCTCCATCCTGTACAACTACATCCCCATCCAGACCCGATTCTACGTTGTTCCCTGGTTTGGTTTGGCTGGTATGTTCCTCACCTGGCTCTTCCTGCCCGACACCACCGGTCTCGATCTCAAGGAGCAGGAGCGAAGATGGCGCTACATCCGTGAGGGCAGAGCCGACGAGTACCACGGTGTTGCCGTCCACCCCCAGCACCTTTCCCTGTGGGAGAGAATGCGTGGCGCCAGCAAGTCATACGACCCCCAGTTGGACTGGAAGCAGAAGGTTGAGGACATGCGCGCCGAGTGGGAGGCTATTCAGGCTGCTCGTGGACCTAAGGAGACCGAGGATCAGCACGGTGTTCACGATGGCGAGTTCTCTCCCGAGGTTCACGCCTTCTTCAAGCGCTCCAGCCCTGCTGTTCGCACTCAAGGCGGCGTCTTGAACGAGAAGATTGCCACTGACGAGGCATCTTCCGAGTAAAGACCTGCCTCCTTTTACCCCTTTTGATACGAAAAGAATGTTCTTTTTACAACTTTTTATTTTTTTTATTACAGTCTCTATGATTAACGCATAATATGCATAAAGGGGGTTCTCTTGTTTTTGTTTATCATTATACCATATATCCGGGCCAGTGGATGGAGAGGTGTCGCGCACGTAAGCGGTGCGGATAGAATAGTGTTTTTGCGTGGTCGTTGGGAGAAGAATCCAACGCTTGAATGATTTTTTGCGATGCCCTAAAATCGGCGATTTCCTGCTTAGATAGTCGGATATGGAAGCGCATCGAGGATGATATAGAGTATCGAGTATATATTATATATACCAAAAGTGCAAATGATACGCCTTGCAATGTGCAATATTCACAAATTGTGTCTCAATGTGGTGTCTTTTGAAATGCTATGTGCATTTGTAGATGGGGTTTTGGCTATGTTTGTCTTGGAGTCGTGTTGTATGGTACCGTATTACCTCGCGTTTTTCGACGATAAACTTAAAAGTGGGAATTTGGGGAATTTAGCCAATTAAAGGTGAGAATTATCGTCGAAGTTGAGAGGGAATCATCGTCGAAAAAGCGAGGGAACCACAATAAGTGAAAAACAACAGAGTTTGATTGGCTATTGAAGCCCTATAATGCATTTTAATTGGATAAATATTGATTTATTGTGGTTCCCTCGCGAACTTCGACGATGATTCTTACCTTTTCAACAATGATTCCCTCGCAACTTTAATGATATTAATTATAGGGCAATAGATCATTGGCCAATTAGATCAGCCAGAACCTTAGATTTATCGTCGAAAAACGCGAGGTAATACGGTATAATGCTAGCAGGAGATGATAATTTCTCGTTTGTTGTGTTGTAGTTTGAGAATGAGACGTATGATGTGCTACCAATATGAGAATATTAATCAGAGCGGAACAAATAGCGGTCTGGAATCCATCGTTTCAGTCAAAGGGAGAAGAATAAGACGAGTTCAAAGGTGTGTTGCCGCAGCTCTTCTGTAGTTGGAGATGCTGAAGAATAGGTCCAAGTGCCTAGGAAAGAAGGAGAAGGTATGTCAAGATCCGCTCCGCATTTTCCGCGGCCACTGGTTAAAGTCCACTTTCAGGTCGGTCTTTCTTCTTCTCTCCGAATGCCTCTTTCATTGTAAATGTGGGTTACTCGCTCACTTTTATTTTGCTTCTGTTAAGAGGTATATCTTGTCAACGGTTGATGTTATATGGAAAATAGTGGGGTGCTGACCAGAAATCTAACCCGATGTGGTAATTGAAAACTTAAGTCATATTTGGCTAAGCAGCATCGTAACGGAGATTCAGCATCAGATTGGCTTCCCCCCATACCAAGTATTTCCGTACTATGAATAAAGCGATATGTACATGCAAAATGGGAAAGTTGTTTGAAGGAGATTAATGGCCTTAACAAAATCTTAAGCCCGAGCTAGAGCTATTCAAACATTTCCGTGACAGCGACGCTGACTGGTGAACTAGCCCTCTTGGGCAGTATATGCGGATCATGCTGTTTGGCTGAGGAGTTTTGATATGAGTTGGTTTTGTGGCAATGACTATGCGGAAAGGGGAGATTCATTCTTAAGAAGTCAGTTGTAGATTGGAGGAGTATATATATCAAAGGAAAGGACTGCTTGTTTGAGTTTGGAGACGCCTGATAGATATCCATAGCAATCCAACTTTTATTCGCCTTGTTCACCAGCATCAGCATTTCCGAGCAAAATCAGCATTATTTCTTCAAACTCCAACACAGCATACAGCAGCCATGTCCACCGCAGCGAGCTCACAAGTCATTCTATCCTCCGAGTTCATTCTCAGCAAGTACGGAGAGTCCCTCGCCGGCAAAACAAGTACGCCCCATACATACCCAAAAGTCTTTCCCCCCTTTCTTTCAAAATTCCATTCAAGACTAACATCAGGTTCTTCTCCTTCTTCAAGTCCTCATCACTGGTGTCGCCGGCGACTCCATTGCCGGTGAACTCGCCGTCCAAGTCAGCTCCGCCAACCCGTCCACCCTCATCCTCACTGCCCGAACCGGGTCTCGCGTCGACCCCATCGTCGCCAAGATCAAGGCCAAGAACCCCGCCGTCAACGTCCGCTTCCTCAAGATCGACCTCTCCGATCTCAAGGACGTAAAAAGAGCCGCAAGGGACCTCGACGATGTCCCCAAGATCGACCACCTCGTCGCCGTGGCGGGCGTCATGATGCCCCCCTTCGCCAAGACGGTCGACGGTGTCGAGTCGCAGTTTGGCGTCAACTACCTGGCCAACTTCTTGCTGGTCAAGGAGCTGCTGCCCAAGGTCAGGGCCGCGGCGCCCAAGTCTTCCATCGTCATCTGTTCTAGCTCTGCCATGCGGGGAGGAGTAGTCAACTTTGACGATCTCAACTACAATGTTTGTTCCTCCATCTCCATCATCCAATAAGCACATGGAGCGTCCCGAGTACTGACATCTCATCCTTTACAGGACGGCAAAGATTATGACCCTCGCGCCGGGTATGGGCAGTCCAACGCTGCTCGAACAATGTTCGCCAAGCTGCTGGCCGAGAAGCTGCAAGGAGAAGACATCCGCGTCTTCAGCATCGACCCTGGCGGTACGTAACTCCGATTGAACAACAGGAAATCGCATAGTGAGCTCGCCATAGACTAATCATCTCTGTTTTATCAAATCAGCGGTTGCGTCAGGACTGCAGCGCCACTTCACACCCGAGTTCATCGACATGATTAAGGCGCTGCGGGAGTCGGGAGAACGTAAGTTTTCCCTCCCAAAAAGCTTAGCCGCTGGAATCACCCTTCTTTTGTGCTGACAACTTCTTTGAAACAGCGTTGCGTGATCTCGACGGCCGTTCGATCGCTTTGCCTCCTTTTACTGGCGCATCCGAGGGAGCGGCTACGCTTATCACCGCCATGGTTGACCCGACTATTGAAGGCTCCAACGGTGCTTACCTGCACCACAACGCGGTTGCTGACGACGAAATCACCTCGCATGTCTTGAACCGCGAGCACTGGACAAAGTTGTGGGCGCTTAGTGAGAAGCTCATCGGAGAGCCCTTCAACGTCTAAGCCCTCCAAGGCGATCCGTTCCGATAGGGCCCCCTTTTGTTTCTAGAGCCATCTCTCGCCGCTCCATGTACCATCATGTTTCGATAGCAAGAATTCAGAAAGCGCAGTCATTATGAAATCTTCAACGGCTTTTCCGCCCTTCCTCTTCTCCAGTAATTCGTCGTTTTGACTATGTCTGGGCATTCCTTCGCTAGCCACGGCCACTTTCGTAGCATGGTTTCCGAGATTTCGTATGCCGCAGTATCAAAAGGCTCTCCCCATATTACCATTCCTATCATGCCGTCCTCATCAGCATCACTACTTTGCAGAAACAGATGGTGGCAAAATTCATCTTCGTCGATGTCATTTAGTCGTCTTAGTAGAGCATCTCGGAGTGATGGCTGCGGGCACAGATCGATCCATGGGTGATGGATGACTTGTCTCTGCAACGCAGTTGGCCGTAAACAGGGAGGCAGACGCATCAGCTCATTGCCATTGCCAGCAGCGGCATTGCTCGCATTTGAAGTCGTCACACCTTCATATGGCGCGAGAAACAGCATAGGGCAAACAGTGTCACTGTTGAAAGGTGATATGGTATCATCCTCAGTCAGTTGTTCCCAGATTAGCCCAATCGCCTTTGCATTCATCATCGTAGCTCGCATGACGTTGAACTGCATCACCGACAACAGCAGCTGGCTGTCTAGGGTGTACTTGGCGACATTTACGGAAACCAAATCATGAAGCCGGTTGAAGAAGACTGTGCGATCTTCCTGGGTCATGGTGCAGAAGAAGCGAAACGCCCTATCGCGGTGTTCCTTGGAGAGGAAAATGTCTGGAAAGCCTAGGTCGTAGTACTTCGTTTTGTTACCGAGGCTGCGATTGGCGGCGGCAACGTCTGAATCATTCCGCTGCTGCCGTTCATCTTGACGTGGACGCTTATCATCTGCTTGCTGCTTCTCCGTCCTCGGGTCAATATAAAAGACCCATTTATTAACCTGATTCTTCTCTTTCTGCTGCTGCTGTTGCTGCTCTCTTCTTCGCTTGCCTATGGAATTTATTAGCTCTCTGATCTCAAGGAAAGAAGAAAGAAGAAGGAGATTGTAGTTATTTGATGATATAGGAGACTTACGACTCGCCCGCTGGTTCAGTCGATTCTGCAACTTCCGCCGACTCTCCGCACTCTCCACCGCTCCCACATCGACCTCTTGCAACTTTGCCGCTTCCGACATTGGTCCTTTTCGGCTATACTATAGTTATGATTATGAGAACGCTTCTTTTTCCTTGGCACGGTTAACAGCTACACTGAACGGTGCATTTCAAAAAAGCTGGTGGCCAAAAGGAAAAAAGGGAAATGACGTTGGGATAAGGGGAAAGTGCTGACAGCTTTGCTGCTGTTCGCCGTTGTATGAAGATTTGGATGAGTAATAATAATAGCGCAACAACCTTATTTGCCGTCCCCGAAGGACCCCCCGCCTATAACTCCGGCAGCCCTGAGCTTGTATTACAATGGACAACTGAATGATTATGGTTATTTCAGTTTGTTTCAAATTGACTCCAAATTCGATACTTATTCGCAACGCAGCCTCGCACGAAATACAAGCTGCAGCCCCTCCCTGCTGTTTTCCAAGAACTACGCTGTCACAAACTACACAATTCATCATCATCATCAAGGCACTGGCTGTCCCTTTCACATCCAAGCAGAGACACAACAAATTCATTTGACCAGCTCGCTCCTTTTTAAATGTTTGGTGATGATGAGTATCGCTACGCTATGATGTCGTTTATTGTACACATGACTCGCAATATACCCAATGGCCTGTCAAAAACTCTGCACAGCTTTGTAAAGGTGGTTTTGAGGGGCTGTGGGGATATGTAAAGAAGACGCCGCTGCTCTCGTTGCTGTTGCTGCTTGCTAGTGACACAAAGACCTATAACCAGAAGAAGGAAAAATCGCAAAAAAATCATCTCGCTCATGTATCCTAAACAGTAAAGACGGGGTAAAAAAAAAAAAACACACACATTCAAACGACGATGATGAGGAAAGTATATCACACCAAATAATCAAAAGAAAAATAATAATAGATAGGACACGGAGAGAAGAGAAGAAAGAGAAGCCGGGGGGGAAAAAAAAAGAAGATCAAGACAAAAAGAGCTAATCCATCCGGGCAGCCTTTTTCGATCTCCGTATATATATCATTCCTGGAGTGCTGTCGTTGTTTGCCGTCCCTGATCCTGTGCCTGTGCCCGTTACCGTTCCTGTGCCTGTGCCTGATCCTGATCCTGATCCTGTCCCTGCTGCCGCTGCCGCTGCCGGTGCGGCTACTACTTCAGCTGCTTCGGTTTTTGCAGCTCCACCTCTTCCTGTCGTCTTTTTATCGTCATCGTTAGCATCGTTACTCGTGTCCAATGCCGCCCGGGTTCCCGCCGGAACGATGACGCTCAGCACACAATCATCCAAGTGCTCATAAAAGTCCTGCGGCGCGGCGAAGCGATTGTTACAAATAGAGCAGATGGCGCTAGCCCCTGAATTGGCAGATAGCGTTATGAGTCGACCCCCTCTGTTGGTTGTATGGCTATGTAGCGGCGCCTGCTCGACCTGATGGGCTGCGGCAAGGTGACGCTTGAATACGTCGGCTCGATTAAACGCCTTTGCGAAAGCTGAGCCAACCCCCGGGCAAAATGGACAGACCATTGTTCCTCGGTAGTGCGTGAGTGCATGCCTGTTCTTATCATACTTGCGAGCAAAGCCTTTTGTGTGATACTCACACGACTCGATGGGACACTTCTCTGGCCTCTCTTCCTGGTGCGTGAGCATATGGGCTGCCAAATCTTTGAAAACACGCCCGCAGTCCGGAAACGGGCATCGACTACGGTTCTCAGGCGCCGGTGGGGTCGGCATGGGCCTCGTTAGGTGATGCGGGAGTGGTGGCTGGGATGCTTGTGGTGGCGGAAGCGACATTGGCGGCGGCGGCGGTGGTGGAGGAGGTGGAGGTGGAGGTGGCGGAGGAGCTAATCGTCCAGCTGGACTTCGCGACATCATTTCCCAGGATCCGTGCTCCTCCATGATGGTGTTTGGCGATACCGTCATCGAGCCGACGGACGATGCCGAGACGTGCCCGCTGTTGATTGGAATGGGTGGCAGCTCCATCACAGGAGCTGGCGGAATCGCTGCTAGCGGAATCGTTCTGGCGCCAGGCTGCTTTACATCCTCCTCTTCTTCGCCATCAGTCGACATCTCGTTGTCGACATCGCCGCTTACCTCTGCCACGGATTGCCTCACTTCGCGCATCCAATCTTTGAGCAGCGACATGGGCGGCCAATCGCCGCTGGCTTTGCCCCCGCGATGGGGGTTGAAGTGAGCCCGGCGCAGATGCGCCGCAGCGTTGTAGTACGCGCCATAATGCTTCTGCATGACGCAGGCTTTGCAGCTCGATAGCGGAATGGTAGGCTGTGGTGATGCTGGACTGTGTCCCTCGGGTTCGCAGCAGACCCATCGCTTTACCAGCGCCGCGTGTTTTGCATCTGTATGGCGTCTCAGCTCGTGTTCGCCGCGGAATCCTTCGGGGTATTCATTACACTTGCGACAGAACACGCGCCGTAGAGGGGGCCTTTGATAAGTGGTTTTAAATCTCATGGGGGTCAGCTGGTGTGCAAAGATGTTTGTGGGAGCAGCCTCGGCAACTGTATGTCTCCTGGCTCGCCCAATATGTTCTGGAACAGACTGGTTTAGGGAAGTCGAAATTCCTCCGCGGTCTATATGGGCATCATCCATCGCATCCGGACGCGGCGCAAGTACCTCTCTGTACGAAGACGAGGGCGGGTACGCAGAGCTACCAACGGATGACCAGCGTGGCTCACGCGTTGAGAGAGCCTGGAGTGCCGACAGCTGAGACTCATGGCTGGGAGAAACGACCGGCTGCCCTGGCCGAACAAAGCCGTGGAATCCAAACGTGTCGTTGAATCCGCCTCCCAAAGTCATGAGGAAATCTGTGCTGGAGCGAATATTTCGGGCTTGCCACGTATCCATGCGCATGATACGACGTGTAAGCTCAAATGCGGGCACATCGTCTGGATGCACATCGTTGGGAGAGCCATCTGTCAACATCGGTCCTCCTGTGATGAAGAAGTGCACAAGTGCCTTGTATACACTGTCTATCGTGGTCTGGGGGTTGTCTCTGAGCGAGCCTTGGTGTTGAAACGTATGATATGGTAGCAAGGATATTGAAGCAAGATCCATGAGGAGCGTCCGAATTATACTGAAGATGCACAGGGAATAGAAAACGGCCAGCCATTCTTTCGATTGAAGGGGAGTGCTTCTCAGAGCAATTGCTTCAAACGCCGTCAAAAAGGTTACCATGGCCTGTTCAACAAGGCGACTGTGTTCTCCCGTAAAATCCAGGCGGTCTGATGGTGGTTGATATCCTAGGTTGGGATCCAGTTGGATGACGGGCTTGGGATAGAAGAGACAGTAAAAGGCAGTTTCGCGCAGCAGCACCTTGGCGTGGTATAAAACCGGGTACTGTGATTCCTCGGCCTCGCGAGAAGGAGATATATATCCGGTATACCTCAGGAGATCAAGAGCACTATACGATGTCTCCTGGCAGTTCCAGCTGGCGGCCATGGCGCAAAGAATCGGGGGAGCGCGATCGAACATTTCTCGGGTAATATGTGCCGCCTCATTGTATCCGTTGAGCCTCCTCTGAGACTGCTGTCCCGACCACCAGAAGGCGTCTCGATAGTCTAAACAGGTCCTGACATGTTCACCGATATGTGCCGGAAAGGAACACATCCTTTGCAAATAGTCGTTTACATTCTGTCGCCTTATGGGGGACGTTGTGGAAGACGTTGGCGTTTGGAGCTGTGGTTGTGAGAAGGAGGAGCCTACAAAGCCTTGTCAGAGAGGCTGGAACATGGACAATGAAAAGACAACAAGACGTTTGGTGCGTTACAGAGAGGGGGCAGAGAGGGGAGAGCAGAGAACCGAATGGCTATACCTGGTAGCAAATAGTCGGTAAAGGCGTTGAGAGTGCTACGGAAACACCCAATGACAGCCCAATGGTCCTCGGAGCTGATCAATGGCAGATTTGCGCAAGCGGTACATGGCTGATTTCTATCGCACTGATTCAATGGAAGAAGAAGAAACAAGTTAGTCTACGACAGAAGGAGACGCCAAAGCAAAGCGAACAAGGAAGCAAGTGAGCAAAGGGAGGCAGAAGACGAAGCAGAAGGAGAAGGAGAAGAAGGAGACGGAGGAGGGAATGAAAGCGAAGAGGTCATAGGGGAAAAAAAAAAAAAAGAGCCAAAGGCTCAGAGAATTATATCCCACCTCCTTCTTGGTCACTCTACAGCGGAGGCATGGCCGCTGGTCGTGGAAGAGACGAAGCTCTCCAATGGACTCCAATCGAGGCAGGCTGTCGACCCTGCTCCTCTTCAATGGCGGCAGGAGAGGCTCGACATCGGCGTCGATGGCACTCCTCGGGGCTGCTGAGCGGCTGGAGTATGCGTAGGCTATGAGCGAGTCTCGCCGCTCCGTCGATGGCGTCGGGATTCTGAGAGGAGGAAGCCTGGAGGAGAGGGCGGGGCGTGGAAGGTGCATGAGAGGCGACGGGCCCAACGGTTCGGAGGCATTGGGTCTGGAGGGGAGGACGGACGACGACGACGACAACGACGAGCTAAAGGCTGAGAGCTCCGAGTCTCTCGTGAAGTGAGTGGCATGCATTCGGACGTGGCAGCTCCGATCAAGCTCGGTGGGAAAACCGTAGACGTAGTGGATGCACCGGTCGTTCCAACACTTTAGAGAGCGAGGCGGATAAGCGCTGGACACAGAATCGCTGCCGCGCTCCCGCTGGGCCCGGAGGACAGGGTCGTGGAGCTCCAGATGCTGGTCCAGCCAAGAGCCGAACCCTGGCGGCGCCGATCGCGAAGAGCCTCTCAGGGGCTCGACAACATCCACGTCTGTTTTGCGAGCGCAGCGAGCAGACGAGAGAGAGTGAGAGTTAGCGTTTGACAAGGCGGACTAAGAATCGGCCCCGGGCATGTCTGGTTTTGGGCCTGATGATGGATGGATAATGGATGGAAGTACAAGGCAGATGTAGCATGAGTATTTTGACAAACGGATTGGGGGCTTGCATGAGGCGGGTTGGTGGCGGCGGCGGGTTGCGTGGAGAACGGGAGATGGGCAGCTAGCTAATCAAGTACAAGTAGCGGTAGCAGGAGGGTCTCAGCTTACTATCTCGAACACAGGCAGCCTCGAGGCACTCGCAGCGGTGTTGAATGGCGCGAGCCTCTTCCATGCCGGACACGAAGGGGGCCACGCGCGAGGCCAGGTCTGATATTTCACTCACAAGTCAGCACATGGGCTCCGTTGCCGGACCAGCACGAACGCCGGGCTCGTATGAAGCAGTAGGCCTATGTAGGGCCGGGAAGGACGAGACGCATGTGCGGGAGCAGCAGCATGTACAGGTAGGCTATCCCGTCTTGTCTTGTCCTGTCTAGCAGTAGGTAGCCTGTACAGTATGGAGCATGCATGTCTGGATGTCTGGATGTACGAAGCATGCAGGACCTATATCCGGAACAGCCAGGTATAGGTAGGTTGGTATTATGGCAGGTAAGGGAGCAGCTAAGGCCAAAGCAAGGCAAGCAAGGCAAGGTGAGGTGAGGCAAGGCAAGGCAAGGCAAGGCAAGGCAAGGCAGGGGAGGGGAGGGGAGCACTGAGCAAGCGTAGCGTGTGGGTTGTGAGCGTGTGAGTTGTGAGCGTGTGAGTGGGCTTGTCAATCGAGGCCGGGCTCAAATGTGGACAAGGCTGTATCAGGATCAAGGCAAGGGAGCGGAGAGAGAGACAGGCAGGCAGGCTTGCAGGCGGTTAGCCAGGCAAGGGAAGAGACGAGCATCAGCTGGGGGGAATGAAGGAAATACGCGCGCACACAGGGCCTGGGCCGAAGCACGCACACATGTCGATGTAAGAAGAGGAGGATACTGCACACATGGGGGGGTGTGGGAAGCGTGTTGGAGGCTGGAGGCTGGAGGCTGGAGGTTGGAGAGGGCAAATGAGAGACAGAGAAGCCAGTGGCAGAGAGTGGCTCAGATAGAGTTGGGGAGAGATTGAGACGGGGCATCGCCAAAGACAAAAAGGCAGATGAGACTGAGGAACATGCAGACCGACAGACATACCGTGGTGATCGACGACGCTCTCGAGAACGCGCAGTTTGTGGCGCAGCATGTCGAGCTCTCCCGGCAGGCTGAGACTGAGACTGCGACTGCGGCTGCGACTGCGACTGCGGCTGCGACTGTGATTGTGACAGCCATGGCGAGGGCCCAGCAGGGCGGCCAGCCTGGCCTGGATATCAGCCTGTTGGTCCAGCAGGTGGCCGACGGCAGCGTCGACGTCGAGATCCAGATCTGGGGTTGGGCCGGCCATTGCTCGCGGCGCGGTTGCCGATGTCGTTGCTGCTGCCGTTGGTGTTGTTGGTGTTGATGCTGTTTGCTCGCTTTTTATTTGTTGTCAACGCAGCTGGCTTCGGTTCCTTTCTCTTCTTTTCTTGTTCGGCTACAATATCACCAGGCCTCAGAAACATGCTGTCAGCGCCAAATCTGCCGTGTCCATGGCTTGCGTCTTGTCTTGAGGCAGGGCAGCTGAAAGGAGGCGAAAGCGGCAGGCGGGCCAGCAAAGAGCAAGCTGAAGAGGAGAGAAGAGAGAAATGAATGGGAAAAAAAGACCCTCCCAGCGAATGGAGGCTCCCCGGGTTTGCTTGCTTCCCTTGAGATGGACTTTGGAGGCCCAGACACGCCTTTGCCTGGTCTCTTTTCTTCTGCCAGCACAACCAGCTGGAGCTCCCACGCAATCACTCTTCAAGAGCTAGTCTTGCCTTGTTTGATACGTCGTCTCCTTTGCTTGCGTCCTCTGCTAAAGTCTCTTAGAGATCTCTTCCTCTTCTTCTCTGTCTTCTCTTCTTGCCCGCTTCCTTTCCTGTTCACCAGCTGGCGGTCTCGCGAACAAATTTCTCACTCGCATTTCGTCTCCTTTCGACGCTGCACGCCCACCTGCCACCCCCTTTGGGTCCCCCCCCCCCCCTCCCCTGCATCTGCTGGTCTATTGGGGCCATTTCGCGGGAATTGCGGGCTGGGGTGTTTTATCAATAGGGCGGTGCGGGTGGGTTTCTGCTGCTCGAGGTGCGCGGGTGGCAGGTACTCCATCGAAAAGCGCAACGGTTTTTTCCCCTCTGGCCTTGTCCAGTCTCCCTCTGTTCCCTTCTTGGCCTCGCGAGGATTGCTGGCGGTACACGTTACAAGACAGGTGGGGCGCAGCCTTGCAGGTACGACATCCGATTAGGCGCCGCGTCGTACTCCAGACGTAGCGCGTACTTGGGCCACGGGCCCTTTGGCCGCCCGACGGTAAGTACCGATAACGCCGCCGGTACGGAAGCGAGCGCGCACAGACTGCGCCTGGGCTGGCGTCGCTCGGGTCGGCGCTGCGTACCAGCTACCCGCAACCTCGCCGTCGCCGTCGCTACCTTGTACTGTGCCAGAGCGTGTACCGGCGCCTGTACCAGTGCCTGACGCAGGCGGTCCTCGAGCCGCCAACTGCTTGGCCGCACACCCACTTCTGCAGACCGAGAGGCTCCATAATCCAGGTATGATTCGAGCTGGACGGCCTGGGCGGCATGTCTCACGCGGGGTGTGGGAGTGAGGGTGGATGCGGGTGCGGGTGAGCGAGCAGAGGCCAGGGTCGAGCACGTACTGTACATACTTGTAGCACACTTACAGCAGGAGGACCGTTGGACGGCACTGTGTTTGGGCCAGCCAGCCTTGCTGGACGCGGCACCGTGTCTGAGACGCCCGGAGCATGCCATGTGGACGGGACTCCTATAGGTACGAGGTGTATACAAGCACCGTCTGTCTTGCCTGTACGATACTGCCATCTGCCTTGGGTACCGGCTTGTACAGGCAGAGCCGTGGGCGGCCACAGGAGCGCTGTATCTGTGCTTGGGATGCAATCCTCCGCGCTGCTGGCTGTGAGGAGGGCTGGATCTGTGCCACTTTGCGAGGACGCGAGCCTTGGCCGCAATCTCGCTCGGCTGCAATAATACTCCGGGACGGTGAAACGAGGGCAGAGGAGAGAAAAAGGCGCTTCGGAATACATCCGGGCGACACTAAAATAAGACGAGAAACACACAAGTCTAGAAAAACAGGCAAGGGAGACAGACTCGCAGAAGCGGCTGGTGCACAAGCTCCCGACAAGCCACCCCCAAAAAAAAAGCCGCCTGCACCGTTTTCTGTCTGTTTATTCCCCCTTCCATCCCATCCCATCCCACCCACCACCCATCGCCTCTTGTTCTGATGCCGCTGCGGCGAATCGGCCGCCCTGTCTCTGTGTGTGATGCTCAGTGTAGTTATCTGTCCGCACCGCCCGGTATGGAAGGTCGTAGTCAATCAGTCAATCGGTCAATCAGGCCAAAATCAACCCATCTTTGCGTATCGCACGTTTTGCAGGGTGGTTATCAAAGGGAGAAGAGTGGAAGCAGCACAGTACAGAATCAAGACTGTTCCAAGTACACCTCATTTTTACCGGTAGGTACAGTACTGCCTCATGTAAGGTATCGGTGCCTCATACACACGGCATCTTCCCGGCTGGCCCCCTACATCTGCTCGCGGCAACAGCATCGCTCACTGCAAGTATATTCCTAGGCATGACCTACAGACCTACACTGTACAGCACCAGCAGTCAGATATCAACTCTCACCAGCACGGCTCTCGTCTCCCCTTACATTTGGAGATGAGCATTCGACGGCATCAAACGCTTTTTACCGCTAGTAGCCATTGAGCTCCACACATTGCACGTTGGCTCCCCGACTCGAGTCGCAGAGACGAAAACTCTATCACCACAGACGCAAACACAAACAAGAAAACCCCCCGTCTAGCTATACCGTTATGGAGCAGCACAGCAGCACCACGCAGCACCACCATGACCATCGCGGCTAGCCTGAAATGCGCAGCCGGAAATGGTGTTTCTTATTTCTGCTGCCTGTGAGACCCCCTCCCCCTCTTCTCCCTCTCTGCCTCTTGCTCTGCCTGGGCAGGTTAGCAGGTATTTCTCCTCCCCTCGTTATCTTCTTGTTCTCCTTTTTTTTCCCACTTCAGCTTGCTTCGGTCTCAGCTCCCTCGGATTTCTCTACGTCTGTCTGCCTCTTGCTTTGCATACACGCCTCCTGTGCCGGCACTCGTATACTTACTTGCCCGTGTATATAAACTCTGATACAGCTCGTACTAGAGCCGACTACTAACCCAAAATGCTTATCCAGATGGTACTGCAGTTGGCCTAGTACGCGTACTAAGACGTCTTGGGCGTGGTACGTGCGCAGCTTCTGGCCGCACCCTTGCAGGGCTCCAGGGCTTGGACTTTTAATCACATACCGCCTCGCCTCACCTGTCACCCCAGCGCCACGACCTGACTTGACAAGCTCCAGTCCCTCCATGCAAGCCTTGCTCGTCCCATAGACCCAGTCGCGGTGCCAGTCCCGCTCGCCCAGCCGGCCACTCAGCCAGCCAGCCAGCCATCCCGTCCAGCGACTGCAGGCCGTGTCCAGCTGCTAGCCTGGATCCAGACGCGATGCGACCTTTTGCAAGCACGCAGGTGTGCTTTGGCTGGTCAGCTAGCCAGCAGCAATGCCATACCGTAATGCAAACCACCGCTGGCTTCTTCTTCTTCCTTCTTCTTCCCTCGCTAATGCTGATGCTGTACAGTCGGTATTCTTGCCTGCTTGCTTGCTTGCTTGCTTGCTTGCGTCCTCTCAGACAACAAGCCCCTCCTTTCCCCCGTCCCGTACGGTACGGGATTAACGGCTGCTCCACACGCCGATCCAGAACGCGACGACTTCTTCTGCTCTGCCGCCCAGTCAATCAGAGCCGTTTCATGACATCGCTTAGACGACGACCGACGTTGGTTCCTCAACGGCCTCTACTCTAGCACCGTCCCGTACGAGTACGAGCAGATACTTGTCAGAGTGGCAGAAGTCATTCCCACTCCCTACCTAGCCTAGTCCTGTACACACAAAGTCCGGCATCTGCCATGACGGACACTTCGCCTCGCCTACGGAATTCAGCTAGCAAAACTCCATACTCGGCACAGGGACCCAAGGGCCTCCAGCACACATCCGCGCCATTCTCGAACGTCCAACCTGAAGCCTTAGCGCCTCTAGCCCACGGCACATTTTTTTTTTTTCTCTTCTCTTTTCTGTAACCCTGCAGCCCAGCCAGTCCCAGCAGCATCCACGAGCACACACGCACCCACACCCGCGCACACAGCTCGCGCAGCAGAGGCCTGGCGCCCTCGCCCTCTTAGACAAACGCCGACTCGTCCCGTTCCTTTTTCGCCACAATCCAGATGCTCGTCGGGTAAGTACAAAGTACCTACCCATCATGCCCCTTCTCCATCATTCCCACATTGGGCTAGGGCCGACGCTCAGGCCAGAAACCCTTCTCCACGCTAAAACACTTGTGCCGGACCTGCTCCACCCCCAAACAGGAAATTCCAGCCCAAGGGCCTGGCAAATTAAAATCGAGCGAGCTCGAGAAGGAAAAAATAAAGAGGCCGAGAAGAAACCAAGAGGGTGTGAGGGGGACCAGCAAAAACATCCTAGTCTATACTGTACTAGCACTGCTGCTGGTTAATCAAAGCAGAACAGCTGTCCATGCCAGCGCTGCGTCAGACCCCCCAAGAAGAAGCAAAAAGACAGACCACTCGCCTCTCCCCGGTTGGCCAAGATGCGAGAAAAGGCGCCCCTCTTGCACTGCTGCCCTTCGCTCAGGCCTACTGTATTGTACTGTACAGTGCTCGACAACCCGCTTTCTCGAGTCCCCATAATTCCGCTCAAGTGATGACGATGCTGGCCCTGTCGTCGTTTGACGCTGCTGCCACTGCGCACAGTACTGTTCCTATACGGGGGGCATGTGCGTCCATGCATACAAGCATTGATGATATGATGCGATACTGTACGATGCAATGCAATGCCACTGTCACTATCTCCCTATCTAAACACCGACCGCCCATATCTGGGTAATGTCATTACATTATGGCATCCATATTCTGCCATTGCATCAACGCTTCCCGAGAAGAGGGGGGAGGGGGGGCTATTGTTGTTGTTGTTGTTGTCGACATGAGTAAGTTGTATGAGCATGTTTGCAGACACGAGTAAGTTGGTCTCATATATACAAAGGTGCTGTGTTGACATTACGGGTACGTGTAGTATTTCTACTAATCTGCATGCAGATATAGGTGTACGAAGCGTGTACTGTAGTGGCTGAGGGATGGAACTGGCGAGTAAGTTCCGAGTTCCTACCAAGGTGTATTGGTGAGTGAGTGATATTTGCCCATCTACTACAAGTACTACCTACCTACAACACAGTATACCTACCTACCTACTCTTCGCATTCTCGTATTGCAAATTACTACTGAAACAAGTAGGCTACTTATCGCGACTAGCCTACCATATGGAGTCATTGAATAAAGTGGCAAGGTAGCAATAGAGGAGGGAAGCGACGACGACGACGACGATGATGAGATACCAAAAGGACCAAACAATATAGGACGAAGAAAGCAAACACGCAAAAGAAAACAAGGCAGTCATATTACAACTGGCATTCCGAGGTCATACTAGGGTAGTACTGCACGCAGTAGTGCTACTACAAGTAGGTATTGATACCTACCTATTCCCTTGCAATCCCGGGTTCCATTCGCACATAAATGGACGGCGTCGCAATGATGATGCTGCATCGCATATATGTGCATGCTCGTATGCAAGAGGGCCACGATACCCGGCCAAGGTAGCACCAGGCAAACATTTTGACATGTCCCAACATTCCAGTCCATCCATGGCATTGGATGCGTCAATGCTCCCCAAGACCAGGACCAGGTTCCTATCAACGCTGCCTCTTTTCTCTTCTCCATCTTTTTCCTTTCCCCATTCGCCTTTCCTCTATACGCACGCACATACACATACGCACACACACACACACACACAAGTACTACTAGTATGTGTGCATACATGTCCACAGGCTGACTGAACCCCCCGTTTTTTATCATCGCTTTTTGCTCCATACTCCAGCGATCCCGTCCTGTTCAATGTCGTATTCTACTGTATCCCACGTCCAAGCGCTGACTGCCGCCTGCAACTGCAGCAAGGCCCTCTATCTCTCTCCTCTCTTGTCTTTTCTCCCTCTCTCCTTCTCGCTCGCTCGCTCACTCCGCTCTCCACACACAGCCCGATCGATCAGCAGAAGGATAACCCCTGTTTCGCCTCCTTGTTTATTTTCTCCTCATTCTTATCCTTTCGCTGTACTTGCCCAAGTAGGCATACACGTGCTCTAGTATCTACAAGTTTCTGTATGGATAGGTATCACCATAAATGGACCATGGTCTAGGTATAACCATGAAATATCACGTCAGTTCCCATGTACATGGCCTTGTTCGGAGCCAATTCCGACAAATGCCCATTCGTCCGATTTTTACCTCATCTCGCCAGTTCCCCCCTGATGTCATACTGTATTTTTTTTTCCCCGTCTTCTACCTGTTTATATAGCTACATGCTACATGCCAGTAAAACATCTCAAGTGTACATGCGTCCTGGTCCTGCGGCATGCATCTTACAGCTTAGCGCCAATAAAGCACCGAGGCATATACCCAGGCAGGCAGTTATACCATACTAGACTGCTACCACCTTGGCTATGCCGTTTTACAAAGCTGCTCCCCATGTCACTAAGGCCCATGTACGGTTAGTAGATGGCATCTAGGCAGCTTGTTGTTAGCAGGCGTGTTAGACCTTTTCGTAAATGGTCAAGTGTGAGGTAGCACACGAGCTGGGTCTCGGGGCAAATCTCTCTCTCCTTCTCTCGGTCTTTGCTCTCTCTCTTCCATCGAATATCATCGGAATTAAAAAAAAAACTAGTACTAATCGTAATCAAGTAGGTATTACATGCTATGAGCCATACTGATTAAAAAATTAAGACTAAAGGAAATCTTAAAAGGTTAAGAAATTCAAGCAAATGACGCTACACCGTGTAATAGGTCGTACTGGTAGTAGCTTCTAAGCCCATGTTGAATGAAGGGCACGGCCTCTTTTTCCTTCGTTTCATCTGATTTCCCATTCGCTGCCATGCCATGCCATTCCCTATATTTCGCCATACTGATAGTAGCAATACTGCAAACTCGTTGAAAAGTCCCCATGGCTGTCTCTGTCTTGTCTCTTCTCTTCATCTCAAAAGACAGGCGCCAATTCCAATCCGCAATCCGTGTCTAAGGAAAATGCAAGACGGAGGAAAAAAAAAAAAAAAAACAAGTATCCACCAGCGCCGGATGCCATCTTTGCGCCTCACACCCCTGCGAGAAGACTGTGTTGTTGCCGTCTAACCCTCCCTCCCTATCTCTCTCGCGCTCTCTCTCTCTGTCTGTTTCGTCACCGCCACATTCGAAAGGTATCCATTAGCTAATGTTATCCAGCGATAATCTGTGTCTAATGCGTGGGATGAATTGCAGGGTTTGCTTCTGAACCCCCCTTGCTTCATCTTTCTTTTGTGTTTCTTGCTTTATGGCACGCCTCCCCTCTATTCGTCTCGCGACCACGTCTTCTCACGAAGAGGCTTCTCCTCGCCCTTCTTCTCACGACTTCCGTCCGCCTCAGCCTTGTAGGCCCAGTACTCGCCGAGTCTCAGCTCAGCGTATGAGGCGTAGTCAAAAGCAATGTGCGAGATGGTCGCTTGGATCAAGGCCCAGATACCCCAATAGAAGCCGGGGACTCCGCGGAAGACATCCACCTCACGCATGAGCTTAACAGTCTCCTCTTGTACGTCCATGGGCGTGGCTGAAAGCTTGGCATATGCTGCAATGTATTCGCGGATAAAAGCATGTCGCTGCGACCGGGTTGGGATGGCTGCATAGTCACAGTCGTACCCTGCAAACTCGGCAAAGTGGTTGGAAATGTCAAACGCAGCCGGTGACGGCGTAGCGTACTCGTAATCGATGAAGCTCACGGAAAGCTCCTGGTCGGGCTCGCGGTGGATAATGATGTTTGCGCTGAGCAAATCGCAATGGGCAAAGACCAACTGTGCATTTACGTGCTTGGTTAGCAGGGACACACGCATGTCGGCGACGGGTCGAAGGAATTACATACCCCATTGTGCCCCAGTCCTGGACGCTGGCTGAGCTTCTCAATCATCTCCTCCAGCTCCCGTTGCAGCAGGGCCTGTCTCTCGCGCTGCTGCTCCGTCTCTGTCGGCAGGGCAAGGATCCATTTCTGCATAGTCGACCAGAGGTTGGGGATCGGCTTGCCCGCTGCAGCCTTGACGATCATGGCCTTGTGGCTGCCGTCGTCGTCTTCGGAGCTGCCGCCTGCTGCCGGCGACTCTCCCTTGATTGCCGAGTCGGGTAGACACGGCACGGTGGCATGCCATTGGGCCAGCCTTCGAGCAACTGCCGCAATCAGCGCAGGATCGGAGAGGTCCTTGGCCTGGGCAACGGTGCCGGGCACGAAGCGGTACAGCATGCCATTGGCAAAGCGCGCCAGCAGCTCCGGCGCCAGGCCGTGCTTCATCAGCAGCTCGTGGTTTGCGGCCTCGCGTTCTCGGTCGATAATCACGGCGGTGCCATTGCCGTAGGCTCGCAGCAGCACGGCATCCCGGTCCACCTCGGCCTTGGACAGGCCCGGCTGCCGATGGACGGCCTTGAGCAGCGTGTTAGTGATGCCGTCGGTGAAGCGGATGAAGTCGATGTCGTCTCTGGCCCATTGGGGAAACAGGCTTTGGATGAGCCTCAGGGCCGATTCTTGTGAGTCGCTGTTGTCGTAGGTGATGGGGAGGAATCTGACGTGCCCGTGGGCAGCGCCGCTGGTGGTGGCAGCTGGAGACATGGTTTGTTGGAGGATGTGGAAGAGAAAGAGGGATCAAGTTGGAGATTGGTAGAAGTAGAAATAGACGGAGAGCAATGGATCACGCTCGGAGCGAAGCTTTCATCTAACGGTTCTTTCTCAACTCTAGTGTCTATACTGGGCTTTGGAGGGTTGATATTGAAGCAAGGCCAGAGTCAGGGGATTCTGCGTCTCTTCTGGCATCGACTACAGGCAGACTGGGGGGGTTGCTGCGCTGTCGAGAGTGCGGCAATAGAATCGCAACACAAGAGCAAGCGGAATGGTATTGTATTGGCCAAGCCGAAAGATTTGTTGCTTCAGCAGGTGGCACTTGTGGCACGGTGATGGTGTGGCGATGCGGTGATGCTGAGGCGACTCCAAGCAAGCTGGCTTTTGTATTCCCTCCAAGGACTGGCGAATGGACGGAGGCGCACAAACAATGGGAGAATCGCACACGACCTGTTGCCCTCCCCAGCCGTTGGCGGTTTTTGTGTGAAAAAAGGCTTAAAGGAGCGTCAAATAGGGCGGGCCGCTTGTGGAAGGGTACGCATGTGATGGTGGCCAGAAACCACGACAGGCCAAATTAGGGGCTTGGGGCGAGGCGAGCGGCGAATCAACGGATCGGCCTGCGGGTACGTTGGGGCTATCGATGCTCGAGCCTGCAGGGTCCGGAATAACGCTGTGCACGGCACCAGTAGCTGTTGGAGCTGTTGAAGCTGAAGTATAGCGTCTATTGCGAGTGCGCTGAATGTAACGCCAGCCTGGAGTTGGCACGCGAGGATGCCGGATTTTTGTTGGGAATCCGGATATGAGATTGGCAGCATCGGATCCCTGTAAAATGAAGGCATGCGCAAAGTCCAACGCGCGTACCTTTCTGCGCCTTCAACCAGTGGAAACTACTGCAAAGGTACTTTGCACGTGCTTTTGGAACGTGACTGCGCTAGTGGAAGGCATTAGATTGCTTTTAGCAGAGGTCCCTTAAAGAACGCCCGACGAATCTGTTCACCGCCTTGCTGGAGAGCGCATGTCTGTGTCTTGTATGTAGATACCTAGGGATGGACAGACAGCTGGAGGTGTAGAGGCGAGGCTCCTCGCTGCGCTGACGTCAATCCTTATAGAGACAAGAATGATACATCGGATCTATTCTCCCGCGCCTTTTGTAACAAGTGCATAATAGATGGGTGGATGAATTAATCAACAGCAGAGCGCGGACGTCATTGCTCTCGGCTAGGGACTGGCAAGGCTGCGTCTAGAAGCGTCCATTTTGAGCGAAAAGCCCCTGTTGAAAAGTCCATGGCAAGGTGCTGCGTTAATTGCTCAAGGGCGCCGAGATACAGGGACCTTTGCAGCGGAGGGCCGCGAGTTTAGGTCCTTCTCCAGCTGCCCCGCATTCGCTACCGGCCGTGGTACAAGTTGGGGGGCCAGAAGCTGGCTGCTGCTTCGTAGGGCTTTGTACCACTCAACCCACTGTACTTGGAGCCTGCGCAATGAGGCGGGCGCTGGAAAGTACCTTGATAGCAAACTCCGCTTGATGCAGGTTAGCGATGGCTTAACGCTCCAACAACCATCGTCAACACCAACCGGGCTGCGTCTTGGCCATCACGGCAGCCTCAAGAGACGGGGAGGCATTGAAGCTGCCAAACACGACGAGCACCTGTACGATCTACTTACGAACAGCGGCCTATCAGCATCATCACTGCTGCTAATCTCCCGCAGCAAGGCCGGTGCAAGCTCATTTCGCGTCCCTCCGGCAAGCACCGCCCTCACAACCACAGCCAGGATTGCTGGGGGCCGTCGCATCATGTAAGGCGGCCTCCTGTCCGCGGAATCTGCAGCCATGTCCTGCGTCAACGATGAAAACTTCGTGGCCGTCGCGCTCGTCATCAACCGCTCCCGCGACGGACCCGCCTTTGTCTTCCACTATCCCTCCCATGTCCCGGCGCTCTCCAACCTCGCCGACAAGGCAAAGAACATTGACGCCGAGGACGTGCTTTTCGAGCGCCTGTCACAGCCTGCTGGCGCCGAGCCCGCGCCGGAGCCCTCCGAGAACCGTGGCAGCGTTCGTGATGACCACTACGTGACCGAATCGGGATCGCAGGTCGTGCCTTGGGAACATGTAGCCGGCTTTCCAGCCCGTGATCTTGCCGGCATCTTGACTCCTGCTCGCTCCTATCACAAGAGGCTTTTCCAGCTCTCTCTCGACCCGCTCCTCTGTGTCTCTTATCCCATCCACGTACCTGAAAATGGCAAGTGGAAGAAGCCGAAAAAGGCCAGCAAGGCAAAGGCTGCCAAGGAGCTTGATGAGGGCATTGCACCAGACGAGCCCAACCCTCCCGTACGTGTAACCAAGGCCGAGCCAAGCAAAGAAAAGGCCAAGGAGGGCAAGAAGGATGACGCGGAGGAAGAGAAGCGAAGCTCCATGACCATGTTCAACTTGGTCTTCTTTCTGAATCCCAAGAAGCATGAGACTAGGGAGCTCGTTGATTCCTTGTATTCCAACATTGTGAAAAAGGTCAACAAGGCGTACCAGTACAGCCAACAGCACAGCGAGTTTGTGTGGAAGGAGTCTAAGCGCATCCTAGCCGCAAAGGACAGAGCTCGTGAAGAAAGTGAGTATCCCCCGTTTTATAAGCCGCAAGGCAAAAAAGACAGAAACTAAAGACCTCGATGCAGAAAAGAAGATGAGTGCTCTATGGAAAGAATTAACCCAAAACTCCTCATTGGCAGCGTCTATGCGTGAAATCTACGACGCCGTCTCTCAGAACAGGATTGCCACTTTGCATCTGGATACTGTAGACGGCATCCTGACACCGTCTGTTCAGATCCCTGTCCCCCTATTCGTTGCGGATCTGCCTCCGGAAGACGATGAGCGGCATCGCGGGCTTTGGCTCACCACGGCCAACGCCTTGCTGAGCCAAGATGCCCTCGAAGAGCCAGGCTTCTTGGATCGCAACTTTGCTCTGTTGCTCACAGACGATGAAAAGAAGATTGTCGCTGAGCTGGGCAATGATCGTGATCCCACCGCTTCATCCATGGCTGAGTTTGCGCGACTTTCTAAACCGACAATGTCGTAAGTCTTATACCAATGACCGTCATTTTTGTTCTTCTTATACTAACTGGTCCTCCATCTTCAAGCTTCTATCAAGTGGGCCAAAGCAACACCCTCACTCTGGATCAAGTCCGCAAGTATGCCCAGCACTTCATCTTTTGGCGTCGTGCCATGGCCATCCCGCCACTTCATCCTCGAGACATCTACATGGTCTCCCCAAACTGCGATCTTGAGAGGCTATCTCAAGATGCCCAGGACTGGCAGACGGCCTTTCCTCTGGCCCCGCCTCTGCCGACTTTCCTAGCTGAGCTCTCCGTCTTGCCTCGGCCTTATAAATTCATCACTCCCAGCAAGGCTCACCGACCGCTCTATCTCCGCATGCTGGCTTGGCTGATGCGAGGCGGCTGGGTGACCCAGCTTTGCACGTTTGCCTATGTCGTTGTATGGCCGGAAATCTTGTACGAGGTTGACTACGAGATTGAAGCAGAGGAACTTGGCGTCGCCACCTCTGTCGACGGAACCGATACCACTAGCATCCATACCGCCCAAAGCACTCTGGATGGGCAATCCACACACTCATCACTCACGTCGCCGCCGCTACAACTACCTTTGCAGCAGCAGCAGCAGCAGCAACCACAACAATCACAGACCCAAGCTCAGGCACAGCCAAACATGCCCAATCCATCTACCACATCCGCAGCCGAACACTCCGCCGAAATGGCCCGCCTCGAGCGCATCGCCATGAAAGCCCACCGCGAACTCGCCGACAAGGCCACCGCCCACGCCCGCAAAGTCGCCCCCGTCGCAACCGCCAACCCGTCCCTCAACGACGCGCCTCACCTCGCCGGCCTCACGCCGCACATCATCGTCGACCCTAAAAAGGCCACGGGTAAAGAGTCACGGTACCTGTCTGCCATTGCGCGGCGCTTCAAGGACGAGGAGCACCGCTCGGCGTGGCAGCTCATGTGTAAATACTTTGATGGGCGGTGTGCTTTGGAGAGGATCGCTCTGCAGGAGGACATGAAGCGGAAAAAGACATGGACACTGGTGACGAGTATGAGGGAGTACCTTTTGACTACAAGACATTGGTGAAACTACCTGGGATAGGTAGTGTTTAGACCTTGCATGTAATTAATGGCTAGTACTTGGACGTTACTATAATTCTTGAATACACACTAATGGATACCTGTTACATGAGTTGAAAAGGGGCACAAGAGAGGGCTTTCGTAGCAAAAAGAGCTCATACAAGTCATTTATTGGTCATAAGTGGTATCTGAAGCGGTGTAGAAAAACGAAACAGGAAAGCAGTCAAGAGGATACAAAGAGATGATGTTGATAGGTTAAAGAAATTAAGTAAGTATATAGATGTAATCCTCCAAATAAAAGCCATGAGAAAAGGAAAGAAGAAATGTCGGAAAAAAAAAAAAGGAAAGATGGGCTGTGTATCAGCAGTCAAAGCAACCAAATCCCTGAGATTCCTTCTCCAGAAGACGCGACCAGAGTCAGCCCTTGCATCATTAGAAAAGAAAGGAGGGCATGAAAAACCAAAGTCCAGTCATATTGGGGGAAAACACATCTCGCTAGGAGAGTGTCCCTTCTGTATCGTGCCCGCCAAAGCAAAACCAGCAAAAACCAAATACATATCTCATAAAGGGTTGTAGTAGATACCAATACAGCCTGTAGCAGCTATAAAGGTATGTATGTATATATATAAAAGAAAACAGGGAGAGGCTTGTGCGTATCGGGAAAAAAAAAGTCGATAGCGAAGAGACTCGCAACTCCTTAGTACCGCAATGCAATATATGACAAAGAAAAAGAAAAAGAAAAAGAAAAAGAAAAACAGACGTGAGGGAAAACAACCAGGAAAGCAAATAGACTCAATCCATCCTATTTATAAAAAGCCCTGCCAAAAAAAGCCGTTGCCTGTAGCAAACACCCTATCACTCCAAAGAAAAAGGACGAGGCCCTGCCGGTGTGATAGATTACACCTAAAACGCCGCCAGTATGGGCACTCGGACATGTCCTTCTTGAAACGCCAGAGTGATGCAAATTTCCTCCTTCCCAAGACGTTGACTGCTAATGCAGAAGCAAACATCGCCAGACGGAGTGTGAAAAAAAAAAGGAAAAGGGTACCAAAAACACACATGATAGAAGGAGGTGGATAGACGCGGTAAGAAATAAAACATCTTAGCCGCGAATAGCCATCTATTGAGTGAGATCCATATCATACTCGTCCTCTTCCTTGAAGTTGATAGGCCCATTGGGGTCATCGTCCGCCCAGAAGTGTACACCGTCTCCAATGTCGCCGGGCATGCCACCACTGCCACTTCCTTCGGGGGTGATGCCCACTGAGTCAAGATTGGCACCCATATCGTGGGTAGTAGGCTCACCGTGGTAATCAGTGTGGTGAGGCACCCTAAGGCCACTGCCAGACGTACGGGAGTAATCAAAGGTGGACGGGTTGTTCCTGGCTATGGCATCCATGAGCTCGGACTGCATGCGGCGTTCATCGTCGCTTTGCTCAAAAGGCAATTGACCACCCAAGTCGGCGATGGTGTGGATCAGCTCTTCCTGTTGCTGCAGCTTGAGATGTAGCATCCACATCAGATCTCGAGTCCAGCTGACAGCACCGTTGAGAATGTCGCCCTTGTTAGGGCCCTTGTCTTTGTCCTCAATCGGAAGGCCAGTCGTGATATTGCCAGCGCCAGAGCCAGTGGCTCTGCGAGCGCCTGGTCCGGCTAGACCAGAGGTAGCGTTAACACCAGTGAGGGTGGGCGATAGGGGTGTGCCATTGGAAATCAGTTTGCGAACTTTTTCGTCTTCCAGTCTGTGCGAAGGGACGAGCTTGCTGAGATCTTGGATCCGCTCATTGATATTGTCACGGCGGCGACGCTCAACGAGGTTGTGGGATTCACGACGACGCTTCCTCTTCATTTCCTGGGTAGACATGGCGCCGCCAGGTCCCACCCCAAGCTTGGCTGGCATAGACGTGCCGCCTTTCATCATCACCTCGTTAATTTGCACCATGTTTGGCTGCATAGGAGACGAAAAGCCAGAATTGAAAGAGGCTGGAATGCTTCCGCTAGGGGTTTGGAGCCATTGGCCCGATGGCGACTTGTCTGCTCTAAGAGACTGAGGGCCAAAGCCGGGAGAATCATGGGCACTTCCGATGGGAATGCCGTGCATGCTATTGGTCTTGGGAGTCATTGGTGTTCTAGTGTTGGAGGCTTTCCTCTGCATCTGAACCGACATGCGGGCGGCCCTCGCTTTGGCGTTGAGGTAGCTGGGATCGGTTCCGTCTGCCATGTCAGCGGCAGCCAGAGGGGACTGCGAGTAGGACAATGGCGACTGCAGATTTCCAAGAGTGCGGTAGTGTGTGTTGCCATATGCATATGGGCTCTGGATGGGATCCCCATCTGGAGTATTAGAGTAGCCGTTCATTTGAGCGGCGTCGATTTGTAAACCAGAACCGCGGTGTGACTGGAAGTTGTTCTGGTAAGTCATGCTCAAGCCGTGAAAGTCTTGGCCCTGGCCGTGAAGGCCAGATTGACCGCCTGAGCCGAGGCCATCGAGCAGCTCATCATCGTCGAATACGGCAGAGCCGCTCGAGAAGCCATTTGTGTTGGAGTTTGTATTGTAGTTGTTGTTGGCGAAAGACGGGGAGTATGTTCCCGACATGGCCAACTCGTTGGGATCGATGTGGCTGGCATTGGGGCCAGACCCAAACTGGGTGAAGCCGTGCTGGGCCATCGCAATAAATGGTCGATTCCTTGATCGACACAGATGGCTCACAGATGGCTAATAGAGGATGGAGAAAAGTCTTTGTTTCGTTATTTGCTCGTTTGGGTTTCCAAGGCGCTCTTTCAGTGCGCTTTGTTGATTGCCTGACGGGGTGACCGGGAGCGGTCTCGGAATTTTGAAGATCGGCGAGAAATGCCTGAACAAGGGAACGGTTTGCAGGCTACAAGAGGGGGAAAAAAAAGGTCAGAAAGTTTTGCCCATTTAAATATGCCCAGAGCCTGCGCGATCCAACGAATGCTAATCAAAGGGCCGGCGGCAACGACGGAGCCTTTGGGCTAGACGTGGCGCAACACCGGAAGAGCAACAACGGAGGATGCCGTTTGAATACGTAGGAGGGGCTGACAAAAGAAGAGGGACTAACTCTGAGACAAAAAAAAAGGGCACGGTTAGCCCTTTGTCTTGCTAGTAGACGTTGCTGGATGCTCGATTTGATGCAGAAAGGCGAAGCGCGAGATTTGTCCACCGTATCCAGAGACAGATGGGCGAAGTGTCTGAGGGAGCTGAGATGCGAGCTTCGGAGGGGTTTGGCGACGATTGCTTTTTGTGAGCCCACGGCCCGACGTCGTTCGGAAGTGCGATGTGCGAAGAAAAAAAAATAAATAGTGCAGGGTACAAGCAGTAGCCGGTCGATGGGAGGGGCGGAAATGGCGGGCTGCTGTGTAACTAGCTGGGGTGCAGGCGGTGACGGGCGCTTGGGAATCCGCAATATGCGCAGTCAGAAATCAAGCAGCGATGACGATGTGGAGGGGATGAAGCCTCGGTGGAAGCAGCGCGGAGCAAATCACAGCGTGGCCTGCACTGCGCGGTTTATTATTAGCTTGCTGGGTTGCGGCCAAGTGGTGCGGCGCTGAGCCCTGGAGGGAGGAGAGGGACTGGTGAGGGGAAGAGACGGGCCAAGATCTGCCCACAGCGGGATGGGCGAGACTCCAATGTTCTTTCGACCTCTCGTGAGGGGTGTTGCAGCGAGCCCAGATGCGATGCCACCGGCGCGGGGGAGGTGAATGTGAATGTGAGGGGGATGCAGAGGGAGGGATGCAGAAGAAGGGATGGCGGGCCAGACGACCTCAGCCGCTTCGACTTACCAAACGCAGCAAGCAGTAGGGATGGGTGCTGTTACAGGCAGTGATGGTCGTGAGTTGTAGGTATCGGACAGGATATCGCATGTATCTCGCAGACTCAGCGGTATTTGTACGCGCGAATCAGGAATTCCGCAAGGGTAGCGCGGCAACTGCTCCGACGAGTTACAGGAAGAAACGTCTTTATGTCGGCGTGTTCATAAAAAGCACCCAAGCATGCATGCAATATGTCTTCAATGTTCCGTCGCGGCGGTAGGATGGCTTGGCGCCTGTCTGGTTTGGTAAGCGGGCTGCGAAACCCTGCGCGCCGCGTCGCACAATGACGAAAGGGCGAGGTCGGCCCACCGTCTCTAAAGAGCAGTCGACCACCTACACAAGGCGGCTAGAAGGCTGCTGGAAAGTCTCGCTGGGCTGGCCGCGAGAGCGAGAGAGTTTCGGTGCGCCGGGGAGGCTGCGGGCACTAGCGGTGGATGAAGCTGGTCCTCGCCGGATAGAGTAATAGAGTAGTAGAGTAGTAGCAATCCGGTATTATTGGCGGCGGCTCTGCAACGGATGCGCGTATATGCGAGCTGTGCAGATATGCTGTGCAGGAGATGGGATGTGCGTGGCGTCGTATGTATGCAGTAGAGCGGCTGCCGTGGTGGTGAGCGAGACGGCGAGTAAGGAGATGCAGAAATCAAGATCAACCGGCGCTGTTTGCGGTGGGACGGGGCGCTCAAATATTGAATCCTGGCCTTTGCGTCTTTGGCTGTGCCCCGTGCAAAAGCAGCTGGAGCAGTAGTAATACCGAGGGGGGGGAGGCAGATAGCGAGATCTTTGGCCTGGAGCTGCGTTAGCAGTGCCCCTGCTAGTGCAGATGGGCTAGACGCCAAGACGCACGACTTCTCGGATCTGTCTCTAGTAATCGCCCTCGAACAGGCGAGCTGAAGGGACTTGTGGCCGAGCGTGCAGCAGTAGCTGGAGAATTGTTCGGCTCGAAGGAACACGGTAGCGGTAGCGGCAATAGCGCGGTGTGATTATTTGGCGGTTATTGGCAGGCAAAAAGGCTGTTAAAGTAGTTGAGTGTAGGTAGGATGGATGGATGGGCACAAGAGCAGGCGGGCGCCTGGTGGTGGTGGCCGCGATGAGCTGATAGGCCGCTCGGCGGTGCGTCAAGGGCTCGGGAACCTGCGATTCTTATTCTTCTGCTGGTCCTCTGCTCCTCTGCCTTCTGTTTAAACTCTGTCGCCTGCAGCCTTACTCTCACTCGCAAACAGGCTGCTGGCGAATAAGGACGCGGCGTAGCACTGGATTATGCCCGATGGAGACGCCTAGCTGACGACGATCAAAGGGCCAGACAAAGCAATAACTCGTGTTAGTGTCGGTTCGGTAGCTAACCCTCCCTTCGGTTCGCTCTAGTTGCCGCTTTTCGATGGCCAGGCCGGTGGTGTCCCAGATGTGGTTTAGTAGCTGATGCTGATATCCGGTCTTGCGCTGATTGTTGCTCGAGGACTCGTACGGGTATACACATATGCAAGTGCTTATACATATATGTACGTGATGAGACGGGCCAAAGCTTAGTAGCAGCTACCTAGGTATGTAACTTGCCGTTGTCGTTGGTTGAGGTGAGGTGTATGAGTCGGGTCGTGCGGGCTGTCTTTTGGTATTAGTAGGTGGTAGAGCTTTAGGCTGCAGCTTTATATACAAACTTTATGCTTTGTTGCCTTGCCTGTTCCGGGCCGTTTTCGACAGAGGCAGACGCAAGGAGTTGAGCAAGGCAAAGCCAAAGAAGAACAAGGCAACGCGTAGCGCGGACAGATGCACAATGTTACAGAATATGGATCATTTCAAATCTCCATTCGAAAACTCGGCAGCAAGGTACCCGAGCCTCAGTTTTTATACTCGCTGCCGGTAGCTAAAAATACCGAGACTCTAGTACGGAGAAGCATCGATGCTTGCTTCGTCTTCTGACTTGCCTAGGGCGCGCGAGATGGTGGCCCGTACCCATCTCTTGTTTTACACCATCCACACCCCCCTCTCGCTGCTACATACAAAGAAAAGAGGGAGGGGGAGAAGCGCATAGGGACCGGGTCGAGCGTGACTTGGGTTATCAACCGCGTCCCTCGCTATAAACCTGGGGCCTCTGCCCATCGCCCACCGTTATGAACCACCGCAGTGTCTCGCCTGGTCATGCGTTCCCAGCCCTTCCGCGAACTAGATACCGCTCTGGCCACGCGGTCATGTAAGGCACCGGTTGCAGAGGTCAGCCACGATGTCGATGACGATGACGACTCTGCTTCTGCTCTCTTCTGCTTCATTCTCCAGGCTCCGCTCCAACCGTGGCGGTGCTTCTTCGTGTTGGCTGAGCTGAGTGCCTATCGGATACATACAGTACGCATAAGCTAAAGGTAGGCAGATCAAGCCAGGTCCAGGCACGCTCGCCAAAGATAACCAGACTAAATGTGTCTGGGTGTGGTGTACACGGAATACGGAGTACGGAATACGGAGCGGCAGGCGCTGCAGCCAACTCAAGCCTCATCCGGCCAACTGCCCAAGGCAGGTATTTGCCCTCTCACGATAGGCTGCCATTTCAAGGAAGCGATCAGCACGGAAATAAAAAGAAAATAGGCCTAGGTAAACGCCTTTTGCTTTGATGGAATGCCAGAACCTCTCCCCCACGCTGCCATGCCCCATCGCCGTTGCACCAAGACATGCTCGCTTGTGCTCAATGACGTTGTGTCCTTATCGCTATCGTCTTTCTCCATGCCGAGGTGAGCGGCATTCGCTAGCGGCACTCTCACCTTGGGGAGATTTTAGAGCTCGAGCTCGCTGAACCCCAGCGGTGCTACCACCCCGTAGGTGCGCCCTGGCCCCAGTGCTGCCAATCATGTGCCCCCTCCAACGACGTATCGACTCCCATCCCACACCCCCCAGTTTGGCCCAAACCTCCACCCGTCAAACATCTCGCTCCCGCTGCCAGATTTCACATCCCGACCTGCTCTGGCCATCGTCGACGCCCTCGACCGCTTCGACCGCTGCTCTAGCCCTCCCCCACCATCCATTGCCGCCCGTGCTCATCCAGCGGTACGCGCGGTCGCGATCTCTCCCGACGCGGCCGCTGCCTCGTGCCCGCTTGTCGCCTCACGACAGCTCCAACGCCGGTAGGCTTCTCTCACCCCGTCCGCCCTCCATCTCGCTTGCGCCAGTGTCTCGTCAAGCTACTCTTTCCCAAGCCACATTCTGCGCTTCTATACATATTTGATCATGCCCCCTGACTGACCATGTCTCTAGTGGAGCTAGCAGTTTCTAAGCTTTTAGGGCTGTCATCTATCTGCTATTGTTGATCGAGAGACAAGAGCCCCCCCCCCCCCCCCCCCCCGTCCCCCCGTCTCTTGCCTCTGCCGTTTTACCTCGAGGCTTTGCCGTGTCGATCGGGTGTTTTACTTACCCGCTGCTGCTGCCAACTTTTTGGGATACGATTCTCGGCCGTATTATGGCTTCCGCGGGTTTTCGAGATTCCATCAACTCCCTGGGCTGGAGTCGTCGTCAAGATGCGCCCATCACAACTTCACAACAGTCATCTGGCCTCTTGTCCTCTCTCCAGAGTCTGAATCCTTTCCAGGATCGTGGATATACGATTCTTCCCACATCGGAAGGTCCTGGAGCACCTCTGCCGGCGCCCAGTCGGCGTGAAGAAGAGGAAGGCTGGTTCGTTTGTGAGTCAATCTGGGCATTGTCCCATCATCCACATCGCGGGCAACCCCCCTGCAGGCGAAAACATGTGCATTGCAGCTCTAGCTCGCACTTACGATGCTGCATGTGATGCAGATGCTACGCCTCGTGGCTAGATGTAGCTAACATGGAGTAGTGAGTCGATGGGACCGCATGCTGGTATTTGCCTTTTGCAATCTCGCTGCCGCTGCCTGTTTCGTCATCTGCTTCACCCTCTTCCCTGTCCTGTCTCTGAGACCACGCAAATTTGTGATTCTGTAAGTCTTGGATGACGTCGTTACCTCCCCTTGGCAATTGCTGCTCGCCCACCTTTTGCTGCTGCTTCGACCCCTCTGCTCCCCAACAATCCAATCCTGACGCCTGCCACACCACTTCACACATGCATGCACACAATATATGCACGGCCGGAGTTCTCGGTAGACGGTATTTGCATGAATTACCTGCATGCGTCTATACCTGCCGGAGCCAATACCCCTTGTACGAGTAGTTGCGCAGCGCTAACCCCCCACTTAGATGGACGGTTGGATCGGCACTCTTCCTGGCATCTTTTGCTGCCATAATGGGACCTATGAATTACATCTATCACCTTTTCTCCGCGCCTAGACTGCCCTTTACCGCTGCCTACTTTGGATCCATAGCAATGACCCTCGTGTTTGCTATCAAGGTATGTTGAAACTCCAACGAGCAGGAAAGAGGAAGCGGAAGAGAGAGGTATGCTAAAATAACAAAGGTCCATAGCACCATCCTTACCCTTTTCGCGTCTTTGATTCAACTTGCTGCCCTGCTTTGGTATCTGGTCAGCTATTTCCCGATGGGCTCCACGGGTTTGCGCCTGGCCACTTCGTTCGGAGCAAGACAAGCGACTGCATGGCTTTCTGGGTAAGTGCTGGCCAATACATGTTAGCAAGCGGGGTTCCATCATTCCACCGATATGAAAGTGCTCCCCATGATGCTCCTCTGATAGGATTTTGTTACTTTATTTTATAATGCTTATGGATACATGTATCATGTGAGAAGCCTAGCTAGAGCTTCAAACCATTTCATGAATAGCCGGTTGCTGAGAAACGGCCCATTCTGGCGACGTGCGTAAATCTGATAAGAAACATACCATGTATAATCTAGAAAACTTACCGATACCCGTTGATCACTTTCATGCATAAGAATAAGTGCCCTCCTCTGGGGGCTACTGATGCATAAATCTCCCCGAGTATGGACTAAAAACACGGCACATCTCATCCACGTGCCGAGAACTCGCACATAGACTGGCAAAATGGGTCGCCAGCAAGAGGTCACCTGCCATATCAGAGGCCTTTGAGTATAGCAGCAGCCGGTAGGGGGCACGGTTTTGATTGGCCATCTCGACTGTCCTCTGCGCTCTGTACCACCCAATATCCCTTTGATGGGCTGTCATGCTGGGTGATCCCCCAGGTACTAGTACGGTATAACAATGGAATGAGATGCGCAACACGCCGGTACCTACCTTAGCAGATTCTTTGCACATCGAATAGGAGAGGTCGCACGTCCAGATGAGCATAAATTTAGTGCTACTAGTAGAGTTTTTGCAACGTGCCAGAGCGGCGCGCCGCTTAAACGCCGTTTCTGTCTCTGCTGGTCGTTGGAGCGCCATCTCCGAGTGCCGCAACTCTGACATACGTCCTGCAGCCTAAAGGTAGAGAGGCTGGTATGCAGATTGTACGGTAACAGCGGCCCATGGCCATTTCGCCAAAGGTAGCACTACATCAAGGTGGCCCAGACAAAGCGCAAGCCACAGTCTCTGCCATGAAGCAAACAAATCCTTAGTACAAGTATACGGCTGTAGTATGTAAGCGCCGGAGCAGCCACATCCGTAAGTTCCTGTACTGGGCTGGAAAGGGGGACGAGGACTCCATGGGGCACTTGCGCAGATGCGGAAACAGGAAAAACAGAGCTGAGATGAGCCTGCTGCGGCCTGCTATTCAAGTTGCCCTTTTTGTGACCTGGTATCGCTTTTGTGACGCCCGCAAAAACAGGAGGGTGGGTGGTCAAATGTGCGCTGCAAGCAAGAATCGGCCACTACCTAGGTATGAGACAGGGCGCCTCGGCAAAGATGACTCTTACGATGACTGCGGCCCACGTATTACTCGTAATATGGTAGGCCAGGCAGGTTTGCTGTATTACTATTACTACTAGAATTAGCACAGGTGGTAGCATTTGCGTCTCACCAAACGTGTTCCTGCTTGTGTGCTCCTCCACATTAAAAGTACCGCTACCTTGTCATGGGGCGCATGAGAGATTTAAAAAAGCAGGCACGGCAAATGCCAGGCTTGATGTACCTTGGCTACTTGAGTAGTCTTGAGGGGGGAGAGAGAGGAGACAGGCATGCCAACCATCGCTGACAGTTCCGGTTTCTACTCTTGTTCTCCTACGTCAAAAGAAGATTTTAAAAAAAAACAAGTGCCCGCCAACTATGATCGATCGCGGGATATCGCTTGTCGATAAGGGCGATAAGGGATAAGGAATACCTACTCGTCCAAGGGTATCAGGAAAGATGTACTAGTAGTAATGGATCGAGAGCACCATCCATGATCAAAGGACAGAGTGTGTCGCGATAACGCGGGCGATCTCCCGGCGCGGCACACAGCCTGTTGATCACGGAAACAAGCAAAAAAAAAAAAAAAAAGGACAGGCTATGCACGGCCGCAAGGAGAAAGTCGAAAGCCTCACCTTTTTTCCGGGTTGCCAATAGGAAGGACTGCCCACAATCAGAGCTGCGTGCGACCCGAGCGCATGCCCCGGACAAAACGCAACGCATTCCCGCGGCTGAAGCGTCCCCCCAAAAGGAGACTGGACGCTTATTATTGAGAGAAACATGGTTGATTGAATGCCTTGCCTTACAGGCAACCTTGCCGCTTGGCCCTTGGTCGCTGTCGCTTTTTGTCAATGTGCCCCCCGTACGTACATGTACCGCTACAAATCACAGCCAAGCCACACACAACTTTAATGGCCCTCCCGCACTAACGACGCATGTCTCATGCCGGCGCCTGGCCTCTAAGGCCTGCAATTCGCTGCTGCGCTGATGTAGGTTCGTATCCGGAGCAGCAAACAAGTCTCCTCGGGGGTGGCATGTAGCATGGCAGCTGCAAGAGACGAAGTGTAAGAAAGTAATAAAAAGTGAAATAAAAAGCAAAAAAACAAAAACAAAAAAGAAGGTGCTTATTTACTCAGCTCGTGGCCGGGAGTGCCTGGCTGGGCCCTCGATCCTTCCTCTACGGAACAGAACAAGAACACTCGACATCTTTCTCTCTCTTTCTCTCCCATAATTTTTTCCTTTTTTTTTTTTTTCCTTTTCCCCAGTATCGAACGCGCCTAATAAACCACCACCACCGAATTAACCCGATTCTTCGCTCGGCTGACTTTGCACAAGCCATATTCATATTCGCGCATTTCCAGTCACTCCACTTGCAGCGAACGATTTTACATTATCCAGGTGTGGGCCGCAGAAAAGCCCCCAAGGGCTGCCCTCAGCCAGACAAATAGAATTGCATCATACTCGCGGAGCAAGGGCTATTCAGTTTTTGTTCTTTTTTTTTCTTTCTTTCTGAATTGAATTGAATTTTTTTTTCTGGGCTCAAGGCGTCGATACTACCGCTAGCTCGGGACCGTCAGCGCTCTGACAGCGTGTTTCCATAGGTCCGCCGGGGCCAACTTGCACGCAGTAATCCAGCACCAGGCCGTCCGCTGGAGACCGCTGTAACTCTTAGGCCGCCCAGCGCTCCGCTTTCAGGACCTGTCCTGGGTCCCAAAAAACCCGCCAAATCCGCCAAACCCGTCTGGGCGCCCTATCGTCTGGAAAGAGAGGGGAACCAAAAAAAAAAAAAAAAATTTATTATTCACACAACGAAAAATTATCAACTTGCCCTTTTCGTTCTGCGCTCTGTGCCCTCTTCATTCTTCTTCACCACCATCTTGCCCAGTCAATTCTGAAGAATTGCCGCGCCGGTTGGCCTCTGTTTGACCGTCTCTCACAGGCTGCGCCGCGTCCTGTCCGGAGCGCAGCTGGGTTTTTCGTTTCTTTTTCTGCCCTGCATTGCCCGCGTGCCTCGCTGCAGCAACTTCTTCCTCTTGTACCCCGGTCACCCTCGACCCTCAATCCGGCAGCCTATTTTGTCACCTCTCGCTCTCCCTTTGGCTTGGGCTGGCTGACTTGTGCTCGGCCTGCTTCTTTGTCCTTCCACTCAGACGTGCGACACTTGGGAGCTTGAGTGCGCGACTGCCACCGCCTTGAGGCGCCTTTTGCCGACCGGCCGCCTCGTGTGTGTTCTGGACCGATTCTTGTTTTCGGGCCCCTCCGCCACTACCGACGTGATCTTGATCCCTTTGCCTGGGCTCAAGAGACGACCGTCCCGCTTAACAGCTACGGATATTATACGCGATTGCTTCTCGTACTGAGAATCATCCACCGCGACAAAAGAAATTAATTGCCCTTGGTCTCCTTCTGGGCTGTGTTTCTGGTGCATCATTTGCGTCTTCAGACACGCCAAACAAATTTCTCTAGAACCTCTTGCCTTCTAGAGAATACGTCTGACCGCGGCCAAGTGCGACTTTGGGACTACGCCGAGATTTCTCACTCTTAAATCTGTGAAAGTCATCAGCCTCTACCAAATCATTTCTTTTTCTTTCGCCTTTCCCTCTCATCTTTCGGTTCCATCAAAAATGGCGACCGCCTCAGCTTTCTCTTATGCGCAGGCCGCCAAGGGCCAAGGCACTGTGCCCTCAAATACCCTCTCTGGACAGCCTGTTCAGGACTCTCAGCCATCTGCAACCGCGCCCAAGGCTAACACAGACGTCGAAAGCGCGACCGAGTCCACTGCCGCCGTCCGAAGCGCCGAATCCCCTGCCAACGCAGGAAAGCAAGATATTGTCAGCACTACTGGTTCCGAGGTCGAAGCTCGATCCGAGGATGTCCAAGAGACGCGCCGCGAACCTGTGCGAGATGATGAGTCTAGCAGGTTAGATCGCCCATGGCGACGAGGCGACAAGGGCACGAGGTCCTCGAGTACTACTACACGATCGGTCGACGAGCAAGACTCCAGGAGGCCGCGGAAGTCTAAGAAGTCCAAGGCGACAGAAAAGCAAGCCAACGACCAATCAGCAGCGGATAAGGAGCAGGAGCCTGAAAAAGAGGCTCCCAAGGTTGAGCTTTTCGAGGCGCCCATCCCATCTGTCAATATATGGCGGCAGCGGGCGGAAGCGCAGGCCAAGACTAAGCCATCAGAGCAAACAACCAACGGCGTGTCCAAGTCCGACGTGCCCTCCAAAGCGGCTGAGAACAGTGTTCCCGCCGCTAGCCAGCGTGACAGCGTACCAAATGGCGTCAAGGCCCCTCGGAAGCCGGTCGATGCCCCTCGGCCTGAGAGGAATGCCAGCCGCGGCTCAAGGGCAGCAGACAAGGATGCCAGCAAAGGCGAGATCCCCCCTTCAGTCGCCGATACAACAGCTTGGCCCACTCCTGAGACGGCCATCAAAGAAGACAAGAAGAAGCCCGCCGAGAAGGGCGATCGTGTTGAGAAAGATGCCTCAGAAGATGGATCTCAATCAAAGCCAAGACAGAAGTGGGTTACGATGGACTATGTGCCAAGCGTAAACTTCGAAACACAGCTCCCTCAGATGCGCAACTCTAAGCCTCGTGGTGGAGCTAGAAGCGCCAACGGTCCCAGGGCTACGGGGTCAGCACACGCCAGTGACAAGGCCACCACCCCCGTCGCCAACCAAGGCAAGTTCAGCGAGAACAGCAACGGCAACAACAGCAACAAGGACCGCCCTCGTGATGGCGCCAACGGCCCGAACCGAAATGCTTCTGTGCCTCAAGCTACCAAGCGAGCATCGACAGACATGTCCATCCCACGTGAGCAGAGGAAAGCTGTGAGCCAACCCGGCGCCGAGAAAAAGGATGCCGCATCTAACTCTAATGTAAGTAATTCATGATCAATAGCTGCTATTGAGGAGGGGGTGGGAAGAGGGAAGAAGGAAAAAGGCCTCCATGCCGATCTTACTACTGTTTTTTTCTTGGAATGATGTACTAATACTTTTGTTTTAAGGAGCAGGGTCATGCCGTTCGTGAACGAACAGAAACCCGCAATGATAGACCACGAGGCGCATACCGCGGACGTGGCGCACACCATCCTGCCAATACTCAGCACCAGCATACCGCCTCCAGCTTCTCTTCATCTGGCGCGATGGGCGGACGAGGTCAAGGTCCCTATAGCCCGCCAGCTAGACAAGGCGGCCATGGTCAGATGTTTGTGCCGAACCAGAGGGGTGGCCGAGGCGGTCGAAGCAACGCTGGAAACTACCATCGCATGTCTCTCCCCAATGGATCAACACGCATTCCTCAGGTCCAAAATCAGTTTGGTTCCTTCGAGTATACAGTGGCACCGATGGCGGCAATGCCTTTCCAGCAGCCCTACTGGGACAACATGCTTGTACCAGTGCTGAAGAGCCAGGTCGAGTACTACTTCTCGATCGAGAACCTGTGCAAGGATGTCTATCTCCGTGCACGAATGGACTCTCAAGGTTTCGTGCCTTTGCATTTCATCGCCTCTTTCAAACGTGTGCGAGATCTCTCCGCCGATATTGCCATGGTTCGTGCGGTTTGTGAGCTTTCAACCGAGGTCGACCTCGTCGTTGGCGATGATGACGTTGAGCGTGTGCGACGAAGCGAGTCGTGGGAGAGCTTTGTTCTGCCGATGGATGTCCGAGAGGACTTTGCCAAAACCCATGGGCCGGCTCAATTCACATACAAGAACCGAACGGCACCTGTGCCGATGCCACCGCATTTTAACGGAATGCCTGTCCCATTTGGCATGGCATCGCCACCTGCCTATGCAGCCCACGTTGAGGCCCCGTTCCAGCAACTGCCCGACGAATCCATTGCCAACCAAGGAGTTAACGGATACGTAAACGGCCACATGAACGGCTTTGCTGGCGCTAGCCAGCTGTCGGCTGACGTGCCCGATTTTGCTCCTACAGGTATCCTTCCGCTCGGTGAGGCTGCGGTAAACGGACATGCCGAGATCCCCGTTGAGGCAACAAACGGGGTGCAGAACGAGTAAATGGTGCAGCAGAGTGTTGTACTTTACCCTGGCGGCGCTGTGATTTTCGCTCCTGCTAGCCGGTGAAGCTCTCGTTTATGTTTTCGGGGCGGATAGCCTTGAAGGCACCTCCTGCATATTTGTTTCTTGTTGCCGAGCCGAAAGGCTCGGACGGCTTGTCACGGCAGTTCCTTGGCCGGTTCGGGCGACAACGCATTTTAACGATTTCTTTTTTTCTTTCGTCACAGTTCTGCCTGGCTATTCTTGGCTAAGGCTCGGCAAGGGAAACGGCAAAACAAAAAAGCGTTGCAACTGTGAATTATTTGAGGATTTTTGGCTTTGTAAGGGATTCGTTCTCTTTTTTTTTTACCTTTTGCATGTGTATATATGCGCAGATGAAGGCGGCAGATGGCAGAGATTGGGGCGTTTCGCGATCCTTTAAAAGGAAAGCACGACAAAAAAAGGGGTGGAAAGATACCCCTGGAGATTTCATTTTGGGCCTGGAAAGTACAACGCAGCAAAAGCGTTTTGCACTCTGGTTTGGGATTTCCCTTTGATTTGGTAAAAGAGAAAAAGAAAGAAAAAAATCTGGACGAGAAGAAAAAAGCAAGGCGAGAGAAGAGCTTTCCGGGAGTGGGTATGAAATAGAGCTACCGCTCGAGAGCGAGGGCAATGGAAACCTTGTGTTGAAGCGGGAAAGCTTATCCCAGCCATCGTGACTCTGGCATGGTCTGCGGTAGAGGACCGATAACTTTACACGCCTCCGGGGCTCAAGAGAAAGTTTGATTTCACAGCATTTGGATTACAACTCACCAGTCTTGCAATTGTTGGGATCTCGGAGGGGCTTATGAACTGGCGATACATGTTTTTTGCATCCCCAAGCATTAGTTCGACATGCGATCAGCTACCATGCTATTGATGAGAAACGCACAAGGATTTCCATAACGATCTTTCATTCACTGTTATCATTATCAATTTTTTTTTTTTTCGCTAGACAACCGATGGTCGGATACACAAAAAAAAACATATGAGGCAAAACCCGAAAAAAATGAAAAAGCAAGATGATTACGAGCAAAGAATTTACAAAAAAAAAAATCGCTCGAGGGCATTTGAGTTGGGACTTATTAATTTGGTAAAAATGGTTGCAAAATGAAGATTTTTTTTTTCACATCTTTTTTTTTTTCGATTTTTTGAGTTCGTATTTCCGGGAGGGTTGTTGTCTTTTTTTTTTCTACTCAGGGCTGGATTTGTCCCTGGCATTTTGATGCGAGACAGCGTGGTACCATGTTGCTGCAGATCTGTTCAATTTGTATGATTAGGATTCAAGAATAATACAACCCAAAAAAATTCAGTCATCGAGTCATTTAAGGAAACACGAGCGTTCTCTACGTCCTTTCACACGTATGCTCATGTATATTATTAACGACTTTTGAGTATGTTACCTTGGCAGCAGCTACATAAAATTATATCAATGTGAAGATTATGTGTATAGCATTAAAAAAAAAATTCTTGTCTATGATAACTATCCTACTTTCCTCTATCCTATGAAGTTTATCTGCCATCCGACTGACTGCCTTTGCTGCATGTGAGACGAATGCTTGCCCAGGAAAGTGTCTACCTAAAAGAAGGGGCAAAAGTAGAAGAAAATGCTGAGATCTGATAGAATCTGTGCCAAAATCACAACGCCATGGCTAACCCGACAATAGCAATGAGGCCAGCAGCGGCACTGGTGAAAGCTGTTGGCATGGAGGCTGGGTTTGCCATTGAGGATACTGCAGACTGTTTTACGAAACGAGGACCTATGAAGGGGATAGGAGAGAGATCGATAGAGGTGGAAGCGATTTGGGCTTCTGCGTCTTCTGTTGTCGTAGTCGTAGTAGTCATAGTCGTTGGTGATGCCGTTGGTATTTCTGCTGTTGGCAACGGCGTAATTGGTGGAAACGAGGTTGATGTTGCAAATGGTAAAGATGGTGTAGCTGGCACTGCAGATGTTGTTGTCGTAGTGATTTCGATGGGCGCATCAGTCTCGAAGGGCACCTCGGCTTGAAAAGGCACAGTTGTTTCCGGGGTGCTAGGATATCATTAAACCAAGATCACACAGGTCTAGATTCAATTTTTGATGACTCACAGTGTATCGTCTGGAGTGCTCCCTGCATCGTCATATATACCTTTCGGTGGAGTGATAATAAGAAGCGGCCTGTGTGTGACCAAAGCAGGATCGTCGGAGAAGCCTGGAGGCTGGACTGGCCTGGTGAGGAGGCGGGTCGGATGCCTACGCCCATAATGGAGATGCTTAGATTAGTTGGACTGAAGAGCATGATTTTTTCGTGTCAGATGGAATATGTGAAGGACTAACGGTAAGTTTTGCGCTGAGGCGAGAGAGATTGCAACTAGTATAACGGTGATGGAGTGAGGCGCCATCGTTGGAGTGGCCTAATCTGCTGGAGCAAGTATTTGGTGAATAATCTCTGCGGCTGCTGGATTAACTTGAATCGAGAATGGAAAATAAAAGAGAAGCCGAGCATGATTCCTCGAAACACGTAAATGATCATAACATTGTAGTTGGAATGCGGATGGTTGCTCAGCCGGAGCCTCGTCACATACGTCGTGACATACTCGCGATCTGGTTGCTTGATCGCGCAAAAAAAGTATAACCGCTGTTTTTCAATTCAGCCATTCAATGGTACTATTATTATTTACTGGTATACACAAAGCGGCATTGTATATCTGAGATTCAAGGTGTTTCTTGTGTGTAAGTTCAGCTCGAGGCTGCTATAACGGCGCTAGGCTGGAATAGGGACGGAGACTCATCCCCCTGTTCACGTCTACAAAGAGGCAGAGCTGATATAGGATAAGTACCCCGCCATAACTGAGTTGAATAGCTGCAGTTGTACTTATCGTTTGGTTTACAAGGCGACTCTCACAGTACTACTACTAGTACTCTGTCGTTGGAAATTACAAAGTACGTACCCAGCGAGTGAGCGCAATGCTGCGGGATCCGCTTTGCTTTTGCCTTGCGCTGACATGACGTCATATCCCTCCAAGGGCAGGAGCCCCTCCACCAAGAGCAAAAAGACAAGTGGCTTGCCCGCAGCCATTTTCAGCCAATGAATTCCATCACGAGCCACATCCAAGGCTAAATGATGGCCGAGTCACGGGTGGCTGGGCGTTTCTTGTGGCTAGGGAAAGATGGAGTGGACAAGAAGGCCGGAGAGGGCTGGAGAGCGAAAGCGGGGTCGAAACGTATGAAGAAGAAAAAGAAGGAAAACAGAATAGGTAGAATGGATGGATTTTGGAAAGAGGCGCTGAACTTTGACGGCTTCATGTGGCGCTGAGGCTTGCTCTGGGCGGACGGGTGCCATGGGCTCTCCCGAGAGGTTGTTGAGACAACATAGATGGAGGCTCAATCAGGGACAGCAGTTTTTGGCACATCAGATGACGACCCTGACTGAGGCTTCGTTGCTTTCTGTTGGGTTGTTACATGTTGGGATGGGATAAAAGTCACTTTCGTGCTGAAATACGGCGATAAGTACTACTTTCTTTAGAGCGAAACAAGGCACTTCAGCTCTTGATGCCCAGCTGAAAGATCAGTCTGGAGCTCGAGGCCCAACGTAGAACAGCCTAGAATAGGTAGAAGCTCGGTGCAAGCAGTCACAGGGCGAAATGGGCGTGATCGGCGCGCCCGAGTCTGCTGTTGATGAGAGCTCTACGAGATGGGTAAAACGAATCTCTTTTTGTCTCGTCGATGCGAAGAGGAGGCGACGGCTCAGTCTATCTCGCTGATCCCCTACAGTAGCAGAGCCATCACGTTGAGGTGCAATATCCAGTACCGAAACATGAGGCGCAGCTGCTGTGCCACAGTCGATGCCATCATATCAACGCAGAGAGGTCTGCTAGAGGTCTTCACTGCTAGGCCATAATTCTGCCGCTCAGGCTGCCTCGCCGCGCTATCGCATCGCCCACTCCAGAGCAGCAGGGCAGGCGCGAGGCAAGCAGGTCATTCCGAGGGCAGGCAAGAGCAGGACGCAGGACAGGGGTGTCTGTCTGCTCGCTCCTTCCCCCCGGTCGTGTGTGTCGCCATTACGTCTTGCCCCGCCGCTTCATGCAGGCTCTGTGGCCAAGGTCCCTCCTGCCAGGCCCCAATTCGACAAATATCGTTTGGTCCTGCTTTTTGCAAATCCTTTCTTCTGACTCTTCTCCAACACTGCTTTCATCGTCATTCTCTGCTGCACATCTGCTGAGGTACGACAACGCCCCAAACCAGCAGCACCAACACCAATACCAGCACTCAACAGCGCTGCTTGATCGATTCTCACGCAGTCACGCAATAACCGGCAGTTTTTTTTTTCCACCGCGGCTTTGTGCGGCATATTACACCAGCTACCCCGCCAGCAGCGCACTTACACGTAAAGAAGCATCTTCTGCAGAGGAGACAGCGCAGTCTCAGCTCTCATCCAAATGGCTCACCACAGCCCGCAAGACTATGACTATTCCCGTCGCTACTTGCGCGAGGACATAGTCGATGAACGCGACCCTCGCTACTTCGATAACCGCGAATATAGCGAGTCTGCCCGGAACCGTGACCGTGATCTCGTTCCCCGGGCGGATCCTCGCGACAGCACCGTTTCTGTAGAGGAAGTTCGCCGCGACTTCCCTCCACCTACCGGACGAGACTACGTTCACCAAGATGTGCGCCGTGCTCGTTCTGCAGAGCCTGGCTACTACCAGGAGGATTATGAATATCGCCGCACCTATGGAACCCGCTTGGATGCTCGGGATGAACGTTACTCGAGACATGGCGGTAGCCACTACGGCGATGATGACCGCGACAGGAAGCCCAAGCACAGCAAGTCCATGTCGAAACAAGAGAAAATCATTGCTGCCGTCGCCGGAGCCGCCCTGCTCGTAGGTGGCAAGGAACTCTATGATCGCCATGAAGCAAAGAAGGAGGGCGGTACTCCAGTGCAGCGCAACGCCTTGTCATCGGCCGCTCTCGCTGGCCTTGGTGCATTTGCTGCCTACCAAGGTGCTGAATTCTACAGCAAGCAACAGGCAAGGAAAGACCAAAAGGCAAACTACATTCTCCAGCGTGGCCGTGATGGTCGTCTTGATGAATACTACTCGGACGACGAAGCCGATAGTAGGGAGAAAAAGGGCCACAAAAACTTTCTGGAGAGTGCCTTGGCCGCTACTGGCCTTGGAGCCGCCGTCAAGAGTCTGACTGGCGTGGGCGATGACAGGCACTCTGATACTCGAAGCCGCGGCGGTAGCCCCGGTTCACGAAGCGTTCGCTCCGGCTCCGGCTCCAGAGCCGGTGGAGGTGCCAGCAAGAAGCAAAAAGTTGCCATGGCATCGCTTCTTGCTGGAGCCACCGAGGCCTTCCGTGTCGCCAAAGAGCCTGGCGGTTGGAGAGGAGAAAAGGCTAAGAGAATTCTCACTGCCGCCGCCGGTGCCGCCACTGTGGATGCCGCCCACGGAGCAGACCACGGAAAGCTTGGCCTTGCTGAATCAGTCATTGGCGGTCTGATTGGTAACCGCTTGATCAACGGCTCCAGGAATGATATTGAAGAAGATCGCCGCACCGGCAGGAGCCGCTCTCGATCTCGTGCACGATCAAAGGATGGTCGTGGAGGCGTCGGCCTCGCAGCACTCGCAACGGCTGGATTGGGTGCTCTTGGCGCAAAGAAGGCCTTTGATCGATCCAGGTCCCGCGGTGATCGATCCAGGTCCCGCGGGCGCGACTATGATTCCCGAAGCCCGTCGAGGGATCGCAGCCGAAGCCGAAGCCGCAGTGTCGTAGACAGAGCACGGGATGGCCTTGCCAAGCTAGGCTTTGGTAGTGGTGCCATGGTGGCCGCTGATGATCGTCGGCGACGAAACGACTACGACGACGACGACTACGATGATCGAGGCTCGCGCCACTCTGGCCGACGGGATGATGATCATGTTTACGATGATCCTCGATACCGCCGCCGTGGCCATGACTCTGATCGCAGAAGTCGCGGTGCTTCCCGCGACCCTTCTCGAGACCGTTCTCGATCTCGAGACCAGTCGCGCCGGAGAGGCGGCTATGGATCTGAATCTGACCTAGGAGATTCTGACGAGGATGACAAGAGGGCCAAGAAAATGAGAGGTAAGCAGGTTCTAACTACCGGTCTTGCAACCGTTGCCACAATTCACGCAGCACATGGAGTCTACAAGAGTATGGAAAAGAGGAAAGCGCGGAAAGAAGCTGTCAAGGAGGGCCTACTCACGTCACAAGAGGCCAAAAAGCTCAAAGCCAAAGCCATTATGCAAGATGCAGCTTCGGTTGGTATTGCTGCCATTGGTATCAAGGGTGCACTTGCGGAGCTCAAGGAAGCCCGGGAGATGTCCCATGAGTGCAGAGAGTGGAGGAGTCAAAAAGCCCAACGTCACGAGAAACGGCTGGAGAGACGCAAGAAACTCGGAGAAAGGAAACGATCATCAAGCTGGTCGGCATCGTCGCCGCGAAACAATAGCGGATACAATGGAGACAGAGAAGATGAAACGTACTTCATCGATCGCAGATACAGCGCAGTCTCTCAACTATCCCAACCGCCTCTCAGACGAGACAGCCGTTGAGATGCAACCGTCAACAGCAACTACCTATGCTCAGAGACGCTCCCAGCTGGCTTTTCTGTCTTGGATATTACAAGTCCGTCTTTGTAACTCTCAAGACCAGCACATGCTGGGGGATGAGAGCCACTGCTTGGTCAACAACGCTCCTGCCGTCTGTCGCTCTCTCAAACACTCCTTTGCCATTGGCCTGGCGTAAAACATGATTGCTTTTATTTCCTACGTTGGTAATGGTTTTTGACGGGATATGATTTGCTTACTCATCGAAATACACGGTAACTATGAATTGGGATATGATTTATGACTTCAGACTTCATGTGCTGCGTGGCACAAACTACATAGATTGAGCTTCGAGCCTAGCCTAATGTTTCTTTCAATATGTTTTACTTATATTCAGAATGACTAATAATGATTGATTTGCTATAGATCACCGACGCTATTGATCTCTTGTTCTTTGCGGAGAAAAAGGAATCAATCCGAGAGGAGGGCTCGCTGCAGCTGCGGAGAAGCGATACGCCTAAGCAAGGCCATCATCCGATCAATCGACGCGAGTCAATAGCAATTCATCGGATGCATTAGCCAGGTTTGGTATTTTACATGGATAGGCGGCATATGTCCATGTAAGTCGGCATGCAGCGATGCGGTTTTGATTGGACTCATGGACGATGGTAATGTTGGGTAACGTGAGAAAATCCGGATTTAGGATCAAGTGGGAAGGGATGTGCAACAGCTTCGGCACAGACGGCCCAGGACGGGCACTGGCGACGAAGGGTTGTTGGGCAGATCTCGATGACTGGGACTCTTGGGTTGGAAAACAGGTTGAGGGACGAATTTCTTGGATGGCTTACATTGATTTCCCCGGCTGTGGGTGGCCCAACAAGGCCTCACGCATATTTACGAATCATGACTGCTGACGCTAATGAGTGCTATTACGCTTTTATGTAATGAAAAGATAAAAGACTAAATAAAAACAATGTTTTATGCTACTAAAATGGCTTTTGAACAAATAATCATTCATATCCAAGTCTATTGGGAAGCTGGCTTTTTCCCACGGCGGATGCCTAGTCTAAAAATCTAACGTTCAAACATCCATAATCTATGACATCATCGCGTGTTTGACAGGCACCTGGTCGCATCAAGATCTTGGGTCCTTTTCCATTTCCCCCCTTTCCTGCTTCTATAGCTTGAAACGCCGTATATGCGGCCCGACCCCGTCTTTTGCTCCACCGCCAGATGCCTTGGTCTGGGTGCATGCTCGGTGACGTCGCTGTGCGTCTACTTGTTTTGTATCAGGCACTGCTCGGATGTTGGCAACACAGCAGGCAGCACTGGCATGCTATATGCATGGATGACCGTTTGCGTATGGATGATTGGGGTGTTATATACATGTCTTTTTTGTGATCTGTGAAGCTGTTACATTTAATGTGTGATTATATCAGGCGTGGAGAAATGAGAAGCACGAGTCTTGAGAGTTGCAGTATTGTTGTATAGTATGAATTGCTCATTGTTGTAGTATCAAGATGAAATAGGGAAAAGCAGAAAGATGATAAACAAGCGGCAAAGCAAACATGTGCTGCGCCAGCTCTTATGGCGCCCCTGATAAATCTCCTCCCGTCTGCTTCCACTTCTGCGCCATGGCCATGATGTTTGACAGGTTCTTGGCCTGCTGGTCGTCCGCGGGGAAGACGTAGTCAAAGTACTCCTCGTAGACGTCCTCGTTGTCGCCGCTGTCGTCCTGGACTCTTCTGCGGCGCTTGATCCGGCGTGGCATCTGCTGCTGCACGGCGTCGACGTCCTCCTCGGTGCCGTGCGTGCGTTCAAACGACAGCCAGGCGTTGAGCAGGCTGACGCGCTCTTCCTTGAGATCCTTGTCGCGCATGTTCTTGTGCGCACGCTCAAAGACCTTGCGGGCGCGGGCTTTGGCCTCTTCGCTGATGGGCTGCTCTTCTTCTTCTTCTTCTTGCTCTTCTCCCTCGGCCTCGACGTCGTCCTCGGGAATGTTGATTTCGAAGTGGGCGTAGCTGATCCAGACCTTGACGTGGCCAGTCTTTTCGAGGAGTCGCTCGTATAGCTCGCGTGTTCTCGCGTACTCTCCTTCTTCTTCCTCAAAGTCGATGTAGGCTTTCCAGAGCAGCTCCGGCATGTCCAGCTGCACCTGGCTGACGGCTAGCTCGAAGATGGCCCTCGCGCGATCAAGATCGTCCAAGCCGCGCTCCAGTTCGGCAAATTTGATCCATGTCTGGCAGTTTGTCGGGTTGTACTGAACATGCTTCTCGTAAAGAGTTCGGCAGCGCACAAATTCAAACAGCTTGCGCTCGATATCAACGTATCCATTGAAGATCTTGTCCTTGGGGCACATGCCAATGGCGCGTCCCAGTAGTTTCCGTGCCGCTCCGAGCTCGCCCTGTCGAATCTCGAACTGCGCCGCGAGCAGCCATATTTTGGCAAAGGTAAATTTCTTATGGGGTATCATGTTTAAACACGTAGTGTAGATCTGTCGGGCCCGCTCGACATCCTGGCCCTCGAGCTCCTCCCAAACCGCGTAGAATATCCAGAGATAGATGTATCGGCGCCAGTGCCGCTTCTCTTGAGTCGGGGGGACTTGGGCAATCGCCCGTTCGTAGACATCTCGGATCCGATCTGCATCTCTGGATGCTTCTTCCAAGCCGGCATAATCGAACCAAGCATCGTAGTTTTTGGGGTTCTCGCGCACTTGCTCTTCGTAATACACTCGTCTCTTGGACAGGACGACATCTTCCACGCCATCCTGATCACCAAACTGCTTTTCAAAAGTAGTATAGGCCTTGTGCAGCAGTCTCGATTTTGACCGGGGCAAGCGGTCGAGGGCATATTTGTAGATGGCTCTCGCTCGCTCGTATTCCTTCAGCTTGGATTCAAACCGGGCATAGGCAATGAACAATTTCTCGTCAACAAATTCATCGCCCAGGGTTTCAACCGCCGTCCCAAACACCTCCCGAACCAAATCGCTTGTCCCGTACTCTTCTTCAAATTTAGCCCATTTGATCCAGTTTCGGGGCTCGGGATGGACCATGGTAAAGGCCTGGAAGATATCCCGGGCCCGGTCATACTCTCCGTAGCGCTTTTCCAGCTTGATGTATGAGCTCCATGCCGCCTCGCTCGGCTGCCATTGCATCCATCTGTCGAAAACCTGTCGAGTTCCAGGAATGTTGCCCAGCATTTCCTCCATGTATACGTATTTGTACCAGATCTTATCAACTCGGGGCAGCCGCGTGACAGCGCGATCCAGGAGATTCCGGGCATGGTTGATGTTTCTCGACTTCATCTCGGCTTCAATGTATCGCATCCACACCTGAATATCGTTGGGGTGGACATCGAGACACCGCTCGAAGACGGATCGAGCACGAGCAAACTCCTTCTGCTCCAGCTCCCATTGCGCATACTGAAGCCAGTTGCTCAGCTTGACGCGATTGCGTCGAACATAGTCCTCAAATTCCTTCCGTTTCCTGCCCTGGTATTCATGAAGCTCCTCAAGATCAGCAAACCGCTGCGTCGGGGCCTGGATCTGAACTTCTTGTCGGTCGACGGCTTCTCGAAGAAGCTGCTCAGCGCTGATCTGGACAGGCGCTGCGGCCTTGTTTTTGACCCTCGGTGGGCCACGCGAGGACTCCATCGTGGGAAATGGTTCGTGTAGCGGCAATCGACAGGGAGTTTTCAGCAGGGCTTTGGTCTATTATTTCGACTTCAGTGGCTGGAGAGCAATCTCGCAGACCAGTGTTTGCTCACGGCCCCAGATGGCGAGATTTCGACTTGAAAGAGCTGCAAGTAGAGACAGCCTGCTGCTAGCACTACTACTAGTAGTACCTAGTCCAACTAACTCGTCTTATCGCAGCGATAAGAGAATCTGCCAAGGCATTCAAGGTGCACGGGCCACCCAGACCAAGGCTAGTCTACTGCGCTGCCATTCGTTTCTCAGCCTCGCAGCTTCATGAAAACACATCGAAGAAAACAAAGGCAGCCTAGCGACCGTATTTGTAATCCAGCATATCGCGCTTCACCCGGCCCAGACGATCTATTTTCTGTTATAGAAGCATCCAGACCATAACAGGACAGCGGGTTTGCCAGCCTGACCAGCCGCCATCATGTCGACAGTCGCCGACGACCTGCTCAACGATTTTGGGAGCTCAGGAGATGAGGCAGACGAGCTGCAGAACGATGGCCTCGTGCTCACAGAAAAGACGACGAATGGCGATCGCGACGCTATGGATGTCGACGACGACGACGAAAACGAAGAGGCTTCCGACGACGAGGCAGCGGGTGCGATGAATGACATGGAGGATACCGAGGCCACCAAGGCAAAGGTCGAGAAGATGCAGCTTGGAGCCGTCAAAGATGTTCGCAGCGTCGCCAGTTTGATGCAGACGCTGGAGCCTATCCTTGAGGTTAGTAGGTCCCTTACTCCATACCCCCGTCCCCAGCATCACCGTCCCTCTTATATATCTTTTTTTGGATGGCTCCGTTTACATCGTTTTCGAGATGAGCAATTAGCCCTGACGTGTTGGCTCGAATACTGCAGAAAATCACCCATTTCAAGTCGCAACCTACCTCGCAGCAGACCAACGTCGGCAATATCGAAGACCATCCCGAGTATCACCTGTTGACACAATCAAACAGCCTCTCGACCATGATAGATGGCGAAGTCGCGTTGGTTCACAAGTTCATTCGCGATCATTACTCGACCAGATTTCCCGAACTGGAACGACTCGTTACGACGCCATTGGAATATGCCAAGGTGGTGGCTATCATTGGCAATGGTCCGATGGACGCGGAGAATATCAAGGCGCTCCAGACCTCGACAGAGAACCCTCTTGGCGTTGGGCTCAAAGCCGTCCTCGACGGTCCCTCGCTCATGATTGTCACGGTGGAAGCCACAACGTCCAAAGGTCATGACATGGTGCCTGAGGAGCTTCAGCGAGTGCGCCAGGCCTGTGAGATGATGATTGCGCTGCACAAGGCGAAGCAAACGCTCACAGAATATGTGCAATCGCGAATGAATATCTTTGCACCCAATCTAACGATCCTCATCGGATCACTCACAGCAGCGCAACTTCTCAACGCCGCCGGAGGTTTGACAGGCCTATCCAAGACGCCGGCATGCAATATCCCTTCTTGGGGCTCCAAGAAGCGACAAGCTGGTCTGGCAACCAATATCGGAATTCGTCAGCAAGGATATCTCTACAATTCAGAAATTATCCGAGGTATCCCCAACGACCTAAAGAAACAAGCGATGAGAATCGTAGCGGCCAAGCTGGTCTTGGCAGCACGAGTCGATCGCATTCATTCCAGTGCTGATGGCTCAACGGGAGAGCAGTTAAAGTCTGCCTGCTTGGAAAGATTAGAGAAGCTTACAGAGCCCCCTCCAAACAAAGGACAGCGAGCACTGCCTGTACCAGATGACAAACCCGCCAGAAAGCGAGGTGGCCGCCGGGCCAGGAAAGCCAAGGAGGCACTCGCCATGACCGAACTGCGCAAAGCCCAGAACCGCATGGCGTTTGGCAAGGAGGAGAAGGAAGTTGGCTACGGCATGGGCGAGGGCACGGTGGGCATGGGCATGATTGGCCAGTCCAACGACGGGCGCATCCGAGGCATGCAAGTCGACCAGCGGACACGAGCCAAAATCGGCGTCAAGAGCAAAGGCTGGGGAGGAGCCAGCACACTGGGCGGCGGCACGGCATCGTCAATCGGAGGCTTTGGCATGGCTCCCGGCATGGATCTTCGGGGCAAAGGACTGCGGTCCTCAGGGGTGGGAACTACTGTTGGCTCTGCTACCGGTACGGCATCTTCGCTGGCCTTTACCCCTGTCCAGGGCCTGGAGCTTGTCGACCCAAAGGTCCGAGCCGACCTCAATAAGAAACGCAAGGCTGAGGAAGACCGGTGGTTCAAGGGCGGCAGCTTCACGCAAGTTGGCAACGGCGGAGGAGGCGGTTTCAAGGTGCCAGAATTGCCGGCCTCTAAGCGGGTCGACACGGGTGCGACGAAGATGGGGCCGCCTCCGGTGCCGAACCGAAAATGATGATGGACAGACAGGAAGAGACACAGAAAGAGAGAGAGAGAGAGAATAAGGGCTGTCTGTTTCTTCTCTTATCTCGAGGGTGGAGGAAGAGAACGGCGGGTCCTATATACCTAAGCCTATTTTCCACACAGCTTTGATTTAATTCGATTCGATTCGATTCAATCATAGTTTGGAGAACGGTTACTGTTATTTTAAAAAGTGGTCTTTCAGGAAGGAATTTTTTATTATCATCGCGGCGTTGTTACCCGCCTATTAATACATGGGCTTGCTTAAAGAAAGAAATGTATATCTACAGATAGATGCTTGCACTACAAATTTGAAATATGCACCTGATGCCATTTCAGTGAACTCCTTTCTCTCCTTGTCCCTCTCTCGAAGATGCGGAAATTAGCAAATGTTTAGCATATTGAACGCTTATAAGAGAAAATCAATATATATACCCTTTTTTGAATGGCAAAAACACATCCCTATCATGCAGTCTAACAAATAACACTACGGGAGGAGGGTACATCATTTCCCATCCAACTCCTCCCTATTCAGCCTCGTCTTTCCAAATTCGATCACCATGTCGTACTACGAAGATCCCGCAAATCCCATCCATGCGGCCGGCACGGGCCCGATGCCATGCTGAGGCTAAGGCTGCCAGGGACGAAGATGGGCTGCTGTGAGTGAAATGTGACAAGATGGGGGGAACGGGACAAGAAGGGATTGACGGGGGGGGGCGTGGCCGATCTCATATGTGGTGGTTGAGCGGTAGGGCATGTTACATGAGTTCTCCATTGAGCATCATCGGAGATGGGATACTAGAATGGTCATTTTGCGTTGACATGCAAGCCAGGGCTGAAAAGGAGGAATGAATGCCTCGTATCTGGGGTAGGTTGTGGTGTGAGTGACACATGAAGAGAGGCCGTGATCTTCAGCAGATGTCTCTCAAACCACACAATTTCATCGCACGTATTGGAGTCACGGCTCGTAAAACGTGAGCATCTCTAAACTAACGGCCGCATTGATCGACTTTTCAGGCGGAGATTAGCTTCCGGTACTAAGTCACCTTGTAGGGCAAACTGCTCGAATATCTTGCTCAGTCCTATTTGAGCATGTGCAACGAATCAGTGGAATGTGAGCCGCTGTGCATGTCTCACGGCATCGAATATGGCCGACTTGTTCTTTTCTTCTTCTCTTTTTTTTTCGGCCACACTCCCCTTTCGCGGACACTAAACAGGTAACAGGGTGGTGGTTCTCCAATCATAACGCAGCAGCAAATCCCAGATCTCGATGAGATCCCCTCCTGACTCACCCGACTTTTGGGGAAGGACGCAAGGAAGCGGCCGAAAGGAAAACCTTGGCATGGAGGCGAGTAAGAAACCGGTACGTGCACCTGCTATTGCGGCTATTGCGTCAAAGCTCACTCAGTATCGTGAGGCTCCAGCTACCGCGCTGGCGGGTCCGGGAAGATGCATGTCAACGCCAGGGTCCAACATCGTGAGTATCAGAATAAGCGCGCTGCTGGGCAGAAAGGGATGTACAAGTACTACCAGTAGGGTTTTCAGCTTTACCCCCCTTGTAGACAGCGGGCAAGCTAGGACTGGAAGAGAATTAAGGGTCAGAGAAAGGGCGAAAGGGCAGAAAGGGGTATCGATCGAAGCAAAAGCGAGAGATCTCGATGACCATGACAGACGATGGATCCAGCGGTGCGGTGTTAGACTCTCTGATGGAGAGCGCATGAAAGTACCGTGGCAAATCTCCGATTCGTGCAATGCCTATGACGAGGAATCAGAAACAGACGCGCTTCAGTGATTAAAGAGGATGGGAGAAAAAAAAGAGGAATGGGTTTTGTGAGAAATCCGATACGACTTGATGAAACATGGCGGAAGATCTGATCCTTTGGCAATACCTGTTCTACTGGGGAAGCTCTTTTTTCCTGTTTGCCTCGAAAAATACGCAATGTCTTGGGCGGTATGCAAGTGTTGACATACCAAAGGAGTAATGATGAACAGCTTTTCATAGTCCCACGCCGCTAAAGAGACACCTACACATATTTGCCATGTCCACATCAAAACCAAGGGTGAGAGGGAGGGGGAAAAGGGTAAAAAGCGCAGCTGACCTCGATCGAATTTCTTGATAGAATTGCATTGAGAAAGGGGGTGTATAAAGTGTTTTTCTTTCTTCTTTTCTTTTTCCGTATCTCATAAGAGAGATGGGACTGTCGATCACCAACAGGGTAGGCAGAGTCGCCAGACCATGTAGCAATTTGATTCTGTATGTTGGCCTCTAGGATAGCCGATAAACTGCTATCCGGCAGGAGATGTCTTTCTGGCTGCACTCCAAGGTAGTCAAGTTGTGCGCATGTTCAAGAGCCGCTTTTTGAAGTCATCGGGCCATGATCCAATCTTTGTCCTTTTTCGTCTTGAGATGACATGCCGCATCCGCAAAAAGCATCGAGCGCTTACACCAAAGGGCACCGCTGCGTCCCCGTGCTCATTCTTACTTTGAACGGCATCTTCTCGCAACTCGACTCGTACGCACAATTTCCTCCAGTACCTGCGGATACCGGCAGTACCTGTATCTGGTAGCTTCGGCTCGTTCTTGTACGCGCTGCTGCACTCCAGCCGGTCAAGCTTTTCCTTTTCACGGCCATGTGGGCCAGGCGGAGTCCCAGGGTTTGGACCGGCGGGGAGGCCAAGGAGCGGCCTCAGTCGCCCGTTTTATCGATCCCTCCGCAAATGTCGAGATCCTCGCAGCCATGCCTGCGTGGAGAGCAACGGGGGCTTTTGGTGATCGACAGAGCTTGACACGGCAAGACGTCAGCGAGGACGCTTCGCATACTGTAGAAGCAGCCCACGGGTTCTGACACTGCTTTCATCATTCCACCGATAGAGCCAGCGTGGTGCCACGGCTGATAGGCAGAGGGTACCTGACGGTGACCGGCTAGTGCTGCTACTCAGCGCGCGTAGACGCTTCGAGGCCAATAGAGCGTCCATTGTTCATCTATCAAAAAGTTAAAAGCTCGCGAGAAGAAACCCAGTCAGCAGAACAGGGTCTTGCTAGCAATGCATGGCAAAGGCTAAATCCAGGGTCGGAGATTGAAAGATTGAAAGGAGATAGGGAAACTACAGCTATTCTTCTCCCTGCTATTGGGCAAGGGAGGGGAAGAAAGTTTGAGGCGCAACGAGCGTATAAACGAGTGGTGGGCCAATAGAGGGCACCGGCCATTCTGGAAAGGGATTTGCAGCTGCTGTTGCTGCGATCCATGAGGGGATGGTGGTGCAGCCACACAAGCCTTGGCTCGTCAACTCCAGCCCATCGTCCATCTCCAGTAGACACTCTTGTCCCTTATTTGCGTGTTCCTCTTTTCCAATTCTTCCCATCACCATTTGGGAGAATGTGCGCACATTGAGGGTGGATCCCTTCTGTTGGATTGACCGCTCACGCTCTCTTCACATATTGCTTATACATATCCGCACAGCTGCAATACTTTGGCCGCGTAAAGCAAGAATATCGAGCGTGTGGCCGCAAACGAGCGTATACTTTGTTAGACCATTAGTGTGTCTCCAATTGCGGAAACTCGGGAAGTCTCTCAGGCGCTTGTGCCCTGCTCTAGGTACCAAAGTTTGGCCGCTTAGCTTAGCGCCATCACTTCTTTCGCCGCTGTTCCGGCGAGTGAGCTACTTGTACAGACGGAGCAGCTGCCAACGCCTGCTACACTCACTTGTGACTAGGCTCGTATGCAAGCTTCAAGCTTTTTAACTTTGGCTGGGAGGCCCGTCGAGCGCAGACGGGAGCCGCTAATGGCCTTTGTCTGTGTAATCAGCAGCGTAAACGGCTCTTTGCTGCCGCGCTGCAGGTTGTCACCAGTATAACCCCGGCTTCCCAGATCAACACCATCTTTGGACTGGATAAGCCGGAATCCCGCACAATATTATGTTATGGTGACGTTTGGCCTTTTGTTGTTTCACTATGTGATAAGAAAACAAAGTGGCCAACCCTTCCAAAGCCACACCCCGCCACTCCCGTATGCAGACTAAGCAACGGCGCTGGAAGGCGAATAGATGGGTAGGTCTATACGCGCAAAGTATGCGTGCCCAAGTTGTGATGCTCCCAAAGTATCTAATACGATCGTACGATAATAGCCGTGAGACTCGGAAAGCTGGTCCAAGTAATCACCGCGTTGTGCTTGACCATGTAGCCCGGTGCAAGCATTCGTAAAAGCAAAAATCCTCCCAGGCCATTTCCTTTTCTTTTGCCGAGCATGGAGTGCCGGTACCTACCTACCTGTATGGAATGCCTACTCCGTGGTCTGCGCCGAAGTGAAGACCCCGGTGGTAGCCACTCTTCAGTGACTAGGCACAAGCCACACACCAAAACCTTCCATGACGCAAGCCACGGAGACATCCTTCCGCATGTGCAGAAAAGGCGCCACTCAAAGTTCATAAGCCGTCAAGGTAACAGGACCCTGATCGCTGCCTTTGGGGGAAAAAGAATAGTGGCTTGTATATCATCTCTCAGCCTCAGGTTTTTCCAAGTTGAGCTCAGTGTGAGAGTAGGTAAGAGCAGGTCTCAGAATATGATAAGAGGAGAGGCATCATGCTCTGTGAGTCTGGGGTGTAACTTGGCGAGGAACGAACCCAGGAGAGGGGCAGAGAAAATAGCATCCGCGAAAAGCCCATGGTTCGTGTAAGAATTGCATCTTTGCTAGTACCTTTCCACGGATCCAGGGCTCTAGCGTACAGCAGCCGAACGGATGCGTGCGACGAAAAGCGAGAAGAGGGGGTGTCATGTACCGACCAAGCTGCTGTGCTGTGGCAGCTCGTACCACGGCCGCCACCATCAAGTACCTCCGGATGCCACCTGGTTGTTTCTTATCCTCTGCGTTCAGGGTTCTCCGTACATTTGACGGCCTGTGCCTCGCCTGATTGGCTACGCTGTGAAAAAGAGAGTTGTGGCTAGGTGGTGCTAGAGTGCTTTGGATAATATCCTTCACCACTAGCACCAACAGAGCAGAGCAAAAGCAGAATTCGCAGCCGGACACTGCGGAGTTGTCAGCCCCATCAGATGGCATTGGTATCCACGGAACCCTTCGCTGAAAGGCGCACTCTGCCAACAGGAGACAGCGGGTGCTGCTGGAGTCGTGCTAAAGACAGCTGTGCTAGGAACGTCTCCGGGCGCCCCAGGAGATCCGCCGCCATGCAGAGCCTTGAGCTGGATGTTTTCTCGATCTTCCCGATAATTGGCTCCTGGGCCGCCAGTGTCACTGGGTCATGGCCCGCTTGGGTGCTGCTCCTCCATTGCATGCGAACGACCCTGGATGAGGCGCTAGCGTTTCCCTTGCCCTTGCGCTGGTCCCCGGTGTCCTGGCCCTCGATTAGCCCAATGGAAGCCAGACACTCAGCTCTTTGGACCCCGTAGAACCCTTGAAGACCCCTCCGAGACCCCTGCTCTTGGGCTCCTCCTGGGACCCGTCTTTCGTTGCAATCTTGACCTCAGCCGGCTGTCACTGCATTCATGCGAAAGTGCTCGGGTGGTGCTGGTTCTCCGCTGGTTCTCCAGCGCCAACGTTTAGAGCTTTCCATACCACGATGACGACACGATGAGGTCAAAGTGGTCGAGTGCAGCTCCAGATGCGGATTTTTGCAAAGCAGCACCGGATATGCAATTATAGATGGTCCTAGAGTCGATGCGACGTAGGTATGATGGTAGTATTCTGATTCGCGGACCAAATCGAGTCGCATGGTCGCAAACCCTTCATTTCTCCGACAGTAAAGCAGCGTTTACTCCGAATATTCGGAGCGCTCCTACCCAACTTATACTTCGTACATGTCTGGCTGACCCCTCCCAGCAAGGCTTTGGGTCCTGCAGCTGAAGACCAGGTAGTGTCGTAACTTTAGCCTTGGCTGCTAGTTCGGCGGGTGCTTGGTACAGTAACTTTGAGCAGATGAGTACCACCAGTAAGCGCAGACATGAGGTCTGGGGTACATGCCCCGTCCTTGGCCGGCGCGCGCACACGAAGTACTGCCACTCGCAAATCATACGAGCATGTACAGTTGCGTGTAGACAGACGAAGAATGTGCTTACTTATCTGGGGACATGTAACGAGACGAGTTGACACGACTCGCTGTCTGTCTTACTAGCACGTGCAGTAATCCCATCTGCCGACAGCCAGTCTTCTCCAAGAGGTCCCATAAGAAGGCGTGACAGTCGACTACTTTCCAATCTTCCCTTTTCGCTACACTTTTTTTTTTGTCTGCGCTTTTGTTTTTCCAGAAAAAAAGAAGAATTGCACCGAGATGAAAGCTGACTGCTCCTTTTTTTGCGTTTAATGGACCCCTGGGGCCGAAAATGTCGAGTTTGACGTGACTTGTCTGCTTACCAGTCGTGACGTCAACTACTCAAAAGGGCCGGCCATTTAGACGGGTGCTCCTTGTAGGGGACACCGCAGGAGCCCTATGATCCACCAAGTAGTGTCGTAAAGAGCTGCGATCGAGATTTCGCGATGAGGGTCTGCTGTAAACAGACATGATTGACAGTGCCGTAGCTGCCAAGCAATGTTAGTCTCATCCCTTGTAACGTGTGCTTTCGCGGCCATTCCAAGAATAAAACAGAAAATGGAGAGAAGAAAAGATAAAAACGGAAAAGAAAAAAAACGAAGTGGTCCCCTACTGTACTGAAAGCATTCAGGCCCACCTTGAAATCAGTGTCAACACCCAAAGAAGCCAGTGGCGTGAGGGCACAGAAAGTATCGCGGGCAACGAGCGCACAAGTGTATGCAGGCTTTGCTTGGCGCAGCAAAATTCATCCATCAGGCGCGATCTTTTGGGGCCAGCAATGCCTAACGTGAGGTTTGAATAGGTCGGGAAAACTTTTCCAGATACAGAAAAAGGCAAAGAAAGCGAAAAGACTGAGAGGGCAAAAAGCGAGAGACACTTCGGCAGACCCCGTTTCCATGCCACCTGCGCCTGCCGTGCGTGGAATTTTTTCCTCAGCCGCCTGCAGAATGTGTGAGTTGCGCTTTTCGGGGTACTCGGCGCAGCGCCGGATTCCGCTGGCGCTGAAAGTACCGGCTTGACACTTGACTTGGGGCACACACACCCAGCAGCACCCGGCAGGACGCTAGAGCAGCAGGATCTTCACCGGCTGCACCTCGACAGGCAAGCGAGACAGAGGCGGCTGGTGGCGCATGCACGCGCACGCTGTGGTCGCTGGTGTTGTAGGGGAGTAGGGGAGTAGAGCAAATGTGGCGATGCATCGCGATGTATTGCAGGCGAGCAGGTATGCGGTGCAGCAGTTGCATTTTACAGTTGCAGCCGCGGCTGCAGGCTCCGATACTGTAGATGCTGATGGTGCAAGTATATTGAAATCGATTGCTCCCATTGCCATGGAGCGAGGCTGACGAGTCTGTGCGTGTGGCTGCCCGCAACTCAACTGCCGCAGCCCATCCCAGCGCAACCGTCCAGCGGCCGCTGAGCAGCAGCTAAGATGCCCGCGGCCGAGTGACAGCGTCAGCCACAGCTCCAGTACCGCCAGCACCGCCGCGAGGTACAAGCCCGCACCCGCCACGGTACATGGCCGCTGCTCCCCTCACTCCCCACAGGTACGTGCCTGTCCCCCCTCGGCGCTCTCCAACGATCCCCACACCCCCCTCCAAGCCCACTGTGGCCCCTCTGTCCCTGCCTGGACCCTGGTTCCCTGCCCCAAATCCCAGCAGCTGTGGCCCTCTTCAGAGCCCCTAGAGCCTCTAGGGGACCCCCCTGTCGCCGCAGCTCCAGCGCCCGAAGCACCTTCTCCCCATGCAGGTTGCAGGGCAAAGCTCGCGTTGGGAAGGTTTTTTTTTTTTTTTCTTTGCGTCAGTCACTTTTTATGGCTCTTGGGCACCCGAAGTACAAGTAAAGTGGGAAGTGGAGTTTTTTTTTTATTTCGATCCCTCCTCGATCGATGGATGGATGCGTTTCTTGTTCTGGCTGCGACTCTCACGGCTTTTGTTCAAAACTCGATCGTTCGCTCTTGTGCCCTTCTTCTCTCCCCCTCTGCTTCCCTCGTCTACACCTACAACTCTGTACCTCGCCTCTCCCTTTGCTCCCCTCTCTCTTCCTACTTCTTCCACTCTCACTCTCTCTAGTAAGAAGCATCGTACATCGGTATATATATATACCTCTTGCTTCTTCTCAATCCGCCTCCATCCTTATCCTTGTGCCGTCGCCCGTCTCTCGTTTGTGCAAAGCAGAGCGATATCGCTGTCCGGCAACCGTGCATGCAAGTCGGCGCCATCTGAGATTGGCTTGATTTCGATCCCGCTGAGATTTCCACCACCCTGCGGCTTAGCTCCCCCGCCTGCGCGACACAGCAGCCACTTCACACAACTGCCGTCTATATGCCCATGCAATAGAGCTCGTTTCCGGCACATTCACTCGACAAGTTGGAGGACGAAAAGATAGCAAAAAAAACAACTAGAAACAACAAGCCACACCAAGAATCGCCGCTGCTCGCCTCTTTGCATGTCTCTGCAGTCCCTCTTTCCTCGCAACTCCAGCAGCACCAGTGACGACTACCGCAGCTTTTCATCTAGCGAACAACTGACGGTATAAGCGACAAGCCGCTGCCAGTCCTTGTCTGCCTTTGGGAATCCTGTTTTGCGCAGATCTTGTCTTCCCAGGACTCAAATCAAAAGAAACACCACAGATCTCTGACCTACAGAGCTCGACCTCGCTGCTCACAGCATAAACGACCTCTCCCCAACAGGTTCGGCATACACCACCAGTTTCTATCACAATGCACGCCCGCGACGCCGCAGGCCGCAAGGTCTCTCTCCTCAACGACGACACCAGCAGCTGGGCCGAGAAGCCGACTTACTACCACCAGACGAGCTTCCCCTACTCCAGCCGGCCCTCGGTGCGTCCTCTGCCGCCTCGCAGCGACTCTTCCTCGCCAAACACCCCCGAGCTCCTGCGCTCGGATTCCTACGACTCTCAGCTCAGCGACGCCATTTCACCCATGACGCCGTCTGTGGACTTCAGCTACATGCGAGCCCCGGCCTTTGCCTTTGGGCACGAATACACCGCCGAGGGCCCTCCCGCTAAGCGCCCTGCCTATGGAGACTGCAGTCCCTCAGCCTCTTGCGAAGAAGACAGCTCCGCTGCGTCCTCAGTCTCCGAGCGCCCCGTCAAGCGCTATCCTTGCCGCTACCGCGAGAGCCATGGATGCGAAAAGACCTTCACCACCTCGGGCCATGCCTCGCGCCACTCCAAAATCCACACGGCGGAAAAGGCCGTCCAGTGCACATTCCCCGGCTGCCACAAGAAGTTCACCAGAGCCGACAACATGAAGCAGCACCTGGAAACCCACTACAAGGACAAGACGCGCAGCTCCGGCAGCCAGCGCTCCAGCAAGGCCTCTCTGGCTTCTGACGCCCGGCGCAGCTCGACCTCGTCCAGCCGCAGCCGCTCTTCCACCACGGGCCCCGATTCCTTTGTCTTTTGGGACTCCAGCGAGCTTCACCACAAGCAGAACCCCTTGCCGACGTCCCCGCTCCCGCAGCCGACCGGCAGTGCGGGCGCCTGGGATATGCGCGGTTTCGAGCTCCCATTGCTCAACCGTCCTTCCGCAGTCGGTGGCGTGCCCAGCGGTCTCGACGCCCTGGCCATGGCCATTGCCTGTCAAGAAGGCGGCATGGTATGAGGAGAGAGTGACTGGCTTTTTGCCGAGTATTACTTCCTTGCTGCCTCTCTTCTTTCTCTCTCTGCCTATTACTACTGTTATTACCCCTCCGCCACTTTCACAAATTCCTCGGCAAATCCACCCGCGCACCGCAGTGCACAGCACAGCTAGGGTTTCTGCGGTTACATCTTGATGGATACCAGAAAATTCAAAATTCAAAAAACGAAGAAAAAATATTTTAACCGAAAGAGACCACAGAGAGAGTAATTTTTAATGTTCCGCACACCCATTACAACATAAAACAAGGATAGCGACAACAAAAGACTTCAGTTCCACCTTGTCGATTTGCATTACGAATCTTTCGGTCGGGAGATGTACACACCACACTCGGTGGATGTTACATGGCGTTTGGATGCGATCTGCTCTCGAGCATTTCCATTATTATCATGATTTTCCTTTTTCCAGTTTCTTTTTCTTTATACCTTTTCCCCCTCGCCAGCTCAAAGTAAGTCTCCTGAGAGGAGACTTTTTTGCGTGGCCTGGCAGCGTGGGAGGTACATATATCATTACACGAAAGGTCGCAAGATACATGAATGGCGCCTTGGTTGATTTGTTTTCCAATGTTTCTCTTCTTCTCTTTACCCTCTCATCATTACGGGAGTCTTCTTCTCTTCTTTTTTATATGTCTTTTTAAACCTGTTGCTTCAATTTCTCCTGGTCAGGGCTCTTGTTTTTATGCGCGCTCTGATATCCCACGCTTTATGTACACAAACTCCGCCATCTTCCCGGATGTCGAGAGGTGACGAGGGAGGCTTCATCATTTCTATCATGGCGTTTTGGTGGCTCCAATGGACAAGAGAGTATTGGTGTGCTTTACACTTAGATGTGATGCATGTATGAGAGGATTCAAAAAGGAGATGAGTGTTAATGGCTGTATATACGATTGGTAGTTCGCTTTTTGGGCCTGGGACGGGATTGGGATTCAATTGATACCACTTTGTTGACTTTAGTAATCGACTTTACGATTTTCTTGAGCATACTTGTCCAGAGTAATAAAGCGTGATCGATGCTTGCTATAACAACAGCTTGGGGATTCACATGGAACATGAAGAATTACTTGAGCACTACTGATCCTCTTCCCCTTTGTTAATGTGACTACAGCAAACTTTGCATTGTCCATAACCTAAAACCATGGCGGCAGAAGAGGATTGCGCCATAAAACACTCAATCATAGGGTAGCCTCAAGCTGATGTTGGTCGTGCAATTCATACACGTTACACGGGACTCTATAGATGGTAATGTTACTTTTGTTTTTTTATGTTTTTTTTCTTTTCTTTTCTTTTCTTTTCTTAGTTTATGTAAATCTTACAGCAATGAACGTTACATGAGACACTGTCGTAGCTTTAATTTAGCTTCACTGTTCCTCCTTAGTTTGTCTCACTCGTTACGAGTTTTGCATGAGACATTGGGGAATTTATATCACAAGTCAATTTTTTTTTACTGCCCTTTGTCCATTCCTCGTGAACCCTACACGTCATTCAAGTCATTATTTAACAATATTGCAAAAATTCGGATTTATAGGGAACATTGTCTTGGACAATATAGGCATATGAAGCATCGTCGGTGTCGCCTCTCCTCGGAGTTTACCAATGATGACGGCAAAAAGGAAAAACCACAGTGTAAAAAAAAAAAAAAAAAAAAAAATTAAGAGACAAAAAAATACTTATCCGTTTACATGATGCCCCTATCTGTCAATAAAAATAAATAAACGAATGGAATAACACAGCCGTCGTTGCATTTCTTCTAGCTCCTCTCTTTATGTTCTTTGCGGTTTAGTACTACTATTTATTACACCTGCTCGTTTCCGTGAAGATTATGCGACCAGAACAGCTGCATCACACTTTCGGAAACAAATGCATCAGTTTTACCAATCTCAATTCTAAAAAAAAAAAAAAAACATAATCTTGATACTTGTAAAATATGATATCAAAAAGATGAAAAAGATTCCGCAACAGTAAACTCGACTTGGACATTGGACACTGACAGCGAAAATCTAGACAATTCACCCGCTGTGAGCTCTCTTCGTGACTGTTTTTTTTTCTTTGCCTTTGAAGCTCAAGGTTATTATTCTGTCAAGATTGTTGGATTATTTCCACCCTCTCAATGAACAAGGGCTGATGACTACGTGGGCTGGTTTTATATTGAGACTGCTCGAACAATGCTAATGATGGAAATTTAACAATAATGGTGTCGTGCGGAATTCTACGAATTGGATTTTGACCACACATAGAAAATCAGAATAATCTTTCTGGCACGCAGCCTTATTGATGCCAAAGCCCTGTGAGAAGAGGATTGTGTACCGTGAATATCATAGTCATCAGGTAGAACTAGAATGTTGCGATATCTATATCCTCAAGTCAAAAAGTACGAAAAGGTACCGAGAAAGCCTTCTCTCTCGTGGGAAACGTAACTGGCAAGCAGTATAGGCGATAATAGGCAAGAAGAATTCCACACACGCATATGTATAGGTATATATAGAGAGAGTAACATATGTATACATCTATATACTATATACTAGACGTCTACCACCAAGAGTCTTGTAGAATCCCCATCTCTCATGTCCAAAGTGCTTCCATATCCGTGCATGCCCTAGCCATCTCAAATTGTTCATCCGTCTGGCAGACGAGGACGCGGTGTTGGGAATCTTTGCTGCTTATATCCCGCACCGCTGCACTGCCGCCATCCTCGGCATTATTGAATACCTCATCAATGGCGAAACCCAAGCAGCTTGCTTGGCCAACGACGGCATCTCGAAGCCGGGAACTCCTCTCGCCAATCCCGCCTGCAAACACGAGTGCATCTACCCGGCCTCCAAGCGAGACATAGTAGCTCCCAATGAACCCACAGACGCGGTCCACAAATAAATCAAAAGCGAGGCGATGCTGGGGTTCATCCGAGGCAGCAATGGTGCCGAAATTGGTAGTGCCCGTAAGGGATTTCCAGCCGCTTTGCTTGTTGAGGATCTCCTCGGCTGTGGATATGTGGAGTTTCTCCGTTGAGGCTGGAGAGAGCTTCCCTACATCGCTGGCGTAATGAAATACTAGGCTACACCCATTCTGTTAGCCCTTCTCTGGATTGGGAAATCAAGGGGAGAAAGAAAACGAAATCAAAATGTGGGAGATGGGTTAAACGAATGCTACACTACCAGCATGGTCTGGTGGGGGGTTTGTGGTTGGGCGGAATAGGTAGCTGCCCGGTTTCCTTGCTCATAACAGCATCCTTGTCGAATAGGACAAAGGCGCAAAGCAGAAAACCATTTTGTGAAACAGGCAACGATACAAATAGACAGCGGGAACATCTACGAGATTGGCTCACCTAGGATCTACGCTTCCACTGCGGGTCGCACCAGGGAGCCCGGCCAACGGGGTCAATCCCATGCTTGTGTCCCAGCTCAAGCCGTTCTTGATGGCACAAGCGCTGGCCCCGCTTCCGAGATGAAGGGCGATGATGTTGAGTTGCTTGAGGTCTTTGCCGAGGAAATCAGCCACGGACCTCGAAATGAAGGCGTAGCTGATGCCGTGGAAGCCGTATTTGCGCAGCTTGTTCTTCTTGGCTATCGTTGGGTCGATGGGGTATGTAGAAATGTGAGGGGGAATTGTAGAGTGGAATTGCGAATCAAAGCAAGCAACGTTGGTCGCATCGGGGAGCTGCTTCATGCACGAATCGACAATTGCAAGCGCAGCACCATTGTGCAGGGGAGCGAGGTCGCTGAGGGCTTCCAGATGGTGGTATGTGTCTGGAGTAATGATTTGGGCCTCGCCATAGTCGCCGCCGTGGACAATGCGGTGACAGGCAATGGAGACGTCTGACTTGGAGCCAATCTCTTTCAATTCAGCATCGTCCACCAGTGTCTTGAGCAACAAGGCAAAGGCATCATCTTGGCTGTTGACGGCAGTGTCCACATTTTTGCCTTTTATTATGGTCTCATCCGCTCGCGAATATTTCAGTTGGGCCGGAGGAGCTGTAAGACCATCCACTTGAGATTCAGCAATCTGACGTGGCGCTTTTCCCTTGTCCGCCAGGTAGACCGAGATCTTGACGGAGCTGGAGCCGGCATTGATGGCTAGTATGACGCCCATGGCGGCCGAATAATCTGATGAGAAACGAAGCGATTGTTGAGCTGAAGAAGTGATGGCACAGCGCGAAATAGTAGTCCGCCTCGCTTCTTTTTGGATAGGTGCACAAACTTGGGGGAATGATGGTGTGCCGATGATTCTGGAGGTTTACCTTGCTTTTATCTTTTTGTAAATATTCTAATCTCCGTCTTCCTTTCTTGCGCTTGCGATCCGCAAGGCAAAAAGAAAAAAAAAGATCGTGAGAGGTTGTCTGCCGATAGCTGTCAGAACGGGTGAGGTTGCTCATGACGACACTGATCTTGATGGCCTGATGATCGCGGGGGGCTGGTGGTGTGGTGGGGGCCAATAGCAGACGGCCCTCAGACCACGCTATGCGGCCCGGCGTTTGGTGACGTTTCTGGCCAAGCAGCCGCCCAGATGCCATGTGGCTTATCGGCCGACAGAAGATGCATCTAGAAGGCGGATAGTGCCGTAATATGGGGATAAGAAGGAGAAGGGATGAAGATGTCTCTTCTCCAGAAGCACTCAAGGCCGTTTGCAAGACAATGCAAGGCCCAAGAACGTGATATTCCTTGCATCCCTCATATGCCAGCCCAATAACAAAGGGGGAAAATATAGTAACGTATAGAAATTCCATGCTCAGCCAGGAAGGATATCTGGTGAAGCAAGTTCAAAGTGGTTGGGGGGAAACGGAATGCCGTTGAATTCACGGTCGGAGCTGTGGGCATGTGCCCAAGTCTCGATAAATCGCTTGTAGTCTTTCGTTACTCACCGCGTTAGCTCTGCTCTCTGCGTCTCTCCCTGAAGCATCGCTTTGACCAATGGCTACTTACCTCGTTTGTGAGTAAATTGGATGGACAGATGTCGGATATCCAAGGGAGCGGCCGCATATGAAGGGCCCAGCTCGGGACTCGCTTGACTGGCCTGGCCAGCGGATCGGACCCTCTGTCTTATGCGAAAAGTCCGGCGCGGAGGAGCTTCCTCGGGCACGCTTCCTCGGCGGCCGTGAACGCTGAGACGCAGCGACTTTTGGCGGTCATCGCGATTCCGCAGCTCGCCGTCGAAATGATGTATGTCGTATTCGCGGTACTGATGATCCGTCTTGTTGGCAAACACACTCAAGGAGTGAAAGGTAGTGTAGCGGTCTCTCCAAAGCTTAAGCCTCTGAATAGCACCGATACCCTTGACTTTGCCAAAACTGTCGGTGCGGCTCTGAAGATTGGACCAAACAACGTCGACGTCATAAAATCCGACTAGATCCTTTTTGCGAAGGTCGCCTTGAAAGTGGGTGGAAGCGTCGACGCTTGTAAACTCGTATTTGACCGGAATGAAGCCATCATGAATGCAGACGCCATCGCCAGAGGTGTATCTGACGCGATGATGTTCGTTGAATGACAGGAATCGTTCTACGTCTGACGGATCATTGAATTGACGGTGCCGTGAGTGAAGAGTATGGGGGTGGATATCTGAAGGTATGTCCGTAGGCACTAGTATATAGAAACCGTGGTAAGTCAGGAGCTCTAGACAAAAAAACGACATTGGGAATAGCAAAGGAGAAGAGTGACAAGGGAGGGAGAGCGAGTAGAGGAGACATGGAATAATGGTAGGTGCTATGTAGCAAGCATTGTGATGTACTCATTACTAATAGTACTAGTAGCCAAGTATAGCTATAGCAATAACACTGCTACTAGGTCGTACTTGTAAAGCATAGACATCTTGGTAATAGCAAAGAAGTGAGTCTGGCACTTACAAAAGTGTTCGAGCAGCTCGCTCTGGTAGCTGCACTGCCAGCGGATACGCCGCTGCTCAGACCCCACCACTTCCCAGGGTCCCAGATACACAGTCCGTTCTTCGGCAGTGTCTTGGAAGAGGATTCTATCGCAGAGGAAAACAAAGGCACAGATTGTCAGAAGCTGGGTTGGCAGCGGCACACAGACTTGGCGGGAGGCTGATCGTACATTGTGGCAGAATAGCCGGGGGGCCCCAGGTCTAGAGGCCGCAGCGAGGCCGGCTGCGCGACCGAGTCGCCCGTGGAGGTGGCTGATATCGTGGAGATTTCCGACGTCTGCGTCCAGGTCGAGTCGACGGGGCTCACGTAGGAGCGGCTGTAGGTGGGCGGGCGGCCGAGAGACGACGAGGTAAAGGACGAGCCGGACGAGGACGAGGCGGCCATGCTGGTACGAGGCAGCTCCAAGGGCTACAGTCACCGGAGGCAGCAATCCGCAGGCTTGGGCGAGGCTGAAGGAGAAGCTATCATGGCACTGGCCACGCAGGAGGGAGGAGAGGCTGGCAGCCCGGCCGGGGCTTACGGGAGCTGTCACGGGCTGAGGACGGGGGCGAGCGAGCAGCCGGCAGTCGCCATGCCCTGGCTGAGAGCACTGGAGAGGGAGATGCTGCGAGCCGGAGGACGCCTGGAATTGGGCGGATGGAGGACGGGCGTGGAGGTTGAAGAATCGAGAGCAAGCAACGAAATCTTGGGTGCAGTTGCTGTCGGCTGCAGAATAGCAGGTACTTGGAGCGTGCTAATGCTGGTATGGAGTCACTGCCTGGGTAATAATGCCTGCGAAGTACCAATCGAAGCATCTAATGCCTACGGTACTGCTAACCGCTATGGAGCACGCAGCACTGCAGCTATTGCGAGTGGATAGGACAAGGTTCAAGCTACTAAAAAAAAAAAAAAAAAAGAAGAGAGGAAGATATCCTTGTCAACTAAACTACCAGAAAATTACCGTTTAGTACAGTAGATTGGTGATGCGAGCAAAGCAATTAATAACAGCTAGCAGCAGTAGTACGTACGCCCTCGTGCTCGCGTTAAGCGGGATACGGCTCGAAGGACGGCTCAAGAAAGGATAAAAAAAAATCAAAAAAAATCATGGCATGGCATGGCTATACTGTACAGTCTATACTTGTTTATCTCGCGGGGCTGGCCCAACACCAGCTCAGCACGGGTCTGTCTAAGACAGCATCTGCCATTAGGAGCGCAGTTTGCGTGCTGGGGAAAGCTGCTTCTCGCTAGCAGCATCCTAGTCAGATCCACAGACAATGCAGCGAAGCCGTTTGGTTGGCGAGCGGGAATAGTGCAGCAAACTCAATGCGCGTAGCGCTGCGGTGACAGTGCATGCTTTTTGCAGCTCAGCAGAAGATTTACTACCGCTCTATCATGTAGACTACTTGTACATGCACCTTGCCTTGGTCGCAGACTTGCGCCGGGAGCTGCAAGACCGTGGCCGATGGTTGTCGGTGCATTGGCGTCCGGACTCCGAGTTTGATATTGCTTTGGCAGCAGCCTCGATCAAAGAGCAGCTCATCATCGCATCCCCAGACAAGGGCGATTATTGTGTCGTCACAGAGTGTCTGTGCTCAGCACATCAAGCCGAGTGACCTCATGGGCAGGCATATCCCAGACCTCTGACTGATCAGGCGTCTATCTGGACGATTTGGCGCCGGCAAAGCGACAGTCCAGTCCATACCAACTCGTCCCCCCAAAAAGATGCTTGCTGCTGCTAGATCCAGTGGTGCTAACCTTTGGCCTGGTGTCCCTAGTCTCTCTTGTTCCTCTCGGAAGAGGCTCAAGGACCCGCTCTGCGGTCGACGACTGTAGCGTGCACGGGGGCCCATTCGGTGCTGTGATTGGTGAGTGAGCCTCTAGTCGTCTCGCGGTTGGGGGCCGGGCTCTCGGAAAGCCTTTGGCCTGTCCACAGTACGGCGAGCTTCCTTATCAGCCCCTACGCTTTTCTCCCTCATGGGTATTATGAATGTGGCATTAGTCTAATGCCACCAGAGACATGCGGCAATGGGATGTGGGAGAAAAGTAGGGACGAGGCTCGCCTTTACCCAATCAGTTTCGATGCAAGCACACCTCCAGCGTCGCAGTTGCTGCGCATGGCTCCGGGGGATGGACAGGTTCAGCTCCGTCCAGTGCCTGCTATAAAAACCGTTCGATGCGACGACGCGATGTGACCAGAGTGTATCCAGAGTGTATCCAGCCGCGTCCCGACCCCCATCCTGCAGAATCCCCCAGCGCCGGGCTAGGGCCTAGAAGAGGCCATCGACGACAACTTTGTCCGCCAAGACTGCCGGCCGGGCGTTGTCCGTCCTAGTGCCGCAGGGAGTCCTGAGTCTTGCCTCGAAAAGTCGTTCTGTCAAGCCGCCACGGCTGGCATCGCACCTGGGAATTCGTTAATCAACAACGGCTGGCGGGTTCGCACCGCTAAGCCGGGACGCTTGGCCTAGGCTCGCAAAGCCACATTTGGCCACCCCCCACTTGTCTTCAGGAACCGTCTCCAGCGCCGCTCACCACGTGCGCTCCCTGACTGCGTCTGATGGCCCAGCGCAGGAATGATGGCGATGGTGGTGTTGTCAAGCCATGATTTTCGGCATGGGACAGGATCGAATCCATGGAGCGGTAGGCGTGCCGATGACATGCTACTTGTGCTAGGTAGTATACAGTAGTAGTATTGCTTTCCTTCTTGTCTTGCGTGGCATGCATTTGCTGGGGCAAGAAGCCTGCTAGCACGTGTATGTACTGTGGTCAATTTCCAGGCGGCCATCCATCACGTTGATACATACCGTACGCGGCGGGTGAGCACAAGTACAGTAAGAAGGCGTATTTGAAATCCAATCGTACCGCACCGTGCCGTATCACATCATCTACCCTCTGTTCTTGGCTGTTGGAGAGAAAAGAGGGAAAAAGAGAAAGGAAAGGAATCCAAAAGCGGGAATAGCCAAATCACTTAGCCGGAGGACCCTTAATTTGTAAAGGAGGGGGGGAATGTCGTTTCTTCCATTTCTTTCTGCGCAGAATGTATGGCAGCTGCTCTTTTCCCAGCAAGAAATGGAGACTACATCTTGAAGTGGCCTGACTTGACTTTACCTTGGTCGTAGCCATCAACACTGGTAAACTAATAAACGACTAACAAGCCGGAAGCCTGCTGGGTACCTTGGCAGAGGGTAGCATTCGTATCAGGTACTGTAATGGCAGTCTGCCAGATGCTAGCACTATAACGTGCGCCCCCGGACGCTGCCTGTGCTCCAGAACTGCTAGTCTACTGTAGCTCATTTCCTCAGCCTCAGATGCATCCCATCCCGACCTTGGCATTTCTCCAATACTTGCGCCACGCTGGCGGGTGCTGCTGAAGACGGCGTACATCTCTAACAGCAGCGTTTCATGATGGCTTCTCTGCCCTCGCTCACTACGCCGTAGAAAGCCTCGTCTCGCCTCGTCTTTCCTCTCCTTTCCACCACCTCGCCGCCTCGCCAGCGTCTCTCTGCGCCCTCCTTTCTCTCTCTCCTTCTCCTTCGTTTGCCGCTTCTCTCGTCTCTCACTTTTGCTCTTGTCGGTTTGCCGAGCTAGGATGCTCACGCCAATCGAGGCCTCGTAGTGAGCCGGCCGCTGGCATCGCGCCAATTCTTGTTTCTGTCGCAATAGAGTAGCAGCCGCAGCAGCAGCAGCAGCGCTTCGTTCCATCTTGTCCCGCCGCTTCTTGTCTCAACCGAGCTTTACGGGGCCGCCTAGAGAGAGACACCCGCCAACGGCAGACACCAACGACACTGTCTCACAGCAGAAACCACCGACTGTAACCCCCCCGCCGTCTGCCCGAGGGACTTTGCCGCGGCCAATGCCCTGGGATCTGGCGCACGGCTCTGGGCGGAGGAATCGAGGCTTTCTCGGCTTCGACAGCTCTGCCTTGTCGGCCCAGGACAAGGAGGTGCGTGCGTTTTGACGCTGTTTTTTTCCCCATGTCTGATATCGCCCGTCTGATATCACAGCACCGCCCCAACTCTTCACCATCCCACTTCCAACCACTGCGGCCACACAGCAACAGCATGTCACTGCCCATCCCAAACATGCTAGCTTTTGTCTTCCCCATCCTCACTGCGACCGCATCTCGCATTTGCGAATCGTAAAAGACGGGGGCTGCCCCACCAATGCGCGCGCAAACCGGATGTCTTTCCACTGCCACGAGCCGCCTCTAGTTTCCAACCTGTTTGTTTCCAGCCTTTTTGTTTCTAACATTATGCCGTGTCTTCTTCTAGGATCGCCATCAACTGCGCTACGAGCTTGACCTCAACTCTTGGAACTTCCGCATCTGGGGTGTTGCCGCCTCGGGCTTCCTTACCGATTCGTGCGTTTCTGTCTGCCCTACTTCTCCTCCTGCTGTGTATGCCAGCCGCAACTTACACGGCCTCTCCTGACTAACCGCCCTCTTTCAGATACAACCTCTTCTCTACCAATGTCATCCTAGCTTCTGTTGGCTTTGTCTACTGGCCGCATGGAGGGGAATGGACGAGCCTCCTCATCAACTTCTTCACTCTTTTGGGGTCCATCGTCGGACAAGTGCTGTTTGGCTACCTTGCCGATCGCTTTGGTCGCACTCGCCTCTATGGAATCGAACTGGTGCTTGTCATTGTATCAACCATTGGCGTAGCGACTAGCAGCCATGGCTACGGCGACATATCGTTTCTTGGTCTTTTCATCTGGTGGCGCTTCGTCATGGGCATCGGTATGCTTCGCCCCCCTCCCTTTCATAAATACACGCAACCAAGACTAACCACCAATCCTGCCAGGCATTGGAGCCGAATATCCATTGAGTGCAGTCATTACTTCCGAGTGGTCTAGCACTCAATCCAGATCGCGCATGCTCGCCAGTGTCTTCCTCATGCAACCTGTCGGGCAGGCGCTGGCCCAGATCATCGGCTTGTTGGTGCTCTTGGGATTCAACCACACCCACAAGCTCAAAGAGATGCAGTGCGGCCTCAATACTGCAAATGAAGAGGCTTGCCGGAAAGCAGTCGACGGCATATGGCGGATTGTCATCGGGTCGGGCGCAGTGCCGGCTCTGCTAGCCATAATATTTCGCTTCTTCCTGTTTGACTGCGGCCTGTACAGTCTCGAGGTCAAGAACAAGCCTGCCGTTGCCATCATGAACACGCAGCGTGTATACGGCGCCCCTTCGGGCAACACTTCCAACAATATGCAAATGAATCCTCCCAATGGCATAAACCCAGAGAACTCTTCCGGACCGATGCCGATACAGTTCTCACGGGAAGACTTGTACAACTACTTCATCCGAGATGGAAACTGGTATTACCTCCTGGGAACAGCGGCATCATGGTTCTTTTTGGACGTGAGTTTCTATGGTCTTTCGCTGGATAATAGAGGAACACTGGCCGATATGTGGGCTACACATAAAGCAACACCACTCAACAACCAGCTCTCATGTTGGAATTCGTCGCTTCCCAACGGCAACTCAACAGTACCGCACTGGGCGCAAGTCGGACTCCCTGCATGGCAGACAGACCCAACTCGACCATGCAGCACCATCTACGACGTGCTAATACAGCAAACTAAGCAATATATCCTTACAGTCTCCTTGGCGTCTATTGCGGGGAGCGCTTGCTTCATCATTTTCGCGAATCGCATCCCGCGCAAGAAATGGCTCACAGTTTCCTTTTTTGTTTTGGCTATCCTCTTCATCATTACGGGAGGTGTTTATTATGGCGTTCACCAGGATGCCGCTGCACCTGCAACAGTAGTGTTTGTGGCCATTTGTCATTTCATGTTTAATATGGGTAAGGAACTTTCAATCGAATGCAGAATTCTATCCCACCCCTTTTGCTAACATCAGTCCTTCTCTTCTCTCTCTTCTAGGCGCAAACACACTGACATTCATCATACCGGCCGAGGTATTCCCCACGTGTTACCGATCAACTTGCCACGGCATCTCTGCGGCCGCAGGCAAGTTCGGGAGCATAGTCTCTCTGCTCGTCGTGTACGGCATCAACCAGTCTTACAAGAGCGAAAGCCGCCAGGGGCTCATATTCCTCCTCTTCGGCTCGGTTGCCGCGTTTGGCGCCGTCTTTTCTTGGGCCTACCTGCCTGATCCACAGAAATACGTCGATGACGGTGACGGCAAGAAATATCTGGAGACTAAGGATCTCGAGGAGTTAGGTGAGGGCCGTGTCAGGGCTCGCTTAAGCGGAGATGTTGTGACATTTGGTGAGAAGTGGGCGGACATTAGGAGAAGAAGGAGAGATCCTGGTACGTCCCAACTTCGGAGCCCTACTTCCGAATAGTACATTAATATGAATGTAATTTTATTACCTATCCTGAATTGGCGAGATTTCTTTCCTCTTTTTATTCTGTTGGGGAGGGAATTCGGCCTGGGATTATATGACCTGATGTTTTGGGATCAAACGTGTTCTACATATGCTACTATATATGGGCGGATGGCGTGGGATTGTCTGTATCTATTTCTGTTCTTTTCTTGCGATACCACTTTGAGTTTTGGAACTGAGACAAAATATATGGTACATAATAAATATATATTCTTCTTGAAGCAACGCCAGGCATGATTCTTCATTTCATATTGGTTTTAAATCTTGTCAAATAATTCCAACCCCAAAAAAATTCCATCTCAAACGCCACGCATTACGAATGAAATATGCCATCTGATGCTATGAGATTTTCCTCTTCCCCTCAAGCTGCATCTAACTCCCCTCACCGGGCGTCTGAACCAGCAAATCAGCAGTGTCAATATAAAAATCATCCATATGCATCGTAGCCTGGACATGCGTATTCCTCTCCAGGGCCTCCAACCAACGACGCCAGCGCGTATCCGGGACGGCATCAACCAGCAAGAAGACAGCGTTGGGATGGCGATGGCGCAGGATACGGCCGAGACGGAGGGCAAAAGGGGCAAAGTGGATGTCGACGAGGGATAGAGAGGGGCCGAGGAAGTAAGGGCCTTGTTCGTCGGCGGCGAGGACGAGGGCGGTGAGGTGGGATTGGAGGAGGGCGAGAGAGGGGATGGGAGAAGAAGATGATGAAGGAAGGGTTGTTGATTGTGTTGAGGAGGAGTTGCCGATGGCAGTTTGAGAGGATGGCGAGGAAGAGGATTGGAGGAGGGAGAAGAAGGTGGGGATGAGAAGATTGTTGATCTTGTATATTTGGTTAGCAAAGTTGCCTACTAAATAGTTGACTTGGTTCATGTAAACTTTGACTTACATGGTCAATCCAGAGACGGCAATTAGCTCTCAGTCGCGGATCAGAGGGGAACAGCGGGATATCGGGGTATTTGTCTTCCAACTATTATTGAAAAGAGAGACGTAGATATATGTCAGCATGTATGTATATACGTAGACAAACAAAAATCCTCGTCTTACATATTCTAGAATAACGGCGCTCTCAGAGCAAGCCCAGTCTCCTTGCCGAATGGCAGGAACACGGCCGCGCGGATTGGCCTCGAGAAGTGGCGTAGAAGCAGGACGCTTGAAGGGGTCTGTCTCGATGTACTGATATGGCTGGCCTTTGGCCTCGAGAGCAATCCAGACACGATGTGAAAAGGGGCTGTCGTTGTGGTGATTTGTATTAGTTGAAAACCGTCATGAGATATAAGGGGGGATATTTGATAATTTAATACATACCAAAAGCTCGCAGCGTATAGCTTTAGATCCACTTCCTTGCTATGCATCCGGATGGTCGCATTTGCAGCTCCGGAAGCCTTCTTCTGAGGCGGCGTCTTCTATACAATTGCGAATCAGATCAATCAGCAAGCATGTCAAACTCCATAAACGGGATATGCCGTGCTTCTCTCACTTACAAGAGTGCTCTTGGCCTCCTTATCCCTCATCGCCACAAAGCGCTGCACACTGCTCTTTTTAATCTCATCGCTCCTCTCCAGCGTATGTCGATGCGGACCCGCCACGCCGTCTCCTTTCCCATTGCCCCCATTGCCATTCACCCTCTGGATGGTCCAAAAGCGCTGTCCCGTGCCGACAACCGCATTGGCAGCCGCCGTGCCAGCGGCAATAGCAGCGGCCACGTCCCGGTCCAGCGCGGCCTCGGCCCCTGCGTCGGGGAAGTACTCGGTGACCTTGATCTTGACATCGCACAAGTCGCGCTCCCGCGCGCTGCGCTTGCGCTTCTTCTTGGCAGGGTCGTCGGACTTGGGCGTGCCCGGCGGCCGGCCTTTCATGCGGCAGTCCCAGTAGTGCGAGATGAAGGGTTTTCGCTTGTACCGCTGCGTCGAGCGGTGGGAGTAGACGTTGTCAATGTGCGGGAAGTACGTCTCGAACTGCTCATGCGTGAGGATGATGAGGTCGTCGACGTGAAAGAGCTTCTCGCGCCATGCTTGGAGGTCGGGAGGATCGACGACGAGCTTGGCCTGGCTGAGTTTGTAGGGGGCTGTTGAGGCCGCAGCTGTTGTTGGTGCTGTATTCTGATAGCGTCCATACAGCACGCCGTCTTGTGCTGGGCGTTGTAGTGCAGAAGTGTTGCTTTCTGAGATGCTGGTTGAGTTGGGGCCTGGTTTCAGGATGCCAAATTGGCCAGGTGGAACTTGTCTCTGTTGCTGGGAGTTGTGATAATAGCCGTGGTGGTTGACCGATGACGGTGGAAGTTGGTACTGATGTTGGTTCTGGTTCTGCTGCCGTGCCATGACGTTCTCGTGTCTGGCATCTCGATAGCCACTGCCTTGTCTTCTCTCTTGTTCCAGAACAGCCATATGTCTGCCATCCTCATTGCCGCCGCCGCCTCGGCTGTTGGTGCTGGCATCGTTCTCGCCTCTCCCATCACCGCCAACATCTCCATTGTCCACAGCAGCGTGATGGTGATACGTCTCTTCCCCAAGCCCCGAATACCCCCCCATCCCCACCACTGTATAATCCATCCCCACGCCTAGATAATGGCCTCCCCCCGGCGCAGACGAAGCTGTAAATGGGCCCGGCACCGCCATGATAAGGTGAAGGCTTGTGTGGGAGAAGAGAAGAGTGGAAACAAAGCAAAGGGAGTCAGTCTCCCCACCAATTGAAAATAATAAACGGGCTCTGCAAGAAAGATTAGAAGAATATCTTGTTACTTCGTTACATCACCCATGATGTAGTTTCTTTCACTTATACCAGCTGGCATGGCCGCTGCTTTAAGGCCTCTTCGCTGCCTTTCACGATGCGGAGGAGGGGTTTTGGCGGGGAGGCGGGCAGAAAAGGGCGGGAGGGCTAAAGGGCGGCAATGCGTGCACGGGCCACTTTCTTGCCCTGCTACAACTACGAGTCTCTTTCAAGTCATTCAGCCAGCGTCAATTAGACATGAGATGAAGCATTTTATAGTCAATCTCCTCAATCTATCTACTCCAACATCACGCTGATCCGATCCAAAAAGCTGCCCCTCTGTTTACAAAAATGCGATGCACATCAAAATCCCTAACAAAAAACACTACTAGATCGTATACATGTATATAGCGTCATACCCAAGACGAAATCATTGCCAATGCATTCACACGCAGCTAATCAAAACACTTATACAGTCGACATCCAAGATACAAAATATGTAACCAATCTGAACAAGATTTCATGCATATAACGATGGGAGAAAAATATGTTGCAAGGGAGATAGATATTCGTCATTGCTGGGTATTAAACTAACAAAAAGAGGAAAGGAAAAACAAAAAAAGTTTTGTCCGGTGCCGTCCATCATCCTGCCGCCAGCGAAAATCCCTTCCGAACTCGTAAGATAAATTTCGTCGTATATGTACTCTTACAAGTTGGTACAAATGGAGCGAAAAGAAGCCGAAGGCATTGGCCAAGATGAAAGCAAAATGCGTGGAAGAAGAGAGGCGAGATGAAAGAGAAGAGAAAAGGGGGAGAATACACAAGAATAAGAGTTCAATATCAAGAAGATGGGTAAAGGGGGGTTAAAAATAATAAAACGGACGTCCCAATTCGCCCCGTGCCATAAAATAAAAACGCCGTAATATCGTCCAATCATCCAAGAACCCGTCGAGATTACAGACGGCCTTTAAACCGTAGAGCGAGAGTATGACCATGTAGACCTGCCGAAACATAGATGCTTTTTTTCCTGCGAGGAAGACATCCCAGAGTAAAAGAAAAGAGAAAAAAGTGTAAAAGAGAAGAAGAAAAGATATCCAAAAGAAGAAGGAAGAAAGAGAGAAAAAGAAAAGGAAAAAGAAAGAAAGAAAAAGAAAGAAAGCCACCTATTCTCTCCCGAAATCATTCATATCAAAGCGCCAGATTTTGCTTCTCTACAAATTTGGCGTTTTTTGCGTATGCATGCGTTGATGTGGTGTGCATGTGTGTATGCCGGCTTAGTGTGGGTTGCCAGAGTCCCATGATGATAGGTCCATGGCGTCCATGGGCCCCATGTTCATCAGCGCCCTGAGGACACCTTCTCCTCCCACTGGCTGCATCCCGGCGGCTGGTCCAGTCAACCCTGCCCATCCGTTTGTCATGGGATAGGGAGTTTGTGGCATGCCCATGCCGGCAGCCATGGTAAAGCTGTTAGGATCACCATAGTATCCTTGGGCGCCGCTGTTGTCCATGCCTCCGTGGTTCATCATTGTCTGTTGTGGTGAGATGGGGCTCTGTCGGAACGAATCATGCCCTGATGCACCGTTGGACATATGACCCGGCCCAAGGTGAGGAGGTCGTGCGTCAGATGTGCCGCCGCTCGAGTTGGGAGTACGCCCAGCTGATTGAAGACCCGGCGAGCCAGACGCATCTTGGTCCAATCCGTCGCCGAAGCCGGACAGCCCACCGCTGCCAGGAACATTCTTTTCATACATGCTGCCGGAGTTGGGGGTCAAGACGTGCATTTGCTGGTCACTAGAGAGCCATGCTCCATTTCCAAAGTTGTTCGAGTTCGACGTCGACATGCTCTGACTGTCAGTAGTAGTCGGCTCCGCGATATCGGGAGCGTTGGCAAGGTTGCCGTCATCTCCAGTCGTCTTCATGAAATGGCATTCGTTTCGGTAGGACAAGATGCCCTTGACACCCTCTGGGTCGTCGCAGACAGCTCCAGCTCGTACAGGAAGTCCCTTGGGTGCTTCAGTAGGCTACAATCGCTGTTAGTAAGACAGCCTCAATTCTACCGCCAGGCTGAATCTCTCTTTTCCCTTGCTTTTTAAAAAAAAAAGGAGGAAAAGAGGCGAAGGAGTAGATGAGGGCAAGGGAAAGCTTACACTGTCGTTGGGACGAGGGAATGCGCCTCTCAGCTTGGGAATCTTTGCTGCCAACGCTTCAAAGTCCACATCCAACTGAACCAGGAAGGACTCGGTCAGGGGGTTCCGTCGCTTCAGCGCGTTCATAGCGGAGATGAGGAAGCGCAGCGAGTCAACGGTCTGCGCGTCTTCAGGCTTGCTCTTGAGATACTGCACAAAGACTCTGGCGGAGACGTAGAGGCAGAAAGCGATGAATGGGTTCATCTACAGTCCTCTTGTGTCAGCATCATACGCAGTCAATGAGGAAAGAGGGGAAGAAATAGTAAACTTACCGCAGACAGATCCATGTGTGATATTGTCCTCATGATGCTGGCAATCTCGTTGGCTGCAGTGATGCACCGGATCTTACTCTCGGCGCTGACAGACGCTGGAAGCTTGTTCGCTTCGGCCTTGAAGATGGCCGCTTGGTGCAGACAGATGGTTGAAGTGTGGATGCTCATATTTGTGAAGATGACGTTGGCATTGTTCAGTCCAGCAGGGAGCTTGAGGTGAGATGGCAAGCAAAGCGAGGTGTTGAGAATGATGTGGTCCATCTGGCGGTGGCGTTTCCAAAAGGGGCCGTTGATGTCGTGGTCCTGGTCGTCGTCGTCTGGGCGGTGCAAGTGAATCAGGTTGCGGCCGAAAAGACTAGCCATGAGGACAATGCCGCCAAAAGATGACAGCTTGCCAGCTCCGGATGGGTTTGTGGACTCTTCCAAAGTGATTGTCTGTTCTGGGCGGCTCATGTCGAATGCTTCGTCTGATGATGGCAAGTTTGTCTTGATGTCCCTTTCGTCGACGGTCATGGGCCAGCCAGTGCCGATACTCGCATAACGGTCCTCGCAAAAGGCCATCCAAAACGTTCGTCTTCGCTCCTCGCTCTCAGTCCAGTCCTTGGGCGGTGGCAAGCACATCTTGACATCCAAGCCACTGCCGTCTACCCTATGCAATCCAATCCTAAATATCTTGTCAGCTTACGACGGCCTTCTCCAGCTTGGTACGTGGGGACAGATGGAAGAACCTACATTTGTGCGAGGCGGACAGCAGAGCCCGTGTTAATCCAGGCTCTGGGAAAGTACATCATCTTGATCTCATAGCTCGACAGCAGAATGTGTGTTTGGCAGTGAGCAACAGAAATCATATGCTCTCCAAAGCCCTTCATGTAATCAGCCTCAACGTACTTGCGCGCTCTCTGGTAAAACAGGTCCTTGAGGTCCGAGTACTTTTCCGAGATGGAGCACGACAATGTCCACATGGCGTATCGTAAACAGACTGGTGGTCGTTGACTGGGTGCCCTGCGAAATTGTGAGCCATTTCCGTTATCGTTATTTTGAGTCTCAGATCCAGGTCCATCAAATGTCTGTGTGAATAGGACGCTTGTCTCAGACAATTGATGGAGGGAAAGGACTTTCATTTTAGGGACGTAAGACGTACAAGTTCATTGCAGCAAGGTACCGGTATCTATGTATCATGGGCATCGACGGATGAACCTTGTCAAAATAGATTTGGTGCAACTCATCAATAGTTTCCTGCGGCGGCAGAGGTTCTTCCAGGCCCAGACCAATCATCTCCCAGGTGAAATTTCCAGGCATGTTGTTGACGGGCATGCCCATGTTGGCATTGAAGCTGAAGTCGTCCATGGATCCTTGCTGAGGCGATTCGCCATTGTTAAAGTGCCAGCGCTCATCGCCACCAAGTCCCATGTTAGGGGCGGGCATGGGCATTGAAGTGTTTCCATTTGTCTGGCTATTGGCACTGGGGACTTGGATGGGGATGCCTTTCGTCGGGCTTTTGGTTGGTGGCTCCTGGGTCTTTAACAGCGTCTCGACTTGTTCTGCGCGCGCCAGTTAGCCGTGTCGCTACTTTTCGTCACCGTGCCGCCGCCACCGCCAATATTATCGTCATTTTCATCGCCATCTTTGCCATCATCGTGTCCATTCCCCACATCTCTCCGCGCTTATATAAGGCGTCTCAAACCGCCCAGGATGTTGACAAAAGAAAAAAAGCATCAAAAAAAAAAAATTCGAACCAAAGGGATGCTGGCGGGGGGGTTCTCACTCAATCGTTCCTCCAGCGCCTTGACGTAGCCGCGCTTGGGGCCGCTCTTCCTCCGCTGCTCGTCATAGGCACAGTTGTGTCCGAGTCGCGAGCAGGTGCTGCAGCTGGGCCGGATGCCGTCGCACTTGAGCTTGCGTTTCCGGCAGATCATGCAGGCCAGGCGCTTGGGCTTGGGGACGCTGGCGTTGTCTGGGTGCGCATCGCGAGGCGCGGCGTTGTCGTCGTGAGGGCTGTTCTGGTTGCCGCCGTTGCTCGACGAGCCGTTGTCCGAGGAGTCGGGCATGGCGAAGATCTGGCGAGGATCTGGCGATGTAGCCGACGGCGCTGTGGATAGCTGGTTTCTCGTTGCTGGTAGCCCTTGAGAATTTTTTCTTCTTTCTCGAATCCACCCGTCCTTGGTTCCCAAGTCTTTCAAAGAGGCCCTTGCGCTATTGACGTCCACTCGAGAACGAACGGATGGTTTTAGTCAATCTGAACACGGGAGGGCGAGGACCAAGTGCAGAGATGAAGAGGGAAGGGGGAAAAGGGAAGGACACAGGGTCAAGGCACGATGAATAAACAGCTCAAGTATGCAACCAAGACGCAGCGGATAAAATGCAGATGAGAGAAAGCCGTTTGGTGAGACTGCCGCGTGTTGTCTTGTGGATTGCGGGAAGCCGGACTGTGAGGCGGCCGTCGTTGGGGTGAATACAAGTCCAGGTTCAGCATGGCCACTATTCTGCATGCTCGGGGGGGGCTCAAATCCCGTAGCGTAGCGTAACTCGTGCAGCCGGCGTGCAGTTAGCGGTTGGCAGTTGGCGCTGCAGTTAGCAGCTACAGTCGCCAGTGGTGCGTTCGGCTAGGTGCCGCAGAGGGGGCATCATCGACTCGGGGTTGCGGCCAGGTACCCTGTACCGCCAGTCTACGTCCCGGGGCCGTATTATTAATGGCCTGCTGCTGCTATAATTAGGCACATGCCGGGCTCAGAGGGTGCAGACCCGCGTGGGGCATGCCAGGTCGACAACGGTGAGGCTCTGTGTCGCCCAAGTACCAGCTACCATGTCCGAACTCCGGTTCTGGCACCGGCAGGGCCCATCAAAGCTGCTCGGAACAGTCCCCTGCCGCAAGCCACTGGGACGGCGCACGCATCTACAGGCGCTGAATCGTTACATGTAGTCGAATCTTGAATTTGCCCAGAAAGCACTCGCAGCGCCGCGACGGAGGCGATTTGGGGCAGCAGGCCGTCAGCATGGCATACTTGTACAGTAGCAGGCGCCCCCTCCACCCCAAAACCTAATGGCCAAAGCTAAAGAGGCGGCCCCTCATGCCTCGCGCATCCATCCATCCATTCATTCGACAGCCTGCCAAAGTGCCACCAGTGTGCTACGACTAAGCCCAGCCTATCTCTTCGGGCTCCGATGGTAGCGCGTATAGCAGACTGCCTGGGCGCATGGCATGCTGAGAAGGCGCTGGATGGCGGCGCCAGGTGCTGGAATCAGAAACATTGAAGCAAGCAAGCAAGATTGACGGGGCCAGACTTTTTGGGAAACCTTGCGAGAAGAGACGGACTGGGCTGGCTAGTCGCAGCTTTGGCGAGGGTCCGGCCCCCCTTGCTCTCCTCTCAAATCTCCACTCAAATCTCCAGGTCTGTCCATCTCTGCCTCAAGTCCGCCCCCTTGTCCGTCACGTTATTTCGGCCCCTCATTTCCAATAACGTGCTTGATCGATGGGGGTGCTGGTGTTGTGGGAATGGGAATAAGACATGGACGGCAGGCATAGCAGAGGAGAGGAATTACGGAGTATTCCGCACTGGTTCTAGCGATTGTGCATGCAAACCTACTTGCAGCCTGGTGCCGGTCAGCATCAGCATCCATCCATTCATCCATTCCCCTTCCAGGAGCATTTCCAGGAGCATTTCCAGGAGCAGGTTCCGTCTCTAGCTCCAACTCCAGCTCGAATCGTGCTCGTGCTCGTGGGTAGTGGGGAATGCCGGCCACGCTGTGAAGGCGCAGTAGCGGCGATGACGACGCTGCCAAGTTGTTTATCAGATCAGCCTGTTCCTCTCCATGTATGTATGTACGTAGTTTAGTATAGCATTTGCTTCTCGCTGCGAAATCTGACCGGCTGAGTCGGGAATAAGGATCCAGTGCTTGCTGTTGTCCAAGAGTTGGAGTCGAGTGGCGATGCTGTCTTGGTGGCGGGTTGGTTATTCCCCAGACCGGAGGCTCTCAGTCCGCCGACGGACAAAACCTTTGAGCGATTGCCACGACTTGGGCATTGATGAATTGCGTTTCGTTGTGGCAGTGCCTGCTAGAGTGGAAGTTATCCGATACTAGTAGTTGTAGGCATGAATGTATGATTGCATGTAGGCTATGTTGTGCTGTTACTTTGTGCGTCTGTGATGGAGCCAGTTCGCGGCCGCTTCGGCGGTGTTGACGGGGCGAGGTAGGTAAGAAAGAGATAGTAGACTACATCGAATTAATGAAAAGAAGAGATTACTATAGAGTTACAGAGTTACAGAGTTGCCAAGAGTCCGTGTACCCCTTGGCCTCGAAATACATGCAGCTGCAGACAGCTTCAGTGCCGGAACAGGCACTCCCGCCCCAGAATCTCATGTGGCCTGCAGCCGAACGCAACGGCTCCAGGCGATTTGCGTATGCTCCGAACAGCTCCTGCATGAAGCGTGCACTTTCTGGGCCCAGGCCCGGGGCAAACCAAGGCGGGCTGGATCGACGGAGTAGCCTGTTCTGCACGGCTGGAGCTGGAATCGTTTGTACCTCTGACTGCCGGCGCCGTTGAACCATTTGATGAGTGTCACAGCTGTCGTTGAAGCTTAGGCACAGAATGGAAGCGTCGAATTGCCTGATGCGGCACCCTTCGCCACGCCCTGCATCTGCTGCTGCACTGCAACTCTCTGATAAGATTCGGCGGCAACACTTTGCGATCAGCCGAGAGCTTAGCGCGCCGGCATCAAAGCAAATCGAGCTCAGATCATTGCTCTTTCGAATTCCGGCTCCAGTTTTGAAATACAAAATCTCCCCACCGGCAAGCGGCATGTACCGCGCACCCTGCAAAACAAAAACCTTGAAGCTCCCGACCTGCTCCGGCACACAGGCCATGGATGGAAATAGGCCCTGATTGGCAATGGCTGTACGGAGCACTGTAGGGGAGTTAAGAAGCCTGGCCCAGGGACCCTCGGCTACGGTGGCCCATGATTGGGGGTTGCTTTGCAGGCTGCAAGGAGAATAGACTGAGGATAGACACCTAGGTAGGTACTAGTACTAATGCATGCAGCCATCCTCGGGCCTTTATTGCGTGTTGCTGATACTTTGGAGGTACCACTGCAGCTTTCTTTTCTTCCTTGCTGCGCACTTGTTTGTTTTCTCACCCTGCGTTTCATTTTAGCCTTTGGGTTTTTCGGTAACGCAACACGTGGTATCCAGTGCCGATGACCTTGTCTCCCCCAGAAGTGCCACGCAGAAGAAGTGATGGACAACCAGGTATACAAATACACCAAAAGGGCACCTACCTAATCCGGCTCTTCCAGCCCGAAGGTGAGAAGATTTGCGGTCTTGCCAAGGCTTGCCACGAAGACGAGAAAAAAAAAAACAAGAGTCCATTACAGAAGTACCCTGGCCAGCATTTCACTGTACAGTAGTAGTTCTTTGTCATCGTATGCCTAAAGAGGCAATTAAAGTATTTGTGACACTCCTGGTTGGAAAAGAGAACGTTTGGAGTATGTTGCCTCCGCTTCCATCGCAAATTACATGTAAACTATCCATACCTACGAGGCGGCTTTTGGCGCAGCTAGTACTACAAGGTATAGTAGGCTAAGTTATTCCAAATACTCCAAACAACTTTAGTATCCTTAATCCTGGGCAAAAAGAAACACAGCAAAGCAAGAGACTAAAAGACAACGGTGGCTACAGCCATTGGACGGAAGCAACATTTCTCTCTTCTTGGTTCACCGTTCTAGCGCGCCACATGCACAGGCGTATTCGGATACTGCTGCTAGCACCTCGGAAAAGGTGTGCTCCAATGCATAAACTCGTCTGGGCCTACGGAGGACCTACGGAGTTATCCGCCCGACATCATCGCCCAAACTGGTCATAGCAGCATCAGCGGCCGCCTGTTGTCGTGGTGGTCGGTGAAGGGGCACGATCGGCCGGGGTGGAGGTTGAGCTGACAGCCTTGCCTCTTTCTCTCAACCTGTCAGTATTATACACACATGTATTTAAATAGAGAGAGAGAAAGAGAGGACGATAATACTATGTACACTAGATAGTCAGACTTGTAGTCTGCATCATATCCATAGAGGAACCCAGCCAGAAACAGAAACTAAACGCGACTGCATCATCGCCAAAAAAAAAAAAAAGGCACCAAACAAATGATGCCGACCCCACTCAGCCTTAACCCAAGTGCTCGACCCCAGAGCACCGATTGTGGTAATGACTAGGTATCTCACGTATACCAGTAGCTGCCGGTTTGGCCGCCGGCCTGGTCCATCAGAACCTTGAAAAAGCTTCTATAAATAAACCATCGTTTTTTTCGACAAGCCCCCGGGAAACAAGGACTGCTCTGCATATACCTATCCTAGCAGTAGACTAGTATTGCCTGGTTGATTCTTGATAACCCCCATATCGGTCATACGATCTCCCGCAATCCTTTGCCGAATAACCACAACTACCTAGTACTAACTATCTGATTTGTATGAAATTACATACTACGTCTATACCTAGGCTGGTATATAACGTCAGCTTCCGATCCGATATACCCTGAGAATATTGAGCCTATTGCTGCAAAGAGCCGGAAACTGCCCAAAATTCGGACCTCCCAACATCTGATCGGAGCGCGCCATCTGACTTTTCCTCTGCTAGATGTAAGACCTAGCATCTCGCCCACGTTTCTTACGGAGAGAAAGAAAGAATCAAAGCGTCTCCAGTTTTCTTTTCTTTCTTTTTCCCCTTAGCTCTAGCCTGGTTTATTTTACACAAACACCCTTGATGGGTGGTCCTATGACTATCTACTTGCAGTATTTCCATGCTAGCATTAGTATTACTCATTTTATAGGTAGGCAAGCCTGAAAGGGGGCCCCCAATTGGCTTACCATTGCTTGCCCTTTTCCATGTCTGAGCAAGTTTTCCCCAACAAAAGTTGCCATATCCGTAGCCATACAGCATAGATCTTCCTTTTCAATTTCCGGAGCTTTTGTCCTGCAGGCGGAAACACTCCGTCATTTGTTCCCAGTAGTCTTTTTACCCCCCCCCCCCCCACCCCCCCCCCCCCCAAAAAAAAAAAAAAAAAAAAAGAAGAAGCCGACAATAAAACTGGAACCCGTTGCTTACAAAGAGCTTGCATAGCAGACGTTGATGATGGCTTCCTTTGAGGGAGATTAGGCACCCTTTCAACGTAACAGGGGAAGGTTGTCGAGATATCTGCTCTATAGCATTGTTATCCTAGTGGTAAGAAACTGTTTTGGGTAAATATGGAGCGTATCAAGATACCTATAGCAGGTGATACGAATGATCCAAGCCAACTATTATATGATTTGGCGAACAAGTGTCAGTATAAGTGGGCAATAGATATCCTTAGTGAGCTACAAGTCCATCCAAACAGAAAAGTACTGCATATCGCGTATGGAATCAAGTTCTCGCAAGCGAAAGGATGAAACACCCCTGCCCTAGTTTCTAAACCCGTTTCCACGCTCGGCTTGCTTGTTGCCTAGGTATAGGCGCGGATGGTAAGTCAGGCTCCTTCTGTATGTCCTGTAACGTCTCAACAACTCATTTCTCTCTTCGTGTCTTCGTTTGGTAGGCAATTCATCGAGATTGTTACCTCTAACCTGACCTGTCAAGCCTGTCTAGCCTGAGCTCTTTATCTTTATCCGGCGAATTACGTACATGTTCTAGACTTGCTCAACATCAGGCGATTTAGATTCAATTTTTTTTTTGTCTTGACGAGGCTCCCACACCATCAAGACGCTTTATCCGGATCCAAATAACGGTATACTATATCCAAGCGATGCATACTATTTCTGCCAAAGACACCGTGCTAATTTGCATGTAAACCAAGGGGTTCTAGCCCAACCTTGCGTATGTCCGAATTTCGGACAAAAAGGCACAATGAGAGGGGTTTAGAAGCAAACGCCAAGCCAAAATAGAGGCTATTGTCCTCCCACCCCCTTTCTTTCCAGCTCTCCATGGCTGCTTACTTTCTGTCGAGATCTACCCCCACAATTCGCAAGACTCCAAGATCGCTATACGCCAAACAGTAGCGGGTCGGTGCCCAAGCCACCACCGGGCATGAGCCGGCCGTCTTGAAGGTGTAGACGTGTTCACCCGTTTCGACGTGCGTAACTTCTAGTCCGTTGCCTATCAAGAATCAAGGGATCAGCAGACCGTTCAGAACTTGCCCAGCCAATAGATACAACGGCATTGAGTCGGGCCGCCAATGCCGTTCTGAGGCAAAAAGAGGCCGCCGCTGTAACCGTAACCATCGTTCAACTGACTTACCTTCGTCACTGCCGCCAACAACGTAACTTCCATCAAACGTGAAACCTACGTAACCATGCAAGCATTAGCCTCAAGGAGTCTCGTCAAAAACAAAGACGACCGTAATTCTGCAACTATTAGCCGGAACGGTCCGTGAACTCACTTATGCTCCTTACAGGGCCCGTCATCCTTGTAATCGTCCTTTGACATAGCCAGTCCGTAGTGTCCCATAACGAGATAATGGAGTTTGATCCTCCGGTGGCAAGGTACCTGCCCATCGGCTGCAGCTCGGCGGTCAGGCATGACGCGGTATGGCCCTTGAGCGTAAACTCCGTGGCGTTATCGCCATCCCCCATGTGCAGCACCGGTTCAAAGTCGGGGTATGAGAGGATTCGAATCTGTCCTTCCGACGTAGTAACGAATATCTTCTTGCCACTCCAGCAAAAGGCGATTTGATTTGTCTGTACCGTCTGTTGATGCGAAGCCAAAGGCGTCTTTTGCGTCGGCGATAAGACAAAGATATTATCCGACTTTGTATGAACCCGTGAGCCATTCCTGAACGAGCATGATCGACGTGAGTGGTAATATAGGAGAGAGACATACCCTGTTTCCTACGAGCAATGTCTGTCCGTCTGGGGCCCAAACAAGTGTCATGGCATCGCCAAGATCTGTGACTTCATTGAAACAAGCCTTGGTCCGAACGTCCCAAAATCGCACGACGCCATCGCTGCTCAAGCTGCATAATTCCGCGTCTTTTGTGGGGTTGAAGGCAACTTTTTCGATCCCTGCTGCGTGGCCTTTGAGTTCTGTTGAGAATTTGACATTAGGTTTCTCTGGATTCCCTTTAACGCGCGTCAGCCCTGTCTCCCTCTCCCTCTCCCTCTCATCGTTCACCGCATTCGTGCCAACTTACAGACTCGTAAAGTCCTATCTGCCGAGCCAGTAGCAACTAGAGTTCCGGGAGGATTCCATGCAATCGATCTCAAACTAAATGCCGTATTAGTTTCATCTTGTAGTAGCTTTCTAGCAGCAGAACACCACCTACTTTAGAGGTCCAGCCGCTCGGGACGCATTTGGATCCGTATATGGCTGACTCCTCAAGCTATGAAAATACTCTGGAAATCTGTCTTTGGATAGGTTCACTCGCGGTCTCAAAATTGGTGCCATGGCTGCGTGATTCAGCTTTCAACCTGGTTTTGGCTCTCTCGCCGAAGCAGGTAAGGAGGCTGGGAGAAGAAGGCGCGTGTGGGTCGTCGGATTGCGAGAATTTGGCGTTATGAAGCCTATCAGGAAACCAATTTACGCGTGAAGAGGTAATTGAATGAAAGCTATAGTTTTTTTTTTGGCGAGGTTATAGCGGGTTTGATTTGTATTCCTTTTGAGAGGTGTGGTTGATGAAGTGACAGTGAAATATGTAGCGGAGCAATTGAAGCTAGGCCTGATAGCGGCGAAAGCAGCCACACGCGACAGGCGCAAAGCGTGTGGCTGATGCCAACATTCGCTGTGGCGCAGTGAAATGAGGCAAGGAAAGATGTCCAGAGGTCAATATTATTCTCACAATAGTCTCTCCGATGAATGAATTCATTGACAAATATGAAGCTTACTTTCCTCTGTATTCCAACATCGAAGCTACAATTTCTATCGCCAGCTCCCATCACACCTTGCCACGACAGAGCGTTGCGAGCTAATCCAATTACCATTACTAGAGTTGTGTAAGAGAAAACAGACAAAGGACACGGCTGTTACAAAGTAACAGAACGAACGGGCACATGAGTCAAATGCAAATAAAGAAACAAAAACAACTCCGAGAGCAAAACAGTTCCTAGGTCTCATACAATTCAATTCTCATTCCTGTCTGAAAGCCCTTTCCGTAGACCGATCATGATATTTGTACACTTTTTCTGTCACATCCTGTCCGACCGACAAAAGCCGAATTAGATCAGAGGCGAATTTTCTGATTCTCTCTAATGGCTGAAGCTCGTGAGAGCCCATCCCAAACTAGATCGAAGCACAGCTCCAACCCAGATCTTCAGTTGCCGCGACCTGTCCGTCCTCCAAATGCCTGGTTACTCTTTACCGGGGCCACCGCAGCAAACCGACTCCAAGACTGGAAAACCAATACCGTACCGTTTCCATCGCCCCCATGACTCCAAGGCGCCTGTATCAAAAACACGAAAAAGAAGAAGAAAAAAAACAACAACGCGCGAAGCGGAATTCCATGCTGAAGAATTGGAAAACCAGACAATTGCAGACATAACCTGCTAGATATCAAACAATGAGAATGGTGATGCAATGTAGCCGAGACAATACGTCCTCCGGACCTAATGCTTCCAAGTCGCATCTAGCAATGCAGAGATTAGCACCTCTTGGTGCAGTACACAAGTAGAGCGACAAATTATAGTGTGATCATGCTCACTATTGCTGAACAGTTAGGTCATGGCGTAGTCCAACGTGATAGTCGTATCCCAATTCTGGACGAATTTCGCGATAATTCAAAACGTAAAGTGGAAAAAAAGAAAGAAGATGAGAGTGACAGCCAACGTCGTCATGATCATGAAATTTGGTCCAAAGACAGGTGAAGATCTTCAATACCAAAGAGAGGTGCGTTCTTCTTGGCCCACTGGCGGGATAGAATAGAAGCTGCAGCGGGCATCGTTAGCAATGAGATGTGAGCGTCAACGGAAAAGCTGTTTGAAAAATACCTTTGAGGAATTTTTTGCTAGCATATTTCTTGAAGAATGCTTCGTGGATGGGAGGTCGTGCTAGGTAATCAACCATGAGGTTGACAACAGGCTCAACCTCCTCTTCTGTGTAACCTGCATAATAGGCGATAGTTGAATCCTATTGTCACGGAGATTAGTAATGTGGAGCATGGCATAGAGTCAATAGTCTTTGTGTAAGAACTTACCCACTCGCCATGATCAAGCATAAGCCGTGCTAGGTACATAGAAGCGGCGGCGACATGACTGGGGCGGAAAGACATGAAGCGGTGGTCCAGCAAGCTGATCTCCGTAAGATACTTGCCAATGGTACGTGACTGGATGTCGTAGTTGTCTGCCTTTGAAACTCGGCGGAGGAAGTTCATTGGGTTAGGATAGCTGAGATCGTAATTCAGTGTGCCAAGGATAAAACGCTCTGCACTCAAAATCTCAGCCTCGCTGAAGCCGTCATCGGCAATCTTCTTGAAGTTTTCCACGTGAGGAGAGAGAACCTCTTCGTACTTGGAGGCAATGAACATGGCGGTGATGCCAACGAGCTGGAGACGGTCGAGCTGGACAACCTTTTCGGAGAGAAATCGATCGATGATGTTGACGGCCAGGAACAGGGTTTCAGGGAGTAAATGGAATCGGGTGTGGACCTCAATCAGCCAGTCGACGAGAATTCCCCGTGTCTTCCACTCGAGGTCGTCCTGGTGAGACATGTAGTCGGCATTGGGAACTGAGCGGACCTCTAGCTCTCTCAAATAGTCGAAGATTTCGTTAGCGTATTCGGCAACCATCAAAGGATCGTCCAGATCCTCCTCGTCAAGGCTCTTAATGTTTGCAAGAAGTTCGGCTTTCTCTGCGGCTTTGGCTTCAGCTTGGGCAGCGGCCTGTGCAGCAGCCTTGACGGCAGCAGCGTCAGGAACCGGGGCCTTGGCCTTGGGCTCGGTGACTTCAGGACGAGAGCGCTTCTCAACATCCACGTGTGCTCTCTTTCGAGCGGGTTCCGCCTCCTGACGTACAACTTCCTTTGGTGCAGCTGGAGCAACCTTCCTCTTGGGTCCAATGGCTCCAGGTCCTGACTTCTTTACTTCCGGCTTTTTGACCTCCTTGTTCACCAAAGCTGTTCGGCTTGTCGTTGCAGGGCGAGTGCTCTTCTGGACGCCTGTGGGCTGAGCAGCCTTGGACACCAATCCAACCTTTGTTCCTGCCGTCTTCTTTCCCTCCACGCCATCCGCCTTGCTGACATTGCTGACATCGCCCAGAGCAGCGCGTTTTCTAATTCCGTTACCAGCAATGGTACTGACAGTCGTTTTCTTTGTCTGAAGCGTAGACTTGGTAGGTGCTACTGAGTCGTCCACGTGAAGAGCCGCCGCCTTGGCCCTAGTCATACGCGTTGTAGTGCTGTTCTCGTCATTCTCGTTGGAGATGACGCGAGTACGAGGCCGTCCCTATATATCGCGTCAGCACGCCTCGATATAAGATCCAAGCTTTGCATAGAATGCAGGCCACTTACAGGAGGCATATTCGAAATTATGAAATGAGATGAACAGCTAGTGGTGGTATAAACAGCCTCAAAGCCCAACACTGTTTCCTCGGACATGTTAGCTGAGTTGGACGCGTTGAAGAAAAGAAGGAGTCCAAAGCAAAATTAATTCGAAGAAGAAAAGGAGCCCCAGAATAAAGCTCCTGAGACAGTCATCTTAAGACAAGGAGCTCGGAATGTTACTGACCTCTCAAAAGCGAGGCTAATCAGGAAACCGACACGTCTAGCGTGGCAGGAATGCTACTGCGAGAGATGGAGTCAATGACTGGCGTAAAAGTATTTAAAATGCTGGGGCAGTCTGCCAAGTAGAGCCGCTATGGCCAGATGTAAAAGAAAGGCGGCAGAAAGGGTATCAACAGTACGATTGGGGATGCAAATTGGACATGTCGAAAGAGGATGGTGAGGGCAATGAGCTGTGTTTTGAGGAGAAACCCGCCAGGGAGCGCGGAGTGGGCCGTCGCGGCTGGTACGTACCTCGACGAGTTGGCGTGGCTCGCGATTAAATTGGTTGCCCGGCACGAAAAAAATACTTGGACGGGCAGGCTAAGAAGAAAAGAGCCTGTGATATAATGCCGGATGTGTGAGCGTCTGTCTGCCGGTCTGTAGCTGCTAACCAGGGCTGGCTTTTCTCGAATTGACGAGTGGGCACAAAGAAAAATAAGGTGGCCAAGTTGTGCGAGCGGTTGGGACAGCGGTGAGGACGCTGGACGGGCCTGGTCTGAGATATACCGTACCGTAAATGGTGCTTGCTGGTCGACAGCCCTGCAGTCTGCGACGAGGGCCGGAGGGCGGCTCAAAGAGTGGACTGGATGGATATGGCGACAATTGATCGATACTGCGGCGTGCTGTAGAGAGTGAAAGAAAAAGAAAACAAAGGCTAAGAGAGAGCTTCCAGAAAGGCTGCCGGGCTTGGGTGCTGATGCTGTATTGTACTGCAGGCAGAAGTGGGCGGGCGACGAGTGGGTGCGAGACGTGGGCGAAGCGAAACCAGCGACTCACAACGCGACGTTTGGCGGCTGCTCGCGGGGCCGGGGGTGGCGGCCTGCAAAAATGCCATGTCAACAGTAGCAACCGCGGGGCAACGGGGCGCTGATTGGCGGGACGCGACACTGGCAGGTCGCGCGGGAGCACAAGCCATTGCAGTGGCTGGTGGCTGAAAAAATGAAAGGGCTTTGGTTTGGTGGCTGGTCGCGCGCCGGCCTGTGCTAAGTCAGCAGCGAGCTCTACAGCGCTGCCAGCGTTAGCGAGGGGGCACAAGAGCACCTACCGAGAACAAAGAGGGCGCTAGCGGGGGACAGCCACGCTTAGCTAAGCATTTCATTCTTTGCATTCGGCATAACGTTTTTCACGGCTCCGTTGAAATTTCAACGAGGGACCAGCCAGAGAGGCACGACAAGTCGTCCGATTTGCGACGACCAGGCCCATCTGCTCGACAACGACCGGCACGGCGCTTGGAGACTTCTGAGCCGTTGGGGACCGTCATCTCCAGCTCCTGGGGCACTACAATTTTGGTTTTACGAGGCTGCTCTGGGCCAATTGCTGGGCTGTGAGCCGCTGTGCGCAAAGAGCGCTTCTTCTACTCCCCGCCAAATGCGAATCGAACAAGCCAGCAAATTATTCCCCTCAATACCTGGAATTTCTTCTCTAGAAATATAGACGGAGAATCGAAAATGCTTAAGCCAAGACTATCCATTGCTCCGGCTTTTGGTAGCCGCCAGCTCCTCTCGGCCTTTACCAATCTGTCACTGAGGGGTTATGCTACAAAAGCCAGAGCTGGTTCCGTCGCTGGCGGGCGTGCCACTGAGACACCGGCCAGCAGTGAAAGGCAGTCTAGCGGATCTGTGATGCTGCGCACTTATAAGCCCAGGACGCCGGGTGTACGACATCTGCGACGACCGATAAACGATCACCTGTGGAAGGGACGGCCGTTTCTCCCTCTGACAATTCCGAAAAAGGGCCAGGGCAAGGGAGGACGAAACGTCTATGGTAGAATTACCGTAAGACACCGGGGAGGAGGTGCCAAGAGGAGGATACGAACTGTTGATTTCATACGATGGCGCCCTGGACCACACTTGGTAGAGCGAATCGAATACGACCCTGGACGCAGTGCTCACATTGCCCTGGTCACGGAGCAAGCTACGGGACGCAAGTCGTACATCATTGCCGCAGATGGACTGAGAGCCGGCGACATTGTACACAGTTATCGCGCTGGTATCCCTCAGGATCTGCTCGACAGCATGGGTGGTGTTATTGATCCGGGTATCCTTGCAGCCAAAACTGCTTTCCGAGGAAATTGCTTGCCGATGCACATGATTCCCGTTGGCACAACGGTATTTTGTGTCGGCTCAGCGGCAAAGAGAGGTGCCGTCTTCTGCAGGAGTGCGGGTACATCTGCCACAGTTGTAAACAAGAACGAAGAGACAAAAGATGACGGTACCAAGATTATGACTGGCAAGTATGTCGAGGTTCGGCTCCAGAGCGGCGAGGTCCGTCGGGTGAGCAAAGATGCATGTGCCACCATTGGAGTGTCTAGCAATATTCACCACCACTACCGCCAGCTGGGTAAGGCTGGTAGAAGCCGGTGGTTGAACATTCGGCCTACCGTTCGTGGTGTGGCGATGAACAAAGGTAATTGGTTCCTCTTTTTTCTCAGCTACCAGAATCATGCAAGAGATTAATCGTCATTTATAGTTGATCACCCTCACGGTGGTGGCCGAGGAAAGTCAAAGGGTAATCGTCACCCCGTGACCCCTTGGGGCCGACCGGTAAGTTGGGAAATCTATTCTACTAACTAGATAATGGACAAGAAGCTAATGACATTCTCCTATTTAGACCAAGAGCGGTTACAAGACTCGTCGCACGCACAACGTCAACAAGTGGGTTGTGACACCTCGGCCTCGCAACCACGGCAAGCGGAGAGACAAGAGGTCGTCAAAGGAGTAATTGTAGACAAAACAATGGGATCGGGGGTGCTTTTAGAAGCGAAGAAGAAAAAGACACGATGCTACCTATGTATACGCGCCGGCGGCAAGGCTTATACTGTGGCTTGGCGCGACTGTATATTATGTGCTATTATCGATTTGCCTTGCTGGGGCCATAACTTGATGAACTTGAACGCATCTCTCTAATTTGGGAACGATGCCCGCGGATATTGCCGTGACTGATAGGAGTCCTCCGGTTGGCTGTCTGTGAAGTTCAAAGCTATGACTACTAGTTTCTATTTGGCTGAATAGCTTCTTAGACTCGGTGTCACAAAGGTTAGTGATCGTCTTAGCATTACGCGGACAGAGGTAATGGTGGCTTCCGCTGGCGAATCATCACACGAGAAAGACCCTTAGCTGTCTCAGAAACATGGGTTCTGCTATTTGGCATTGAGCAGGAAGTTGCAAAAACTCTTTCTGTTGCCTTTCTCCGATATACCGCGCAAAGCCGAGCTGCATGCGCATGTCCCCCAGTAAGGAGAAGCAGGCCTCGCGTAATCGACCCATGGCGCCTAGGGGAAGAGAGATGAGATGGCTGCGATGGTACGGCTTACAATAGTCTTCAGTCAGACTAATTCAAAGTCGTATTCCTGAATGAGGGATTCAATTTGCCAATGCGCTGCTATACTATTATGCCCTGATATATGCAACCAAGGGTAGGCGTGCATACTTGTGGGGAGAAAGACATAGGTATTGCCCTGCGACCTGAGCGGAAAGCAATTTGGCCTATAAGAAGATGACTTTAATGGGGCTGATACCACTGAGAGCCATATAAAGCGCCAGGTATTTGTAAAGGCTTATGCTTGTCGATTAACGTTGATTTAACCTCCTCCTGCCCTACGGAGATCGTAGTCGGGAACAGTGTCGGCGGGAAAGAGCCAAGAAACCAAAGAGCCAAGAGCCGGCGTCTACTACGTCAAAAAGAGAAAGCGACCAGGGGGGTTCGCTTGCCAAGCTTTTCTAATGCTCCTTCCTTGGCCCTTCCGTGGCCATTGGGAAGCCGCGCACACGACCCACTTCCGTTTCCAGATTCAACAGCTGGCTAGCAGTCCAATCGTTGTGGGCGATGCGCGCGCCGTGCACTGCCATCTTTTCTCATCTTAATGGAGCTGTTCCAAGCACAAGACCTCGGAGCTCCGAAACGGTACTCCATTTCTGCCTGCTTGCTGTATGGGGCATATTGTCACCATCTCGGTGTTACAGGTAGGTAACGAGCATCATCCATTGTTTCTTCTTACTGGTGGTGCTATTCTTGAGATGCTGACAAGGATGATGATACGTATCTCGGCAGTCTAGAAACATCAAAGGTTTTCGCATCGTCGGGCACGTATGAATCGAAACTTCAAGGGCCAAGCGCCAAGATGCCACTCAGTACAGTAGTGCTTGATTCTCGACGACTTTGTCCTTCTGTAATCTTGTCGCCTCGGACCCTCGCCAGCCCTTGACTTCTCACCACCCCGAGGCATTGTCATTGTATGAGACAACGCAAAAAGATCTGCCATTACCACCACCACCACTACCGGTCACGCTCGCACCCTCTATGGGCTGTGCTATGCTGCCACGCGTCCCCTGGGAATGACACTGTGCTGTGGAATCTACCAACCATCCTCGCCTGAGCAGAACACCAAGTCGAGACAATTCGCCGTTTTAGCGGCGCCACAGCCACTGAGCGGAGAGAGATCTGAGCTATCCACAGCACCCGGCCCTGGCCCTGGCTGGAACTTTAACCCTGCCCATCTCCATCTCCAGTTTTAAAGCTCTCCCCTTAGACAAACTTTCATTTATACCCCCATTAGCCTCCCTTCCCTCTTATGCTTCTTTAATGCCCATCTCTTTGTTTCTTCTTTGTAGCAGATGCGATCATATCAACAAATCACCCGATCCGGGCCCAACGCCAAAATGGGATTGCCCTCGATCCGACTCATTACGTCGTACATCTTCGACTGGATTATTCTCGTCGTCGTTACTGCCGCCGGCTACGTCTTGGGCCGAATTACACCCAACAAGCGGCCCTTTTCTCTGGTTGACCCAGACATCTCGTGAGTCTCATGTCCAAGCCCTGTCAAAAAGCTTGGTCTGGGTCTATCTCATGTTCAGACGATTAACGAGATAATGTCCACTCTAGATTTCCTTTTACGGTACACGAGACTGTGCCGGACTGGCTGCTCTTTGTCTTGAGCAGTGGGGTCCCTGCTGTCGTTATCATCATTGTCTCCATCATATTTGTGCCAGGTGCAACGGTGCCCAAAAATACCCCTGCCTCATTAGTTTGGAAGCGTAAACTATGGGAACTTCACATTGGTCTACTGGGACTCCTCATGTCAGTTGGCGCTGGCTTCTTCTTTGTCAGTGGCATCAAGAATATGTGCGGCAAGCCTCGACCTGATCTACTTGCACGATGCGTCCCGGATTTGGAAAACGCATCGAAATACCTGATTGGCGGCTTCAAGGGAGAATTCGCATTGGGCAACAGCATTGGCCAGCTCTTTTCGGCCGACATCTGCACGCAGACCGACAAGGCGAAGCTCGACGATGGCTTCCGAAGCTATCCCAGCGGCCACTCTGCGGCCTCCGCCGGCGGTCTCCTCTACCTCTCGCTGTTTCTCGCCAGCAAGTTTGCCGTGACGATGCCGTTTGTAGCTACGGGCACATCTACATCCAGCCATGAAGTGCATGCTGCTTTCCCTTCTCGTGCAGCATCTGCGGTTGAGCAGTTTGACGACGAGGCGTCCATGCCCATGGCTGGCAAAGGCGCGAATCCAACCATCAAGTATAATTCCAGCATTCAGGCGTTGCGTCGCCAGGCAGCAGCTCCTCCCATCTATCTCCTTGTCATCACCGTGGCACCTTTTTGCCTCGCCATCTTCATCGCTGCTTCTCGCTGGTTTAATTTCCGACACCATGGCTTCGACATTTTGTTTGGCTTTTCCATCGGTATCTTTACAGCCCTCTTCAGTTTTAGATATTATCATTTGCCCATCACCATTGGCGCTGGTTGGGCTTGGGGCCCCCGGAGCCCAGACAGGGCTTTCTGGGCTGGTGTCGGTCGTTTGGGCTATGTTGGCGAAAAAGATGTCGAGCGTGGCACGATGGTGTCTGCCAATTTTGGGACATCTACGGATGTCGAAGCTTCACTGGCAGCTCCTGCGGGGATGAGTTATCGATCTCCTGCCCAGACGGGTGAGCCATATCAGGATGTAGAGTTGAGCAACTTGAATGGGGGGCACGAGTCAGGGGGTCGAGCATGATATTGAGTCGGCATTTTATATGATACCCAGCTCTCCCGTTGGGGGGAAAGCATATAGATATAAAAGGGAATAGAATGTGGGGAGGATAGAGGGAAAATCGTCGTATATTGTTTGTAATTCTTGAATCATAATTTTACCACCATTAGCCAAGATTCGCTGGTTGACAATGTTCATTAATGTCCGGTTTGTCACTACTGTCAGTGCCATGCTGTGTAATTACGACCAATCGAGTATTAATGGAACCAAGTTCATGTTTGTAGAATTTTCGTCGAATTAACGTGGCAGCCGAGACCCATGCGAGTTACACTAATTAAGAGAAACAAAGATGCATATTAAAGAATAAAGAGGGGGAAGGAGAAAAAAAAAAAGAAAACGAAGAAAAAAAAAGATCATGCATGCAATAATAAACCCGAATCCAGAGCTTGTTTGTTTGGTCCCCGCCTCCTCCACCGCCAAACGCCTTTCCGTACAACATCAAAGAGGGAGGGAAGGGAGAGAGATATGGAAGAAGGATGTTTGTATGTGTGTAAATTGGTGTTCCAGGCCTGAAGAATGAAACGTGCTGCGAAAGAGCAGGGTAGGGAAAGGAAGCGTCCCTGTGTAATGAGAAATTTGAGCTTTGTGTTTTGTTTTTTAGTCTCGTCTTTCCAGCCCCTTTGTCATTGCCATTCGTAAAGTAAGAGATTCATATTTCCTTGTCCCTTTCCCAGATGTACTTAATGCTTTTTTTTTCTTCTTCTCTTTCATCCTTTGTTATTTGTGGTTCGTTCTGTCCTTCTCCTCCAAATCACATCGGTCCCTCAATCAGCCTCATGTTTGTGTTGGTATTAGCTCCGTCCACTCCTTCAAACTCGACATCGTCCTCCTCTTCTTCCTCCTCGTCATCCATTTGCTCCTCTCTGAAGCCAGATTCAATTTCCAGCTTGCGCAGTCTCCTCCGCATGTCGTCTCTCTTGAGGTCCTGCCACCGCACCAGCGCAGCAGCGGCGTGCACCTTGAAGCCGTAGACGCGGGGGATGTACCGCTCGATGCTTTTGGAGGGGATGAGGGCGGGGTAGACCTGGAAGATGATGTTGTGGAAGGAGGTGCCGAAGTAGGCGCCGTCGATGGAGGCGTGGCGCGAGGATTTGGGGTTGTAGAGGTCCTCGCAGCGGGCGCAGTAGAGCTTGACGGGCTTGAGGTTGGGGATGTCGGAGAGACCCATGGGGAGCAGGGGGTGAGAGTGACAGTTGACGCGGGGACATTTGCCAAACTCGGCCTTCTTGTACTTGTCCAGCTGTAAAGGTAGCGCCTGGTTAGCATCTTATCGACATGAAAGCAGATGGTCTAGAGGCTCCCAAGAAATATGATTGGAGGGGAAGGTGGAAGAAGATGATGGCGATGGGTAAGAGAAAGGACAGTACCATTTTCGTCAGACCGCGTGTGGTCACAATGTATCGCGCGTGCACCAGGCCGTACAGGTGTCGGGCTGAGCTCTCAATCGTCTCGCGCATGTCATCGTCGCAGTCGAGGTCAAAGACATCCGTCACCAGGTCCAGCGCATATTGATAGTACTGGACTTCTGTGTTGAGGCCCGTCAGGTTGAAGCGGTCCGTTAGGTAGTCCTCATCGATCTCGCAGAAGTACTCATTGCCTCTGGATGAGATGAACTGCGCAAATGGCGGCGCGTCAGCTTTGATTCAACATGATGCTTCCCCTTTTTGTGCTGTTTTCGCGTCACAAGCGCATCCCGCTCTCCATCTTCCCCGTTTCCGGCCATGGCCCGGCACACGCCGTCGGCACAGACACCGGCGGAGCTATATTGTGCTCCATGGCAACAGATCGGATGGATAGGGAGGCGTGGAGAGCAAACAACCAGGTGCAGGCAGCAGAGGCGACTTACCCAGTCTCGCCAATAGCTAGTGTAGTCACTATCAGACTCGCTCGCGTACTCATCCATCGTGTGTAGCAGCTAAATGCGGAACCAAACCCCAGCACGAGGCAGAAAAAACGAGGCTGCAGCAATGGGCAGCAAGCGCTATGGCAGACGTCGAGGGGGTGGAATGGCCGCCCGGTCGTGGACAAAGGAGGCGGCGGTCGCGGTATCGGCCGACGGCAACGGGAGTGAGACGAGGATCGAGAGGCTGGAGCTTCGAGAGCAGCGGTGGCGTCGCGGTCGGTTTTTGCCCAAGCCCAGGTTTGACGTATCTCGACTTTGGCGGTGGTGGTGAGCGGTAGTTCTGCCAATGATGGTGGGGTACGGCGATTGTTTGTTAGAGATAACGTGACTGCGGCGGCTAGTGCTGGGCGCTGGCAGCTGCTCACACTGGAGTACCAGGTAGGTTAACCGCTACCAGCTGATGGCTTAAACGTTATCCGCGAAGATGCATATATGCATCAAGACATGTAAATGGGAGCGAGGTAAGTCCCTGTTTGGTAGTGAAATAGAGACATTCTAAAATGCCCAGAATGAAGCGTTTGTCAGATCTCACCTTGTGCTAATGCACGTAGCTGTCAACCTGCTAGCCTTGTAATATGCACATCTACTCCGTATATAGAGCTTCTACTAGGGCACCATCTCCTCTAAAGGTCGTGACACGACGCACACTTGATGCAGAAACAGGCAACACCCCCAACGGAATACGAAGTAGATTCTACATGTCTAGTGAGCATGTTACTCTACTTTTATTGACAAGGACGAGAGTGCAAAGAAGAAGAATGGGTGAATAAGTCAGTCAGTAGTTTATTTACCACTAAGTAGTAAGCATATCTCTTACACATTCCATCAGGTTGCTGGCTTTACCTTTTACTATCCAATCAAAGCCCCTACCTCTTCCATTTCGCCATAAAAAGCCCATAAAAAGCCATAGTCATCTAGAAAAGAAAAAGAAAAAACCCCCAAATCTCATCATAATGGCCATAGAGAGTCATGTCACCATATAGCCATATTATGGTAATACCAACGTTACCTGTGCCGGTCAGATGCACAATCGTCTATTTCTCCCCTCTCTTATCCATCCAAAGGGCTGATTGTAGAGCCCATGCTACCGGCATCACTAGGAGACCGCATACCAGACGTTGTTTCGCCATCGTCTCCGCTACTGTTCTTGCTGCTCCCATTGATAAACCCCAGCCCAGTCGCGGGAAGCTCAAGTCTGCTTGAGATGCTAGGTGCTAAGCCAACGTTTGCCATCTTCATGGCTTCTTTGAGCGTCTCTCCAGTCTCGTCCATGGCAGCCAGGAATCTCGCAAGCTCTTTGCACAATTCCCAGTCGCTCTCCCTAACTGCCCTTGTCAGAACGCGGACTGACTGCTCCAAGGAAGCCTCCAGCTCATCCAGTGTGTGTAGGATGATGAGATATCCGCCCGCAGTCTTGAGTGATCCTCGTTGTAAAGATTCCTCAAACAGCTCTTGTGCTGGAGGGAGGTATGCGAAAAGTGTCTTCCACTGTCGGACTTCTGTCTTCCTCGTGCACTGTAGAACAATGTCAAGATATTCCTTAGAAGATGACAGCAGAGACAAGACACGCGGCAATACAGCATCTTCTGGCTTTGGTGATGTATCAGCTTCTTCGTCTAGTACACGATGAAGTAGCACTTCCAGCCCGTGAGAAAAGTACTCTAATCCCTCATACTGCTGAGAGAGGTTTGTCGCTTCCACCGTCATGTTGTTACAGAGATAGAACCGTAGTATGTCTGGTAAAACGAGATGCGTCTATAAAGTCGTCAGGTCAGTATTCAGAGCGTGTCATGGGTACCAAGCGAAAGTTAGCCATGGAGATTTTTGCCCACTTACCCTGATGGCAAAGTGAAAAAAGGAAAAGTTCACATCGCGCCGCTGTACCAAGTCCGATTCCACGCCAAGGACAATGCCCTTCTCTAAAAGGATAGACAGGGGGTAAAAGTCTACATCTATGGATACGGGTGGCGGCAGTTCTCTCCCACTATCGCCCGTCGCTGCCGTCAGGACGTCATGAATATCGGCCCAAGCTTTAATCTCCATTCCGTCAAATAGCCACAGAGAATCGCGGAGGGCAAGCGGTCCATAGCGCAGCTGACTCTCTTCGGGAGAGTGGCTGATATTTATAGGAGGCTGGTCTCGCATGCTCACGTGGTATTCCACATTCTGCGCAATAATGCGCATGTCATACTTGAGCTGACCATCTTCATTCATCGAAGGGCTCAGCAATACCAGCTTGCCGTCGACTAAGAAGAGAACAGACGCAACGGCCACATCCTGAGAAGGGTCTCCATCGCTGATCTGGCTGTCTGGCAGGATCCAGCTGAGTCCTCGAACCCTGGCAGGAGACCGCACAATTCCGTGAAATGCAATCTGGCCAACTTGAACCAAGCGAATCGACCCGCCAGTTGGCACGAAAATGTAGTGGTACAAGAGATTCTCGTAGGTGTATACGAGGAGGGAGTCTTCCCCAGATGCCGCAATCAGCACCACGGGCGCGGGCAGCCGCTCGGTGTGCAACACATGAGAGTTGTCCAGCGCCGCCTCACGCGAGTAGAGCCGCAGTTCAAACGTCCGGTTGTCTTCTATCGCCGCAACTAGGATATGCTGATACCAGCACATGCCTCCGCGGACTGAGAATGAGTTTTCCATCGCTTCATCAGTAAAGGTCTTCCATCGTCCACTGTTGACGCTATAGTGCGCCAGTCCCCGGCGACCAGCGACAGCGACATAGCGTCCATCCGGAGAAATGACGGTCTGGCGAATCGGCCACTGATTGAGTAGGTATGTCGATGGTATCCTTGAAGTATGCCACAAGAAGGGCTCAGCCGAGATGCTCGTTGAGTCGGGAAGATCATAGCCCCGGTATATCATGACACTCGTCGGCGTTTGGAGCACGGTACGAAAGACGTTGGCCTCGTTGTAGCAACCAGTAATGGCATTTTTTGCCATCTCAAGTGACCATATCGCTTCATGCCGTCGCCCTAGTAGAAGAATTTCGGAGCCTCCACCAGTCCAAACTGCGCCCCTGATCCCCGTAAGCCATTGCTCACCATTTATACTTGCGACACTTGGCTCAGCTCCGAAGCTGTGACTTCCTAGCTTGCCAAACATGCTCCAAGTACACCAGCCTTTTTCAAAGCCCGCGAAGAGGCAGTACCCATCGGGTGAGTATGTCAGAGTTGTAAAGACACCAGCCGTCGCTGTGGAGAAGGGCATACGATGTGTGTGAGAAAGCACAATATTGCCCGCGTAGTCTCGGACAGAGTAAACGTGGATTGTGCCATCCGCACAGCCAATGGCGATGAGTGAAAACCGAGCGTTAATCACGGCGCGCACGGCACGCCCTCTCGAATCTGGCGGAGTATAGAAACAATGCCCATTGAAGAGGCGTTTTGCGTCGACACCTTCTGCTTCATCTTCATTTGTGCTCTTACGTTGCAGGCGCTGAACCGCATATGCTCTCCCGTCGCTCGTAATCCAGGTAGCCAGATTCATGGGCCGATCATGGGTCATTTCCACGATGGATGCCTTTTTCTCTACCCAGCCCATGCGACTTAAGATCTCTGTCCTTGTTTGGTTCCCACTGCTGTCGGGGGTCCAGCGGATGCATTGTACTGCGGCCGGCTTCCTCGTTGCAACAACTAATTCGTCGTCGAGAGCTATGGCACTCTCTATACCGGCGTCAACTTTGATAACCATGCGGAAGCGAACGCTGACATCGCGAACCCCTCCGCCCTCCCCCGGTCCCCAAAGAATCTGGTCAGGTCGCAGGTGAGATTGCGGGCCAATGAGGCTCTGTTTTCTCTTTTGTACGTTGTGATAGTTTGGAAAATGTGGTTTATAGACTCTCGATTCGCCATCGGTGGCTATTGAATAAGTAATGAGGTATCCTTTGGATGTGTGCACCACCAAGATGGCAGAGTCGGGGCGCAGCAGGAGGTCGACGTTGATGCCATAGGATTCCAGAGACGAGTCGGATCGAACTACCACAGCAAGAACCACAGCAGGCTGAGGGGAGTTAGCCAAGAGAGCGATAGAACCCGGCCATGCGACCAACATACCTTGGTCTGCCAGAGCGTGATTGATGTTGCTGTGATGACGGCAAACATCTGGCCGGTGCGGGCAATGCGCAGAGCAAGCACGGGGTCCTTTACGGGCACCCGCCTGTCTTCGGCCGGCTGGTCTTTCGCAGCGCCGCCGTCTGGGAAGAATTCATAGCGTTCGACGGGCTTGACAGCCGGCGTGGCCGGTGTCATGGGCGTTGGCGGAGGCTGCACATCGTCGGCGTCTTCTGGCGACGGCGATTTGAGCGGCTGCGCACCAGACTCGGGCTGCGGCGATGCCAACGAGGAGCCTGAATGGCTCTGCAGGCCATCGTAGGAAACGTAGATGTTGGAGTCGGAAGCCCTGCTGCTGCTGGTGGCATAGACGCGCGGAGTTCCAATGGGCCAATACATGGCGGAAGCCGAGCCTCCTCAGCGCTTCGATGTCGGGGGTTCACGGCGCAAACGGTGTGTCATTTCCGAGTGCTGCGGTTCATCACAGAGCCATTGGGCTCGTTGGCGCCCGATTGTTGCAATGAGAGTTGCGGGTATGTGCTGTTTTGACAGGTTGTCGCTGCATGGCAAGTTGGCAGGGCGGCTTCATCGCATGGGGAAGCTCTCCAGAGGCATTACGTAATCAACGGAGCCGGTTTTGGAGAGCCACAAAGCCTAAAGTGACGAGTACAAGCTTGACTAAAACACGCAATCAAATTCTAACAATAATGAGAACAATAAGAAGAGGCGTGTAATGAAGGTGTGTAATGATGACAGGTTAAATGGCAAAAGAACAAAAAAGCATCCATTACTCATTAGGGAGGCGTATTATTGGAGAATATCGCTCTGTCACATCTCTCGATGTAGATCGACAGACGCTGGTCAGAGCTAATGATACACCGAACAAAAGCTACACACGGCACGGTGAGATCTAACCAAGATGCACCAATGAAAAGGGCCAACAGGCCACAAATCGCCAATGCAGGGCTCTAGTACGAAGAATAATGCTACCAAAGCTGTGGGGAGAAGGAGTAGCAGTGCGTACGCTTTCCTCTGGGTATGAGCAATGCTGCTACTATATCAAACAGTGACTGGTTGGTATTGGTACACCGAGACGCTTAATGTTAGAATCCATCTGCTGCTGATAAGATATTGCTAGTACCAGGCACTTTCTTGTCATAGAGTCTGATATCAATAGCGCATGCTATCCATGGTCTATGCCCCGTCCGCTGTCGGATGTCCAACAAATCCAACGCCGCGCATCTCAGTATTACTGCCTACTTAGGCAAACGTCCTCCCACTAGAGCCCCAGAACGGCCGTCGTGCAGCTTCATGTTGTCGCCAGGGCGCGCCAAAGAGTACGTAATAAGCGGGTCAGACTCTCAGTTCCAGAGGTCCGGTGAGGCCACAGCGATCCAGTTGGTTGGAGAAGCCCCCGCAGTGCCGTTCCAGAGGGGATACTGGCGGTTACAGACGGCGGAGCCCCGATCCCGGCACCGGCCGCCATTCCCCAAACCATCGCGTAAAATGACAACTGCTGCTAATGGTTGACTGACAAATGCCGGCACGGAGGCAGAGGTGCAGCTCTACTGCATTATCGCAGGTGCTACAGTACAGGGTGCTAGACTAAGGCTTGGAGGGGCAGCAGCTCGTTATCAGCTCCCGAGGGCCACTTTAAGCCCAATCCATACATGCACCTTCTCTTACATACTTCAACCTCTCACCTCCCTTTCTTCATCATACCTACACAGCCCGCCAGTGCTCTGTTCCTCGAGGCCATATCATTCATCATACTCAGTCTTCATATTACTCACCAACTCATAAGAAATTCATAATTCATACACTGGACCAACACCATCTGCGCAGTCGCAATCACCATTCGCATATACACCACCGCAGGTGAAGCTATCCTCATCCAAGCCGCCACCATGCTGCCCATCACAAAAGCTGCCCGGATGCGGGCTCTTTCAGTATCCCGCAATGGCGCCGCCATCATCTCCTCCCGCGCAGCCAGATCATTGCACAGCAGACCAAGCCACAACAGCGCCGAAGCAGCAGCCGCAGCACAGCCCGCCACACACGAAGTAGACTATTCGCCCTCTGTGCTCCGTGATATCGCCGCGAGGCGGGCCAAGGCGGGCAAGCTGGTAGCAGGCATTGCTGCAGCATCTGACAGTGACATGTTCAAGGGATCGGTAAGTGTGGCGTGAATGTTGATTCCAACATCATCTTGCATCCACTGTTACGGAGCGGGAGCTGACCTAGTCTCTCATCTCAGCAAGCCGGGAAGCCAAAAGCGAAGCGATGGGACGGTATGTTTGCTGCCCATCAATATCCTCCTTGATCCTGTATAATTATCAGGCTAACATCAAAGTAAACCCGCAGACCACCTGAGTGCAGAGAGCAAGTCAAGAGAGCCCTGCTCTCTTAAGCAAGCAGCCAAGCACCTAAAACAGCCAGGACTCATCTCTCTCGGCGGCGGCTTGCCCTCCAGCGAGCTGTTCCCCCTCAGCGAAATTGACATGAAGGTTGCTATGCCGCCTGACTTTTCGGAGAAGGCGACTGCCAGACACGGACAGAATGTCACCATTGGCAAGTACGACGTCCGCGATCGTGATGGCACCTATGATCTCTCCATTGCGCTCAACTATGGCCAGTCCACGGGCTCTGCTCAGATGATGCGGTTCCTGACTGAGCACACCGAGATTGTGTGCAACCCGCCCTACGCCGATTGGAGAATCTGCCAGACTATTGGCAGCACCGGAGCGTTGGAGCAGGCGCTGCGCATGTTTTTGGACAAGGACCGTGGCGACTCGGTCTTGACGGAGGATTTCAGCTTCTCAACGGCCTTGGAAACGATTGCCCCCCTGGGCGTCAAGGCTTTTGGCATCCCTGTCGACGAGCAAGGACTCATCCCTGAAGCCATGGACGAGCTTCTCACAAACTGGGACGCCAAGGCCAGGGGATCCAGAAAGCCTCATCTGCTGTACACCGTCCCCTCGGGCCAAAACCCAACCGGAGCAACCCAAGGCACGGAGAGAAGGCAGGCCATCTACCGAGTTGCGCAGAAGCACGACATCTTCATCCTCGAGGATGAGCCCTACTACTTCCTCCAGATGCAGCCCTACACTGGCCGAGGCCAGCCCGATGCTCCTGCGCCCAACAACGTCGAAGAATTTGTTTCCTCTCTGATACCCACGTATGTCAGCATGGATGTCGACGGCCGAGTGATGCGCATGGACTCTCTCTCCAAGGTTCTTGTTCCAGGATCTCGCATGGGATGGATTGTCGCTTCAGAGCAGGTTGTCGAGAGATACCAACGCCACGCCGAGGTCGCCAGTCAGGGGCCAAGCGGCTTCTCTCAAGTTATTGTCCACAAGTTGTTGGATGAGACCTGGGGTCACGAGGGCTACCTGCGGTGGCTGATGAATCTGCGACTTGAGTATACCAAGAAGAGAGACGCATTGCTGGCTGCTTGCGAAGACAACCTGCCGCGAGATATTGTGAGCTGGACGCCGCCTGCCGCCGGCATGTTTGTGAGTCTTTTCTCCCTCCCTCCTCTCCTCTAGTTACTCTTTTCCCGCTACTTGTTGATATTCTGACACTTGTTTCCGTAGCTCTGGTTCACTGTCGACCACACCAAGCACCCCAGCGCCGGCACTCGAAGCCTCCTGGAGATTGAGCAGGAAATCTTTGACTCGTGCATCAAGGGCGGTGTGCTCGTGGCCCGAGGATCGTGGTTCCAGACTGAGAATGCCGGTCCCCTGCCGAGCTTGCACTTCCGTGCCACATTTGCTGCGGCAAGCCCCGAGAACATGAATGCGGCGATTGCACGATTTGGCCAGGCTGTCAAGGATAGCTTTGGCAGAAAATGAAATGGCATGGTGCAGGGAGCGAGAGCGAGAGCGAATGTGATTCATATTGTGTGTAGTTCAGTTTATACAGCCAGAGTGGTGCAAGACTGAGAACGTGTCTGGAGAGATTCTTTGTTTCGTTTGGGATCATCTACATGTAACCCGGAAGGTATTGGGGTTTTCTTTTTGTCGCACTGCGGAATATAGCAAAGGAGGGATTTGAGCATGACATAGTTTTTGGCTAACAGTATACAAAGACAAATATCATCGTGTTTCAACGTAGGGGAGAAGATGTCCATGTTGGTATGCATGCCTCTCCAAGTCATGAATCATAAATTCCAGCCTCTTTTCTCTTATATTTCTCCTTCTTTTTCTCTCAATTCTCGTTACTTTCAGTTCATATCGATACATCATTCAGCATAACATTCACGCCTCCTTCTTCGGCTCCCAAAACGCCACATGCACCCCTTGTCCCGGAGACAGCACAATATCCGATTTCAGCAGCGGATCCCCGCCGTCAATCTCGTGCATGAAGCTCTGCACCCGCTCGAACCTCTGAAAGATGCGGCACAGCGTGTAGCCCATCTCGGTGAGGGCAAACTGCTGGCCGATGCAGATCCGCGGGCCGGCGTTGAAGGGGATGTAGTCGTGCGGCTTCGGGTGCCACGCGGCCCAGCGCTCGGGGCTGAAGATGCTCGGGTCGGCGAACGTCTCCGAGACGGGCGGGTACAGGTCCGGGCGGCGCTGCATGACGAGCGTTGAGTATCCGACGGGCGTGTCCCTGAGAACGGGGAGCGGCTCGGAGCCGTCCGGACCGCCGCCCCGGGGCAGGGTCGTGTCCTTGAGAGCGACGCGGACGTTGAACGGCACGGACGGGTAGAGGCGGAGCGTCTCGTTGAGGACGGCCCTGAGATACGGCATGGCCTTGAGGTGGTCGTACGTGGGGAGGCGGTCCTGGCCAATGGTCTCGAGGATCTCGCCCCGCAGGCGGGCCACGGCGTGAGGGTGCCGGCCGAGCTCGTAGATGGCCCACGAGAGGGCCGAGGCGGTGGTGTCGCGGCCGGCGAGCAGGACGGCGACGATTTGGTCGCGCAGCACTTTTGGATCGCGGGTGAAGCTGGCGAGCTCGTGCAAAAAGGTGTAGTCCTTGTCGGATTTGGTGTGGGCGGCGAGTTCCTCGGGACTCATGCGCAGGGCGCGCTGGATGAAGTGGTTGACGAAGTGGTTCATGACTTTGAGGCCGTCGTGGTAGGACTTTTTGGGGATCAAGGGCTGGAGCTTGTAGGCGCGGGCGAGGATGTTTTGGACGCGTTGGACTTCGTTGAAGGCTTCGGCAAACTCTTGTTTTGGAGTTCTAACAGGAGTCAGTCATGGAGAACAAGATGTCCAAAGCAAATCTCACGTTAGGGATTTCACGTCACTTCCTAGCAAAAAGTCGGTAGCAACGTCGAGCGTATAGCGGAAGAAGAGGTCGCGAATGTCCATCCGTCGTCCGTCAGCACGATCAAGATCAACCACCTGATTCTCGCCTTCCAACGGGCCCCCATTCGCCATGGTCCTAAACAACGTCTGGATATGAGACTCAAAGCAGTGCAGGTCGCTCACGCGGTCCCTTGTAAACTGCGGCCGGATAAGCTGGCGGCTGTTGTGCCACTGCATGCCGTCCGTGGTGAAGATGCTGTCGCCGAGGAAGGGCGCCCACTCTCTGTGGAACTGCTCGCCCTTGCCAAAGTCGTGGAACTGCGTGGCCAGCATGGCTTTGATGTTTTCGGGGTCGGCGGTGAAGCAGACGCGCTGGTTGAGGATGCGCATCTCGCAGGTCCACGAGTTGGCGAAGAAGACGTCTCTCCAGAGCTCCATGTTCTTGTGGGCAATGGTGGCGCGGATGCCGTAGTAGATGAAGTCGAGGGCTATTTGGAGGTGTGTATACGTTAGTTGTGGATTATCTTTTCGTGATTACATTTATACATCTTATAGAGCCATGTGTGGCACAAGTGAAGGAGGTAATTAGGGTCATGGCTAACCGAATGGGAACCGGGATGGGAGCGAAGGGCCATAATTGCCGAGTTTCTTGATCCGTCGATGCTCCCTTGTGCGGTTGATTGTCATGAAGAATGCTCCAATGCCAACCAAGGCGATGAAGAGCTTCTTGATGGAAGCATGCTCCAACAGAGCCTCGATTAAACCCATGATATTTAGTACTCCAAGGGGAAAGCTATACGGTTATTTCTGGTTTAACGTCTGCCAGTGTCGAGTGGCCATGTAAGCTGAAGAGGCATGAAAGCTATAGAATTCGAGTTGAAGGGCAATTTTGCTCGGCTTGAATAAGTAGATGAATAAATAAAGTCACTCTTCTCAATTCATATATTTAGTTACCGCCCTTGAAATGAGATGAATAGTGAAACTCCAAGGGTAGGGCTTGAGAAGCTCTTGGAAAAGACAAGGAGAAGGGGGCAAACGCAAGGTGGATGATGAGATATTATCAGAGGCGAGAAGGAGGAGACTGGTCATTATGAAGCAACCAAGCAGCTTAAAAAGCAGGGCGTCAAAGGTTGCTGCTTCGGACCCTTAAACATCTCCGGGAGGGCTAAAGTAGCTGGTGGGGGAGTTGAAGCGAATTGGCTAATTGAAGCCACCAATACCATGCATTCCTGGCATCATATTCCGGGTGGGAGTAACACAGACATGCAGATTTTCACTCTTCAAAGTGACGCCAGTCTCTAGGTCGTAATGGTTATCATCATCTTTAATATCATTCGTCTATAAGAGGGCTTTCAATACCATGCTCTCAGCTCCACAGCCAGAGCCGCATATCGAAATCTCGCAGAATTACGCTCGCTACAAGCAACTGACTGGTTGTATGTTCCATTTTCTCGGTCCCCTCTAGAGGTAAACGTGACACATCGATCACCTGTTAATGTCAATTGGATGCTGTCCAGCCGAGGCATGTTCATACCGTCGTGACGTTGACGTCGATGATTCGTCCGATTCATCTGCAAGCCCGTTCGTGTAATAGCGGGGTAAGGGGAATTACCTACCCAGGTGGGCATGAGAACTGTAAATCATCGTTTATTGAATTCGTGCTCATGTGATTTTGTGTGGACATAGCCCGGCTTTTTACTGTTTTGTAACATGCAGGACGATTCTAAAGAGTTGATGGCGATTTGGAGAGGTTTGTTGCATAGTAGTATACAATACAGGGTAACGAGTGCAGAGTTCATAATGCCCTCCATGATAGAGGTCATCGTATACGAAATAACTACAGGGTATCTAATTCGTATTAAAGAAGATGAAGATGTCTCTAGATCCTTGAATCTTCCATGACTGTAATCATTATATTACTAGATGGATATTTTGATCTCGAGGTAGTATGCAATGCGGTTGCAGCGTCGGGATCCACATCTCGAATGCATTCACAAACATGCTTCCCCGCAAAAAGGCCAATCAGGGTCGATGACATTGAATCAAGAGCATTCCGGTTTAGATTCCTTTTCTGAATCGTAAATTAAAGAGCATATACAAATTATTGCCAGTGGCTATTACCTTGGGTAGGTAGGTAATAGCCCGTAGTTTAGGCTTCGAGGTCCAAGCTCCTGACATGTGCATCCAGATCTGGTTCTTGGAAGAACTTAGCCAATTGTACATCTCATTTCTCATTTCTCATTTCAAAAAAAAAAAAAAAAAAAAAAAAAAATCTACTATTGTCCAGCATGTATCATCCCGTCGTAGCATTGCATATTGCTTCAAAGCACAGCTATCGTAATAATCAAGTATACACCAGAATCAGCAAACCCCACAAGAAAACCAGATCCATCCGTACTAGCGCCCGCTCTCCCCACAAGCCACGAGCCCAGCCCACTATCAACTACACCCAAACCGCAGCATCGTCATCTTCCGTCAAACCTCTCTCCATAACCCTCACCCGCCCCAACGCTTCTCCGCCATGTCCAGCTTTCCTCCCGACTCCCACGCGCCCACGCCCCCGATCCTCCCTCCCAAACCCAGCAGCCAGGAGCCCAGCCGCATCGGCACTCCGGCAACCGGCGCAGCGCCGCCTCCACCACCGTCGACCTTGTCCGAAGCGGGGCAGCAGTATCGGAGCTCCGTGATAGCTGGCCTGGATGCAGCGGCAACAGCAGCAGGAGGAGTGCCGACACCGCCGCCTGCTCCAGCGGCGGTAGCGCCCAGGGCTGCCGATATCCCCGATCCGGGAGACCAATGGCTTCCGCAGGTGCTCCAGGATAAATCGTGAGTTTCCTTGTCCGTGTCTCGTCAATACAAAAACCAACGGGCTAACCTCACTCTCTCAAAACAAACAGCATCCAAGACCTCGCCGACATCCTCTCCAACCCCTCTCTCCTCAACGGCCTCACAAACTCCCCCTCCTCCATCCACCCTTCCCTCCAAGCCTCCCACCAAGACCTCCTCGCCGCCCTCTCCTCCAACATGGACCTCGCCACGCGCCTCTCCGAGCTCGAGTCCCGCCTCGCCCACCAGCGCTCCGCCGCCCAGGCCCAGCTGCTCTCCATGCATGCCCTCGAGCGCCAGTGGCGCCAGAAGCAGTCCGACATGGACCTCGCCCTTGCGCGCTTCAGCCCCTCCGCGCTCTACCAGCTGCTCAACCAGAGCGTCCAGGAGCAGGCTCTCGTGTGCCAGGCCATGGAGGAGAGTTTTCTGGATAGAGATGGCGTCGACGGCGGTGGTGGAGAGGCGACTACGTCCGAGAGGGAGGCCGCTGAGTGGATTAGACGTTATAGGGAGGCAAAAGTGCAGTATTACCTGCGGCAGGAGCGTAAGGACAGGTGGGATGAAGGCCGAGTCGGTGGTTGGAGGTAATCTTTCCTTGGTTCTCGTTTTTGGGTTTGGTTTTCAGGAGAGCGTCAGGGGACCACATGGTGTTGCGTTGCTGATAGAAGGCGGGTGTCTATACCAAAAGGTCAATTTTGTTTTCATGGATTTAGATTATGGCACGGATTATTTGGCTGCTACCATGTTCGTTTTACTCCGTAACGAGCTGGCTATATAGATGATATATACCCCCTCTCATAAAAGACCTTCATCTTCAATTTTGGACTCTTATTACTCGCCTACGGGATTGTCTTTCTCCATCATGACGCACATACGAATGGCAGCAAAAAGAGCATCATAAGGTGCGAACAAAATGTATGAGCTTCATAATGGAAACTCTCAATTATTTGGTTACCATCTACACGAAGAGTACGACTGTTTTGAGTTTAACATGAAGGGGAAAAAGTCTATATCACCGAGCTTCTTTCTCTCTATGTGGCGGGCTTTGATGAAAGGATAGCGTCCCGAGGGTATCAGTATCAATGTTACAAAATTGTGACAACAGGCTATGCAATGCTGAAATTGGTCGTCTTTTTTCTTACTTTTTTTTTTCTTCCTTGCCTTGCTTCTTCGTCTTTCCAGATTTCTCATGGAAGCGCCGTATCTTAAAGGCCCGGGCCGAGAGCGCTAAACGGGCTCTTGATCATGTCTGGGCTCCGGGGGCTCATTGGCATTGCAAACAGGCCATCTTCAGCATCGTTAGAGCTAGACTGTAGAGGGGCCATGTCGCCGCTAAGAGCAGCATCAAGAGATATCGGGCCGGATGGGCGGCTGCGGGAAATGGCCGAGAAGGAGGATACGGCAATGTCACCTCCCAGAGGGGATAGCATGTGAGACTGGCTATCAGGGGTTGTAAACGTATTTGCTAGGTCAGAGGCACTTTGTGTTAGTTTGAGATGACGAGTAGTGGAATGACGGAATTACGATTTTCTCTTCTCTCTCTGGCGGGCAGCTTACCTGCTGGGCTTGGCACCAGATCTGCCGGTGAAGTAGCCAGACGCAAGCCCTTGAGCTTGTCGCCAAGGCGTCCAGAGACGGGGGAGCGAGGACTGGTAGGAGCAGGTGCTGCAGGAGCACGCAAGAAGTTGTCAACGATCCACTGCTTCTCTGCCAGAGCCATCTCAAGGCCTACACTCTCCGCGTTTGCCCTCATCTCGGCTTCCATCTCCAGCTCGAGCTCCCTTAGGCGCTTCTTGGCCCATATCGTATGCAACACGCCTCGAGGGCCAGATTCCGCCTGGAAATGCTCCGGGAATATGGCCGGCAGCGGTTTGAGAATCAGACTGGCCCGCCCAGGGCGCGCAATAGTTACCGTTGGCGGCACCTGTGCCTCAGGAGGCAGCATGAAGTAGACACGGCGTCGGGCGTCGTTCTCATCGGTATCTCTGGCGGGAAGGAAGGTAGACTTGCCCGGCCACGAGACCTCCCAGACAGCGGCATCAACGACAGGACTGGAAGGTACGCGGGCTGGCGCAGCCGATGCATTATCGACAGCATCACCAGCAGCGCTGGCCTCATCGCGGGAGACTTCGCCAGCGGTAGAGTTCGTATCTTGGCCGGCCAAGGCGGAGGCCGTGGTCGCAGCGGCTCCAGGATACCACTCGACCATTAAGATCTTGGTGCCGCGGTCGCTGAACTCGAACCGAGCTAGATGCGTGGCAACGGGAGCTGTGTCCAAGGCCGCGGCGTCAGGGGGTGTGAGAAGCTTATCTTCAGCATCATCCCTGGCGACAACAGCACTGTCGACGGCAGCTGGGGTAGCTGGCTCGAGAGTTGATCCGACAGCCGGCTCGTTGGCAGCAGATGGAAGTCCTTGTTGGTGCTGGTGAAGGTGCTGCTCAGCATTGTCGTGCGCATGCTCCTTTTGGGACTGACCATCGCGCTCGAGCTCGAGCTCAGCGTCAGCTGTAATAGATGGCCGAAGAGGCCCCGATGATGGATCCATGGAGAGAGAGTTTGAGAAATCAGGAAAACAGAGATAAAAATCCGTACGATGGCGGCTCGATTGGTTGGTCCTTTGGATGTAACAGCAATGTCCGGAGCTCGGTGATTTTCGGATCAGAAGTCGGGGAATTCTTGTTCTTTTCCCTCTTAGATCTTCTTCGTTGTTAAGGTCGCAGTAGGTGCATGATCGCTGCTCCAGGTTACGGCCGTCTTTTGGTTCAACGTGTAAGAGGTCTATCAGACAGAGAGTTTAGACAATGGTTGGATGGCGGCGAGTTGAGCTGAGTCGAGTTAAGAAGCTGGCCGGCTGACATAATTGGAAGAGGGGGCGGGCGGAGCTGTTTCCGTGCGGCGCCACGACGAGGAACCATCGTCTGTGACTTGATTTCAAGAAAAGAAAGAGCGCTGCTTCTTGCTCTATTCTCCAAGCTTCACAGTTTCTTCTTTTCCAGAGGCTTCGATTGTTTACTACTTATATGTTTCCTCCTTGGCGATGGACAAGTCTTTAATACTACCACCGGCGACATTGAATCCTACCAATTCCTGTAGGTACCTGTAGGAGCGCAGAAGCCCCTCTAAAGACCGAGGTCTAGTCCGAGCGAGAGGTTATAAATAGCTCGATTAGTAGTGGATGGGACTCTGTAAATAGCACCAGATTTGGTTGAAGAACTGCTGGAGCTAGTACAGTAGCTGTGGGTAATGCGACTCAGTCGCTCGTGCCGTTAGCTGCGTATTCTGCACGATTTGTGATTCATTACCTGCAGCATAGCATTAAGTTGAGTGCACTTGATGTTCAAAATACCTTTATAGGTACTCTAATGGTGATACATTGAGGTTAACGGCTTGTTTTTCGCAATTAAATCTATGTTTGCTTGTCTGATTTCCTAGATTCTGTAGCGCTGTATAAACTTGACACTCATCTAGCTCATACCGCGACGTACAAGTGCTTTTAAGCCGCAGCACACCAAGTACTACCTACTAGGTTCATGTAAGGGGCTCTACTTCCAACTCAGCCGCATTATCATGGCTCTTCATACTGCTACTAGCAGTAATACTAAGCTACCACTTGTCCAGCCCATTTACTTGATGTCAACTCTACAACGAGGCGTGATGCGCTCTCCAACGATTTCCAAAAGTAAGCGCAAGCAGAGGGCGGGGAATAGGCCAGGAAATACCGGCTTTTACAAATTTCGGCTCGTTCGGTGGAGTTGATACAACCATGGCGGGGAGCGAAGGTGTTTAATTTGCTGACATCCAAAACATGCCTGCTCATGTCCGGGCGTATTTCAGCCGAGCAGGCACAGATGGCGAAGCTGGGGCAAATGTTGGGGGGTTTTTTTTTTCACGACATGCCGAAAATTCTCCTCCCAATAGCTCCCGCAGGTTCAGCACATGGTGCTTAAGGTAATGTCTATGCTTAATATACAGTATGCGCCGGCTTGAGAGGCTTGACTACCATGATACCATGATACCTGCCTGGCTGTCCTGCATGCTTTTATATTTTGATCTGCAATCATAATAGCGAATGGAGCAAAAATAGGGCTGGCAAGTTTGGACGGAATATAGATAACATGGACTACTAATTGCTCTTCATTTCAATGAACTTGCTCTTCACTTGAGGATGGCCCCGTCACATAATCCTGTTTTCCCTCATCCAGAATTTAAAGCCCCATTCGCGGACATCGTCTTTGTGCCCTCCGCAACAATAGGTTCTCTATAATAGTGAATATTGCCTGCCGTAGCTGGTCCCATCTAGATTACAAGCAGAGATGCACTCACTCAGCTGTAACAGGGGCAGCGCTCGCTCCAACACCTAATTACTAATTACCTACCTAGTAGTGACTGTGTCTACTCCATACCTGATCTTACCCATCTTCTCTGGCTAATGGTAATTTTGTTTGGCAATCAAAATCAGAGCCCTTGGCAACTTTGTCAGCGCTGGACGCAACAAGGCTAGTAGCTGATGCCGGCTTCTAACCCAGCCGTCCAGCGGCGTCCCTTCAAGATGTTACCCGGCCAAGGCCAATTTGGAAGTTGGCAAGGAATATATAATGTACAGAAGAGGCTAATGAGATGACACGACAGATATTGGACCCTCTCGAATAATGCTCATCATTTCTACGCTCTGCATCTTGCTGCCCAGCCGCATCAGAAATTAGGCAGCTCGACAAATTAAGCATCCGATAACAGGTGCAAGACGTGCTGGGCATCGTCGCTTGTCTTTGCGGTACTCGGCTCACGGCAGCGGTCCCTGGTCTCATGCAGAACCGAGCGTCTTTTTCTCTTGCCACTCGTATTAGTATAGTAGGTACTGCGAGTGGGCAGTTCAAGAAGGATAGACAGCAAGCAACTGTTACCATGTTTTACCACGAGGAGTCTTACATAATCTGGAGTAATTAGCAGGGATACTAGTACTAGTAGTGTTTAGAGGGGCCCGCCACTCATAGCAATTTGTGGAAAACGCTGCCGTAGCTCGTTCTTTGTTCTCTTTTTACTACGACGGCCACGCTACGGTGACATGTGCAAAGTTTGGAATACTTCGTATAAGGTACTTGAGACACGAGTGATGCACCTGCTGCCCTTCATGTATCGCCTCCCACGTGATGCTGTCTGATGCCCGTTCGCTATAGATGGGTATGGCGAGATCCACGCTGTCAGGCGAGTGTCGTCTCATGAATTCTCAAGTGGCATGGATCATCAAAAGACTTGGCAGAATGAATGGCAGTCCCACTCCCGCTGGCATCTCAGCTCTGCCGCTAAAAGGAAGAAAAAAAGAAAAAAAGACAGCGAGCAGACCCTCCACGGCTTGGTCAAAGTTTCTTCCGCCAGGGGCCTCCCCCCAAATGCAGGCGCATCTCCGCTTTATCGCTAGCAGCACGGCTCAGATCCGCCTTTGGCCAATGGCATGGCGCAGGTTCCTCTTTTTCCGGTCCTCGTCTAGGCCTCTTCAGGCTAGACCGGCGCTAGACTCGAAACCTACCGTGTCACTGAATTGCCGTGCTCGCCAGGTTTTTTGGCGCCGGTTTCTTTGCTCTAGCGCTGTGTCGAGCGCTGCAGCTCAGCGGCCGTGGTGGTCTCTGCCCTCTGGTCGCCCAGCAATCCGCAGCGGCCCTGTTTCGCTTCTGGCTCGCCATCTCCATTTCCATCTCCATCTCCATCCCCATCTCGCGATCTCAGCGCTCCTCCTTGCATCAAACCTCAAATCGTCCTCCCCGTGCCGGATTGCACCTCCAGTCGGCCAATTCGACGCTGGCGCCGCCGCATCGCTCGTAGAAACCACAATTCGGCCCGCTCCTCTCGCAATCACCCTAGACGCTGGTACCTAGACAAGACGGACGACGAGAAACAAACAATTGCCGATTTTGTGTGTTTCGGCTCCCAGCTCGCCTCCTCTTGGCGACGCCCTTCTTCCCGACCGGCCGATTTTGAGGCTTCATCGCGGTCGATCGGGGGAAGCCGTCGACAGGTGTTCTCTGCGGCTTCTTGGGGCTGCTTCGTTTTGAGAGCTGCTCCTGGCTTCCTAGTTTGACCATCGTCGCCGTAGTACCGCCCACTAGACGCCAACCTTGCCGCCATCGCGATGGATCCTCCCAACAAAAGAGGCTCTGCTTTCCGCAGGAAACCGGTTCAAAGAGAATCTTTGGGGCTGTCTGACGAAGACGGTAGCGACAACGAAAATTTCGATTTGGCTGCGGCCACTGTGTCCGACGGCTTTCGACCAACAAACCCATCACCGACCGACAGCTCATCAGTATTCTCGACGACAAACAATCCCACCAGTGCCTCGGCCGCCTCTTCGCAAGCTCGATTATTGTCTCAAAGCCCAACCCACGAACAGGCGCCGACTTCCAGCCTCTCCAAGCCTTCAGCATCAGCCTCTGCCCGCCCATCAAGCGCAGTCAAGCCTCCCCGGCCTCATGATTCACTCACGCTCCGCGGCGATGGTTCAAACCCTCTTCAAACCGACCCGTCATTATCATCAGCGCTAGCGTCGCACACAGATGCGCCTCAGATTCGGCCTCAGAGTCCTTATCGAGGCCCCACCGGTCCTTCACATCCGTATCAAATGTACCTGCAGAGAACACTGAGCAACGGTACGGCCTCTACCGACCAAGCTACAAGGCGCGGCCCTGCGCATCCGTATACCCTCTACCCACAAAATACCGTCACCAGCGGCGACGAGACGCCTAATCAGATACCCATTGGCTTTTCGACATCTGGCGATGGTTATCAGAGGCAAATCGGCCCAGATGGAGAAGACGTGGGAGGCTTGGTTGGCCCCTTGGGGCATACCGAAGAGCTGCCTCCTTACACGAGATACCCCGACCAGGCTGTTGTCCGAAAGGCTACCCCCCCTGCAGCTGTGCTGCCAGAGGATGGCGCATCTAATAATCCACATGAAACCGATACTGGAGCCGGGGGAATTGGGGTAGCGACCCGGAATCCAGAGTTTTCATCTACAGAAGAAGACCTTCAGCCTTCACAATCTAGGCCATCCACTCGCAGCCATCACGACATTAACACTGCTGCACAAGATCAGGCAGAAAAGCCCCAGATGAGCAAATGGCAGCGTAGGGCAAAGAAGAAGCTCTGGGGCATCGTGCCGTATTGGGCAATATGTCTACTTATTATAGGTGTTGTTCTAGTTGGCGTTATATTGGGCGCTGTCATCGGAACGGTTTTCTCGCACCATAGACCGCCAAATTTCGGCTCAAGGTATGTCTCCCTTCACCCTTGGTTTTCATTTGGCATTTCATCATTTATTGACGTGTTTGAGTAGTTATCCCCAACCGTTTCCGACACCAACGTCTGATGTCATACCGTTGCCCAATGTCCCTCCACGTCTACCCCATCTACCTACTGGCACCTATGAGCTGCCACTTCTGATTCCTAACCAATCGCCCAAGGGTTGCTTCAACGATACCAGACAAAGTGCTGCTTGGAGTTGTAGCATACCCACTAGCTACTACGAAATGAAGCTCGGCAATATGACAAACGAAAGAGCGACTTCATGTTATAACCTCTCTCTCAAGGCCGTCAGTCTCGTCGATTCCCGGTTTCTCTGGGGTGCCCAGCCTCCTAATATTGATGGTGAAACTTTGACACTTGTCAACGACACCTCTGACCTTCGCCGTGGCCCGGCGTGGTGGCTCAAGGTGACCTATGACAAGATAGTCGTGGTCGCTGAAAATGCTTTCCCCCCTCCTTCCACGACCAAACGTTGGGACAACATGGGTGCATCATTTGACGATTATGATGTAGTCCGAATGAACAAACCAATCGGAGCTCAAAACGGCGATAAACCCTGGATATGTACCTGGCCTGGTACGACACTCGAAGTTTTCATCTACCCCATCCAGAATTCCAGTGTTGGGGCCAACCCAACTTCAGGTACAGCGACTTCATCAGCGGCCTCGCCGACGAGCTCTGTGCCCAACCCATATGCAGCGGAGGGTTTATTCCCTTACCCCAAAAGCGTCAAGTTTTTAGAAAAACGAGATGCTGGCAATACTCCCAGACCATTCTGTCGCCAAGTCCGAGTCGTCGATAATGGGCGTGGCATAGCGAATGTGACGGATAGTTTTGGGAACCCCGTTCAAATACAGATCAATGAGAACTATGACTCGGATGACGATCAGGAGACATCCCAAAATAAGCGCTCGCTCCGAAAGAGGTGGAATCAATCTTGGAACTCTCAGAAAATGGAGCAGTTGACACCTTGCGGCTGTCTTTGGTCGTCTTGATCTCTCATCTGTCGTCCTTTTCTCCCTGCCAGCACATGGATGATGTTTGGCATTTTTCTATTCTCTCTGTTTTATCTATGGCGCTGTAATCTCTGCCCGGGCTTCTTTGATTACGGCGTTTCGGCAAAGGTGCTTGATTTGGGCCGATATGATTTTCTTGCCCCTTTTCTTTATCGTACACAAAAAAGGAGGCTCTCTTTCCTTCATTCAAAGGCGTTAGATTTGTCTTGGTCTTATTTGCATGTTGTAACAGCTATTGTTCATACGGCGTTGGAGGATTTCTTCTTTTTTTCCCTAACGCTTTTATACATCTGCGGCCTATGAGCCCAGCGCGCGCTTTTCTCTGTTCCTCTTGAGCCCACTTGTCTTGTCTTGAGGGGATGGGGAGGAGGATTTGTATTTTTTTTTTTGTTGCTATTATTCTGGTAGTAGACTAGGTAGGCCGCCATGTTTCTTCCGGCGAAGACTTGCTCTATTGTCGGGTCGGCTTGAACCGATCCGAGGTGAATGTCATGTGTTATTTTTCATGTTTAGGGGAGAAAATGGTTACGAATGGAGAGCACATTATAGCTAGTTAGGCAATAGACTTGCTGATTAGAAAAGAGATGGGGAAAAAAGGAAGAATTCTGTGTACCTATCATCGCGTTTGAGTGTCTTCTGCGGTGATGTATGCCTAGGCACGTTTCCTTGTTCATATATTGTTCGGCAGTTTAAAGTCGGATGAATGTACTCCACGAGCCCCTCTGTGTTTTCATCTTTTTCCTAATCACACATGAGATTATCTCTTGAGATCATGTTGGATACCTGAAGTTGAATCTATTCATAAAATACACCAGACAGGCCAGAAGCTGCATAAAGAATAGACGGCATATCGTACATTATGATAATCGAAAGAAAAACGCCTGCTCCCAATCCGTCCAAGAAAATGTTCCCATCTAGCGCCCATGCATATATCATCCCTAATTTTCCCTACAAATCACTAAAAAAAAAAAGCAACCGTTCAAAATGTAGTGTAGCCGAGATGTCTCACACACGATCTAAACATTCTTCCGGAATCCGCATACATCGAATCACTGCCAGCATCTGAGGACAAGAGTCAAGTAGCCACGGGCTGAGCAGCGGGAGCAGCCGTCTCCCCCGTCGTCGAGCGAATCTCATCACCGACAATGTCCTTTCTCCCGTCGCGGAAATCTCGCATCAGCGACAGGAAGATTGAGTTTTGCCACTTCTCGCCGCTCTCGTGTTTGACGCAGTCGAGTAACTTCTCGGCGGCTTCGGCGACGGCAGACTTGGGGTGCTGGACATCTACCTGTTCTCTTTCCGGCTCCGGCTCTTGTATTTGCTCTAGGATGGGCTCTGGCTGGGCTTCTAGCACTCTCGCGTCGTCGTTGAGCGCCAGGTTGCCGATTTCGGGGGTGTCGAGATCCGTTAGCCGAGAGGCCTTGACTGCTGCAACTATTGCTTCGGTCTCCTCCAGCTCGAGGGCCATTTGCTCCATGGCAGCGTCCACCTCCTTCATGTTGCCGCCTCCGTGGGCGGACATCCAGCGGGACATTTCCTGGTCAAATTCTGGCTTCGCCACGGCGGCAGCTGGAGGGCTGAACATGGACGGCGCGAACGCGGACGCAAAGTTTGGCTGTGCAAAGGAAGGCTGGAAGGCGGTCTGAGCCGGAGAGTGGTTCATTTGGCGGGATGCGGCCAGAGTCGTTGGAGCAGGCGACCGCTGCTGCGTGAAGCGGTTGAAGTCGGTGGCCCAGCTGCTCCCGCCCGCCATGGGCGCTGCCATCTGGTGCATGGGGCTCGAGAAGCTGGGAGGAGCTGCTACGTGTGCTGGTGCGACTTGTGCAAAGGGCAGCGACGGCGTCAGTCTGGTGGCGGGATCGCTCTCGAAGCCGGGCAGGGCAGAGGCGCCGCCCATGAAGGCGCCAAAGTCATTTTGCTGGCCTTGGGCGGGATGCAGCGGTGAAGAGCGGAAAGCCTGTGACTTCAAGGTTAAAAATGTTAGCACCGACAGTATCGCGACGCGAGTTGGAGCCTCGTGGCGCAAAAGCGACGGGCACAGAGTGAATGCGTACGTTCTGGCCAAACGCCCCTCGGCTCACATGTCTGTCTTGATGGTGGCTGAGGTCGCGAGACTGGTGGTCGACGAGGCGCTTGAAGGGCGTAGAGCCGCTGCAGGAAGCGTCTTCCATGGTTGCTGAATTGTATGAGGCGGTAGAGAATGTCCTTTGTGAGCGGTAAAAGTCGAAAGAAGACGTGAAGAGTTGTACGAGAAGGAAATACTGTAAGACGTGGTTTGGTTTAGACGAAGCTTTATGACATACGAACGAATTATAGAGGGGCCCCGGCTGACAATAGCCTCGGCGAAACCGGGGGTGGCGGACCTGGACCGGCGGCAACTGGAAGTTGTGTGCTGTAAGTGTAAGTGTGAGCTGGAAGCTGCTGTTTTGAGCTGCTTGGATATAAATGGAGAAAAAAAGGATGTATAGTTGGATTAACTAAAAAGTGGAAGGGAGCAAAAAGAAAATCTCTTCCAACTTTTGCTGAACCTGTAGATGTAAATGATGAATGAATTGTGCTTGGAGATTCCATTCCAAGTCGGCCGTTGAATGGACCGAGGTGCAAACGCAGGTACCGATGCCAGTCCGTACTGCGCTTGTGATGAAAATGGACTAATGGCCATGTGACTTGAGCTGCTAAATCTGGAGAAGACAATTACTTAATACATCTTACATAAGCCTTCCTATTTGGGATGACAGACTGTCAGAGTGTCGAACTGTTCCAAATTGTGGCAGGACGGCAACTGAGTCAAGTAGCACAGAGAGCTGCATCGGGTTGAAATCACGGCATTAATTGGGCGTAGATCAGTGACACATAGACCTGACAAGGGCCAGAGTATGAGCGCATGGAATCTCAACTGGAGAGCATCCGAACCTCCGCCTCGATATTCTTCGTACTGTGCTGCGCCGCTGAAAGGTACTTGCTTCCCTGTGGCACCCTTGCTTCTGGGGCGGGGAAGCCGGCTGAGACTAAAGCAGACAGGGGTCACAGCCCATCATCTCAGGAGCCTACATGTAGACAGCGAGATCAGGCCGAAACAGCGCTATACACTTGGCGGCGCTTGCTTCCAATTCTCAGCTCTTGAATAAGAGCGGTCGATATGGAGGTGGAATGTTGGAATTGGAAGCTGCTCTTTTCTTCCCGTCAATATGTGCTACAAGTCCGTACTAGTTGTCCATGCATGCATGACATTCTATTGCCGGAAGCGGTAGGAACTTGTGTACATGTTTAAACAGCCTGAAGATGAGGATTTGCGATTGATTGATTCAATTCATTCAGCAAAAGTCTGGAGTCATGAATTGGAATGGATCATATCTACTAGTAGGTACCCGTTACCCTTGCGCTAATGCTGGCTGGCACTTGACTGCCGTATCCACACGCGATCGAGGCAGTTGACGGGAATTGCAAGTATCGAACACGAGGCACGCGACAGCCCGATGGCAGCAAGAAATACCCGGGTCGTTGCATGTTGGACTCGGAATCGAAGCTTGGCAAATATACACAAAAAGTAAATCAAGATACTTCGTACTCGCTCCCAGTCTCTCCGTAGAGCCACATCACATGCACAATTTTAGATGCTACTGCTGCCAAGACTTTGCGGCCAATATACCCAGGCCGACGATGCGCTCTTACTAACATTACAATATTGAATTTCCCCGTTTGGTCCCAACATTGCATAGGCAATACTTGTATTAGCAATAGTAATGACCTTGCTCACAGTAATACCTAGCCCCTACCCAGGCATGCACAAGTATGTAAGCGTGAATAACACGAATAGCCGCGGCCGGCACGGATATTGTAGAAGCGCGGCATGAGGCTACAAGATGCTGCGCTGGTATTTCGCCTGAATTGCGCTGCGACATGAAGCCGCCACCACCGCGAGCTCAACGTGCACCAGAGACAGCAAGGCGCGCGCTGAGAGACAGACGCACCAGTTACATGCGCTGTAGAGGTGCCTTGCGTTTCGCATAGTGGTTGGCTGGAGCACTTGATGCCGCAGAGCTCCAGTCGGTACCTGCGACGCAGAGAGCGGCCAAGTACCTCTTTGCCCTTCCCCTGAGGAGCCTAAGCCCAATGGCTCCAGAGGCTGGGGACTGCTGGAGACACCCCCAGAACCCGGTGACCGCCCTTGAGGCTACAGTACAGACAGCACAGACTAATCCCTAGACTGGAGCCTCCACTGCTGGAGCTGCTACTGTAGTGCTAGCAATGCCAACTCTCCACTCCCCCTTGCAACTCTGCGCGAATGTGTCGAGCCGTGTCTGCTCATCAATTACGGATACGGCAGCGCGTTCGTCCTCGCAACTCCTCCAAGGTGTGGCCCATAATTGTCCCCGATTCACAGCACAACTCACGCTCATTCTAGCGGCGCTCGGGCGGAGAGACTCTGCCGATGACACGCGAGTGGACACTCCGCTGAACCCCCAGAAGAGGCCAACCAGATCCCGGGCATGGGCATGGCATGGGCACGAGCCTTGGTAACAGAAAAGTTGTGAACCCCGTCTGGACGCCCCTTCATTACTGCGACTATGTCCTCCAACCGCTCTCCAAGCCCGCCGCCAGCTTCTCAACCGCAACCTCAACCGCACCCTCACCCTCAATCCCAATTTACATCTTCGTTCGACTACCCAGCACGCCCTCGGCGCCGATCCTCCATTACCATCGACACAGTCTCCACCGAGCCCTTCCCCGATTTCTCTCGATCTGCCGCCGCCGCTTTGGCTGAGGGTGAAGCAGAGGGCGCGTCCACGAGCACGTTTGTACCGGCCTCGCCATATGCTCTCACGGGCGCCATTTCTGCATCAGTCGCTTCCTCGCGGGCCGGTGGACGACCCGACGACAGTACAAACATCGAGATGGAGCCCATTGTAGGACACAGGAGACGGAAGAGCGCCGCCATGAACTCCCCTGGCCTGCCCCAGGCCGCTCCAGGGAGGCCAATGGCTGGTGGTAGTGGTGGTAGAACACACCTTTCGGCCAACCCAACTGATCACCTGGACGGCTTTGAAGAGAATGGAGGGAGCAGCAGCACATCAATCGGCTCCGGCAATGAAGACGAGGCGAGAGGTAGACCCAGCTTCAGCGACGACGATTTACACAGCGATGAGGAGACGGGACTCAGCAACAAGGAGCGCGCCCGGAGGCAGAAGAAGCGCCAAAGAATCACCCAGCTGGGGCAGCGCATTGTGCGCGACAAGAGTCTGTCGACGGAGGAGCGCCAAGAGGCGGACAAGGACGTCGTCAGGAAACTGCTCGTCAACATGTTCTTGATTCTACTGTGGTACTTTTTCTCACTGTCAATTTCACTGGTAAGTTGAAAACAGCCAAGAATGCGCCGGGGTTCGCACGACCGGGTTTTCTTTTTATTTGTTTCTGACACAATTGTCTCGCAGTACAACAAATGGATGTTCGATAAAGATCGCCTCAACTTTTCGTTTCCTCTTTTTACCACGTCACTGCATATGGTGGTGCAATTCCTTCTCTCAGCCTTGGTTCTCTATTTTGTACCATCGCTGCGGCCACAGCGATCCCACGCATCTGACATGGGCAGATCTCGCCATGAGGTTGAGGCAAGCGGCGCCTCCATGTCCAAGATGTTTTACCTGACGAGAGTTGGGCCCTGTGGTGCAGCCACTGGCCTGGATATTGGCTTGGGCAACACCTCGCTCAAGTTTATCAGTTTGACATTTTACAGTAAGTGAATCATATCATTTCTGCTATAGGCAGGCAATCTCGCGGCCTCTAACGCTTTCTAGCCATGTGCAAATCTTCCTCTCTTGCATTTGTTCTTCTATTCGCTTTCGCCTTCCGCCTCGAAAAACCTACCTGGCGCCTCGTGGCCATCATTGCTACCATGACACTGGGTGTCATCCTCATGGTTTTTGGCGAAGTCGAGTTCAAGCTTGGCGGTTTCCTTCTCGTCATTACAGCAGCCTTCTTTTCCGGCTTCCGCTGGGGTCTCACGCAGATGTTACTTCTCCGCAACCCTGCCACTTCTAACCCATTCTCCAGCATTTTCTACCTCACGCCAGTCATGTTCCTAACTCTGATTTCCATTGCAATTCCCGTTGAAGGCTTCGGTCCCTTGTGGGAGGGACTCAAGACACTTAGTCAGGAATGGGGTCCTTTTATGACACCTCTGTTCCTCCTTTTCCCCGGATGTATCGCCTTTCTGATGACAGCATCCGAGTTCGCCTTGCTGCAGCGGACCTCTGTTGTCACGCTTTCTATTGCCGGCATCTTTAAAGAGGTCGTCACCATCTCGGCCGCTTCTCTCATCTTCAAGGACCAGCTCACCCTCATCAACTTTATTGGTCTCATCACCACAATGCTGGCAATCGTTGCCTACAACTACCTCAAGATTACCAAGATGCGCCAGGACGCTCAAGTCCAAGTCCACGTCCGCGTTACCGACGTCGATACCGATCTCCCGTCATCAAGCGCGAGTGACTTTGAAAACGACAGCTCAGAGGAAACGGCAGGTTTGCTCCATCAAAATACAGAAAGGGGCGAGGTGCTGTTTCAAGCCGGCAGCCTGCCGCCACCCACGCCACGGGTTACGAGGGATGAGTCAATGGACTAAAAGACTTGAGATGAGACGATAAAAAGACGAAGATTTTTCGACCTTCTTTCGGGATATACAAGTACTCGTCTAAACCAACTTGGCGAATCCTACAACCTCTGTACCGGTCTTACAAGATTCCAAAGTTTTTTCTTTTTCTTTTTATGTATAATCTCTTTTCTTTGAGGAAAACCAAATCGTTACCGCACAACTTCTCGCAATTTTTCAACTTACAACGGAAAGTCTTTTGTACTTATCATTTTCAAACATCAATCGGAAAGAAATATAAATGGGATGGGATGCATCGGATCATATAAAGTTTTTGTTTTTGTGGCATTTTTTGAGATGACAAATGTTCTTATATACTGATAAGAAAGGGGGGAAGAGGGTGTGTGTTAGAGAGAAGGGGTGTGAAAGAGAGACGACCAAGTCGGGATTTTGAAATTAGCATGGATGATGGAAAGCATAGAGAGACGGCTAGAATCAAGGGAGTATCAACGTATACCCATATGACATTTAGAGATGTATGACTGGGCGAGCAAGAATATATTTGACTGAAAATCTTGAAGAAAAAGAAGGAATATGCTTGTATGAGCATTTGTTCATTTCTTTATACTGCTGCATTAATTTATACGTAAAGGTTTCTAGCAAATGTTTTGTTGTTTGATTTCTATGGCTGGGTATGTCCTGATAGCCTCCAACGCCAATATGTAGGTGCAGAATAATCACCAGAAAACCAGATCGACTGATGTGACATAAAAGTTCAACTCTTTCCACCTCAACCCAAGAGACGCAGACCATTTTTGGTCTTTTGGCCTGGCTTGGCGATACCCGCGCCTGGTTTGGGACCGAGTTGCGGCTCATAGCCCCCGGCATTGGAGCTGTTGTTGTTATTGTTCCTGTTGTTTTTGTTGTTCTGATAGTTCTTCTTGCCTCCGTGTGCCTTGTTCTTGACATTGGTCGCCTTAATCTCCGTATTGGCCTTCTTCACGACGACCGGGTGACTCTGGATATATTTGCCGTGCATCTCCTTGGCAGCCTGGAAGAAATCGTCGGCGTCGCTGAAGCTGACGAAGCCGTAACCTTTGGATTTCGTGGTTCGCTTGTCGCGGATGACTCTGGCTTTTTGAACAGACTTCCACCGCGAAAAGGCCTTTAGAAGGGATTCATCTGTGGTTTCTCCCGCCAGGTTTCCGACAAAGAGGCGCAGGTGAGAAGGATCCCATTCCAGCAGTGTGTCGTCCGTCCACTTCTTGCCACCGCCCTCTCGGACAACCGTCTTCGACTTATCCGGCTGCTGTGCGGCCGCATCTATGCCTTCAGCCTTTGCATACTCTGCCGCCGGGAGTGGTTTGCCGTCCTTATCGATCTGAGGCGCATAGGCGCTTTGCCATTGCGCAATCTGGGCAGCCATGTCCGGGTCATAATCGGTACCGCTCGCGCTCGCGCCCACATTCGCATTCACACTCGGCCCTATACCTGCACTTGCACTTGTATTTGCACTAGGCGTAGGGAACGGGTTCTGAATTCGCGGTGCTGCTTGGTACGACTGCGCCTGGTACGGCTGTGCCTGATACGACTGCGGCTGCGAGTAGGCGTGGGGAGCGTAGCTCTGCGGCTGTTGATGGGCGCCGTGCTGCTGATGCTGTTGGGGAAACGAGTATGCCGCCGCAGAGTGGCTCACCCCCGTGGCCGGAGGGCGGCTGGGATAAGCTTGATACGACGAGCCATAATGCGTGGCTGCTGCAGACGCTGCAGGGGCGGCTGGATAGCTGGGGACGGAGGCTCGCGCAGAGTTGGCATTCGTGTACGACGGCGGTGCGGCAGGCTGGCCCGGCTGGTTGAAGCTCGATCTGAACCCGGGCCTCGAGTTGCTCGCGGGAGGGCGCGCGGGAAGATTTGTGCCTGGAGGTGGTGGATGTGACATGATGAACAACCCCGTGATCTTGTTTGACTTTTGTATGGGATTCTCGCAGCTGTGGCGGAGAATGAAAAAAAAACGTACCTTTGAGCAGTCTTGAGCCCAAAGTCCTTGCTGTTAAGCAGTTTGTGTCTGATGATTGGTTTTCAAAACGCGAATTGATGTTCTAGGAAGAAATAGAACAGAGGTTGTCGCAATCGCGAATTTGCTGGATTTTGAGAGTGGCGTTGATGTAGTTTGTTGATATCAGAGTCTAGAAATCCGGCAGGCCAACAAACGTGTCACGTGATATAGAACATTCGTAGAATCTTCTCATGGTCATGTGATATGGACGACCTCATGTCAATATACAAGATGCTGCTTCAATATCTAGGTATCTAAGCCTGGGCATTAACGACTGCGGTGCTAGGATTCATTTCGTGATGGCTTCATTTTTTCCTAAAGTTTACAGGAGACTCATACAATCACGCAACGATCATTGATTGGCTATGCGCTACTAGAACTCGAAGAGGGCCACGGCGCCGGTCACGGTCTCGCGTCCGATAAACGGGGATCGGCTCTGGAAGACCCGCAGCTTTCGGGCATGCTCCAAACTCGGATCGGTGCAGGAACTGAAGAGGAAGTTTTCGAGGAATGATCCAAAGGGCCATGCAAAGCAGTGACATAAGCCATGCAGAACAAGTATTTGGCTCAGCTACAGTATGTCCCTACGCATTACTCATCGCTGGCAAAGTAAGCGGTAATTGAGGCACGCGGGAATTGAGGCAACACGGTAAATGAGACACACAAAACCGACAACGGACACCAGGCATGAGCCGCCAGACGACGCTGCTATTCGTCGATACGGCCGTTTCCCTTGTCCGGGAAATGCCTTCAGCCCTCCGTTCGAAGCACTACTGCTAGCATTAATTCCGCAAACCCGCAAAGCCCGCAGGAGGTTTATAAGCGGCCCCAACTCGCCCACTTTTTAGGGGAGCTTAACCGCCGTGCTACCTGCGTTTGAGAGAAGGAGAAAGATGGAAATAGAATAAAGGCCGTCTGTCCACCGGGCTGTCTGTCTATGTGAATGACAATGATAAAGGTATACACGTATTCAGACAAAAGACAGCCTCGTCGATGCTGCAAAGGGCACTCTCAACTTGTGAAGGATAGCTATTTCAGCTTCAAGGCATGGCGTAAAAGCCAACGAGGATAATAGTGCCCAGTATGTTTTATCAACTGCGTTCAATGGTGTGATGTCAGCAAACCCAGAACGAGAGACATATTATTCATCTGCAAGGCTCCGAGGCTTTAAGGGGTCCTTCGGTAGGATTAAAAAGTCGCAGTTGGACCGGGGCTTCTCTATTACTCGCTCGCTGCCGAGCATCGTGGTAGAGGAGAGGCACTTCAGCGCCGCATCTGATTGGACGCCCGAAAAAATGGAGAAATCTTCATCATGTAGCGGGGTACAGCAAGCACCACCACTCGGCGCAAAGTACGAGGACAGGATGGCATGAAGACGCAGAGGCAACTTGTTCCGAAAAGCTTAGGAAGCAACGTATTGGGCACTAATTGACGCTGGTGAAGACTAATCTGTCAGGTGTTGAGATTATGCTCCGGCCGGCTCAGGTTCTGGCGTGAAGCTGCTGGGCTCAAGTACATTGTATGCTGTTGCTCTTCAATTGAAGCGTATATGAATGTCTGCGCTCCAGCAAGGCGTCAAGCTAATGCATACAAAAGGCTGTATGTAGCCATCTGATGGGCCATCGAGCTCATTCTATGGAACTACTAGTTGAGCGGTCTCTATCAATTTTCAGTGGCTTCTTACACTTTTATGACTTCATACTACTAGTAGCACTAGGCAAAGTCACAAGTTGCCGTAGTAGGCATTCGGTCCTCTGTTCCCACCTTTCATCAGTCATTCCCCATCGGTGTCTCCCCGTCGGTAGCGCACCTTGTCCGTTGTTTCGGCCCGTGGCTGCAATAGGCATTGGGCTTCTGGAGCTTCTAGTCCTAGCAATGCTAAATTACCTCATCCTTCAACGTGGGATGGCATAACAAATCCAGCGAGAAATGCTACACCTACCTGTATACAGAATGACAGGTAAAACCAAGCCGTTGGATATTTCTGATAAGCTACTGGCCAAGAGAAAATCCCTGCAGAATAGCCAAGTTCGTTTTCTTTTTCTTTCTGTGACAGGCGAATCGCTTTGGAGTATCAGATGAAGGCGATATGAGACGACAAGTGCCTTGGAAAGCAACGCCTAAATAACGCCGATTTCACATGGGCATGGATGGCTGGGATGCTCTTGAAGCAGCATCGTGTTTGAACTTTCAAAAGAGCCTCTGGCATTGAAAAATGAGCGCTTCTTGTTCTCCCTTTGCCTGTAGTTTTCCCTTTCTCTTCTGCATGTCACTTAGACACACGCTGCCCAGGCGAGAGTGTAAGAGTGACGAGAGCTGGGGCTGAAACGTTTGACGAGTCATCTAGGCCCTTCTCCTCGTCCGTCCTCCTGGCGTCACCACTGACAAAGCGCGGTGCTTTGTGTTAAGCGATGCGTGCAGGCTCTTGTGTCTCGCGATCCTTTGTCATGCATGCCAGATTATCATATTCTCCCTAATCGATGGTGTTGCCAGCCCGAGGCAGCCGGACACGGGAGAGCAAGTGGTGGGGCTGGTACATGGAGATGGCATGCGCGCTCAGAACGAAGGAGTGCCCGTCATTGTCCCGATACTGTAATCAGCAAAATGGACATGGCATGGGATGCTCCGTCGAGCGGCTGTGGCCCGGACGGCGCAGGGCATCCAAGAATGCGGAATTTCCCACAGTGGCCCGGGAGCGTGGGATGCAGAAGGAGGCTACCGCTGTCTAAGAGCAGTGCTCCAGTACATGCACGGAGTACCATGCACCCGGATAGATGTGACAGCTTCTGTAGCGTCTGCGTGTTGAATGTCTGGAATTTGCATGGAAAAAGGCCTCGAGTCTCGCGGCTCAGAAGCTTCAACGTTCATCGTCTTTCTGATAAAACACGGGCTAGCGTTGGAGGCTGCGTTAGAGGTAGACGAGCTCGAGAGTCCCTAAAAGCCTCGCAGCAAGGCGGCGAAACAGCAAGATGACGATGCGCCGCCTCGCGCCAATCACCGCCAGGCCGCCCGCTTTTCTGGGGCCCTCCGGGACTTGCGTAGGCCAAAACCTCGTTCCAGGTCGCTCATGGATCTTTTTTGGGCTGCCGGGCGTTGCTGGGCGCTCAGCCGGCCCATCAGCGTTCCCACTATATTTACTTGCTCCGTCCCTCCCAGCCTGCGCAAACGTTGCTTCTCTTCTCTCCTTTCTTCTCCAACTCGCAATTCCTGATTGTTGATCTGGCGATAGCTTCGCTTGTCTCGTCTCTACTCCCAGTCTCTTGCTCAATAAACCACACAACATGTCTGGCCCTGTGTAAGTCAACTTCTCCTGCGCTGCTGTTGGGACAAAGGACGGAAGCTTTTCTACCCCTCCCTCGCCTCTTTGCTGCCAGCTCTCAACCCCACCACCCCGCCTGAAAAGCCCAACCGATTACTGCTCGATGACCTCAATTCCCGCACTGAGCCGGCGGCATCGTGGGCTCTGTGTGGTGTTGAGCTCGAGCCGTGGCCATGATGGAGGCAAAGTGCTGGTGATTGACCAGTGGCTGTTGTGGTGGAAGCAGTGACGGTACTGGTGCTCAACGAGCACCTCGTCTCGCTCGTTTCCGCTCTGCTTTCTACCTCTCTCCGTCTACCTCTCTCCATCTGCCTCTCTCTCTTCTCCCCCAAGCTTCTGCATTCTCCCGTTTTTCTTCTTCTCTATTCTGCACCCTACTCATGCATGAGGTAGCGCTCGCCTCGCCAACATCAAGCTTGGCGGTGCCTCGCAACCTGATTCCTCTTCTCCAGCCGAAGCTTCGAAAAATGCTAACATTGTGCCAAGCGCGGATCTGGGCCTTATCGGCCTTGCTGTCATGTAAGTTGTAATATATATCCAACCCCGAATCATCAAGAAAATGGCCTCAGTTTCTAATATCCGGTGCTACAGGGGACAGAACTTGATTCTCAACATGGCTGACAACGGCTTCACCGTCTGCGCTTACAACCGAACCGTTTCAAAGGTCGATGCCTTCCTCGACAACGAGGCCAAGGGCAAGTCTGTTGTCGGCGCCCACAACGACAAGGAGTTCATCGCCAGCCTCAAGTCCCCCCGCCGTGTCATGCTGCTCGTCCAGGCCGGAAAGGCCGTCGATGAGTGGATTGAGAGACTTCTGCCCCTCCTGGAGAAGGGAGACATCATCATTGATGGTGGTAACTCTCACTTCCCCGACTCTAACCGCCGCACCAAGGAGCTGAGCGCCAAGGGCATCCGCTTCGTCGGCTCCGGTGTTTCCGGAGGTGAGGAGGGTGCCCGATTCGGCCCCTCTCTGATGCCCGGTGGTAACGAGGAGGCCTGGCCCTACATCAAGGACATCTTCCAGGCCATTTCTGCCAAGAGCGACGGCGAGGCCTGCTGTGAGTGGGTCGGCGACGAAGGTGCTGGTCACTACGTCAAGATGGTCCACAACGGTATCGAGTACGGTGACATGCAGCTTATTTGCGAGGTAAGCTCGGCCCTTGGTTCAAATCGGCATATATTATCGCTGGTGTGAATTTTGAAAGCTAACAGTAAGCTTGTGCGTAGGCCTACGACATCATGAAGCGTGGTCTCGGACTCTCCAGCAAGGAGATTGGTGACGTCTTTGGTGAGTGGAACAAGGGCGTTCTCGACTCTTTCCTGATTGAGATCACCCGTGATATCCTCTACTTCAACGACGACGATGGCACTGCCCTTGTTGAGAAGATCCTCGACAAGGCCGGCCAGAAGGGTACCGGAAAGTGGACTGCCATCAACGCTCTCGACCTCGGTATGCCCGTCACCCTGATTGCCGAGGCTGTCTTGGCTCGATGCCTGTCCGGAATCAAGGATGAGCGTTCCGAGGCCTCCACCAAGCTCCGATATGTTTCCCGTGGCAGCGGCAAGTTTGAGGGCGACAAGAAGCAGTTCCTGGAGGACCTCGAGCAGGCTCTGTATGCTTCCAAGATCATCTCATACGCCCAGGGCTTCATGCTCATGCAGGAGGTAAGGAGGAGTCATCTAACTACATTCCACTATTCAATTGGAGACGTGTGACTAATGAACAACTCTTTTTTTCCAGGCTGCCCGCGAGTTCAACTGGAAGCTCAACAAGCCTTCCATCGCCCTCATGTGGCGTGGTGGCTGCATTATCCGATCCGTCTTCCTCAAGGACATCACCTCTGCTTACCGCAACGAGCCTGACCTGAAGAACCTGCTCTTTGACAAGTTCTTCAACGAGGCCATCCACAAGGCCCAGCCCGGCTGGAGAGCCGTTGTCTCCCAGGCTGCTGAGCTTGGTATCCCCACCCCTGCCTTCTCCACTGCCCTGTCCTGGTTCGACGGATACCGCACCAAGGACCTGCCCGCCAACCTGCTGCAGGCCCAGCGTGACTACTTTGGTGCTCACACTTTCCACATCAAGCCTGAGCATGCTTCAGCCAAGTATGAGGTTGGCAAGGACATTCACGTCAACTGGACCGGCCGCGGTGGCAACGTCTCTGCTTCAACATACCAGGCATAAGGGAGAGGTGCTTGGAGCGGGGTTGAAAAATCTAACAAGTTGGGTATGAATAGCAATGATAATGTTATATAAAATGGGATAATTAGGTATGCAGTGCGAAATTTAAAAATAGTAAAAGTTAGCCAACTGAAGCCACCAGCTTGTGATGTATACGTCTAGATGCGTGGAGGTGTTTTTTTTCCCCAGCGAGAGAGTGGGTTCAATGAATGGACATCTCTTCTCGGCAATTCCCACTCGAGGGAGCTGCAAGAAGGGTCATGAATTGCGAGAATTAAAGAAGACAAAGTATTAACAACTAAATAAAAGCATTACTGCGCACAAGTATTTGCATTGAGATTGTAGTCCCTTTGTACTTGACTTACTGTCTGTCTTACTGTCCGTCTTACTGTCTTACTGTCTTAATGCCCGCGATCACATCTGGGCTTATGGACCCACTTTGCAGCCAATCCTGCTCTGCTATTCGCTGCGCCTCTCCTGCAGCCTCGTCGCGACAAATTTGGGCTCGCGCGACGCAACGACAGCCGCACCCTCTGCAACTCGCATCGCCCAGATCCTGGACATTGCGTTTCCGCATCATCTCCATCCCATCGGCTCGCCCCGTCCGCCTGCCGCGCGCCTTGCACCCGAATCATATCGCTGGGCTCAATTCCCTTGTAGTCGCTCCCCGGCGCTTTGCATGCTTGGGGCCAGACTCAACACACAACCCTTGTCGCCATTCCCACTGCCTGTAAAAGGTCGCCAGAGAGGCTGCGCTGCCGACAGCAGCCAACATGGCGCAACCAAACCCTAGCCACAGCGTCCCCCAGGACCTTGTGAGTCCTCGGCCAAGTTTTATTTCTTGCTGCGAGCTGTCGCTAATTAGGCGGGATAGATGCCACATGTCCACCTAATCTCATCGTACCGATACCCTGCGATCCCCCGGCTCGATTTCAACGAGGTTGCCAAGTGGCTGATCAACGCCCCCCAAATCGCGAGAGACCAAGCGCCCTTCTTCTGGACATACCTCGATAAGCCCGCCGACGGCACCATCCTACTGACGTGGCAGCCTTTGTCGAGACTGGGGACCAATTTCGCGACAGATGGCTTCGTCTGGGCGCCCCCAGAGCAGATCTACAAACATGACCTGGGCAACGGACTGGTTTGTTTGACCAGCTACCCCCAAGACAAAATGATTACGCATACTGACCGTTTGCATGTCTAGATGCTTGAAATATACTACCTCAAGGCAGGTTACATCCCTGGCGAGCAATTCACTCTCCACGCTCGAAGACGATTCCGACTCGTTCCTGTCGCTGGACACCCCAACCCTCCGCAGCCGGATCCAAACTTGTTCATTGTGCACTATGGTCCTGCGGAAATGAACGATCGCGTCCCTGTTGCCATGATCCCATATGACGAGAGGGTCAATGCCATCATGCAGCAGCGCCATTTTCTCCAGAGAGCTGGCCAGATTCGCCGGAAGGAATTTATGCTATCCGACCGGGTCAACTGGCCTTCACTACCGGAGCTTACTCGCCAACAGCTAGGGCCCCAGATGAACCCCCGTGGTGTACCTCAGCAGATGGCATACCCAGCCCAACCACCGCCGCCTGGGCCTCCCTCAAAGAGAGCCCGCCATGGACAGAATCAGGCCCAACAAGCGGCATTACCGCCGGGAATGCCACCGGTCGATGCGGCCTTTGATGATGATGAAGATATCTCGCGGGGAGACATGTTTGACCACTTGACCCCGAGAGAGATCTCAATGAGCCGCTATCAACAAAACCACGAGTGGATGGAGGAGATTCTGTCTTCTGCGTACAGAATAGGTCAGATTACACCCGCAGATCTCGGATTGGGTCTCAAGGGGGAGCTGGCATCTCTGACAGAGGGTATTTTCACTGCCCAAGGAGGCGAAGCATACAGCCAGGCTCCCGAAAAGGCCTATGTTGGACGTCTAGACCCCGGCCAGGCTGACGAATTTCGCAAGCGGGTCGATAAATACGTCTCGACAACCCATGATGAAATCAAAAAAATGGAACAAGAACATCGCGAAACAATGGCTGCGTTCAAGGAAAACTCTATTCTCAAGATCAAGGAGCGAGAACTTAAAGCCATTGTGGATGGTGCCAAACACGAAAGTCGACCTCATTCGGACGACGAACCTGTAGGTCGCCAAGTCTCCAAACACTCAGTCGAGGAAATAGCACAACAGGTAGAGTCAGCATCAGGTCGAAAGATTGTCAGCTTGCCGCTCTCCAAGCGGATTCAAGATGGTGGTTTTCAGGCTCCTCCTCCTGAACCAGCAGCACCAGGCTCGACTGCAGAGCTCTCCCGACAGCCATCTCGGGCGGGATCTCAAGCAAGCGGTGCGATGATGGGTGAAACTGACATGGACATGGGCGATACAGCATCTGGATTGTTAGACCAAATGCACACCGGCTTCTCTTCCACGTCAACGCCAGTCAACAACTTCCCCACGCCTCAGACTCATCTATCCGCGGGTCAGTCTGGCGCGGCTACGCCATCGCAAGCGGCAAATGCCGCCTCACCAGCTCCAGCTCCTGCGCCTGCACCTGCGTCCGTACCTGCATCGGCGCCATCTGCTCCCGCTGCTGCCGCTGCCGCTCCGCCACAGCCGTCTGGAGATGTAGAGATGGGCGGAACTGATACTGCCACCGAAAACGAGGTACGAACTACGCCCGATCATAGCACCGGTAGTGGAGATTGGGTTGTAGTTCCCAAAGATGGCAACAATGTAACGGCTAATGATACGACCCAGACGACGCAGGCTCCTACCAATGCTGCTACTACCTCCAGTGCTGCACCTGACTCTGCCGCCGCTCCTACTACAGATGCTGCTGCTGCTACCAGTGCAGAGGGCGATGACGCCAAGCCACCGACTCCAGCAGCTCCAAAAGCACCTTCGGCCGCGGCCACTCCCGCTGTCACCGAGGGAGGGTCTGTATCTTTTGACCAGAATGACTTTAGCTCTCTAGGCGATCTAGACACGGCGGGAGATGCCCTGGCGGGGTATGACGCTCCAGATCTAGACGGCTCAGCAGGTGGGCTGGATGATGGCTTAGACCTTCAGATGGACATGGAGGATTCCGCGTTTGGAGATGCTTTTCACGGCGTAGATGCTTCTCATACCCCAGGAGACGGACAAAATCAGGACGGCATGTGAGATAATTTGTAATTGTTCTTGTAGGAAATTGGAACGAAAAGATATTTGATTAGATGCTATTGTTGCAGTACTTTTCTTCTTTTTCTTTGCCTTTTTTTTGTAGTAGAAGAGTGCTTGAATGTCACTGCGCTAGGTATAATGAAAGCGGCAGGGTGTTGGGGAAGATGATTCTTCTTTTCTGCTCCTCCCATTGTTGCTTGCTATACTTATTCTTTTCTTTTCTTCTTTTTGTAGTAGAGGGGTGGATAACTGGGTAATTAGTGGTCTGAATGCTGCTGCATGGGTATAATGAAAGCGGCAGGGTGTTTGGAAAGATGATTCTTCTGCTCCTAGCTACTATTCGCTACCGCTCCAAGTTGTCATGCACTCGTATTTGAATTTCGAATTATTACATTAGACGGTAGGAAGTATCCGTACAGGTTGCATCCTCTTTCATAAAACTGTCTCAGAAGCCTCTCTATTCGCTGATAAAGGTAATTGCATAAACACAACTCCCCCGTCCTGGCCCCAGTTAATTGAATAACATGGGAGGCTGGTCTCAGATAGTCCTTCAGCTGAGGAGTATATGCTTATACCTGGGCAATCCTATATAAAAAAAATTTTAAATTCTCAGTAATAAAAGGCCCAGCCTTTTTTTTGATTTTTCTGATTTATGAGTAAGACGATCCAAACCCCGCAGTTCAATCTTACGTCACGTTCTGCAGGAGGGAATGTCCGTAAGGCTGTGTGCTCTTTTTCTTTCAGCTCGTCAGGTGAGCCGGGCACGCATTACGGTGGTTGTTTTTATTCCATAAATACCGTCCAGAATTCGCGTCTGCCGATAGTGTATTTCCCCTCTCCTCATCCTCATCCGTCTGCAATACTACACAATGGACAAACATATCCGCGTTCATCCTCAATGTGGCGCGTGCGGCTTCACATTTACCGAGTTCGAGGCAGTTGTTGCGCGTAAGATGGCCCCAGCTTCTAAACTGCCCACCATGTACACTGATATTCATTCCGTCTAGTTCATCAAGAAGGCGACGATGCCATTACGACCACTTCCTCAACGCTGCAATATCGACATACGGCAAGGTGCGAGGATAGACGCGCACTTGGGAAAGCATATTGCCGCTATCCTAATTGTAAGGCGTGTGCCTCCTCCGTGCCGACCATGACGGTTCACAAAGAATGCCTCGATTTCCTTGGGCAGCTGACTACAGCGGAAGATAAACTGTCGTGGCTGTGGACTGCCGCGACGTGGAGAAGCCCGTGGGATGGCGCACCGCCTCTGCAGCAGGCCCTTTCTCCTGTTATTGATCCTGGGCAATTCATCCACCAGGCAGCTCAAGCTTGTGAGATGCCCGGTCTGTCGTCGTTGCCCAAGGAATTGGCGCTCATGATTTACGAACAATCTGACCGGAGCTGTTTACATCGGTGTCTGGCTTTCTGGTCCTATGCGCGATGGTGGAACCGGCTGCACCAAAAAATGCCAAAAATGATCCCCATCGAAGAGATCGAAGAGTGGCATCGCGGCTCACATCCGGTGATGAACAAGGGCGCTAGGCACGGCGAAGTGGAGAGTGATGTGCAGAAACCCATTATTATCCTCTCGATCGATTCTCAAGGCTTGCGGAGCATAACAAGGGTGCAAAAGGGCTATACCACTAGCTATGCTAATGCCAACGATGGCCTCTCGCAATCCGATACGGTTGCATATGTCGTCGAGGCAGCTGAATGCTTTGCTTCTGCGCAAGTGGAGTACAATGTGCGTGTTGCTTTCCGAGTTGGAATTGAGGCGTTGAACTGATCCATTATTGTTACCACCTACCAGTATCCATTTGCGCGACTTCAGCTTACGGGTAGGCCTGAGCAAATCCGTGTCTGGGATACGCCTTTGCCCCCACAATGGCAAGAGTGCGTTTTAGATGTAGATTACGATTCTACTGCGCGTGCAAAGAGCCATCTATCGACTATTGACACGCGCAGCATTACGGGACTTACATTTTTTACATGTTTTGCCCGGATATGGGCTATCCACGCGCACACAAAGAGACAGCCTTTTGCGCAGCGCACATTCGATACGCTGAGCCCCAAAATTAAGGCTTTTGTCCATTGGTTTCATGTTCCTCTTGGGTCTGAAGACAGAATCACGGCTTTCGGCTGGAGCGATCGTGATTACAATGCGCGCTTCTACGTGAGTTACTCTATTCGAGTTCCTAGCCCGATTTATCATGTTCAGTTTCACTGATGAGGGAGCAGCTGCGTTTGAAATTGGCAGGGAATATAATTGTGGGGTCGACGTATAGGATGGATGACGAAGACGTGCAGTTGATCCAGCATCCTACCACTCTTATCTACCAGAGACCAGATAGCGAGGGGGTACACTTTGTAGGTGGCCACGCTGGCGGTACTGATGAGCAAAAGGATGCCGAGGCGGAGCCTACATTTGCCTTCCGATATAGGAAACAGCCATTCAGATCTGCCAGCTATTCATCAGCTCTCCTCAGGAATGTCATTCGAGCCCAAGTGTATATTGGAAGACGCTTTTCTCATTCAATATGCCGAGGGGTTATGTTGGAGTATACGGATGGATCAAAACGAGCCCTTGGAGAATGCAAAGTGGGTGTTGATCGGGTCGAAGAATGTTTTGAGCCTGTACACTTTTGCTACAATTCAGCACTCAAGAACAATGTGTCAGTGAAAGTTTCTACTGGGAGTTCGCATCCCACGCATCCCACGCATGAGGGATCTGGCTGGACATGCTGTTTGATGAAAGGAGCTATGGAATTTTGGTTTAGCGAAAGGGAAGTGGAAATAAACTGGAAGCAGTAGCTGCACATATATACCAGTTAAACGGAATTGAAAGTTATCAGCAGCACCTTGGTTCTATTGACCAGCACTCAGGTAGCTATACCTCTCCTACTATGAAGTGTGTATCATCATTCAACAGGTATTTTCATATGTAGACTAACTGTCTTTTTAAGCTACAGCTGCGGTTTTGATGATGGAACTGGAATGCCTCATAACTCCCTATTCTATTCACGTTGCGACAATGGCATCGGCGACGGTGAATAAATGTAGACAGGGGGAGGACCTAGGTAGTGCTATATTATTCACGGTAGCATCTTTGTCCTAAGCCCCTTGAAGCACTATATCCCGCCTGGCTCACTGTCCATCTTGCGTTTCACTCAAGACTATGTTAATCTCTTGTATCCCGTCACTTATCTGAGTTTGCTTCTCTCCACTTGAATCTATCTTCCCCAAAGTTGACTCTGACCGTGACGGCTTCTCCTCCAGAATGCCCAATACAGGGATAAAGCTTCCGATAGAGAATGTCACTCGACTTTTGAACTGCGTACATTCCCATCATCCAAAGTGTTAGCTTTCTCCTTGACCCCCCCCCCCCCCCCCCCCTTTTTTTTTCCTTTTCGGGAAATGGGACTTACAAATGACTTCTCCGTCGCAAGTGAAAAAAGTTATCGAATTTTTCATAGTCGATTCTATAGCTAATAGTCTGATTTACACCTTGCGGTTTGGCGCAATTATTCCATCTCATCATACAAATCACCCTTTTCATAGATGTTTTTCATTAACCCTATCATATATTTAATTGACTATATGTTGCGTCCTGGGACTGCGTCTATCTGGTTGGTGAATTTCACCGGACAAGCTGATCACGGCAACGTGCGCTTTCTTTTTGTCATCGTCTGCAATATAGAGACGTCGAAATATATCAAGCCTAGCTCTCGTGGGGGAAAAAGGAAAGTTGGCACAAATAGTGACAGAGATTCTCGTCATCGGACCGAGCTTTTTGAAACCATTGATGTTGGCCAAAAAAAAAAAAAAAAAAGAAAAGAAAAGAAAAGAAAAATTCCTCAGCACGAATCAAGATGCTTACTTGAAAATGATGCCTCGAGCCCCTCAGCTAAAATCTCAAGTCTGGTCTCGACACTCTCATCAATTCTTTGCCACATATGCGGCCTTACAAGTGCTATTAAAGTTTTGGTCTGCCGAAGGACCCTTTTTAGATACCGTGTATGTATACTTACTCGTCCCTGGATTGGTTGCTTTTGGGGCTCTTCTGCGTCTTTTCTGTCTCTATGGTGTGCTGATTATCTAGGTAATCTCTGGAAGAAGCATTCTCTTGGCCTGTAGATGGAAAGGTGGTTCAAATTAGATTGGGAAAGTTATCAAGCGCCCCAACTCTATCATTCAACACTCTAACCACAGCTTAAGAGAGCAGCTAATCTTCATTTAAAAAGCATTCAATTGCAGCAGTAGTAGCTTATGCTACAGCTACATGTAGAGCGTTGGATAACAGAACTGGGGCGCTGGATCACTTTCCCCTTTTCCCCTCTCCAATGCCGCCATCGATTCTGCTGTAATACATTCCGTCATATAATGAATGGTGATGGCACATACGGTAGAGGACATGAGAAGTAGAAAGCGAAAAGAAGAGCGAGCGGAGAGATGGGGGAAATTCGTTCTTTATATTAAGTGGAAGAAGTAATAGGGCTATTTAGATAACCGCATCCGCTATACTATCGTTTGAGATGTCCTGCGCATAGACCTCCATCTGACACTGATTTTTCATGACTATTTGCATCTGCATAGTGACGTAATAGTCAGTAAAGAAGTCAACGTCTGAAGGGAAAGGGTAGGAAAGTGAGAAAGAAAGACATTTGAGCATAAACTCGTTCAGGAGCCGTCAATAATTCTTGTTGTCGCCCCCAAGTATACCATCAAAGTCTTGTTCCAAAAAAAAGGACATTGGAGCCAACTATAGTCGACACTAAATATTGCCATGTTCAACTTTTCTGGGGTTTGTAAAATCCAGCACAAAAAAGCGAGCCATTTCCTCAAACACACAGACAGCTTCTTTCACTGTTTTCGGATGCAGTTCCTAAGTAGGTCGTAATTGTTGGTGTCAATCGCCCTCTTCGCTAGGTAATCGAACACTTTGGGCTTTTCGATGATGAAATCAACAAACGCTTGGAGCTCTCCGCATCGATACATGTCAATAAACGCTTGTTTCTGGCCTTCGGACAGCTTCGAGAGCATCTCCACAAAGGCTTTTTTCAGCAGTAGATGTCTCCATATTCGTTGGATCGAGGACTGGCAGTAAATCAATCGTGACGTTGTGACGAGGCAAAGAGTGTAGGCAAGAAGAGAAGAAAAAGATTGAGGAACAAGAGAATAGCCTGGTTGGGCAGAGAATGTGCACTAAAAGTCAACTGAAAGCGAGAAGAACGCTGACCTAGAATCTCAGGCAGCTTGGCCACGTGCCTTTGCGTTTACATCGGATACCTGCATTGTGTCCAGGCACATAGGGCAGTAGGTTGATATCACGGATACTTGAAGTAGATGGAATTCATTACAGATACATAGATACTGATGGAATGAATCGAAGAAATATCCATTATTAGGTGGTAATAATCTAGCGCACTCAAGAAGCCAACAAAATGGAAAGGACCGAGCCAAACAGTCTATAGTGCTTTGAAACACCCCAAACGCCCTTCGTGAAATAAGAGTCCCATGGCCTTGTCTAATAATTTACAATTTAAATCGGCCTATGCCTCGTATAATCTAGAAAGTGGCCAACTCAAGTCTCCCTCCTTTTCAACCAAATATCAATAGGCTGCACCTTTAATGTTGGCAAACGAGCTCTCAGGGTAGTCAAGCATGTTGCTTGAATCATCCAAGTCGCCCATTTCTCTAGCCATCGTCAAGATCAAGCTGTCTTCTCCAGCCCTGTCACCTGAGGCTTCCCAGAAGACGGCACCTCCGAGATTCCTGCTCATGAGATACTCGGCCTTCCATCGAGCGGTATGGACGGTATCGTACGAAACGAGTTCTTTTGTTGCTTCATCATAACAGTATGCTGCGATGATTCTACTATTGATGTAGACGTCTGAGCCAGGCCGTGGCAGGTCGCGATACAGCCAGACACCCTGCTCAATGGAACCCTGTCCCAAGCCCTGGTAGGGCTGGCCAAGGCCTTGAGTGTTCATGAATGAGCGGCCGTAGAGAGGAAGGCCGAAAATGATCTTGCTAGGATCAATTCCGTTGGCAAGGTAGCCATCCACTGCATCATTGGAGTTGAACTTGGTGCTGGTAGGATTGTGAGGGTCGGCGAAGACGTTGGCTTGATTTCCCGAGGTGTTGTCCCAGCTGCCAGCGTAATCGTAGGCCATGAGATGCCAGGAATCGACATATTGGTCCATTGCCGGCATGTCCAGAATGCCATAGTGCTGAGGGCCAGCAGGCGTCGCGACAGTGAGAAGGTAGTGATAATTTTGGCCATTGCGCTCTGCGTATGCGTCCAAAGCTTCTCGACACTCTCCGAGCAGATATACAAAATTTTGCGACTCTTGTTGAGAAAGGGGGTATTCGTAGTCGATATCAATACCATCGAATCCCCAGCGAGCGAGAAGTTCAACAGCGGTCCGAGCGAACTGGCGTCGGCCAGCTTCCGAACTGAGAGCAGGGTCAAATTTGCCTTGTTGCGACGCGGTCCAGCCGCCGATAGAAAGCAGAGTCTTCATATGGCGGTGCTGCTTCTTTAGCAGGAACACCTGTTCGATAGCACCGTGGACGTTGTTTGCGGATTCGTCCCAACTTTGGTTGGCGCCGAAACGCTTTTGCTCGTCGCCCCAAGTATCAATCGAGATGCTGCGTGCCGTGTTAGCAAATGAGATCATCGACGTCAAGATTTTTGTTTTGTCTTCTTCAAGGAGGAGCCTTACACAGAGCCATCGCTGCCTATTCCAGCAAACGCGTACAATAAATGCGTAATCTCCTGCGCGGGGAGATTTTGAGGCAGAAAGCCTGCGCCGTAAATGCTCCTACTATAATTAGCAGCTATTCTCGACAAGTTGGTGCTGGCCGTGAGAATGTGACAAGCTTACCAGTCTGTAAAATACACAACATTCTTCTTCTTCCCATATGGTCTGTTTCCGGAGCCCTGTTGATCACTTGCGCCAGCGTTGCTCGATTTGGAAAACGGAGGCCTAGCTTCTGATTGTGAAGAATTATCATTTCCAATTGGCCACCACGAAGCCGAAGGAGAAGACGGCCCTGCAGTTTGACTGCCCTGCCATGGAGTTGAAAGTGGCGACGTAGGCGGTTCCGTATCTGATCCTAGATCGAACGTCTTCGGAGCCGATAGCTCTGGTTGTGATGACTGCGGAGGAAAAGTCTCCAAGACGACGGGTCCGTTATGGAGCGGCTCCGAGCCGAATGGCAGAGAAGCAGCTGGTCCACTCGATGCTAGCGAAGAAAGAGGCACGGCGTGCTGCTCTGGGTCTTGACATCTTTCAGCAACAGTAGGAGCAGCCAGAGCAACTCTGGCCACAAGTGGCAGAGCGGCGCAGAAAAGTTTGAGCATTGCGTGCGAATGTCAAGCCCAAGTATGTAGCGCCAACAGCAGAATATTGGAGATTGAGAAATGTCGATGGTACCGAGTTTAAGGCTCCCTGCGGCTTCTTATATGAACAAAGTCAAGAGTGGTGGACGATGCTCGCGGTGGAAGAGCTCTGAAACACTGTGTCAGAGGTATTGAGAACGGCAAACTCGCCATCTCCTGAGTCGCTGCGCGGTCTGGACCACATAATCATAAACTTTCCGCTTCGGAGTACAGTAAACTGTGATTAGAGGAATGTAGAGATAGGGAAGCAAAAAGGTTGGGACCATGCCGGTGCGTGGCTCTCAGAGTTTAGACGGCCGGCGGCAAGGCCCGTTTGTGGCTTTGTCGTGGCTAACAGCCCGTTGAGTCAACAAGGACTACGCGACGCCTTAACCGGCCCTATTCTCGCTTGTTCAAAGGAATTTTGCTCTATGCGTTGGATACTCCGTCAACAGTAGCTCGAATGGTGGCTGGTATACGAAAGGCGGCGATTCTTTCCGCTTAAAGCTGTGTCAGAAAGACAAAGCAATAGCGAGCCAATTACGGATGCAGTGTTCGCCTGTCTTTCCAGCTGCTCGCTCAAATCTGGGTGTGCACTGGTTTCGGGGCCAAGATTAGAACGCAGGGTAAGACATTTTACACCAGCCATAAGGGGGGGAGGCCAGGAATGGAATACTCCATAGCCCCTGGTGGGAATGCGACAAGCCGCACTAGGATCTTCTCAGCAAGGGAGAGTAAGAGGGATCCCATATCCGAAAAGATGGGCCGGCAAAACGCGATCTTCCACGATGAGGCGTCCATTCGCCCCCATGGTGGCTTGGCCATGCCAAGGAATTCAATGAATGGGATCTTCAGACAATACTTCCGGTAGCATAGCTGAAACTTACTTGTATACATCTCAAGAATCGGTCTGCAGCTGTGTCTTAAAATAGTATCGCATTCAGGCTATCATCGTTCGCGGTACGTAACTGGCACCTCTTCCTCCACGGCTACAACATCTCCAACTTGTACTGTGGGCCTTGGGGCATCTAACTCGTCGTATTGCTCAGTAGGTTCATGGCGCATATGTGTACCGAAATAAACCTTGCCGTTTAGACGCCTCGTTTTCGCAAGCGTTGAGAACGGTTCTTGCCTTCTCTCACCAGTATTTTGATCCACACATACCATGTGACATCTCTGGCAGGCTCCCAAGAGCTTGAAGATGTAATCTCCAATACTAACTGTCCTCCACATGTCTTCAGAGTAAGCAGGACGGCTTTGTTGGCCTGGTGAAGTCTCAATCACGATATTCGCCCGAAATACAGCTTCCTCCACAGCTGATCCCCCAGACTTTATGATGCTCTGATTGAGTGATTCCACGCTAGGGGTACATATCATCAGAATTGGGCTCTCATTGGATAGAAGAATCTTTCCCGGTTGGCTCTGCTGCTCAGAATCTGAGTCAGGGGGAGAAGGGACATCAGGGAAAGAAGGGTGCTGGCAGCTTTGAGCACTTTCAGTCTGCTGATGCTTCTGCATCCGAGCTTTGGAGAGCCTGCTACCAGCTCCCCGGCCTCCTGCTGGAAATCTTGCCAGCACGCATGGAATTCCAAGAGAGTCGGTGAAAAAGTCATTAATTTGCTCAGAGAGATAGGCTTGCGCAGATATGTTTTCTCCACAAACTCTAGAGCTTGTTTGGCGAAAGTTTGTGTCAAAGAGAGATGGGTCGTTGGATAGCGGTATATCCACATATGTCGGCTGCCCTCTCAGCACGCTTCCACGATATTTCACGCGAAGCACGTCCTCATCAAAGAGTAGCAAAGGCTGCAACAGAGCCATTTGTGGATAACGCTTCTGGCTGAGAGCTAGCCCTGATCCTCGGTGAACCAAGCACCACTCTCGATCCCAAGCCAGCCCCTCGGGCCGCACTTCCCAACGAACCCCAGGCGGAATAACATAGCCGCTACAGCTCTTGATTGGATATACAGTAATGGTTTTGACTCGAAGCTTTGACGGCGCACCGAGAATTTTAACCGTGGGGTTGGTCTGGCTTGGCGTCGTTGACAGGTCCTCCACAAAGAACTCTTTCATAAAAGCCAGCAATTGAGATACATCAGATTTAGTACTCATTGCCCCTAGGCTGGCGCGTATTATGCCAGTAGGTTTGTTGGCAAACCGGTTGCTGTCTTCGCCACATCGAATTCCAGCAGAAAGATTTCGCTTCATCTCCCACGGTTGTAAATCGAGAGCGGACGCAATCCCACCAGGACTGCACACACCCCCTGTCCTTAAATGCATCTTCTTCAAAATGGCCAGTTTCTCAAATTCAGCAAGTCCAATCCATAAACCACGGCTGTCCTGAATATTAAAAGAAATGACTGGTCCAGTATCAAATAGCGCCGTATCATCAGGCATATCCGAATAAATATGACAAACAGGGTTCCCGTTTGCGTGCTGTAAACTATACAGCCCATGGAAGAGTTCACGACTTAGATATGCCGTGTGCGAGCTGATTTGGTCCATAGAGCCAAAAAGCTGTTGATGAGTCGATATCGCTATGCCGGCGGCAACGATATTGTGGAATGGCAGTGTCCCGTCTTCAAGACGCTCATGAAGAGATAGAGATTTCAGAGCATGCCACGGCTCGTCTCCACATACAACTACGTCCACCGTGCCTCCTCCAAAATATTTTCGATGGTTGAATATAGACTCAGCGGAACGCCGGACGAGTAGAACACCCAAGTCTGGAAATCCAAAAATCTTGTATAAACTTAGTACAACAAAATCCGCAGCAAAGTCGGGATGTGAAAGGTCGAGTTGTGAAGTGGCGCTAAGTGATGCCACGTCTAAGAGCGTCAATATCCGGGGCGATGATTGAGTCTGACTATTCTTCAACTTCTTGGCCCATGATAGGGGATATCTCCTGCCGTCCATATGAGACTGAGCTGTGTATGCGAATAATGTTGCACGGTCACCAAGCGTCATTGGCTTGAACGGATTATCACCGTCTAGCCAAGACTGAACCCCGGTGTTATCGAGGCAGACACTTTGATGCGCTTCCTCTCTTGCTCCCACGACGCTCGTATGGCAGGCTTGGTGATGAGCAAAGACGAAGCCTTCTGGCAAGGATCTCATGCCCTCAACTACTAGCTTTACGCCAGCAGTTGCATTCGCCACGAATACCAAATCATACTGTTCCGGATCGGCCTTGAAGAATTTCAGAAGGCGTATCCGAACTTCGTCAATCTTTGATGTGGACTGCTGGGACGGCAATGATCCAGAGTGCGGATTCCCGTAGAGAACTGATGTCATCTCTTGCGCAAAGGAGTCCATCAGAGACTTTGAGCAGAGCGTGGTCCCGGCATGATCAAGATATACAGAGTCTGGGGTACTATCAGTTAGATTATTGCGAATCAGGGCCATGATGCACATCCAGATATTTACCTTGCAGCATTGGATATTCCTGGTCACGGAATGCTTCGACCGCGCTGTTGTATCGGAGCCGGGCCATCTTGCGGACCAATGCTTCAATGGAATACAGAGGATGTCTGCTGAATTGCCACTCGTAGTATGTGACAACAACTAACCAGTGTTCGCAATCGAATAGCAGTTGATTAAGACGAAGGCTCGCAAGAAATGCCGAGGATACACAAAGAGGGGCTGGTTCCAGGGAGACTGTGTTTGTGTCAACCTGTTTGACAACTGATTGCCAGTGCCGGATGTGATAGATTCAACTGCCGCATTCTATGGACGGGCGAGGATTCGCCAGTCAAATCGGTAAGGCGTTGGATGGATATATAAGTATAATATCTAAGGTTCGAGAGACCCATGCTAGTCAGCAGGATGACGCTCCTTTGAGGCAGTTGGGCACACGTACATGCCGGATGGAAGGTCGGAGATCGCCACTCTCCAACTCTGGTGGAGACAGGCACTGCTTAGGTAATGCGGTCCACACGTGCTAGCGGCGAGCCACAGTATCTCGAGCTGCAAACACCGTGCGTCTGCGCGACATTTGATATCAGGTCCTGCACAGTGTCCATATTCCAACGCCCACTCCCCCACAAAACTGGCGTTGCGCGTGTCGCGGCCGTCTTCGGCTCCACCTCTGGATGCTCTCAGCCTCTGCCAACTTCATCTCTTCATCTCGCTCTCCTGCGGCTGTTCCTGGGGCGCATCACCACGCAGTCGCGCAATCGCCTTTGATCGGATCCGCGCTTTTCAATTCAGTTCGTCATCCCTTTCTCGACTTGTCTATCCACCCCAATTCTCCTCTCTGTTCCTTGTCCTCTCCTCCCCTTACTTTTAGCCTGTCCTTCTCCCTCTTGCCGTCGTGGCTTGGTCAAGCTTCCGGCATCGACCGGCAATTCTCTGCCTCTTTGCTCTCCTCTATTATCCTCTCAGCTCCTCTCGTTGTCCAACCTCCGTGCCGGACCTATTTGTCTCGTTTTTGGCAGTAGCTCTTTTGCTATACACGTCCTATTCTCTCTCTCTTTCTTCTTTTTCTTCTTTTTCTTGTCTTTTTGTCCGGTCTTGGGTCAGAATGTCTTCTCTAACCGCCGTTTTACCGCCATCCAGTAGGGCGCTCTTTCAATCGATTCCTCCGTAGGAACGAGCATTGCCTCTGATGTTCGATTTTATCTGACTGATTATCAATCTGAAACCCTGAAACCAATTCTTCGTTTCACATATCCACTGCTACCAACAGAAAATGGACTCCTATTCAGGATCTTATCGCGATGGCTCAGCTCGATCACCCAATGAAAGAACGTGGGGCCGTGATGATTCGAGGAGTAGAGATGACAGAGGTGATCCTTTTTACCGCGCGAGGTCCCCTGGTTTGTCCTGCTGACCTATTTCCCCTTCATGGTCAATTCTACTTACTAACCGCCGTTATTTCCAGGCAATGAGCGCCGAGACCGCCGACGCTCACGTTCCCCGCCTCCTGTTGACCGATACGAGCCTCGACCTCGCCGTGATGGCCGTGACGATAGAGACCGGGAGGACCGGCGTCGCATAACCTCCCCACCAGCGAACATCGATCGCTACGTGCCTGGGCAGGACAGTGGACCGGCTAGTGCTCCCGTAAACCCTTTGGCTGATCCATCCAAGCTTCCTTATCAAGTTGGATTCTCCTATTTCGGCGAATGGTGGAGAATGAACGAAAAAATTAAAGATGATAAAGAACACGCCCGGACAGGGCGGAGACGAGAGCCCGACAGGAATAGAGGCGCTCGAGACAGCCAAGAGGAGCGTGAGAAAGAAAAAGCCAAGATTCAAGTAGCATACGATGCGTATAAAGAAGACCTCCAAGCCAAGATGGCCAGGGCTTTCGTTTCGGAGCACAAAAAAGAGCAATGGTTCAAAGAAAGATATGTTCCCGAAATCAGGGACGAATTCAAAGCTAAGCTCCAAGATTTTCGACGAAGTGCGTATGGCCAGTGGGAGCAAGATTTAGAATCTGGCATTTTTGATGAGTTCTCTCTCGAGGGCATCCCAAAAAGCGAAAGCAATGGAGCTGGTGGGGTAATCGAAAAGGAGGAGGGCGAAGCAACAGCCGCCAACGAAATTTTGGGAGTCGGCGATTTGGTTCCCGTGAATGGGGCTGATATCCGTGATGAAAATCAATTTCAGCCCACTCTGCTTATCAAGACTATTGCCCCTCATGTTAGTCGCCAGAATCTAGAAGCCTTTTGCAGAGAAAATCTCGGAGAAGAGGAAGGTGGCTTCAAGTGGCTATCTCTCTCCGATCCAAACCCTAGCAAGAGATATCACCGTATTGGCTGGGTTATGCTTCATCCTTCTTCGGATAGCGCGCCGCCAATGGATCGCGCAAACCCCGAAGATGAGGATGGAGACGTAGCAATAAGATCGCCACCTCCCCCTGCTTCGGCCGCAGAGAAGGCTCTCGAAGCTGTAAACGGGAAGACGGTCAAAGATGAGGCTCGGGGAGACTTTGTCTGCCATGTCGGAGTTCACAACCCACCCCTTCATCCTAGAAAGAAAGCGCTTTGGGACCTGTTTTCTGCGCCAGAGCGAGTCGAGAAGGATCTTCGCTTGGTCAAACGGCTAGTCAACAAATACGAAGAAGACTTTGGCTCTGATTTCCAGGCCATCCCGAAAATCGAAGAAAAAGTTGACGATCTGAAAAATGCTGGTCGCCTACAGCCTGCTATACCCCCCACTTCAACGAAGAAAGCCACCAAGTCTCGAGAGCCTGGAATGGACGAAGCAATGGACGATGATGAGGAGGCCGCTGAAGAAGAGGAAGAGGAAGAAGGAGCAGTCGAAGACGAGGAAGTTGATGACGAGGAGATGTTGGTGAAAAAGAAACAACTTGACCTGCTCATTGAGTATTTGCGCCGCGTCTTTCACTTTTGCTTCTTTTGCGTATTTGAAAGCGACTCTGTGCATGAGCTCACACGTAAATGCGCTGGTGGACATCTACGCCGACCTCAGAGCACTCTCACGTCTTCCGCCAGAGCCGTTGCTAGGGCTAGTGCAAATGGAGATGCTTTCCCCGACAAGAAACGAAGCGAGGGCGATAATGACGTTGATGGAGAGTCGGTTGAGGGCGACAAAAAGTTTCGCAACATGTCTTCCAAAACCGAGCAACAGCTTCTCCGCGCGTATAACTGGGTCAAAACCTTTGAAGACAAGCTTACGCAGATCCTGGAACCCAGTGCCGTGGATATTCGCAAGCTTGGTGGCAGACCAGTTGACGAGGCAATTGATGAAGAGCTGGCCAAACATGTCAAGCAGGAGGACGAGCACAAATGGAGATGCAAAGTTCCAGAGTGCACCAAGCTTTTCAAAGAAGATCACTTTTGGAAGAAGCATGTTGAAAAGAGACATGGTGAATGGCTGGATGGCTTGAAACAAGAGGTATGTCGACTCTCACCATTGCTACAAGTTTGTCTGTATCTTGTTTCTTTTGCTAACTGCTAGAAATAGTTTGAACTTATCAACGCATATGTCTCAGATCCAGCACATATTGCTCCTTCGCGAACCGACGCGAACTCAAATGGCCACTTCCCACCTACCAGCGGCCAGTCAGCATCAGGTACCCCTCGTGGCTTCAACCTGCAAAACTTCTCCATGAATGGCGTGATGGGTATGCCCGGATTTCCCATGGGCCCCGGAAACTTCCCCTCGTTGTTTGCAGGCATGCAAGCCAATAACTGGAACTCTGCGGGCGACGACCGCTCAGGGGGCCCTGTCCGTCGAGGCGGAATGTCTGGTGGACGAGGCGGATATCGTTCGGCACCGTATGATCGCCGTGGGGGCAACCGCTGGGATGGAGGCGGTGGCCGAAACCGCAACGGCGGGTCTCGATGGGGAGACGGAGCTGGTGCTGCGGCCGCCGCTCCTCGAGAAGCTGTGCAGGGACGTAGCTTGAAGAGCTATGAAGACCTGGACCAAGTATCTGGCAGTGGAAATGGGGGCGCTGAGCTCAACTATTAAATCGACCCGCGCAACTAGGCGGGATAATCAAGGAGAAAAAAGACAGTGGAACTTTTGCTTTATCAACACTATAACTATTATCGTTTGGCTGCAGAAGATGCGTCTGCAAGTTTGTACATTAGGCTCAGAGTAGTTTACGCAATATCATATATTTCAGAATGGCATTTGATATTTGGTTTCAGATTTGTAATCATGAATAAATAAACTGCAATATAGAAAAGCTGCGAAAATATTACATGTATTAACCGGCGTGCTACCATTGTAGCCTCTTGAGAAGATTGCTTCTGCTTCTCATTTCTCTCAGGTGAAATCGGGTAGGAGAAATGGAGGCTTCAAAAAATTTTTTTTTTTGATATGTGCAATGCACAGGCTCTATCTGTTTAATAAGAAACACAATTTCGTAAAAGGGAAGACCTCTCAAAATGATGTGTTCTGGCAACTAATCAAGCGCGACCCAGCAATATCAAATGCCTCGGTTCTTGGAGTTTGTCATGGACCGTACAACCGCGAAGATAAGGGGCGTTTAGAATAGACCTAGTAGAGGTCCGATTCGCACAGCTCCCACCTCAAAAGCACGCCGAGAATAGACGGCATCCAACTCTTTTTCCCCATCGACTGGATGTTTACATGGTGACTATTCTTTCTTTGATGCCGATCTCGTTGGACGAGGTGTAGAGGCTGCATGGATTCTTGGTATCATTAAGGTGGTCGTTGGCGGCCGTTATTATGCGCGAGCATTTTTAGAATGCCTCGTGTACAAGTTTCATAGCTATACACTGAGGCGAAGGGCTGTAGAAAGGAGAAAAAGACGGAATGCATTTCAAGGTGCCTTTTCGAATAGTTCGAGAATGGGTTTTGCAGCCTAAGCAGGGTGTCAGCACAACACTTCGCAAAGTGTCTGATATGCGGGCTTACATCGATGAATTTCTCCAAGTCTTGATCTAAATTGGCTAGGTCGTCCTTTCTTCTCTTGTTCTCCGCAATGAGCTTCTGTTTCCTTTTAAGAAGCTCCTGGCGTCGCTGTTCTAGTATTTCTCGCTCTTCCCGCTCGTGTTCGATACGTGCAAACATGCGCTCGTCGTCGTCTGCATCTGCATATTTTGGGTGTAGAGCCAGGAACTCTTCGACGGGAATTAGAGGCAATTGCTGGTATTTGTGACTGGATTTAAAAAGTCAGCCGTTGGGCACTCAAATATGAGACCACCATAGCAACAGTAGAGGTATTGAAGAGAGGAGGCGCATACTCATATGATTCACAGCCTGTAATCTCGCCCTGAAGATGCCGCTGCTCGTAATACAGATTTTGCAGCTGGAGATGCAGACGGTCGACCTCTTGACGGGCCTCGGCGGTCTGGGCCTTTGTGTCACGCGCCGACAGGCAGGCGTTCCTGTGCAGGCCACGCAGATGCGAAATGTTAGTAAAAAGCTGCTTCTGCTGCTTAGCAATCTCGGCCTGGATGTCGGCGGTGGCGCGGCCGTCGCTGGCCTGGTCAGCAAGCTGGAGCAACGCGTGGGCCTGGTCGCGAGCTTGGTCTGAGATTTGGAGGACCGCGGCGAGCGACGGCTCCGTGATGATTTTTTCGACAGCCATTGCTGGTAGGGGGGTTCAAATGGCAGTCGTTTGGATCGGATATTATTTAGAGTATAATGGTAAGTTGTTGGTCGATTGGTGTAATGTCTATTTGCGGATGGTGATGATGCTAATGTTGAAGGGTCAGTGAATGACGGGCGAGCAACGCCAGCAAGGCTGGAGCTGACAAAGTGGAGGCCGGTACCCGTTATGGGCAGGTTTTTAGCGCGAGGCTGTCAATGGGTTAGCACCGCTGTCAGGCACCTTTTAGATCTAGCCTTTAGCCGCCTACGCCCTGTTCCGCACCTATTTCTCCGGAATACGGAAAGCCGAAGCATCGCCAGTTATGTACAGTATGCCCTCTATAAGCAGCCAAGAGGATTGCCATCCCAGCACAAAGTAATGCAGGCGTGTCGGGCGCCGGAGACGCGGGAAATTAAGCCACGCTGCCTGCCTGTACAAGTAAGGAGAGTGTGGAGGCGGAAAGGCCAAGATGCTGCTCCGGGGGCTCTACAGCATGAGCGGCCAGGTTCAGAATGCCTGTCTTGTCCTACTATGACCATCTCCTGGTGCTTTTTGTCATTCCAAACATGAGCATGCGGTCTTTGCTCGCAACCTCAACTTGGGCCATGTACTACCAATCACGCATGTAGACGATGATAAAAAAGATCCAAGATGAATTTACGGCTGATGATCTTTGCCAAGCAACCAATAAGGCAGCGCCATCTCGCATTCCCACCCCGGCGCGGTATTTTTGTCCGCGGCATGTGAGCGCTCCCCCAGAGTCATGGGATGTTGGTAGTGGGCAGGGCAGGGCAGTTTTTCTTAGTCAACCCGTCAGCCGAATGAAATTATGATTGATTGACCGATGAACCGGGTAGTCACAACATGAAGACTATGTTCCATGCGAAATTCCTGCTAGGTTTAGGCGGTAACAGATAGATGCACTGACAAAGTAATTGGTTGACAGCGGAGGTTATTCGGGCTGCCCGCTACTAAGGCCGATTGAGTTTTATTTCTTTTTTTTTTCTTACATCACTATATAGCGGCACCCTGATAGCACGGGGTGCTTTGTCTCACTTTATCCCGCCACCCTCTTTTCTTTCCTTCATCGAGACGCAACCGCGGTTCAAGGACCAAAGGAACCAAACAAGAGCATTCGGCCGTACAACGTTGAGGATAGGAATTTTTCTCTTGCCTCTGGTCTGCATATCCACGCAAATCTCCGCAGCCCTGCAGCCAATCGCGCGGCCTCCTGGCGGCCCTCAATCCCCTAAATAGGCTGCTGTTGCTGCTTGACCCGCATCGAGACGAACCGAACCATCAACCAATTCGACTTTTGGAGCCAATCAGTGCTAAACGTTGGGGAAGAATCGCCAATTAACCGCATCGTCCCGCTCCATCCGATCAACAAATCGAGGGGTCCAGCAGCGCCAGCCGCTCCACTGCAAGATCTCGTTTCTCTGTTTCTTTTTTCTCTTTTTTTCCCTCCTCTGTCAGGCGCATTCCTGGCATCCTCGCCTCTTTGTTCGCTCGGGCCAATCATCCGCAGCAACCACAGCCCGTGCCACGACGCAGCCCAGTTGACGGTCCATCACCAAATCCAAGACATGATAGTCTGACAGACGTCTCAAACCCTCCCTCCCCTATAACACTCAATCAAAATGGCGGGCGTCACCACTGCTCTGACGTCCGCGTGCGGCTTCAACCACGACGGCGACGACAAAGACTCGACTGGCGTTGCTGCTACCAGCGGTTCGGATTTGCGCCGCGAGGCTCAGCAACAGGCAAAACGACGACGGCACTCTTTCTTTATCCCCCGACGGAAATCCATCGTCGGACACATCATGGAGGGCGAGGAGAATCTCTTGCTCAAGGTGGACCTGTTCCTGACCGAACTGGAGCGGCGGCTGGATTTTGTCGAAAACTATGTAGACCTCAGCAAGGACTCGAGCATTTCCCGCGCATTCTCTACTCTTCAGACGGTTCGCTCGAGATGCTCTCAGGCGTCCGAGGAAGTCATCGGCGCCGGCCGGCGCAGGCTCTACATCATGCTTGAGACCCTCGACACCCGGTACCAGGAGACGATGGCTGCGACCGAGTCTCTACACGAAAAGGCAGGCCTGGGAATTGAGTTGCTAGAAGGGATGATGGCCGAGTTCGAAACGCGCGCCTACAAGCTGCGCGAGCAGGGCTTTGCCAATGCCGCTACGGCTGCCGAGGCATTTATGGATGAGGGTCGCAGAGTTGCAAACGAGAGCATTGAGCGGGCAAAGTCTGTTGTCGACGAAGGAATCGAGCGCGCCGTGCGGGCTGCGCTGTCCCTCGAAGAGCATATCCAGCAGGCTGTCCTGCTGGCGCGGGATCGCGGACTGCTGCTATACGACGATCTGCCAACGCCTTGGCGAAACAACCCACACATCAAGAGAGGCTACCGTTTCCGCGAGACCAAGATAGAATGCGTCCGATCTGTTTTCAACATGTCCAACGAATTCATCAACATTTGGTCTCACGCCCTGGGCCTGATCCTGGTGCTGGCCGTTGCCTTTTACTTCTACCCCAGCAGTGCCAATTTCTACCTTAGCACTAAGACAGACGTCGTTGTTGCCGCCATCTTCTTCATGATGGCCTGCTTGACGCTGGTGTGCTCCACCATTTGGCACACGATGAGCGCTGTTGCCGATGTCAACGCCGTCTCCATGTTTGCTTGCGTGGACTACACCGGCATCTCGCTGCTTATTGCTGCCTCCATCATGACCACCGAGTACACCGCTTTCTACTGCGACCCGGTCAGTCGATGGGTGTACATGGGCCTCACTGCCTTCCTGGGCATTGGAGGGGTGATCCTGCCGTGGCACCCCAAGTTCAACGGCACCGACATGGCTTGGGCCCGCGTCGGATTCTTCGTCGGCCTGGCCTTGACGGGGTTCATGCCGATTCTGCAGCTTTACTTTTCCCACGGACCCGACTTTGTCTACAACTTTTACTCTCCCATCAGCAAGTCTCTTTTGGTCTACTTCAGCGGCGCCGTCGTGTATGCCAGCAAGGTCCCTGAGCGCTGGTTCCCCGGCATGTTTGACTACATCGGCGGTAGCCACAACTTGTGGCACGCCGCCGTCTTGGGCGGCATCATCTTCCACTACACCGCCATGCAGCAGTTCTTCTCCAATGCCTTCCACAGGGCCGAGGCCGGCTGCCCGGCTTATTAGTCGAGACACCCCTCGGTCATGGTAGGGTTAGCACAACGCAGCGCAAGCACATTTTAATTTGAACTTGAGCTTTAGAAGCTAAAAGCTTCCCTTGCCCTGATACATGGTTGATTCATACATGTCTTTGCATTTGAGCTTTTTTGCGTGTGAAATTTTTTTTTAACTCGTTTTACTGTTAAATAACAGAGCGGAGCGCATAAACAGAATATACGGCTATGAACAACGAAAGACGAATAAAGACGAAAAGTTTACGTTACGTTACGTACATGTACAAGCGGGCTCAGTGCCTTATCAAGAGAGGGGAGGCATTTCTGTCTGGACTACGATTCAATTCGATTCGATTTCTGTTCAGTTCTTGTGTATACTCTTTTTCTATTCTCTCTTCTTTTTTTCTAGCATGGGCACAAATTGGCGTTTTTCTGTTTTGTTTGGGCAATGCATTGCAAATGCCCTGTGGCGATTTGCGTGGCATTCTATATAGCTATTTTGCTCTTTTTTTGGCTACATAACTCGTTAGAATAGCATATATTGTATTAATCAATTCATAAACATGATGAAACAGAAGCAATGCCATTCATCAGTGTTTTCGATCAAATGCAGATTCCTTGAGCCGTACCCCTTTCAGCATATGAGAAATTCAACCTGAAAAAGGCGAGTGGATATGTACTAGGTACGGAATTTTTCTTGAAAATAGTCATTGTATTGCTCTTTGTCCGTTTCATCATGTGAGTCGTAATATTATTCCCGAATGCAGACCCTGCAGCAATCCCTTGCTGTACCCCAAATTTGGCCAATATGTGTCATCCCATCTCTTCCAATACCTAATACATTGAATGGTTTCGTTTCCTCTGTAGTTGCTAGGCCGCTAACCAGTGCCTTTAAATTCATCGACAAATACAAATACATGCGCCAATATCTCCCAAAAAATAAGATCAACGATGCTAGAAAAGAATTGCCCGATAGCAGAGGAGCAGGGCCTCTAAGGGGATGCCTGATGCCAAGGCTGATGTCGGGCCGGAGAGCCACTGACTCCATCCATCTGGGTCGGATCGTCATTGGAAACGCGTCAAGCATGCTATCACGTGGCGCGTTTCTCTTCAACAGTATACTAGATTTCCCCTTTACTGGGCCTTACTGTTCATTGTGACCCTCTTTAGTAAGAGGGGCAGCAAGTGTTTCATTACGTCCCATCATCTTCACATGGCATGCGTGGCGATCTCTTCGTAAACATCGTCCGGTATCTTCTTAATGATGCTGATCGTGATGCTCTTGACGAGGTCGGCATTTAGCTGTGGGAATGATCGCAGAAGCTTGTTTGGACTAGCAACAAATGTCAGAAGCTAGGAATATCAGTGCTCAAAGAAAAGGGGGGCAAATACCTCTGGGATTGAAGGATCTGCGACCGCATAATAGTAAGCTGCGCTACAATGCACACAATATTAAGATGCGGCCCATACGCAAAGAGAAAATCCCAAAGGCGCAACACCTCGGGTAGTGGCGGTGTACATGCACAGAGTGTTAGTACAGAGGGGAAAGCATAGATTTCGGCCGAGAGCCCCTTTGACGTGAGATACATGCCAAGTTTGGGATCGACAATGGCCAAGACTTTGTCTACCAAGGCAAGCCCGCGATGCACGCCATCCATGGCGCCACGGATGTAGCCAGGGCACTCGCGAGTCAACAGAGAGTGAAAAGCGACAAACGCTTCGGCTTCGCTTCGTGCGGCGTATAGAAAAGGGGCAGCCAAAACATTCATGCCTTGGACGTAGACACCTGGCTCGAGAACTGCACCGGATCCTACTCGAGAGAGAACAAAGGCATTAGCATGTACAAAAGATAAATCGGCCGAGTTCTTCGTGCCAAAACGTACTCGCTTGAGATTGGCCAGAGTGGCTGCCTGCAACGCCATCCCGCGGAGGTATAGACGAATGGCTGCTGCCAGGACGGCTGCTCTGGCGTTCATCTTCTTTTGAATCGTGAAGTCGCCAGGCAATGGCATTCAGCAGTCGAATCAAGCTTGCCTCGCTAACACGGCGCCGGAAGAGAGGGTCGGTCGTAAGCGTGCGAAAGGTATCGTTGCGGATCTTGGCGTATGCCGGAGAAGCACCACGATGTATGAGGGCTAGGTATTCGTCTGTAGACATGATTGGGGCGTCCAAAAGGACGAGCCATACGTATATCCTCAATGGAGACTAGACATCAACAAAAGTAAGCGCAGGTCAGTGACTTTCGCCGCCTAGCTCTGAGAGCAAGCAGTCAAAACAATGGTATCGCGCACCATTCCATCCTCTGCGGCTTTGACGCCTTCATCAACGACTTTCCACCTAGCGCTTTCCAGCGCACCTATGAAATCGCCATCGTTTGGCCCATCGCGAATGATCTGCTGGAGAGACAAGTGGCCGTGTGAAAAGACGGGCTTCTTCACCCCTGATCGTCGGGCGTTTGAGGCGGCAGTTGGTTGATATAGCGGCGGTGGTGTGGCATCGCTATTGGCACGACCTCGTGTCCGCGTTGTCGAGATTGCGGCAGCATTTCGACTCGGAGATGGCGACAGCTGTTGTTCTCGGCGCTGCTGTGAGAGGAGTGACGCCTGCTGCTGGGCGGCTCTGGCGCCCAATGCATGAGCAGACTGGAGTCGTCTCAAGGCGCGATGCGTCTGTGGCGATGGCGGGGCTTGGAGAGTGCCATGCTGAATCGACGACAGGGCAGCAGGGGCCTCCTGTGCCGTGGGCGGAGGGCCAGACATGGTTATCGGGCTAAAATTGGCCCTCGTGGTGGTATTTGGGAAGAGTTGGTGGTGATATTGAGGATGAAGCTCTGCATGTTTGGAGCACGCGTTTGGCCGGCGTGGGGGTAGCAACCGCCAGTAAGAGCGTTTCAGATGCTACCATTTACCACCAGCGCCGGCAGTGGTGCATAGTGCGATGCATGGCAGCTTCGTGTATTCTGTCTGAGGGGTGCTAATGATAGAGCTCGTGATGAACTTTTGCGGGCGTGGAGAGCTGCGCAAACCCAGCCAGATTTATGGTTATCTGGTGATGTGCCTAGAAGCTCAGCGTCTTGCTGCCATCCATGGATCTACTGGTATGACGTCGAATTGCCTCGTCCAGAGCGCATGCGGCATATCGATTACTATTACAGCGCATTTCAGCAGGGCTTAGGCGCTGAGGAAGCTGCAGCTAGTGCTGTAAAATGCAGCCGCTTCGGATCTTCGCGAGCCCGATGATCCGGGCCATCACTTCTCAATTCCTTCCATCCTCCAATTCTTTATGTCCGCCAACCAGACTTGGTATCGTCCGCAGCTCGTCATCTTCGGTAGCAGCGTTGGGCAAGGTTGCAGAGGACGACTGACGCCTTTTCCTGCTGATGGCTCAGCTCCCCCGCATCGTCGGGCATCACATGGGCGAATGGTTGGAGCACGGCTCGAGACATGCTCGAGTTAGCAGGACGTATTACGAGAATTTATTTGGAGACACCCACGGAGAAATAACAGTGTGATACTGCTATATCACAGAAGAACTAGCATGATTAAGGTAAACAGACATTGGGCGGAGTATTGGCTTGCATTGACACTGCTTAATTTTAGTCTCCTCACCCACGATTCACTATACAGCCTCTTATATCCAGATATGTACACTTTGAATATCATGTGCCTCGTGTAAGAACAGGACAGCTGTACTCTTGCCACGGAAGTATCACATTCAATCAAAAGCTGTCCTTCTGCTTTTGCGCAAGCGGTGGCCCGCCTTACTCGACTCTTCTGCCCGGCACAGACTATACACGGAAATCAAAATCTAGATGATCCAGAGGCTCTAAAACCGAAACGGTCTAGATGGGATTGCGACATTGGAGCGTTTTGTGGGGAGATTGCGCTGAAGTCGTGATCGCCCCCCTGGTCTTTTCAAAGATCCAATAATCTGCCCCAGCGGTGATGCGTCTCAACGGCGGGTTTGACGCTTGAAAACGTCCGTTTGATGGAGAACATGACGTTCGGGAGAAAGAGCTTTGCTATCCAAGCCCCTTTTGGACTCTCGTCTATTCCCTCATATTTGTCAGAATGCTGTTTACAAGCATGCCTGCCGACTGTCCGATGCGGACCTTCGGCGCTCCTTCTTACTAAATTTCTCGTCGGTATAAGTCGCAAGAGGGCGCAGCCTTTGTCTCTGCTCGGATAATTTTTGAATATTCTTTCCAGCTCTGCCTCTTGTCTTTGCCTCCATTTATTGTCTAAATCATATGTTTTGCCTCTTATTACTACCCCGATTTTCTGTCAGTTTTAGGCTTCTGATCCTTGGCCACTGATCGCCCGCGGCGTGAACCAACTTACTAGACGAACCAACCAGAACACTCTGCTTGGCTCACGAGACTTCAGACACCATTTTGTCGCCCTGCACCCAGCATCTAGATCCTGGATGTCTCGTTTGTTCTTATAGTCCAAGCGCTTTCTCTTTACAGCTTAAAGTCCCTTGTCGTGACTGTCTCAGCTGATGGTCTAGAGCTGCAGTCTACGAGTTAGTTTCGCTGTCAACTTCACTTCGAGCCGGGCCATCGCCGTCATAGTCAGCTTAGGGTGGGAAGCAAGAGGCGAGGGCCCGAACATCTTGAACAAAAAGAGGATAGAGATGATATTATAAGGGTCTCGAAGTCTAGTCATTGTTATCTTTCTGTCGCAGTCTCCCTCAACCTCTACTCTCCTCTTCATCTCCCGTCCATCCGGGCCACTTCTTTCACTCCAGCCACATCATCCAATTTAAGCCGAAGCGATGAGTGGAACAACAGCCAAGGTTGAGCGCACGCTCGCCAGAGTCCTAGGCATCAAGCTTGCAGAAGAAGACGATGACCCAGTTACCAGAGGCGAATCGGTCTTCTCTATGCAAACCAGCGACAGCTTCATCGAAGGACCGCCGACTACATCAGAATGGCTAAACGATCAGCTGCCTACACGAGCCGAAACTGTGGGATATATCAGATCACTCTTTCCATTCATATCTTGGCTGCCTCACTACAACTTGCAATGGCTCGCTGGTGATCTTGTTGCGGGTATCACCATCGGAGCCGTACTGGTCCCTCAGGGTATGGCTTATGCCTTGTTGGCAAACTTGCCTCCTCAGTTTGGACTATACTCGTCGTTCATGGGCCCCATCACATATTGGATCTTTGGTACATCCAAAGACATATCCATCGGCCCAGTGGCTGTTTTATCCACGGTGGTAGGAACCGTGGTGGCCGATGTGAATGCCTCTGGAACTGCCTGGCCCGCCAATGTGGTGGCCACAGCATTTTCCGTCATCGCTGGATGCATTGTTCTCGCTCTTGGTGTCTTTCGCCTGGGCTGGATAGTTGATCTCATCTCCATCACGTCATTGTCTGCATTCATGACAGGATCTGCCATTACCATTGGTGCCAGCCAGCTGCCTTCTCTGTTTGGCCTCACAGGCTTCTCCAGCAGAGATGCAGCGTACAGAGTCATCATCAATACGCTAAAGCATCTCCCTGAAACCAAATTAGACGCTGCAATTGGCCTCACAGCTCTGTTTTTCCTCTACCTCATCCGCTATACCTTAACCCGAGCGGCTGAGAGGTGGCCGGCAAATAAGCGCATCATCTTTTTCATGAATACGATGCGAACTGTTTTTGTCATTCTCCTCTATACCATGATAAGCTGGTTGATCAACAGACACCGAAAGGATCATCCAGCAGTCCGTGTTCTTGGAGTTGTCCCTAAGGGTAAGTCTCGAAATCATACAATTGTGGCTACACTTTCTAACGACACGTAATGTTTAGGCTTCAAGAACGCTGGCGTCCCAGAGATCGAGGCGAATCTTGTATCAAAATTTGCTTCTCACCTTCCAGCGGGCGTCATTGTGATGCTGGTTGAGCATATTGCCATTTCCAAGTCCTTTGGTAGGGTGAATAACTATACTATCGACCCGTCTCAAGAAATGGTTGCTATTGGCATGACCAATATACTTGGTTCATTTCTTGGGGCTTATCCTTCGACGGGATCCTTCAGTCGAACGGCCATCAAGTCGAAAGCTGGTGTGAGAACTCCTGCTGCAGGGCTCATTACTGGACTGGTGGTCCTTCTAGCTACGTATCTCCTGACGGCCGTCTTTTTCTACATCCCCAATGCAGTCTTGGCTGCAGTCATCATTCACGCAGTTGGCGATCTGATAACTCCCCCAAACACCCTCTATCAGTTTTGGAGGGTCTCTCCTATTGAGGTCTTCATTTTCCTCATCGGAGTCTTTATTAGTGTTTTTGCTCAAATTGAGGACGGCCTGTATGCAACCGTATGCATCTCTGCCGCTGTCCTCATTTATCGCATCTTGAAGGCACGTGGACGATTCCTTGGCAAGGTCAAGGTCCATTCCGTTATTGGAGATCATGTCATTGGAGACCATCACAAACAGCTTGTTGGGGAGTATGGCACATTTGAAGAGAGAGCCGAGAATGCAGCAAGGAATATTTTCCTACCTCTTGATCACGGTGATGGCTCTAACCCAGAGGTGGAATTGGAGAACCCATACCCAGGAGTCTTCATCTACCGTTTCTCCGAGGGCTTCAACTATCCAAGCGCCAACCATGCTTTGGAGTATCTGACCAGCTTCATATACGCGCGAACTCGCCGAACTAGTCCAGAGATTTTCGAACGCAAGGGCGACAGGCCTTGGAATAACGCAGGTCAACGGAAATCTGGAAAATCAAGAGCGGACCCTGACCTCACCCAGAAGCCTACCCTAAAGGCCATCATTTTGGATTTCAGTTCCGTCAACAATGTCGACATCACTTCTGTCCAGCGCTTGATTGATGTTCGAAACGTACTTGATACGTATGCAGCCCCTGATGTTGTGGATTGGCACATTGCATGCATCAACAACCGATGGACCAAACGAGCACTTGTTGCCGGCGGATTTGGCACTCCTACAAAGCCTCGAGACGGCGTTCCGCATCGATGGAAGTCGATTTTCAGTGTCGCAGAGATTGGTGGAAAAGACTCTGCTGCGGCAGTGGCCGAAGAGAATGCTATCAATCGGGAATTATCCATGATCTCTCATAGAGTAGGGGACGAAGAGATGGCAAAGGCCAAAGCCATAGTCGAAGAGGAGGAACAGGTAGAGGAGCGGGAGCAGGAGCAGGCATCAACACCTAGTGACATTGTTGAGAAGCTAGGAGGATCTCCCAAGCCTGCATTCAAACGAAAGGGAGCCATCATTAGCGGTTTCGACAAACCTCTATTCCACGTGGACCTGACAAGTGCTGTGTTGAGCGCTATTGCCAACGTGGAGGCCAGATTAGAGTCGACGAACAGTACATGAAAACAACAACAAGCATAGCGAGGAGTGCGTTTAATTATGCATTGGACATGGCGTAACATTGGGCTTTGATTGGTGAAGACTACCAATTGTTGGTTGAACTGCAATAGAGGGACGATAGCATCGCCTGACTACATTTGCATACATATTAGATATGATCAAGAATAGCGATTTTTAGAATTAAACTATAACACGCGTCACATCAGTACGAATAAACCGTACATTGAGTTTCTTACTTTGAATTCAAGATATCCATTATCCCATGTGTTGGAGCTTTTGATTAAGTTACTGTAGATAGTACTAGTATGATTGGACCAGATTCTATTGTTGGCGATGGCTCACCTCAAAAGTCGCCACAAGTCACCTGATTTCGTGTCAGAGACGTCTGCGTGAATCTAAATCAACATTTTCAACCCGTCGCGCTACCCTTGACGCTGCTAATTCCTGGACCAGTCTCTTAATTTCTTTCAAACGGGTTTCATTTGTTCCACAAGCTGTATTTCCGTATTTTCACTGGTTGCCATTTAATTCAAGGGTTCTTCCTATCTGAGGTCGATCCACGACCGCCATTCATTCACCATGCCAATCGGCATCCAACGTCTGAACGCAAAGAAATCACAGCCTAATCCGCACATTGTCTTCATCAAGCCTCTAAAAGGGCCAGATGAGGAAATTGCCCAAGATTTTCTTGAGAGAATTGCAGCGCAATGTCGTAAGTTGCCTTTTTCGGCAGATGTTTCTGACCTATTCATGCTGACTAAAACAAAAGTTCCGGTGATGCGCAAACACCACATTCACGTCATGTCACTGGAGGAGTTTCCGCCCAACAGAGAATTTGTAGGCCGTAATTTCAATGCCGGAGAGGTGATTCAACTTGTGCTCAAGTCTCCCGGCAGTGGCCGGTGGCTCCCGTTCAACTATGTACAGATGGTGATGATGCATGAGCTCGCTCACTGCGCGCAGATGAATCACTCCAGGGCCTTTTGGGCAGTGAGAAACCAGTACGCTGCACAGATGCAAACTTTGTGGGCCGAGGGATACAAGGGAGATGGACTCTGGGGTAGAGGGGCCAAGTTGGCGACTGGAGAATGGGAGAGGAACGCTGTTCTGGCGGATGAAGTGCTGCCGGAGCATCTCTGCGGAGGCACATATCGATCTCGAGGGAGGAAACGCAAGGCCAAACCAGTCTTGACGTACCAGGAGAGAAAAGAGAAAAGGATTCTCAAGAAGTTTGGCAAGAATGGAGTCGCACTAGGGGCAGACGAAGAGGAAAAAGTCAAGCTCGAGAAAGGCAAACGCGTCCAAGCGAAGCCTAGAGTGGCCGGCAGCTTGCGAGGGCGAGAGCTTCGTGCGGCTGCGGCATTGGCTCGGTTCGAGCAAAATCGAGACGACGTTCCAAAGAAGGAAGAGGAGATGGATGAGGAGGAGGACGGGCTGAGTGACTACGAAGACGGAGACCTGGCGGATTCCAAAGCCGCGGTGGATTTGGACGGAACGAGGATGACGGATAAGGATGGCGGTGATATGGTCAAGGTGTGCGAAGATGAGGACCCAAGCGATGCTGATGCGAAGAACGAGCTTGATGAATTACATGGGTTGTTTGGCAGACGGAAAATTAAACAGGAATCAGGTCCACAGCGGTTGAATTTACACTCGTCAAGGAATCTGGATTCAGAAAGGGCAGTGAAACTGGAAGAGGAGGAAAGAGGGCCGGCAATCAAACCAGAGGTTTTGGCCGACAATGGTGCTTCATCAAAAGCCTTGTCGTCTATACCACACGTCAAATCAAAACACAGCGAAATAACTATCAAACCAGAGCCGGAATCGAATTCCAAGAACCACCAGTCATTGCTTGAAACGGTATCAAGTCCTAAAATCACCACTGCCACCACCACCACTACGGCGGTAAATACACGAGAGAGCCCAAGCAGCAGCACTGCACCAGCACCAACCGACTGCTCAATGTGCTCCTTTGCAAATCCTCCTTTGGCAATCACATGCGCCATGTGCGCAAACGTCCTCGACCCAAAACACACGAGCGGCTCGTGGCAGTGCGAGGGCACGTCATGCGCAGCCACGGCGTATCGGAATGCGAGGGACTGCGGCGTGTGCGGATTGTGTGGGAAGAGACGGGAATGAAAACGGGGCTTTTTCTTCTTTGATTTTCCTTTCATGATGTCAATTTTCCATGTTTTCAGGAAGAGGCGCGCAAATGCGTGTGTGTGTTACTGCAATCAAGCTCTGAGGCTGTTCAATGGGGTGTTTTGTCGATCTTTATGAGGCATCGGTTTCAGGATAAAATGATCGGTGGTAGTTTGTTACACGACTACAAATGTCGTACATTGTACTTTTTTTACGTTTGTTTTGCATTAAGTATAGATGCGCATATATCTCCTAAGAAGGGTTCATATCAGGCGATCAGGGGCTAGTGGCGAAGTGGTTGCTCTATAACATATCATATCAATTAACAGCTGCATAGTTTAGAAGCAAAGGGAGGAGAATTTTGCCACACCGTCGTCACAGGGCATCAGGGCGAATCGATTATAGGGCTTTGTTTACTATCTGACGAATTTGTCTCGATCCGATTGGAGCTTGGGGAGAGCATCATTGCCATCTACCTCGGTAGGTATAGATGTTGTATTGACCTCATACCTTGATTCCCGTGCCATTGACCCTACTGGAGTCACTCCACCGAATCAATTCCAATCCAACTTTGTTCAATGCCTTTCAAGCTATGTTAAACAGATGCAAAGATTGTCTGAAAGTTTCATCAAGTCTTACCAAGCAAGACCACGTGCATGGGCTCAAGTCAGCACTATGTCAAAGGTCAAAGAGGTGACAAGCCGGGACTAATAATAACAACTACAAGTACATTCATGGGACAGCATCTCATAGGAAGGCATTTATAGTCTTGCATGACGAGAGACCCAGGCGGCCCAGCTTTTAGCCCTGATCCATGCGATATAGACTTTCTGCAATGGATGCCAATTCTTCTTCAACAGTGCGGGATGAAGACCCCGAGAAATCGAAGCGTTTCGGCCGCAGAGGATGGCGCCACCATCAGCTTATTTTCTATTTCCAGAGATGAGAGTCAACGAATTTGGTGCGTTGCACGCGGCACGGAGATGCCACAGTCCTCAGCGGCAATGACAGGAGGGGTTGCAGCGGACTGAAACCGTATGAGTTCGGTCTTGGTAAATAATGGAATGACAAGGCGGAAGGGAAAAGGCTTCTGGACTCGGCCGGGCTCGGCTCACTGACTCGAATGGCCATGGGTCGACGGAGTTCCTTACTGTTGCACTCGGATAGACGCAAGCATGTGTATATCAGGAGAGGGTCCATCGCATATACTCGGAATCATGCCACGCTGATGCTGTGTTAAATACCAGTGTCCATCACATGGGAGGGAAATAGCAGATGAGGACTTAGGAAAAGAGAGTTGTCGCGTTGTGCATTCATTTGTGCCGCCGTTTATACAGTCTTTAATCGCAGGTAGGCTTATTGTGTGACTTGCAGATTGATTGACAAATTCCAGCGCTGTGTGACGGGCGCGGGGAAGAAGAAAAAAGAGGCGGGATACCTCATACTGTGTTGTCTGCGTTCTCTAAGGAAAAGCTTTGTAGAAGATCAAAGCATAATGGGAATGTAGGACTAGAGATCAACTCAAAGGCTGCTTCATCTTGCAGAACGCGAAGAGTCCATCTGGTGATGCTGAAGCAGACGTTCTAGACTCTCAACGTCGGTTTGGGGGACAAGATTCGAAACCTCTGCTGGATGCAGTAGTGCTGCATCTGCATTGCATTGGACATTGATGGCGCAGAGTTGGGTAATTATTCATCCTTTTTTTCTTTGTTGCATCCAATAACCAGGTCGCATTCGTTTGCATCATGGATGCACAGAGAGGATTGTGCTTGTTTCTTGTTAACATGCTCCAAGCAAGTTGACGATAGTAGCGGCAGCAAGCGCTCAGAGGGTGGGTGACTTGCAATGTACTTGTGCTCTAGTGCTTCCCTGATACAGTCTAGCCGCTCTGCTAACGCACAATTACTGCAGCAGAGCCGGAGTTGATACGGCGAGACTACGCCATGATCGTTGCGCTTTATACGGAACTAGGGAGGTACTTGATGATGCTAGCAATTGGGACGACATTAGCGGTACTAGTTCCGTATGCACTGTCCGTATTATTAGGCTATTGAAGCATCGAAACAGCAACGAACACAAAACACAGCAAAGAGGATGAAAGAGGAGGGGTGCGACCAGTACTATTTCTGAGCGGGGTGTGTGCGCTTCCCTGTCAAAAGGCGTTACCCCGCAAAATGCTGGGTGGCATTTTGAGTGGCTCCTGCCGCCGCATGCTGCTTGCTGCACCGCCGGCGCTGCTGATTGGCAGCGGCCCGTGGCCGGCAGATTTTAGCTCAGAGCTTTCGCCCCAAAGCGCCTGTGATTGGCGAGTGGCCGAACGCCTTTTTCGCCTGGATTCTGGGAGATTGGAACTGGCAAGTGCGGTCCAGCGAAAGGGGAGCGGCCAGGGAAAGGAAAGCTCGGATTGTCTGTGGGCGGCGATTCGATTGGGCGAAGCGCTCAAGTATTGGGTATTGGCCCCCGCGAACGGCCCCGCTGAACTGGCGCTGGGAGCTGCGACGCGATTGATACTGCTGTACCTGCTAAAGTGACTCGTATTACTGGAATTGATTCGGTAATGGACTAGCAGGCGACGATTGATACGTGGCGGCAGACCAGTAACAGTCCAGCATCGAAACTGCAAGCCATGTGCTGTAGTTCAAAGGTACCGTAAAGGAAACTGCACGTCCTCAGTTGACGCAGCCATTCCCATCAAGTCTAGAACAAGCCGCAGCACGCGCGCTCATACATTCTCTCACACACACACACACACACACCGTCTACACAAACCACAAAAGAGACACCAGTCGGTGAAGACGGGCACACTGTAGCATGCATGACGACGGCTTCGCTGGGGGCTGCGTTGGGCACACATACCTCCACGCCTGCGCTATCCGGGTTGGTGACGGTTGGTGACTGGACGTGTCCAACCGCCAAAAGCCAAGCATCTGCTCCGGACGCAGGATGCGGCGTGCTGGCGCTAGACCAGCAGCTGGGCTGAACTACTGCCGGCCGTTGTGTTTTAACTTCGACCTCACCTTTTTGCTCTCGCACGTGTAGGGGTCCCGCCTGGCCCTCTTCCGGATAAGCGCTGGCAGGACAAGCAACGACGACAAGACTTCAGCACATTCCTGCAGCTCCAGGCGATGTACACGGCCTTTTAGCCAGCCCAGGGCAGCCAACAGCAGGGCACAAATCAGCCCACATTGCCTGCACTAGGTGAGACTCGGACTAGCAACATTTTGCTTTGGACGTAGAATCGTTTAGTCCATGTGCTTGCTACCTTGATGCTGCGGGCGCGGACATGCCGAGTTGAGAGGTCTGGCAGGGGGGATGGGGGAGAGGAAGAGATGCGGAAAATGGGAAGTGATGCAGCGAGGTAGAGGTTGCACAGGGGACAGCAGTGGGTATGACAATGGGATCACGAACGAGTGCTGTTCGCAGCGAGAGAGGGCGATCGTGATGAGCGTACCGAGTACTCCGCACCTAGCAGGAGAAGAGCGAAGCTTGGAGATCATCACTACCTCTTTCGCCACCTCTGCCATCCGTCATATCCACGCCAACGAGAGGGGGCTAGCGAGGAACGTTCAAATCTGCGAGTGGCAATATTGAATAGACAACTCGAAACAGGGCAGTCCCTGCATCCAGAGCCAAGAACAAAAAAGAGATTCGAGACCAAGAAGCAAGACAAGCGGCGTTTCTAGGGGTCCTAAGACAAGATACAAGACCCACGCCGTCAGATCGAGGCCGCTTGTCCCCCGCAGACTCCACCGATCTCAATTGAATTGATCAATGGCCGGTCGACTGGCTGACTGCTTGACACCAAAGCGGCTCGACGTCACAAGGCAGGCTAATCGCCGGACGACTGTTGGACAAGATGCAGGCCTGGAAGCATCTCGCCTGTGGTTATCTTCCACGTCGACAGTTTGGGGCTGTGTGCGCGTGCCCGGTAGCGAAGCTGCCGGATAGTGCTGCTATTGACAGACGACGGCAACCAAGGCTCTCCCACATCTCTTGGGCGCTCTTACCGGTCTTTTGGCCGTACTCGTACTTATTGTTGGCTTGGTGAGGTGTCCCGGACCTAACGGGGCTACCAAGCTACGTCCATGTCGTGCGGATAATTACAACTGGCAATACATGTTGAAAGGCACGACACAGCACCCGAGACACAAATGTCTTGGGAGAACATCCCTACGTTTGGATGCTAGTCTCTATGATGCCACTAGTAACTGGTATCCAAGCAAGGGGCAGATAAGATGGCAAGCAAGACAGACCCGACGGAGAGACTTGTCTTGCAACTCTTTCCCCAATCCATCCATCGGCGCATTTGCGATGTTGTCCATCGACTGAACATGGAGGACGCTCCCCCTTTTCCTCGTGCATTTTGTCAGCATCGCATCCATAGCACTGCTACAGCACTGTTACAGCACTATCACAGCACGCCATACTGCACTTGATGCTTCTGCCTGTTCACCACAGTTCAGCGTGAGAGTCGCGTGTTATCTCGACGGAGTGCTCCGTGCTCCGTGTTTGGTGCCCCGTCATGCTGCAGCGACATGGAACCGGCTCCCGCCTCGCCTCGACGTCGCATCGGATGCAATGCAGCATTACTCCGTAGGCCTTGCTCCATTCAATCAGACTGCCAGCGCTGCTACCTACAGTACTCTGTACTGAACAAGTCGTACTAGGCATCGTGCTATTACCCCGTATGCCCAAACGTTCACGCACGCAAATAGATTAATTACACCAATCTGTATCAGAGATGCGACGTGTGTCCCCTGCTTCGGAGATTTCTCTCGTGATTCTCGTGATTCTCGGCCATTCTCGCCCTCTCCTCCTTCTTTTTCTCTGCTTCTTTCTTTCCCTCCACCATCATGTGCTTTGGACCGGGGCTGGTCCTCGGCGCTGCTTCCGGTGGGCGCTGCTGAGCGGATCTCCGTTCTCGGTGGTGCAGTCGCGGGCTTGTATCGCTAAAGCGCATGTCAGCCCACTGCCAAGGCAGCCCCTCATCGGAGTACCTGCTGACTGAGTTGAGCAGAAGTAGCTTCCACCAGCAGCCTGCACGCATCAGATACCTCCGCCGATTACGGCATGCAAGTCCCCTCGCGTCGCTGTGCCCCCCCAGGTATCGCAGCACAGACCACGCAGTACCTGGCGGATACTTGCCCACCTGCCTGCTGCTCCCTGCAGCCCCAGTGCCGTGAATCATCACCATCTGCTTCTGGCACCATCGTCACTCCACGCACGCCGCACGCATTACGCAGCTTCACACCTCCCTCCTCACCTCACACCACTGTCACCCATTTTCACCGGCCGCGCCACGGGCTTCGCTGGCCATTAATAGCCAGATCCTGATTGCGCTACAGCGGGCTCCGTCCTCCTGTCCTCTCCATTTCCTCCAATGCCCCCCAGCTTCACTATTTCAATAATACCCATTCATCGCTGCACTAGGAACTGCCTAGCACTCGCTCTTCCAACCAAAGAAACAAGCCACCCTGACCAACTATCCATCCATAACCCCCATCTCGCGCTCTCTGCCGATCATACCGTCTCGATTCTGCTTGCAAAGCAGGACTCGCTCTTCTCTCCCAATATATAATCATCCCCACGTGCCACCTATCCGCCTCTCCCCTCTTTTTCGCCTCTCCTGCCTTTTATCGTCTCCTTGTGTCTTGCTGAATTCATCCAGCAGTCAACTTCTCCTCTTTTTTTTCCTTTTGTCTCTCACGCAATCTGCAAGATCCAATTCTTGCATCCACCTACGTCGTCACTGTCTGTCTAGCCGCCCATCCTGGAGAAACGACAGAAGCGACGCGCCAACGACACGCAGATCCACCATCCCAGGCCACCCATAACCAGCAAACCGCCAGTTGCAGTCTCTTTCTCTCCATCTTCTCTTCGCCTTACTACTTTTATACCTTCTCTGTTCATTTTGCTCGCCTCTCAAAGCTTCACTTTACTCTCCGCCCCCTCAACTAGAGCCATGTCTGATACTTCTCCCAACGGACCCGGCACCGGCGTCCACCGCCGCAGCTCAATCACACAGGCTGCCTTGTCCAATCTGTTCTCTCGAGGCCCTTCAAACGCTCCGGCTGGTCCCCCGTTCCCCAACGGCAACGGCAACGGCAATGCCGATGCGCAGAGACGCCGCTTGTCAATCACCACCATTGGACTCTCCGGCACGTCACCCACGGATACCTCCTCTTCCTTCATGCGACGCGGCAGCATGTCCACCAACTCGAATTCGGACTCCATCAACGAAAACGCCATTGAGGATGAAGAGTTTGGCGGCCCTAGAACGGCCCCGACCACGCCCTTTGCCCGGCACATGAGCTTTGGAGGCAATGCTGCCATGCGAAACTTCCGCAACGGGAGCAGCCCTGGAAATGGTAAATCTCCAAAGTCCCCTCCCCCGTCATCTCTGGGACGCAGCCATGGAGGCGGTCAGGGGGATCAGTGGATGCCGCCGCTGTCCCAGTCCCATCCGCACCAGCGCCAGGTTTCCATATCTGCCGCTTGGCCGCCTATTGGACGCCGATCCAGCCTTCATATGCCGCCGTCCTCTCTCCCACAGGCAAGCAACATCCAGCATCCAAGAGTCTCTTCTGACAATGCCTCTTCTCGAGCAGACCAGTATGGCTTCAATTGGTCCGAACAGCTTAGATCCCGCGCCGAGAGCTCCGTCACCGGAACCCGCCCCTCCTTTTCTTTCCAAGGCACCGGCTCCCATTCTCCTCCGAGAGCCATGCCCAACCATGACCGCTCAAAGTCCATTTCCGACATGCCACAGCCTCCCGTACAGGCGTCCACTGTCAAGCCCAAGCAGCCAGAGCGCCCCAAGCCCGATGCTTTCCAAGAGAGAATTCTCAAGGGCGACTTTTACATGGACTGAGTCTGCCATGTATGGGCATTTCTGCTGCTAGTATATCACGCCATCACAACATTTACTGCTATTACGACAACTGAGAAGCGACTACAATCTATTTCGCTCACTTGCGCGGAGCTGACACTTTTTTGCTATTCCATGTCTGTTTCATTTCTGCCATTTATTCACTACCAGCATCTGGCTCCATACCACGTGAGAACGGATGTTGTCGACCAGCGAGTCGACCTGCAGTCCATGATGGTATGCGAGTGCATTGCGTTTTATTCCTTTGACCGTCACATATTTTTGCACTTGAAATTTTATTCTGTGTTTAGCGACATGACTATTTCGTTCCAAAGTTTGCTGCTTTGCTGGCGCACGATGCTATTTTTTGTACGATTTGAGGGCCACTGATGCCGCTGACATTCCTGGGCGGCTGTATACTCTACGCACTGCTGCAGTTGGCTTGAACCTGGATCAGCCGGATTCACCAAAGAAAAAAAAAATACATAAAATGGGCACATATTACGGTGCAGGAAGAAAAAAAAAAGCCAACAGACAATGTGCAGAATGGTAATTCTTGGAGGGATTCTTTCTATATGAAGAGCCACAGGCGATGTGTGTGGGTGTTAAACATATGATCAAACCATCCATGACCCAACAGGAGACGAAAGGCTGGGCACACACAATGGCGGCCTTGGGACTTTAGTTCTCACGCATGTATAATTATCAGATTTTTCTTTTTTCTTGTTTTCTTTTGCGGGGGCATCTTGGCGGAGACAAATGGGCCAAAGAATGAATTACGATCTGCAGGACAGAGGAGGTTGGACGTCGTCGGCATGACGATGTGCTGGCGCTGGCGTTGCTGATTTTCGAGCGTTGGGAAATGGCCAACTCTTATTGCTTTTTCCAAAAGGAACATGGGCCATGTTGATTTTATGTTAGTTTGTACAGGAGTGGGAATCTAAATAAAAAAAATGAAATCACAACATGCTACTACACTCCGGGTGAGACAAAATGATTTCGCCTAAACCATTTCATTTGCTTGCTACTGCTATACGTTTGCTGTTTCATGATTCTAAACCATAGGCAGATGGATAGAATACTCATGTCTATTGGACGTCATATCTGATGATTAAAGAGTGTGATAGTATAGATCAAGTATATAGTACATATAGGACATGTCACAATAAACCATCAAGCTCAATTATTCTCCATGAAAGTTATTCTTGCATCTGTTTATTTACATTTATTTAATGTCAGCAATCCGATGCCGCTGCAGATTATAGACGGGTATTTGAATCATTGACAACAAAAGACATGCTCCCCTTTCCATGGTGATTGAGATACCCAACTCGCCAGTCAGCCTAGAAATAAATACAAACGTATCGCTAATAAATAAGTTGAAAACCCCACAATGCAAGTACCAAAAAAAAAAAAAAAAAGCCCAAACAAGACCTTTTTAGAAAAAGAGATCCAAGACCGACTAAGCCATGCCAAGCCAGTATGATAGAAAATATACATGGTATCACTTTATGCCTCTTTGCGTAGAACTTCCAAATCCCTCAAGTTATCCTCCAAGTGACAAAAAAAGAGAAGTCAGCCTTTTTACTTATATTAAAAAGGGAAAAGATTGGGATCAGGGAGTCCCTGGAACGCATCCATGAACCAAGGCTCGTTCATGACAATCTTGGCCCCACTCTCATATACGTCCTGGAGATCCGCCGCAGCAAGATTCAAGCCCTCAATGTCGAAATTCGCAGGCATGGATCCCATGTCCAGCTCGTTGGGCACCATGGGCTGCGTGACGGACATCCAGGGCGGGAACGCAGGCGCCATGGCGGAGTCGAGGTCTGTGGATGCGGGAGAAGGGCCCGGCGGCATTTGAGGCATGGAGGAGGAATTCGCGGTGGATGATGTGGGAGGGGTGCCGGTCGAGGAGACGGAATCGTGGAAGAATGGTTGCTGGATCGACCGGCCGGTGCCGCTGAGGTTGGCAAAGATGTGAGTGGCGCTGCTGGCGTCTCTTCCTGTAGTTGCAACTTCGGAGAGCAGCTGGAGGGGAGTGTTGGCGGCTGGTTGTTGGTGTTGCTGCTGTAATTGCTGCTGCTGCTGTAGTTGCTGTTGTAACTGTTGTTGCTGTTGTGTCCCTTGGGCCGAATACTGCCTCTGTTGCGGCGAAGCAGTAGAAAGAGCGGCGGTGTTGGGGGTAGTACTGGTATTAGCAGCAGCAGCACCGCTGCCATCGTCAGAAGAAGTCGCCATGCCCTCTCCCTTGCCCTGCTTAAAGAACCAGCTGCGAAGCATAGCCAGCACAACGAGGAACTTGGCCGCAGGGCGACACTTGTTGTCTGCCGCTGTAGCTCGAAACTTGTCAAGCAAAGTTTCGAGGTAGTATTCAACACGCATGTTGTCTTTATGGATAACCCTGCCCATTTCTGAGCCTGGGCTCGAAGCTGAAAAGTACATCTTGATCAAAATGACGACAGCGTATGCCACTCGCATGAAATTAAACACAGGCAGGCAGCGAATGCTGAGGACGTCCATGGACAAAAATGTGTTGAGAATACCGTCAATTGCTGTCAGGCACGCCGAAAGCGCATTGATATGTGCGGCCGAAAGGGGCTCGGAATTGACAATGCCATCTTTAAGGGCTTCTGTGTTGAAAGGCGGCCGCCACTGGTCAGACAGTGTCTCCGAGTGGAGAGCCATTTCGTGCATATAGAGATTGACTACATTGAAATTAAGACGCAGAGTAGCTGATATATCAACAGTCCAATAGTTAGCCATAAAAGAACACTGTAAATCGTTCATAGACTAAGGTCCAAAAAAAGGGGGGGGAAAGAGGGGGGGGGGGGGGGGGGGGGGAAACTCACGCTGCATCATGTTCTTGGCAACCGACGCAATGTACTTGTCGAGATCCCGCTCCAGGGCTCTCAACGCATACTGCGTCCTTGCATCTGTAATGTTGACCAAGCTCGACGGGTCATCTAGGGAAAACTGCTCGCCAACCTCCTCCGCCAGACGATGAGTCCACACCAAGTGAGAGAAGTACTTGTCCGTCGGCGCGGCATCGGGCGACGACTCTAGTATCTCCAAGCTCTCCGTCATAAAGGGCGTCCATCGAATCAGGTTTGGCCGGTGCAACGACATGGACGTATTCAAGGCCAGGAAGAAGCAGGTCAGCCACGTCCGGCGGCACTCGATGCTGGAAGGATCGGGAGGCGGATTGCGGCGAAAAGGCGGCGGCCCGCGTTTCGACGTGTTTTTCCTTCCGAGGCCAATGTCAATGGCCATGACGGCGGCCATGTGGACGAGCTGATAGAACTTGAGCTCCTCAAAGTGCTCCGGCGGCCAGTACCAGATGACGGCGACGTGGATCGCCTGCACCAGCTCCAGGTTCTTCTCGCCCGTGACAATGACCTTTTCGGCAAAGAGCTGCATCAGCTCCTTTTGCAAGACTCGCTGGATCGAGTGGTTCTCGCCCGTGGCGGCGGCCATGATGGCCAGAAACAGCGTTGGCTTCGTCTTGCGCAGCTCCATGACCGTCGCACTATGTGGGAACACAACAGCCGGCAGGTGTCTCACCATGTGCTCCTTGTACTTGTTGAACAGCCCCGCGGCCTGTTCCATCGTAATGATGCCGCGGTCGACAATGTCGCCTTCGGTAGGCCTGGAGAAGCCCGACCAGCTCACTGACGGCGTCATGGCTTTGGGGTCCTCGCTGACGCTGTCTCGATCCGTGGCCTTTCTCTTCTGCCCAGCCATGACAATCGGCGGCTGGAACGCTGATGACTCGTCCTGGGGCGTCCGTGTTGGCGGAGTCGATGCCGTCTGCATCATCGGTGATGCCGCCATGCCTCCCGCCATGCCTCCCCACGTCCTCGCTACGCCAGCTCCTCCTCCTCCTGCTGCTGCTGTCCCTGCCGTTGCTGCACTGCTCCAGCTTGAAGGATATACGCTACCGACTGCTTCAGCCTGGTGTTGATGCTGGTGCTGGTGCTGTTGTTGGTGCTGTTGCTGTCCAGCGGCAGACGTGCCTGGAGCACCCGCCCGCGCATGCAAGCTCGCCGTCAGGGCGTCAATCTTCTTCTCCAGCTCCGACACGCGGCTGTCCGTCTTCTTCTGCCGCTTCCTGGTCGGCGCCGTGACGACGCAGCTCCGGCCGGCCTTTCTGCACCGCTTGCACGGCTCGCCCTCGACGGGATCGGGCTCGCACTTGACCTTGAGTCCTCGACAGGCCTCGCACGCCCGCGACTTCTTGCCGTCGCCGTTTCCATCAGCGTCGCCGCCGATGGAGCTTCCGGCCGCCACCGAACCGCCGCCTCCGCCGCCGGCATCCGCGTAGTCGAACTGGTGATGCTGGCCCGGCGTGCTGCCCACGGTCGACGGCGTGTCGGCGTTATCTCGACCGCTGCCACGGCGCGCCGCTGCTTGGAGCTGCTGGTCGACGGCCGACGACGCATTGCTCACGACCCTAGTCGCGGTGGAGGAGCCCAGCTCTCCTCCATCGCCACCGGGTCGCAGCCGTGGATCGAGGTCCATATAAACACAGAGGGGACTCTTTGAACGGCAATTCAGGCACTCGGCAAAAGGAAATAAGGAAAAAAATTAGGGCCAAGAGTCGGTAAAATAATAGCCGTCCTGGCTCGCTGCCAACGCTGCTTCACGGGTGAGACGATGGAGAAGGGGAACGGCGATTTTGTCTCCGTGTGTCCGACCTGTGGCCGACTTGCCGACTTTTTTTTGGTTCTTGGTGGCCCTTATGTAAGCGGGATGCTTGGGCGTCAAAGGTTCAATTGGATTGGAGAGTTTTCCTTCAGGCAGACGAAAAGGGAAGTGGGAAAGAAAGGAACAAGAAATGGAAACGTTCTTTATTTCTAATTCGGGAAGTCAATTGGTTCTTGTCTAGTACCGGGACTAAAAAAGGAGGCTTTGCTTCATCTGCCAAGGAAAAAGGGAAAAGAGAGAGAAAAGGGATTGAGCGAAAAAAAAAATAAAGTGGTTCAGCTACGACTATGCAAGGCAACTCTGCAGGCAGACTTGGGATGGACTACTTTGGGAAGAAAGAAACGAGTAAACAGGAAAACAAGCCAGTACCTAGTTCCCTCATGTAAAAAGCGCAGTTCAGCCATGTAGCACTGACGACCACGAAGTTGCAAATAGTAAGGCGAACTAGGTAACTAACTGGATACCTCGGAAGATTGATAGTTAGTGTGATACTACCTGTCCAAAGACTGTCAACATCGACATCATCAAAGCAAGTCACACGCCAGTTACGGTGTAAGCTGATGGCAGTAACGCAGAGCCCAACTCCGCGGACTCGCTCTCCACAAACCGCACTTCGCATGATCAGTCGACCGGCTTTCGTCCCTCTGATCAAATCCCGCGTCCACTCTGGGGCCTCGAATTGGACGAGCCCCGACACAGCCGGCCGGGCCTGGTTTCCAGATCCGATAGTCTAGAAAGGTCTACACCCGATTACGGCCGATCGTGTTGATCCCTGTTTTGGGGGGGATTGTTAGAGTATCCCTGTTTGGGTTATTAGAGTTGTTTTCTGCGAGGCATTCAACGTGTCGCCTACGTTATCCGGCATCCCCAAATCGTGGCTGACGTTGCGTATTGTCGTGTTGATTGGCCCATTCGTATAACTTTTAATTTGACAATCAAGGGAAAGTTGGCTTTGCCTGGAGCCTTGAGCATTAACAGCGGCGGGTTTAATTTAACACACCTCGTCATACGCCCAAAGATGTAGCTGGCATAGAACAAGAGAGCTAGAGTTTCTTACCCATCCCTACTTTTCCAAGTGTTGTACATATTCAAATGAGTTATTGTGTGAGTTGACCTTTTTGTTTAGCCACGGGTGGGGTTTTGAAGAAGAATTCTTTAGTTGTCCCTTTCTCCTGCAGGCACGCACGGGGCTTCATGCATGTAAGACGCTGAATCGACAATTCCTTATAGAGAAAGAAAACAAAAACAAAAAACGGGGTGCTACTTGGTCGAGCTATATATAGAAATGAGAATACAAGGTGTGAGCGGTTTTCATTTTGCTCGCGTGTCTTTACCGCATTGTTAGTCCAGATAACTCATAGCCAACTAGGCGCTGTGATATGGAAAGCAATCACTGCGCAAACACAAATAAAAGAGGAACCTATACTTGAACAGGCAGTAATAGTCGCCATTCGTATATTATGTAGCTTAAAACTAATAATGCAATCGCTTCCAACTCCAATTGGGCAAACATAGCCCTTCCTTGTCTTCCCCCCTGAGGAAAAAAAAAATACGATTGCAAGTGAGTGATATAACGCATCACTTGTCTTCCACCCAATAAAAAGATCAGCACAACTCCTATGACCTGACTGTTTCAAGTCGGGGAAACGATGAAAATAATAACGCAAAATACTCTCAAGTCATGCGTAAATCCTAATGCCCATAACATTAAATTATAGCATACGTATGTACACATATCAGCCAATATATAGCCGAGAATAAAAGGCAAAATGTGTCAAAGATTGAAACAGAAATAGAAAAACGCAGGAGATGAGAAAAAAAAAAAAAACTCTCATGTCGTCCACTTGACCGTGAAATAACGCTGGTTTTCGTTGTATTTCTAAATAGCAAAGCCAAAGAAAAAAATGCCTCGTAAGGAGAGAAGCAAAGAGAGAAAAGAAGGGAAGAACAGAAACAGTTCTAGCCAATGCTTGCCATTTCCGATTTTAAACATTTGCCACAGTATAAGTGTGTGACACCGCCCAATACTGAGAGAATATAATTGAAGCTGAAAATAAATCGACATGGTATCATCGCTATGATTGAACGAAAGGGTATGTATGTCCCCCGCATGCGGAAAAGGAAATAGTAAGAAATAATAATAATAGTAATAATAACAATCCAAAAAAAGTTTGACCCTTTTGAAACTTTAATCAGCAAATGATATTAATTTTAAAAGTGCGCTTCTTCCCGCAAGCGACTCTTGGATCCTTGTTGATGCTGGCCGCCCATCATGATAGTACTCTCTCGGCGCCGTGCCGCCTGGTCGTATGCCGCCAGATTCCCGTTCTGTTCTTCTACAGTTACAGGGAGAAGCGATCGTTCGTATGCTGGGGCAGCTCGGTGCTGTGGTTGCGAGGCGTGACCATCTGCGCCAGAACCGGTATCGTGCAATGGTTGGGATACTGCTCTGGGGCTTTGGTGAAGGAGGTACGAAGGCTCATAACTATGGCGAGATGTTCCAGAGGGAGTGGGAGACCCACGGGCTGCGCTCATGTTCATCAATAGAGGAGGCGTTGGCGTTGATCTGGTCGGGTCTCGGATGGGTTCTGGCCAGGCCTGATGGCGGGGAGATCCACTTCCGGATGTTGACGGGCGACCCGGTGGTGGGTCAAAGCGCGCCGTTGAGTCTGAGCGACTGTGACTTCCAGAATCAGAAGTGGGAGATGGCAGCTCGTACTCTTCAGGATCGACTCCGAAAATGGCCTCGTAGTTTTGAAGGAACGTGGCAAAGACAGGTGCAGGAATGTTGAGCGTTGGCGAGAAGACGATGCCCACGTTTCGTACTGTCATCTTGTTTATATCCGAGTTGTTTATGATTCTAATCAAGAATGCAATAAGGTATTTCAGCAGGGTTGCGTTGGCCTTGGGTAAGCGTTGTGAAAGCTCATTGAGAACCGCCATTTTTTCGTTCTTGTCAGTAATCTCCGTCGTAACTGACATGAATTCCAAATGAAGATCTCTAGTGAGTATGCTAGTAGGAAGCTCTCGCAGATACAGCTTCAAGAGAGACGCCACAGCGTGGATATCGTAATAAGTTTCGTCGGTGACCAAGTTGATATCGCCTTCGTTATTGAACCGTTCTCGAAGCTGTTTGATGACGACATTCGAACCACTAAGTCGGAAGATGCCCTCCTCGAAGATTGCGTTTTGAGCCTCCAGGTACTGAATGCAGCGATAAACAACAGAAGGAAGAGGAACGTCGATGTCTGACGGTGGGTTGAACCGAACGGCCTCTGCCAAAGGCGCGCCAAAGACTTGGCGTACCGGTCCATGGTAGCCATTCTGTGGCGGAGTGGCTCCAGAGCCACCTTCGCTGCCTCCAAACAAGGACTCTTGCCCATCAGAGGAAGTGCGTGACTTGGGGCCAAAGCCAAAGAAACTCCGTTTTCTCGCCTTCTTCTCATCGTGCGACGGGCCAGGCGCTGGGGGCGGTGCCGTAAGGCCAATTTTGCTACCCCACATGGAAGCGTCTGAAATCACTTGAGGGTCCTTTGGTCCAGAAATGAGTTTCGAGTGAGACTCCATGTTAGCATGATGATCGCTCTGGCCCCCTGACGTCTTTGGACGGCCGCCGGGAGCGCCTTGGGGAGCATCGCCAGCGTGGGTCGAGTCATATCTCACTCCAATCAGCGTGTCTGAGCCCGAAGTCTGGTGTGTCGTCGACTTGCTTCCTTTCCTGGACTTGTTACCGTTGGCTTGTTCCGCAGAAGTCTGGCGGTCGTGGATAGGTGGTCTGGTGGCAGGCTGATCCTCCTCGGGATCTCGGTAGTCGATCCACTGCAGTAGAGTTTCTACCCAGATGTCTCTTTCTCGGTCGTTTTCTGCGCAGAGGACATGCTTGACGTGGTTGCTGGAGTCCTTCTTCTTGGGCTCAAGGATTAAAAAGGCATGGCGATATTGGCTATCTAGCTCCTCATCATTGTTGTGATTTGCCGGAGCGTTGGCATCGTTATTCTGAGGTTGATTCTGGGATTGCTTGCCAATCTGAGCATTCTGAAGCTTGATAGTACCGAGATGAGCTCCGCCGGGAGTCTCATAGTATTTCAAGTAAGGCCCGTTGAGGACAAAGAAGCGCGACTTCCAGCCACCAAAATTTTTGCCCTTCTTCGTAAGATAGCCATTGCGAGTGGGTCGTCCATCGGATCTGATGGAGGAACTGTCGTCCTTGGGCTTGAAAGTATGTCCAGTCTCATCAGCATTAGGCGGAAGAGTATTGGTTGAGAGATATTTGCAAAGCTCTATGGCAGTAGCGGTGTCAAAGGCAGTGTTCAAAAGCTCATCCAGGTATTTGTCCAACACAATTCGCCGAGCGTCAATCTTTGCGGGTGCATGTCCAGTAAACAAGGACCTGTCCGGAGACTTTGCCGTAAAAGCAGGACACGCCCTTAACCGTTGGTCCAGCTTTGCCAGAGATATGGAGTCTTTCTCTACCCGCCAAAGCTCACCTCCATCGGCCCGCGAAAGAATAGCAAGCGTGAATACAGGATCTTCTTCAAGCTGAGTCAATGACAAGAGACTTGCCCGGGAGGGCTTCATGCGCGACGATGCAACTCTCACGTCAACAGAGGGTAGCGCATTTGGCGACAGCAGTAGATCGGGGTATTCGTCAGTAACCAAGCCCTTGAAAATCATTGTTCGTTCTACTGGGCTTCCCAGCCCCCTTGAATCCGCCTCCATTGCCTTCTTCAGAGGATTTCCATCACTCATTGACGCAGTGGGTGGTACTACCAAAGGCGTACCAGGTGGCATAGGGATCGGCTGTCGGGGAGGTCGCGGTGACAAAGGCATTCCCCTAGGTGACATTGGAGGGTTTCCGAGCGACATCTTGGGATTGCCAAAAGGCCTGGGGCTAACGGGCAAACCAGGGCTGAGGACAGGAGCAATTAGTTCCCTCGGCTTGTTTCCCGTGAGAACCGCATCTAGTGACGTGGTTTGCATCTCAGGGTGCAAATTGTGAGGCACAGTGGTTGGGGATATGGGCGAGTCTTCCGCTCCAGGATTGCCCATTTTAGACACGCTCCGCACATCTGCCTCAGTGACAACTACGATTTCGCGTTCGCGTTCGTCTTCCTCGCGCGTTCGTCGCCTGCCACGCTTCTCGGGAACAATTTCATCCACCTCTGAGATGTCCTCATACTCGGAATCGGAGTCTTCGATGGTGGGAGAATCTAGCTGCCGTCTTATCTCTTGCCTGAGCTGCAGCGGCGCTGGAGGAGCCTTCCGTGGCGGCGAGGGGAATTTGCCAAGACCCTCGTCTGGCTGTGGCGTGGGTCCCATGACGGTCACAGTTGGAGGTGCGTTGGTGGCGGCGGAGGGAGGTTTTGGCGGCGGGTTCTTGGGCGGATGACTGGGTAGGCTTCGTGACGGTGGTAATGAAGCGTTGAATGGAATCTCTTTCAAATGCATCTTGTTCTTCTCCTGGCGTGCCTTTTCTGCGGCCTCCTCTTCTGCTTCCACATCAAAATGGTCCAAGGCATATTCCTCGGCCTTGGGCATCTCCTCAGATGGATTCAAAAGCTCAGCGACTGCGGATGGGGTTGCGTGTGTTCGGTCTGCTGGAGGAGTGATGGGGTAGGGAGCCATGGTCATGTCGACCGGCGAGTCCAACCGGCTCCTTGAGTCTAGCTTGGGAGAGCTAGGGAATGGAAGCACGGCTTCTTTCGGGGATTCGACTTCTTGGCGCAGCTGCAGTGCGTCGTTGTGCGCACTCAAATGCCTTTCATCGTCGTGACTACCTGCTGGCTTCAACACCAGGGGATTTGCCATTACCTCTTTTAGCTTTTTCCGGTATTTATCTTTATCTTTAAGCGCAGCCTCCAGGTCCTTGTTCAGGCCCAGAATCATGGCTCTCTGCTTGTCCACCAAGCGCCACAGCTGACTGTTTTGCTGCGCCTGGGACTGCTTCTCTTTAAGAAGATACTGAATCACGGCCTCGGGGCTTCCGGCGGTCTGTATTAGCTTTGCAATTTCTTCCGACTTTGCCTGGGCATTAGTAGGATTATTCGCCTGTGTGCTTGATGAGATGGCGGAAATGGCACTGTCGATGGAGGAATTGCGAGGCAAGCCCACCGCAGGACCGCCAGGCCCGGCATGTGTCGTCGGGCTAGCCATTGGTGAAGTCGGGGGCTTGGTCGACGAGCCTTCAACGGGCTTCGGGTTCACTGGTTGATGGCCGTTTCTAGGATCATTCGGGGCAATGAGAGAATCTGGTCTATTAATGCGGCGCGTATTAGGAACGTGTCAATACACCATTGATGGTAAGGGGCGTTTCTTTTCTTTTTCTTTTTCTTCCTTTCTGCTCTCCTGCTCTCCTGCTCTCCTTCTCCCCTTCTCTCCTTCTTGCATCTTTCTTTCGTCTTTTTCTAGATGTAGGGATGGGCACGGAATGGACAAAGGATTCGACTCTGGGCGGCCGTATCGTTGGGGACGCACCTTGGGCTCTCCTCTTCCGGGCTGGAGGGGTTGGACGAGTCTGAGAAGAACGTAGTATGCCCAGCGGATGACGGGGTTGTATTACCACGAGATCGCGTGTCAATGGGCGGCGGGCGTTTCTGACTCGTGGCGGCACCGGGCCAAGAAGGACTCGCGCTGCTCGCCAGCGAGGAAGCTGTATAGCTCGGCGTCGAGAGCGGGCTCGGTATCGAGGGACGTGAGGATCTGTAAGTCGTGTCGGAGACGGGCATCAGCGAAGAGGAAAAAAGGAAAAATCGCCAAACAACGAAACAGGCAGGCAGATGCACGACAGCAGCACCTGCAGAAGGGTGGCTTCGAGGTCTTGAGGTGGCAGTAGTGGGAAATCGCAACAAGGACGGTCTGATGAGCGGCAACGTGAAACCGGGGCCACATTCATGGACGGGGCAACCTTGCACCAGGCCCAGCCGCGATTCACCGTGGAGGTAGGGGTCAGGGGAAAGGTGAGATGAAAGCAGTAAGTGAGTGCAGAACTGCAGTGGCAGACGGCGCGCTGTGCTCCCGGCGGCATGATTAGCGGCCTGCCTCTGGCGGCACTAGCTCTCCCAGAGGGCCTGAAGACAGCCAAGCAACAAAGAAGCATTGCCCAGCCGTCTGCGAGGGCGCTTCCAACGTGCAGTGCTAACCACGGGCTGGAGGCTGAATGAAGGCTGAGAAGGTGGGCTAGCGAGGAAGCACAGACAACGGCTTCGGGGCTCTCCCCGACTAGCGAGCCAGGGGCCCGGTTCGCTTGTCTGGTCCTTGGATTTTGATTCTGCTGCTCACCTGGTCTTGACAGGCGCTCTGCCCGCGAACATCGAGCTCGTCGGCGACGTCGACATGGGCGCGGATATTGGACACCAGCTGGGCTGCTGGCGAGTCGAGTCGGGAGGGTTCAGGCAGCGGACGGGCGGATCGTCGGGCGTCTGTCCGCCGGATCGAGTGTCAGACGACAAAGAGCCGCCAATGCAAATAAATGCCAGCGGCGTCAATGTCGAGGCTGGGGGGGGCTCGCCTCGTCCAGAGTGTTTTGTGTAGTATCTGGGTAGGCAAGGCGTTGCAGTCGTTGAAAATAGCGACACTGCACTAGTCGCACCGCAGCAGGTGCCTGTACTGCTGAATGCTGCGTCTGCGACGCTGAGCTCGTGCCAGCGCCCAACGGCAGGTAATGGGGACTGAGGGCCAATTTCAGGTGCAGGGGCGGCTGTCTGAGCTCAACCAGGCCGAGTTGGGGATGCCTGCTTCGCTTCACCCTGGATCCGCGCTGCATGCACGTCTAAGTACCGTGACGGGGCCTTTTTTTCATGAGCCAAATGTGGAGGCGAAGAGAGACGAAAAGACTGGTTGAGAGCGCTGAGACCAGGTCCTCAGGCACCAGGGGAGGGGAAGACGGAGAAGCAAATAGAGTAGGTAGCAGTACTAAAAAAACGGTGCTCCGTTATGAGGTCAGAGGGATTGGCAATTGGGTAGTGCTTTGTAAGGGGTTTCTTTGTATTTCCTGTTCCTTTGGTCGCCCTTTTTCCTTTGAAAAGGTCTTCTTTTGTTCCATGCGAGGGGTCGTGGACAATGGAGATGATGGCGCCGCGGATCGCTAATTAGATACACGTATGAGATGGGAATCCTCGGTGATCGGCCCCAATTCGAAAACAAAAGATAAGAAATGGAATTAATTGCCAAGCTGGGGTGGAGATGTGTCAACCGAGGTCTGTGGGCTCGGACAGACGAGAGAAAGCGTGGCCGAAATTTCAATTCTTTAACCTCGAGTCTGTCCAGCAGAGAGAAGATCAGAGCCTGGTCTGACGGGCGCTCTCGTGCCACCGACGCTGTTACTGAGGATGAGTGAGTGAGTTGTCAAGGAATGAACCATGCTGCGTGGTCTACGATGCCACATGTCATATTGGGCGCTGATATGGATCCATGGGGAGCAGGAAAAAAAAAACCTTTTTTTCCTTAACCCGTCATCTAGGCGTTGCCACGTCGCTGCGCTTGCTCGCTCATCTCATCTCTTATCGTGCTGTAAGCTTGGCAGCATCGATTTTACTGGCACCGCCGAGCCCGTCCCACAACTTTGCCTCTGGAATGTCCTAACATGACCTCCACTCTGGCTCGCCTACACGTTCCTAGCACTGGAGAAGCAAAGCTGGCGTCTGCCCGGCTGGATCGAGACCGTGCCGTCTGCTCGGGCCCCTCGGAAGCTTCGCCTGCATTCTCCGTCCGGGCCATGCTCTCGCTGCTCTGAATCACAGACACGGCTAGCCCACGTGGATGGTCCATTCTGCCCTGGATTTCCTGGATTTGGAGTGACGCATCGTCAACGGGCGCTGCGCTCTTCAGCACCGGGTACCTGAGGCGGTTGAAATCGCCCCTGAAGCGCGGAGCAGCCACTCCGACGCATATCCCCTCAACTTCATTTGACGTTCGCCTAGCCGCCAAACCAGCCGGGCCCCGTGCTGTGCCTGGGCTGTGCCTGGGCTGTTGACAGCGGCTCAAATGACTGGCCGGAGCCTCGAGCCTCTCCTGCATTGCGCCAGCAATCTCCGTGCAAATAGCCCTCTGCAGGGCATGGCGGCTGACGCGCTCGTCCAACGACTGGGGCCAGCGGCAATTCAATTCAATTCATTCAAGGACCATCCCGGCTGCCAGCCCCTGCATCTGGGCTTGCTGCACGTCGCCTTTCGTAAATTAAAAGTAGGGGAACGGTGGGGAACCGATGGCTAGCCTGCTCGTCGCTGCTGGTCGACGATGGCCAATGATCTCGCGCGCTCGGAGCAAAGACGCCCGCCTTAAACCTCTTGCAGCTGAGCCGTTCTATCAGATGGTGTGGGCTGTTGCGGGACATGTTCCTACTGGCACTTGTATGCAGCAACATGATATTGCAGTATAGACTTGTACGAGGTGGTGGTTGCACGAGGTGATAATAATAGACGGAAGCTTTGACATGCCTGGAATCAATTTGCCTTGGCATCCATGGCTCGGACGCTGCTGTCCAGGATGCACTATATTACTTGAATACCTACTGTACTCCGAAAAGTATCTTGGCACTCCGTCCCAGCATAGAGTCGGTGGGTTAAGCATGCTAATACTTGTAGTAATGCTGGTAGCGCAAAGTCTTTATGGCAAATAACCTCAAGCTCCAATGCATTAGGTAGGTAAGGAGCGAATTTAAAGCAGCAGCTGTTTTAAGCTTCAAATGTCATGCATGCACGCGCCTTTGAATAGATAGGTACTAGTAGGTAAGCAAGGGAGCACTACCGTTAAGAACTGGGTCTCGTGCTCTCTCGTCCGTCCCTTTTGATCTGCTTGGAGACCTAAAAGGCATGTTGCACAGCAACATTGGTCGCACAAGATTGATCAGCAGATGCCGGTGATACTCTTCATGTGTTTTAGTGCCAACCGGTGGCCTGTGCTCGGGGCACTTTTTTGCTTTTTCCTTCTCACACTTCAGAAAGAAATGAAATTAATGACAAGAGGCAAATAGATGACAGGTAGTAAAGTATTCTATGGATGTTCAAGAGCAGAAGAAAGCCGCTGAGCAGCAGCCCTGGCATCCTGAATGATGGATTTTACTGGTGCGGGGATGCAAATCATTGGCTGTGCAGCTGCAGCATTAGCAGCAGCAGTGGGCAGGTGTTGGTCATGTGTTGCCGACCGCCTTTCTTGCAGGATTGCAGGATCAACGATCAGCCTCAGCCTCAGCCTCCATTTCAGCTGTAGGTGAGAAAATCGAAATCAACCCATCGTGAGCCATGAGAAACTACTAGTAGCTAGCGAGGCTGGAACCTCACCCGTCCTGTGCTTTCTGCTCTCTGCCCCGACAAGTCGATTCTCAACTTCGACGTGACATCCAGTGCAGCGTCCACTAGCCAAAACTCTCGCTCCATGTTCCTGAATTAGCAAAAGTCTGAGTCAGGTCAGCGCCTCAGTCCACTATTCCTTACTTGCATGGCGCACAACGAGCCCAGGAGGCGCCGCGAACCTCCGCCTAGAGGCTCCGAAGGCCATTCGGTTGGTGACATCCTCGTGCAGCCGTACAGTGTCGGATTGGAACTCTTAGCTTATTGTATGGATGAATATAGCAGCCTCAGCCTCATATACGGCATTTCGATCCAAATGCTGAGCCGTGGCGTCGCCGCCTTGATGGCAGCATCGGCGTGCAGCAGTCACGGGAGGCACCGTCCGCAAGGGGCGGCGATTATCACGGCCGTCAGGGTCAGGGTCAGGACGATGATGCAGATGAAGCGTCAAGGCCTGACGTGCCAATGACTCGCCGGCGTGTAGACGCAAGATCGGATCACATTCCTCAGTACCAGCGCCAACGAAGCCTGAGGAGAGAAAACTCGGGGCCTGCGCCTCCGGCAGAAAGAGCCATCATTGAAAATCCTCCCACTGCTGTTTTCCATGCAGCCTCATCGGACGTTGAGAGCGATGGTGAAAGTGAAGGTCGCGCCCGACGTTTCAAGGCGCGTAGTAGATCGAGATGGCTCAATCGCCAGGCTTCTGACAGGGACGACGAGCCTCGCCCTCGCAGTATTGACAGGGATCGAATCATAATCAACCCCATTGTATATGAAGATGCTGAAAAGGAGGACTATCGCATCTATCGGCCCATGAGCCCTGTCTTGGAAGACGTCGATACATTTGACGATTTCAAGTTTACATTCCCGACAGAGGAGCCGTCCAAGGACACAGAGCTGTCAGATCTGGAGACACCGACAACCGAGAGTGAATCTATGCAGAAGCCTGATCGCCCGCTTTCCAACATTTTGACTGCCCCTGGGATATATTCGTCTACATACTCAGGGACGGCAGAACTAGGAGCTCAACATGATGTGAATTTGACGATCTTGTACGATCCCAAGGGTCAAAAGCAGCCTTTATTTCGGTGGTTGTAAGTCCTGGCCAGCCAAATACAAATACGTCACTTATACGATGAACTCTAAGCTTACCTTTACACAGACATGTTCGTCAGGATGTGATGAATTTTGACGCTTTCTGGGTAATACCGCTCAAAATGTGCCTATGATTGGTTTAAAGCTAATTTTTGATTTCTCCCAGGTCGAGGTGTCGCGCCATGTCCATTTCCCGGATACTGAAAGGGCTGCCGTTGCTAATCTGCGAGCCGAAGTGAAGCGGCAATGTGTCAAGACTCGATACGATCCCCAAGGTGCAAAGGTGGGTTATATGGAGCCCAAGTGTATCCAGGTTCCAATTCAGTCTACTGGCAAAAAGCCATCTGAAAGCTCGCATGCAGTTAAATGGATCTGCGTCCCGTATTTCTCTCTACATCAATACTCTGAATCCCCGTCGACTTCAAACCCTGCAATTTTTCCTGATCAAACTCTGCTCCAATCGCAATACTCGCGGAGCGGAAAGGAGCGAGACATGCAACAGGCAGTCTGTCAACTTGGGCAAGTTCAACGAGGGGATTGCTTTCACATCTCTCAGCTGTGGTGTTTAATTGTTGGAAACAGTGAGTTATCCGGATTGCTTTCCAGCATTTTCCTTTGTTGACACGAACAAGGCGTCCTCATTACGTGTAGTACAAGGGAGCGCTCCGATTTACAAGGAGCATCCCTGAGGGTCAATACTGAGCCTAGCCAAGCAGGCGCATCGGGCAAGATCCTCGTATCATATGGAGGGGCAGTGATGTGGTCGTTAACGACAAAGGAATGCCCTACGTGGTTTGTAAGTACAGCTTTCGAATTTGACGAAACCCGAGATAGCTAACTATTGGTGAGACCTTCATTGCGCACTTTCGTGCTTTTTGGCCCCGTTGTCTGGAATTTTGGCACAAGGATCGCCTAATATCAGCAAAAAATTGGGAGAAAGTGTTAAGACTGGCTGAGGGGCGACAGGGCGATGTAAAGCTGAGGCTGAAGATGGCGTATGGCACCTCCCAGCACCCGTACTAAGAGAAGGTTGATTTGTTATATTTAAAAAGGCTAACCGAATTCTAGAGACTCCCCCGAGTCACCACGAGTATTCCTAAAACCAAATACTTCGGCCAAGACAACACCTACAAAGTGCCCTGAGCAGGCAGAGGATCTGCCAGAGTATCTACATGTTTTCACGCTCTTGCCAAAAAGTGCAGAATCGTCTGGCGACACCATTCTTGCAGAGCTCCACGAACAGCTGTCAGCAGCTGAGAAATTTCTAACAGAGCAAACGTCCTACTCGGCACAGCGAGGGTATAAACGATGCGGACTCATGGCCAGAGACGGGGTGAACGAGTATCTCACGAACCTAGCACCGCGCATCGATGAGAAGTCAAACGATACTCTCCGCCTCTTATACGAGGAAAGAATCGACGTCTTCAATATGGCAGACATGTTATTCCAACTCTTCTTCCCCCTCACGTTCCATGGCCCTACAACGGGCAAATATTGGGGGGCTCTTAACAAGCTGATAAAGGCAAGACCAGATTCTCTCGACATCATGAATGTGATAAGGAGACCGTGACTAACACAAACACAACTGGAATAGATGCCTGAACTAGATGGAGGCAAAGATGCAATTTCAACTCCCCTTGCAGAGGTCAAAAACGCTTTGTGGCAGTTGACGCGAGACATTCAATCGTTTCAAAGTATCATGTCGTTTGCAGGGAAAGAGGATCGGGCAACTATCGAATTACCCCGTGAGCTTGTGACTGCATGGCTTCATATCGTTTTCGGCTTGATATACAGCAGTCATACGGTGGACTGGTTCAATCATATGACAAGAGCCAGATCTCTGATGAAAGACGGGATGCAAAAAATGATTCAAGGCATCTCTAGCCAAAATCTGCTGGAAAAGGCCGTGATGCTGCCAACAGAAATAATGTCACTCATCACGCTGAATCTCTTTCAGGATGATGTAGGGAAATACGACAATATCTGCGACACATATTCACTCTATCTAAATTCTCTGGTGCGGTACCCAGTTGATTTTTTACGTGAGCATTTGTTTCCTGGCTGACTGATGATACTAGGACACCGACATCACTACAAAACATTCCGACCGGACGTACCAGCATCGTCTCGATTTGGTGAAACAGGAAATGACTGCTATCAAACGGAATCTGGCAAGGCAACGAAGTATTATCGCCATGCTCAGAAACAAAACCAGCTTTACGGATGGTAATTTTATGGTGCGATACGGAGAAGAGATGCCGACACATATGAGGAGACTAAGAGACTGGGAAACTGGGAACCGATCAGAGCATGCTAGGCCGAGAGGTTATACTCCTGGACATCGATACTATGGGGTCGCCGAAGATCGAACTATTGAACCAGGCATATACGACCAAGCTCAATTCTTGACTGACCTCGATGCGGCCTCTAAGCTCTCTGCTACTGACGCAGGCGGGTTTCGAAGCCTCTTTCTTGCGGACTGCGCAAATCTTGTTGAGCAACGAGAGTATGAATTTCGACGAAATACCGAATATGCCGAGGATCTAGAGCGAGAAACCACTTATAAGATGGAATGGACCAAGGATAGACAGGAAAATGCCATCTACGCATTCACCCTTGTCACCATCATATTCCTTCCACTGAGCGCGATATCGAGCATTTTTGGCATGAACACAAACGATATTCGAAACATGGACTTTGACCAGTGGCTATATTGGGCGATTGCCTTGCCTGTGACGATTTTGATGATTTTCATCGCACTCTGGTGGATGGATGAGCTGGGCAACGCGACTGACTGGCTTTTCGGTGGACGCAAACGGTCCTCGGGGTATGGGAAATCATCACTTTCGGGGGCTGGAAGGTCCAGGCCAGTCGAACCCGTCGCCGATTATGACTCGATGGGCCGTTCCAGCGACGAGGTACCTGCTACGTACCGCCGAGCTCGATATCGGCGCCGAAGTAGGCGGGATATGGTTGATGTTGATGATCCTGTCGAAATTGTACCGGTGTCACGTAGACGGAGGAATTCTTTTTACAAGTACTGATGTGGCTTACTGTCAGTCTCATCAGGGGAAATCAGGATTGGCGAACTTGTTCGTGAGATGAAAGGTGCTTCATATAGTTTGGAATATTCCGAGGAATTGATCTAGCATGCAGGCTTTAAGAGCTTTTCAAGGATTAGGATGAGGGAGAAGTTATCCAGCATCCCAATTTCATTATCCAACGCCTCGGCTGTAGCGCAACAAGGCAGCCAGTCCAAATATTAAAATGCACAACCGCTGAATACATATCGAAATAGCAGTAGCAGCAGTAGCAGCAGTAGTAGCAGTGATGGTAGTAGCAGTAGTACATGTAGTATCAACAGCAGCAGTAACCCACGCTACAGCTGGAGTACTGGATAACAGAATTGAGGCACTGGATACCTTTTCTCTAGAATAATAACAATGAATTTATATTGAACTATGATGAACACAACAGCTACATAATTCAAGAACGTTAAAGCACATTCGTTATAAGGTATAAGATTTGGCGTTAAAAAGTGTCGTGACAGCGTTATTCTCTTGATACAACTCCAGAACTCAAAATACAAAAATCATCCAAGCATTCGTGACAAATAAAACAATCCAAGCGGTCACTCTGCATATCCAAAACCCGACTCATTCGAATGAGAGAGAAAAACGACATTCGCCGGCACTAAAGGAGAAAGGTCTCTCTAATCGTAACGATACTCGCGATCCCTTATACGAATATAGTCGTGCTCTCTCTCCTCGTCGGCATAGCGCTGTGGTGGCGGCGGTGGCGAAGGAGACAGAGATGGCGCACGCCGTCTAGGGCTGCGGCTGCGCGGAGCGTCGATGTAGCGGTACGTATTGTAAGGGTCCGTGGGGACGGGAACCGGCACAGGGTAGGGAATGTATCGCTCCCTCTCGACGTAGACTTCTCTGTCGCGGGTCTCCTCGACGTCCCGGTCGTAGTCGTGGTGGTAGCGGTCCAGTTCATCGTCGCGGTGGCGGTGATGGCTGCGGCTGCGGCTGCGGGAGTCGCTAGAGGAGCTGGAGCTGGAGCTGGAGGATCGGCTCTTGACCTTCTTCTTCTTCTTCTTCTTTTTCTTCTTCTCCTGCTTCTCGTCCTCGCTGACGGCGATGACCTCGATGAATTCCGGCTGCGGCGACGGGCGGCGCAGGGGCGGGAGCTCAAACACGGGCGGAGGCGGTGGTGGCATCGGCGCGGGTGGCAGCGTGGAAGGAGGCGGCGGCGGCAGAAGAGGAAGAGGCGGAGGAGGAAGCTGGAAGACGGGACGAGGCACAGAGATGTATTCCGCGGGAGGGGGGGATGGCGTTCGCGATCTGTGAGTGTGGGAGGAGTGGTGGTGGCGATGGCGGTGGGAGCGTCTGATGATGACGTCGACCTCGGGGTTGCTGAGGTAGAGGCGCTTCTTGACGTCGCTGCGACCTGGAGATGGGAGTTAGTTGTGATACTTGTCGCTGGGAACCGGGTTTGGAGCGAGCGGGTGAGTGAGATGGGATGAGAGGATGGGAGTCTTTTCTTACCCATGGTGAAGAAGCGAGTGAGTGAGTAGGAAGAAAAAGAAAACGGAATAGACAGGTGCGCAAATCGTATGCGACGATGAAAAGATGCGCGATTGCTCGGATGAAAATGAATGAAGACTAGGTGAGCGATGGAAATGACCCGATTTGAGAGGTTGGTGTTTGTGCTACTCGACGACTCGAGGAGGGGCTGCTGCTAAGCCTACTAGGAATGCAGGTAGTGTGACGTCTTCAGAAGAACCCGTCCCGTGAGCTGCAAAACACGCCCAAGTCAGAAATGCAAAAATGCACGTGCAAAAAGGCCAACAGTCAGGCGAGCTTTGAAGCCAACCACCGACGATCAGGTACTTGGAACAAAGGTGAAAAAAAAAAGAGGGGAGGGGGATGAGCTGAAAGGAAGCATAAATAGGTGAGCTTTTAGCACCAGGCACCAGACGTGAAGCTTCTAGTCTACCAATGGGGGCTGGCGGACAAGGCGCTCTGTAGGCCTGCTGGGAGGGAGCTTGTGGGCGGGAAGAAGCAACAAAGAAGGTTGAAGCCACCGTTTGCCGACGTCATTGGGCCAAAACAGGGAATTAGTGGTTTGTTGGAATGTGGGGGCGGGAGGGGAGTGGCTTTGCGATGGCTGTGCCTGGGAGAAGTTGATGCGAGCGCTTTTGTTTTAGGGAGAAAAGGAAGGACGGCATGGGTATGGATGTGGATGAAGAGGGAGCCATGAAATCAACGTATTGTGTGGATGTTTGTTGGCGTCGTTGCTGTGTAGATGCGTAGATTCAATACGATTCAAGAGGGCGTTATTAGCCTGTATAAGTTGGTAAAATCAAAGATCGAGTTCTAGCCAGAAATGGACCTATGATATCCAGTTTTGACATGTTGAATTTCTAGGATTCTTTCCGTAAGTCGTGATAATAAAATGCTATATAACAAAAGCTGCCTACCTCTTGGAGGTGATTAATATTGCTGGCATCCCTCTTTATATAGGTACGTTCTGTTCCAGCTACCCTAGTATTGTACATCCTGAAAAAAAAGGAAAAAGAAAAAAGAAAAGATGCAGTCTTACAGTCCCATTCCGTTTGCGTTTTTAAAGCCCAAGACAAGTTATTCGACATCTTGCCAATCTATAAATGCTCTCATCCAAATATCTCGTAAAAACACCGTGCTCTAGCTGCGAGGCCTCCGCTCCTTATTCCTCCTATATGACCTTTCTCCAGCGCTAGAATTGCTCTTGGCGTATGCAAAGTCATGAGTAGCAAGAGAGCTGCTAGCTGAATTGCCTCTTCGTCTTGCCTTGAAGTCGTCGGTCCCGAGTGAGTTCCATGTGCTTGTCTCGCTGTCTGTGCTGCCGGCAATACTTGGCGACTGGCACTCCAACGCTGGTTCTTCCTGAATAAATTCTGGTATTTTGGCCTTGTTCTTCTTCTTCTTTGGACTTTGATTTCTTAAACTTGGCGCATCGTCTTCGACATCTCCAGACTCTCCTTTATTAAAATCTCCATCACAGGAACTCCCCATGCTCTCTCTGTCTTCCTGATCTCGGTGATACTGCCCCAGTACGCGGTCGAATAGAGCCTCTAGCTCAGCCTCGCTCGGCAAAATAGATTCCTCTGGCGATCGAAAACGGCCAAATGCCGTCCGATACTCGATCTGGTCGGCCGCAATGGCAGCTGACCATCTTTTCCACGAAGGCAGATTCATTATCTCGGGAAATGACGGCTGTCGGAGCATATAAGGCAGTAACGCATCCAGGATACCAGCAAGAGCATGTCGGATGGGCTTCATGAGCTCGAATAATGGCTCCGAATACAGAATATCGACCGAGTTGACAAAGTAAACCATGACAGATTTGCTGGTTTTGAAATCCATATCGTTGTAGATGTAGTGGACACTTAGATAGCTCGTAAGATGCCTTGCCGTTGCTTCAAGGATGGCCAAAATGCGCACTGCCATGCTAGGGATCTGAAAGTTTACGGCGGCGCAGTAGGCCAGAACACATCTCGGAACATGTAGAAAGTTAAGCGGCTGTACTGGGTCTCTCTCGCAGATGTCGATATCTATGGGGGGACCTCGGAATTAGTCGTTATAATCCTCCACTAAAAGACAATACCAGACGAGATACGCACTCTTGGTGTATATGAAGTAAAGGCAGGGCTGCACTGCTCCGACGGCATGAGGCAAATGCATCTCGACTGGGGACCCATCCTGGATTACGCGCTGATTAGCTTTGCAGACTTGTATTCTTCAACCCTTTCGTTTCCCACATACCTCGTTTGGTGGGGGGAGTTTTTCGCGAAACCATCCCGAATGCCGTGTGAGAATATCTCGATGTAGCTGGAATATGCTTCTCTCCGCATACACATAGACGTTTGACCCGATTGGATGCCTCCAAAGGCTAGATTTCAATTTGATAAGCCAAAACAGCCCCTGTAGCTACTCATGAGCTGGACAATACAAATGCGATGCTTACATCTGGGCTGCTTGATCTGCGGCTTCTTCCAGGATTAACCTCGTCGGTGTGCTTAGCCGAGATAGAGGTGACCTGGCGTCCTCAGACTGTGTCTCATTGGTGGTGGAACTTGCTTTGGATGATGCGTCGCAAGGCTCAGGCGGATTCGGCTGTTCGCTACAAGTGGTGTCGGCAGTCTGTTCCTGCTTTTCCTGCTTTTCTTGCTGGTCCCCCTTGTTCTCCTTCTCCTCTTCCTCCTCCTTGTCCTCCTTCTCGGGAGTATTTAGCACTGGAAACTCCTCAGCCTTTAGTTCTAGAGGCTTCGCAGGCTTTTCCTGGTCGGACACAATTGACGCCTGGCGTTGGCGCCATGGATTGTGCTTTGGGGGAGAGGCTGGCCTCAGACTTGGCCCAGGCTGCTCTTTGGGCTTCCATGCCGGCTTCGACAGCTTTTGACTCCGACCATCGAGCGAAGTTGGATTCGTTTTCGCCATTGGTCTCTCCCTTGCGAGAAGCGCGATTCGGGTGTCAATGTTGGAACTTGTGGTAGCAGTCAGCCTTTGCCGTTCTCAATGCTGCATTCCCTACGCTGCAAGGGCCGGATCTCGGATTTCGCGACTTTCATGGGACAAGACAAAAGTAAAGCAGGTGAATGAATCGCTTTTTGGGTTTTTGGTTTGTTTACCTTCGGAAAAGGCCATTTTTTATGATGACGGAGATGGCCAGCTGGAGCAGGATGACAGTAAAGAGTAGTGCCAGGTGGCGGCGGAAAAAGAGGCCTGGCAACAACGAGAACACGGGGTGTGCTATATTTAAATCGCTGTCATACAGCTCTGCAGGGTACGCCATCTTGTTGCAGCAGCTGAGCCTTGGCCGGTCAGCAGTCTCTGGCGACCGAGGAGTCGCAAAGGTGAGGCGGCGCGTATGTATAAGAGAGAGCCATGGCTGCTATTAGGCTATTGGCTGTATTATCCATATTGCCAATAGCTGCAGTCCACTGCCATTCATTTAACCTTGCTTCATCCTGCGTTGGCAATGCGATATTGGGAGAATAGCCTGATCGTCTGGCTTTTTGATTAGTCGGCGCAAGAGAAGGAAATCGGTCCTATGAAGCTGCGCAGTGGTAACAGAGATGGAAGCAATGTGGAAGTAATGTGGTGTGGTGTTAATTGCCTAGACTTATTCACGCACGCTGTATAGTAGTAGCGTTGAGTAGGGTAGGCAGTCTATTAGCCATAAAGTCTGTTACTACCTACCCAGCGGCTTCCGGCTCATGTTATTCTCTGAAACGGATGCACTCACATCTTCTATCGTCTCGTATAGCTCACGACCATTTTAACGAAAGTGATTCAATTTTCTCACCTCGTATCCATCTATATGAAGCTGTTGCAACTCATGGCAGATTCAATGCTGCCCAAATAGGCTTAGCCCCCTTCAAGCGCCTGGTCCCTAAGCTCCCCACCAACTCCAGCACTAGCATCCGACATGGCGCAGGCATCCTCGTCCATTACACATCTTCGAATCCCACTGCCGCCCTCATCCATCACGGCTGTCTCGATTGGCACCAGACGCAATAATGGCGGACGCTGTAGAAGACGTAGCCTCCAAGGTGCAGCTCGACGAACTGCTGAAAAGCTCCCCCATTGTCATTGTCAAGTGTGAGCCTCCCCCACCATGACAAACTCCCCGCCATGTCTCGGTCGCCTGGCTGCAATTCCATCCTCTTCATCTTCACATGTGCTGACTCTGCCTCTCTCTCTTAGTCTACTCCAATGATGACGAAAGTTGCCGACAGATCGAACCTTTGTATCAAGCCTTGGCCTCCCAAATCGGCCGACCCAGACTTCTTGTCTTTGCCAAGGTCGACAATGATACATGTCAAGACCTCGTGCAGGAATATGGCATCACAGTGCTGCCTACGTTCATCTTGTTCCGCAAGGGCACGCTTATGCACACCGTACAAGGCGCAAACTCAGCCGAGCTCAGGAATGTCATAGGAAAGATAGTATCAGAGCTCGAGCATCTGGTAGAGGGCATGGGAGGCGAAGGTGGCCCTCCAGAGGCCTGGAAGGGTGCTGAGATCCCCAAAGGCTACGGCGATGTTACGGACCAGGTGGAACTCAGAGGCTGTGAGCTTCTGAACGCAGATGACAACGCGGGCCCTGTCAAGGTCCTCTTCGAGAGCTCAAAGCCGAGTGCCCTGGGCTTGGGCAAATCCACCGCTACAGACTGGGTACAGAGCGGATCCGACGACCAGCTCTTGCTCTTTATCCCCTTCCAATCAACAATCAAGCTCCACACATTACAGGTCAGTACTTTTCTTCTAAATGACCAATTGGACTATTGTCTTGGCTGACTGCGACAATAGATCACTTCCGTTATTCCTCAAGGCAATACCGACGTCTCGAGGCCTGTCGAGATTGGTCTTTTCCTGAATCGCACTTCCAACATGGATTTTGGAGAAGCAGAGGACGCTGAGCCCACACAGTCCATTACACTGGAGCCTGAGCATTGGAATTCAGAATCCACGGCAAGCATCAGCCTGCGATTCGTCAAGTTTCAGAAGACAAACACCCTCACCATTTTTGTTCAGCAAGGAGACGGCGAAGCGGATGCTGTGCGCATTGACCGCATCAAGCTCATCGGAGAGGCTGGCGCAAAGAGGGACATGGGCAAGCTGCAGAAACTCGACGATGATGAGTAGAACTCACAGATTGGCAGTAGCGCAGTGAAAGGCTGAAAAGGGTTAAAAGATGAAAGAATGCTGCTCTTGGTTACGATGTCAAGAATTTTCTGTCTTTAGAGATATAAGATACCAGGTGCTTGGTCTTGGACTCCCAGGTTGAGCAAGCATCGGAGTTTCAGGACGCAATGATTAAAAAAAAAGATGAAATATAAAAGATTTATGCACACTTGCTCGCATCCTCACCTTTCTTACCTCTTTTTAAAGTGAAATAGATTCCTTGTTTGTCTAATGTCAAGTGGGCTCAGTGTCACAAGTCCAAGCCAGAAGCTAAAGGCTCAAGGCCAGCTAATGACAATGACCACAACGCAGCAGCCTGGTAGGCAACCTTGGTGACGAGTTCATGTTTTGTTAATATTTAAATCATATAGATCTAGCATGATTATTAATTAATAGCTCTCGCAGTCACCGTCTCGTTCTATCTTGCATGCATATAGATGTCGCTTCGGCAGAAGTTGGCCGTCGGACCTTTGCAAGGGTCAAGAACTAGGAATAACTAGAGCCGAGATGTGTTATTTAGTAGATCAGATTTCCCAAAACTTCCAGTTGATTTCCGGATTCAAAGCTAGGGCTTACTAGAACGAGGCTTGTCGGTTTTGCAATGAATCGTTATTCCCGCGGCTAGTGGTTCAGCTACTGAGGGCGCCGAGGTATGCCTCCGCAAAGAATAAGTTGTTATGCCTATTTCCAAATAGCTATGTTCTAGCATTCGGTATTGAGGGCGCCTGATTACTCAACAGGTTACTTGATTATATTTATAAGTGAGGAGGAAGTTCACTAAGGCTGTCTCGCAGCTAACCGCTCATGGCTGCTTACAAATTGCAAGGGGTTTTGGGTAGCCAATAGACTACTGGTATTGATGGTTACAACACATTGAAGAGAGATGGGTATAAATATGAGTACGCTTGGCTGTTTCCTTTCAAGAGTGCGTTGATAATTCACAGAGTCTATACAAGGCATCCTTTACTTGTTCTGTAGATATTATAATTTTGTTTGAATGACCATGGCGAAACACTTGTTATTGACTCTTCCTTTTCCCAAGCCGGAGCCCTTCCTGCAGCGGCTCCAGGCTGTCTTTCCAGACTGGAAAATCACGTATTTGCATCATGCCGTCAAGACCACCGAGGCTTTTTACAAGCAGGATATGCACATCCCGCCTGGTTCGTCTGCATGAATTTCACACATTTACATACCAAGTTCATGTAATTTTGAGGATTAACTCTTTTCTAACTTCATATAAACACTTGTGCTGTTGTAGAAATCTTGCGCGAGGTTACTGCGTTGATGACTATGGGAGTCGTGCCTGATCCCGCGGACGCTCCTAATCTTCGCTACATTCACTTCAATGTCGCGGGGACAGACCATGTTGCCCATAAGCCCGCGTTTAAGGATCCAAACATTACAATCACGACTTCTACCGGTGGGCCTAGCATTGCTGTTGCGGAGTGGGTTCTTGGCTCCATTTTGGGACTGAGTCGTCGACTGTTTCAGTTCAAAGAGTTGCAGAATGCGAAGAGTTGGGGTAGTCCTGTGCCGGTTCCGCCCCCATTTGCCCTGGATGGAAAAAAGATTGGCATTGTTGGCTATGGATCTATTGGACGACAAGGTAGAGATGGCTCCTCCTTAATATATACAATTATGGCTTGACGGCCCTTCTAACATGGCAAACCATAGTGGCTCGTTTGGCAAACGCTTTCGGCATGGAGGTCATTGTCTACAACTCTCGTCCACGACCAACTGCGGAAGACCGCAAGGATCGAAACTGGTGCGAGGCTGGCGCCGGTGATCCAGATGGCTCGATTCCAAGCGCTTACTTCCACGGGCAGTCCAAGAAGGAGGTGCATAGCTTTCTCTCTCAGGACCTGGACATTGTGGTTCTCTCGCTTCCGCTGACGGCGTCTACGAAACACTTGATTGGTGAAGAAGAGCTCAGATTGATCAATGCTAAGAATCCGGCTATTCTTGTGAATGTCGCCCGCGGCCAGGTCATCGATCAGAATGCGCTCATTGCGTCGCTGAAAAAGGGCGCTGCCAATGGCGGGCTTCTGGCTGCGGCTCTTGATGTCACTGATCCAGAGCCCCTGCCTGAGGATAGTGAGTTATGGGGACTGCCTAATGTTTTTATATCGCCGCATATCAGCTCTGTTACGCAGCAGACGGTGGCGCGGGCGTATAAGATTTGGTTGGAGAACTTGGTTCGGATAGAGAAGGGCGGGGAGCCGTTCAACATTGTTCAAAAGGCGAAGATGTGATTTGTGTGGTCGTCACTATGTGTTTAGTCATTCGCAAACTTCAAAGAGTAGAGAAGAAATTCGTCATGTGAAATCCAATGTCAGTGATTGTTAATTTAGGTGTTGCATGTATGCGTTTCTAAGAAGTGAAGCATGTTTAGGAGCTTTTGAGCCAATTGCAAGTGGCAGTCTTCCACTTATCGAGTAAAGATTTAGAGTTGAGAGCTCCGCAAAAGGCCGCTCTTATCTCGTATATCTTTAGTCTGAGGTATATATACTTTGCTTAGTGGTGGAGAAATTGAAGATGAAGTTGAAAAAAGTAGAAGTTTTGGACCAACTTTGTCTGGAACAAGGTTAGTTGAAGATGAATAAACCCTGTCTGGTTTGTGTTTTCACAAAGTAAAACAGAATTGATCTCATTTGCGGGTCATACTATAAGTAAACTCAACACCAAAAACTAGCAAATTGCCACATACGACCATAGGTTATGGAGAATTCGGGGTCCCGTGACCAGAATCTGGCAGAAAGCTATATATTGTGTATTTAAGATAAACTACATGAGGCTACAGTAAGGGAGAAAACAAGAACCTTGTCAGACGTGAAATGAATGATAGTTTCGTGAAATGAACTATAGTTTCTTTTATAAGTTTGGATATGGAATCGAGCCTTATTGTTCACGGCACCTGATTGTCGAATACTAGCTGTGATCAACCATACTCTACGTGTTCCAAATAGGGGTCAGACAAGCTAGGTTTTCATTGTCATGTTTGGTGTTTGTCCTACCAGATCAAATGTGCTTCTTATTGACAAACTTCTCTAAAGTAAGGGTAGTAATTATTCACAGCTTATCCTTTCCTATGCAGATGATGGAGCATGGAGCCTGTAGTTATCGTTGGCTATTACTTGTATCCTTAATCTCTCCTAACAACATGCTGCAGGCTTGGTCAAAGCAGCCCGATTTTACAGGACATGAAGCTATATATTTTCCGAGACACAAAGTCGGCTAATCATCTCATATATCTGGTGAGCAGAACCAGCGCTCTGCTGCCAGCACAGCGTGATGATATCAGAGCACAGCACCTCTGATAAATCAGGGAAAACTCCAGCTTCGTAATTTCTTTCAACTTGATCCTCCTCTAGCTTTTGGAATGGGGGATTGCCGGTGAATATAAAGTAAAGTACAGAGCCAAGAGCAAATAAATCTTCGCTGAAGCTTGGCGGCTTGCCTGGGTGCCACTCCGGATCGGGAGCTCGATAGCGGGATCTGGGGCAGACCGAGGCGCAGGAACCGTTGACCGACGAACCGCTGAAGTCAGAAATCTTTAAATCAAGTAATTCGTCTAACAGAAAGTTATGTGGACCAATGTCGCAATGAATAATGTTGGTTGCATGGAGGAGCTGCAGGCCTTCAGCCGCCTGTTGAGCCCACTGGAGCTGCAGTGGTCGTGAAATATCTTTATAATGGTTTTCAATGTACTGTTGCAGTGTGCCATTTGGCATGTACTCCATTGTTATTGTATGTTGCATAGAATCCCAACTTCGAAGCTTTACCAGGCGCGGGTGTTGCCCTAATATTTGATAGATTTTTGCCTCAGTGATAATGTCTTGCACACAATCCCCTCTGGTGGGATCATCCCATGGTGTCTTAATAATATCGCCGTTCGGCAAGAGCTCCACGAGTGAGGTCACGCCAGCAGCCACGAATTCGCCTTTACCTTGGATGATGCAGGTATCGGGAGGCAGAACGAAATCGTCAGGAATGGGCGGCTCATCGGTTGACATGGCTACTCCATGTTAGTTTGCTTCTGATATGGAGTCGGCCGACTAACTCAATACTGTCTTTCTTTATAACGGCTATTCGGGAACAGAAGCACCAATACTAGTCGGTTGATTCAATGCTGGTTATCGGCACAAATGCATTGCGAAATAAACAAAAGTTGGTGGGTGGTAAGTGAGGTGGAATGGAGCGGGGTAGCGAGTGACTGCCTTTCATAATGGACAAAGCCTTATCGCTGCATCCTCAACAAAATGTCCGTGTGCTTTGGTTGAGCAAGGTAACACATCAGTGTAACGATCCTTCGTTCGTTGAGTCAAACAGGGCAAAAGATTAGGCCAATAATCGCAATTGTAGCAATTATTGTAACAGAACCAGCTGCCTATAAAGGTTTTGCAGTTACGGTGAACCAGGTCGTAACAATCGGGGTTTTAAAATGATAACTCTACGGTATTAGCCATATCCTTTTTCCCAATCTCTAAACTAAGCATGAAAATTCGCTGGCTAAACGCTGTATGCTTATTCGACCGGTGATACGGCGTACAGAGGTGACAAATAATGCGATTCTCCAGAGTAAAGGGCTTCGAGTTTCCCCAACAATCCTCGAGTTGTACAAGTATCAAGCATGAGGTTAATGGTTTCTGAGCCACTGAAGCCCTGTTATATCAGTAATACAACCTGCAAATAGATCTCAAGTTGGTTGGGTTATGCGGTATTTGCAAGTAAAGCAATTTACAATGCTCTTACTGCTAATAAAAGGACTCGACTCGCCACTTCATATTTGCCTTCTCATCTCTCTTACCATTCACAATCTCATCACAAGGAATTTTACCTACATCCTATTGGACGTTCATTCAGTCCCTCGCGGCCAAGCCTAAATGTATGTTATTTCAAGAAGTATTGCTGGAGCTAGTACACTAACTTGATGTCTGAACTGGGCTTAGAATGTGCACCTATATCATCACTACAGTCCATTACCGTGGCTGTCCGCATTCATGCAATACCACAAGATCAAACCTAACGCGATGCGCCTCTGCGTCCTCGTCGGGCATCAGATGTGCGAATCCTTGGACGACTTACGGAGGGCAAACTACTTCTCGCATCCAGTGCCCCAGACATAGAGATGAAGGATACTCCCAGAATTGAAGCTGTTTCTACAAATAAATTTGGACTTGGGAACTTTTCAGCTCAATGATTAGACATCTCGTGTTACGATCTTGGCGTGGAACTCTACATCACATCCTGCGTCGCATAGTCCAAACATATCACAGAGATAGCGTATCGCTAAACGAACATTTTTAATGATGTTGGCGTGTTCTGTAGGAGTCTGCATCGACGTTGTTAGAGCTAGATTCTGTATCTCCTCGTGAATTTTGACTCACAGTGCCAACAGGAGAGAGCCTTTCGTTTGTATCAGCAAACGCGCATTTAATCGGATTTAAAATAATAAAATCCGTCGTTTAAAATCTAAGAATTATCCTGCTTGATAGCTCCTATACGTGGACCTCAGAGGTCATTTAGTTGTGTTAAGCCGGCGTGTTCCTGATTTCCCGATCTGGAACAAATTGCCTAATTGAGCCATTTTCCCTAATGAAGCAACCAGCATAGAGGTTTCGAAAAAAGATGGTATTGCTTCAAGACATGTATATGATTTTGAGACTTATCGTTTGACATGTTTATATAAAGCCGCCGATTCAAGTGTCGGGATTGTCAAGGAATCGAACAAGTTCATCACATCTTTATCAGTCAACAAGTCAAACAACCAAAGAAGCAGCAAAGTCAACAAACCTGCAGTCCCAAAATTTCAACATGACACAATCTTCCTGCCTCTGTGGCGCCAACGTCATCACCTACTCAGGCGAGCCCGAACTCAAGTTCCGATGCCACTGCGCGGACGAGCCCAAGCTCACAGGCGCCGCTCCATTCTCGCTCAACTTCATCATGTCCACCGACACGTTAAAGGTTGTCAAGGGGAAACTCAAAACCTGGGGATTCGTCGTAGAAAGCGGCAATTTCATGTCCAACCACTGCTGTGGAGAATGCGGGAGCCTATTGTACAGGACTTCGACCGGGTTCCCGGGAAAGATGGCGATCAAGATTGGCTGTGTTGACGATGGTGACTTGGTAAAGTCGTTTGTGCCGGAGGTGGAGATTTTTACTAGGAATAGAGCTTCTTGGGTGCCTGCTATTAAGGGGGCGGTTCAAAATTGGTCCGACTTTGGGACAGGGGAAGACCCAGAGGCGTTGCAAGGAAGGAACTGAGGCACATGGCGCGTGACATTTGTATAAACGCGTACCTGCGTAGACAAAAGAAGGGAATTATGACTAGATAGAGAAGAGTGAACAATGTCTCTTGGGGCTTGCAACTTGTCAGCAACTCTAGCAGGTTCGAAAAGAAGAGGATACAAATATACATGTTAATGTCCTCTGCAGCAGCTTTCAAAACATGTTTGCTCGTGCTTTTATTATTCTAGTAAAATATTAAACTTTTTCAATACTATTCGTAGACCTACCAGCAGGCCGGAAATAAAAAATAAAACTAAAAGTAGCTGCTATAATAAGGGGGGAATTATTGTGTAACAAATGTACCGCCACCAACCAGGACTGCGCTCTAACCAGGCTATTGAAACATTCAATACTTTTTGGCTTGTGTAAACCGGACGTTGTCTAAATCAGAGTCTAAATCAATTTAAACAGCGGATTCCTCAACCCTCCAGTCCCTTGTGACGGTAATGGTTTTCAACTCCAGGTCGGTGTGGTGGTGGTCCTGTCCGTCGGAATCAAAGGAACTGCCGTCTGCCGCAGCAGATGCCTTGCCACCAAATTCGGAGCGGAGTTGTCTCGTCGAGCGGTCGTCGTCTTGGAGTTCCGAGAAGCCCCCCTTTCGAGAAGCGGAGTGAGCTCCGGTGTTGCCACTGGCATTGCCTGCGGCGTAGCCGCTGTTGTCGGCTCGTGACTTGTTTCGAGATACCAACGGGCGGAGGAGCGGGATGCATGATGCAGTCACCAGCAGACAGGGCTCCAGTGCACTGAACATGAGTGCGACACCGCCGAAGAATGGGAAGTCGTTCATGTCGATTTTGACAATTTCGGCGAGTCGGACGGCGCTGACAATGCAGACTCTGTACCTCCACGTGTTAGCTGGGTGCAGTCAGAAGAAACGGAAAAGGAGGGCGGAGATTGGCCACTTACGCAAGCCCGATGCCAAAGGTCACCATCAAACCAATCTTTTTGTACATCTGTAGCGAGAGGCCGTAAAGATACGGCATGGGGAGGAGCATGATGACCAGATCGGAGAAGATGTTGAGCCCTCCGGTGACGGCCCACAGCATCTTGACGTCGCCACAGGTTCCCACGTAATGGAATTTGTCCCAGTTTAGCTGAACCGGCGTACAGATGGCAAAGGCACCGATGAAGAGGATCATGGCCCAGAGCAGGACGAATACGGCACAGGCTTGGCTGATGAGGATGAAGCTCCTGACGGAGAAGATCTTGGTGTATAGTGCGAGAATGGACATTTTCGCCAGCCCGAGACTGAGCGACCAGAAGACAACGACGGCGGTTACAAGCTGAAGCAGAAGGATTATCGAATCTTCGCCTGCCATCTCGAGGATCTCAGTCGTGTGGTATCCCATCCCCCCAACCACCGCGCAGGCGACTGCAAGTCCTTGGTACCCGACCGCGACGATCTGAAGGGATTACATGTTGGTCAGAGGAGTTTTCCATGGAGATGGATGATTATTCGACTCGAGTGGATAAGTTGGGTACTTACGCATGCCAAAATGATGAGCCAGTCACTCAGATCAAGACGACCATTGTTGAACCTCAACCGCGCGTATATCCGCCCAGTAACGGCAAGCAACGGCAGCAGTGAGAAAACCACTGCACCAGCGATGACTGCCCGTTGGGGTTCCCTTCGGATGGGGAAAACAAACGGCATCGTGAAGAATTTGCCTGTCTGCCTCTAGAGCTCTCTGGTCAAGCTGCGGATGTCGGCCGGTACTAATCGCAAAACAGGCAGCAAGCTGATGAACTAGGCTTTTCAGCTCTCGCGAGTAATGTATATTGCAAGTAGTATTATATAAGTGCGCTATAAAGAGTTTTATTTATTCAATCTAAGGTCACATTGCGGCATAAGTAAAGCAACGCTCCAACTTGGCTAGCAGGCTTGCCAAACGGTGCCTAGAAGAAACAGGGAAGGACTTATATAAACATCCTTGAGGTATACGAATGTAGCATTCAGACCCTAACAATGTACATGGGCCTGCTCTCCGGACTCAGAGTGCTGTATCCCGGCTTGCAAACCTCTCTGTCCCATAAATGTATGACGGGAGTTGCTACAAAGAGCCTATCCGGTGGGTACATATCAACCTCGCTAAACCCCAGATTGGGAAGTGGGAGCGGCTGTCGCGCCGCACGGGAAGTGGCCTGTTGCGCCAACTCTAACAGGGATTGATCGTTCTTATTTGGGCAGAAAGGCAGTGATCTGCCCACATGCAGCATAAAGAAACAGCGGTGAGACAATGCAAAAAGGGGGGAGGAGTGCATAGCCAAGCACGCCGTTGAAGAAAATCACGAGACACGGGTCCATCTACACAGGCTTGCCAAGTATGATCTCGCGTCTCACCCACCGGTGCTAGGAAAAGGTCAGGAGAAAACAGAGCCCAAAGGATATGAAGATCATCGGATATACTTGTACTTGTAGATTCTAATACCTAGTATACTTGTTTCAAAAACTGGGACGCTTCATCATTGCTATTGTTGGAAATATTCACGCAATAAGCATGGGGTGCGTCTCAAGTTTTTTCTTCCGCGGCATGCCAAGCCTCCCCTTTTCCGTTGCCCCGTTTCCAATGTAACTCTACAATTAATGCCCCCCGAGGATCTGAGAATCCATCGTGGCCCTAGTGTAAGCTTATTAGGTAAAGCTCGAAAACCGTTGAAAACCGTTGAACGCCTCAGGGGACTGAGTTGATCCGCTAGACAACTTGCCATGCAGAGGTGGGAACAACTGCCGGTCCTGGTAAGTCTGGAGACTCTCTAGTCTGCAAGATGTCTAGTCTACGAGATGCAAGTTGTCAGGAGCCATCTAGGTCCATAAGTCCACACCGATGTTTTGTTCAGGTATTTATATAAGAGAAAATGAAGGGCCTGTTGTTCTTCAAGGCTCAAGACACTATCTACACCAATCGACGATATCTCATCATCTCAATCCCTCAATCTTCATAGCCATCCCCCACAGCAAGGAGAAACTACATACACAATGGCTTTTGGCGTCACCACACCTGAATATCCCGAGGGCTGCGCCGTCGTCTTTGGCGGCTCAGGCGGTCTCGGACGTGCCTCGGCCGGCCTGATGGCGGAGCGTGGCTCTGATATTGTCGTCACCTACCGGTCAAACGCTGCCGATGCTGAGTCCCTGGTGGAGGAGGTGCGCAAGCTTGGGCGCAAGGCGAGCGCGATAGCCTGCGATGTCACTGATCTCAAGGCGGTTGAGGCTGTCTTTAAGCATGCCGTCGACACATATAAGCGCGTTCACACAGTCGTCTCCGCCGGCGGTCTTACATTCGAGACCGGCCCGCTGGTGGACTTCAAGGAGGAGTCCTTCCGCGGCGTGATCGAGACCGACGTCTATGGTTTCTACAACATCGCAAAGGCCGGCGTGCCGATCCTGCGTGAGGCCAAGGGCGCCTCCATCGTGGCTTTGATCACAAGTGCGGTATCGAGGACTGTGCCGTGTGACGCGTTGAGGTGAGCAATATTCTCCACGGTTATATACCACTGGTAGACCCTCGTTCCATGATTCTAAACAAAATATTTTTCCAGTGCTACACCTAAGGCGGCTGTCAGTATGATGGTGCGCCAACTTGCCTACGAGGAGGCTGCTCACGGCATCCGGTCAAATGCTGTCGGTCCAGGAGTCATCGATGCCGGCATGGTGCCCAAGATGATGCTCACCCCGACGAAGGCCCTCCTCGAGGGCGCGACTGCGGTGACGCCGCTTGCGCGTTGGGGCACGGCTGCTGAGATTGCAGAGGCTGTTGCTTTCCTGGCCTCGTCCAAGGCGAGCTACGTCACTGGCCAGATTTTGATGGTAGATGGTGGCCTCGCGGCATGATGATATAGCATGGTGTTCGTGAACCCCCTGAGGGAGAGGTTTACACAAGGCTTGCTGCAAATGAACTCAGTTTATGACGACATGAAGGGGGAAAAAAACTAATTGTAATAAGCTAGACTTACTTTATAGCTTAGCTTTTATATTTAACGATATGATGTATCCCTATTTAGCTGTCCTTGCTGCTTTTCCCGTGAGGTGTTTGCATCTTCATTATACCGCTGACGCGATGTGATAAGCGCACCCTTGTCGAGTTGTATGTCTGGCTTCAGCACGTCTGTCAGCCCAATGGGTTTAAAACCCAAAATGAGCTTATTAGGACTTTGCTTTATCAGGGCACTGTAGTTATTGTTCAAGCAGAATTGTCGTGCTGGAATTATTTCTGTCCATGACATCTGATGTGGCCGGTGGTAGAGACTGTTGTAAGGAACGGTACGGTGATACATGATACATCATGATTACCTAGGTACTATATGTATTTAGTCTTAGATACATGTATCTTCTCTTCTTCTGACTGTAGAACTTAGTTCTTTAATCAATCAATCATACGATTTTATCTCTCATCTTAACAGGTTATGAGCCCGCAGCTCCGCTGACCATTTTCCGTGTTATCCTGAAGTTGTCCGGCATTGTCCCCAATTTTGTTATCCAGCATCCAGCACTCCAGCGATAGCGCGGGCTACTAGGTACTGCTACTATTGCTACTACTGCTACTACTGCTACTACTGCTACTACTGCTACTACTGCTACTACTGCTACTACTGCTACTACTGCTACTACTGCTACTACTGCTACTACTGCTACTACTGCTACTACTGCTTTACTTGTACTTGCTTATTTCGCTTCCATATATTTTACTACATGTAGACCCTTTTTTGCTTGTAAAATGCCGCTTTTTTAATGTTGACTGATCAACGGCGCTCGCCATTCGCATCTCCTTTTTCCTACTCAAGCTTATAACCGCCAAGCAGCGCCTGATACCTGTTTGGGCAAGTTAGTTTTGCTGCCACTGCTAGTAAATGGTAAGCGTTGACGATCTCTGACGATACGCCAGGGCCGGATGTCGCCCGCGGCTTGTGACTTGCTCTCTCCAGATTAGCTCTGTGCTGGCATCCGCTGTGGATCTCGGCAAAGTCCCGCTGCTTTGGAGTCTCAAGCTCATAGGGGCTCGAGCTCAATGTGTTTTTGACGATTGTTTGCTGGTGACCGTCGTACAAGAAACAAGAAACAAGAGATGCATCAAAGACAATCAAGATGACTCTGCAGACGGGATGCGATCCTTCATCAGCGGCAGCCCGCACGGCAACACTCCAGCGGGGCGGATCAGGCTGTAACGCCTAACAGATCGTCAAAGCATATCGTCCAGCTGCCGCGTAAAATTGCGACGTTACAGTTTTGGGTCCGTTATCCGTTGTCCCATGGATCGGGCTCTGCGTATTACTATTCAGACGGCAGGCATTCCAGTGCTCCATCATCTGATCTGATTCGCCTTTGTATCTTTGTTTGCCTTGTTGATGAAACAGCTGGGCACCCGTTGGCGGCTCACGAGGCTGATGGCGCCCGGCTTTGCTCACGAGGTGGCGTTTATATAAAGAGAATGGCCTGTCCATGATGCTGCACGCAAGCCTCTCAACGCAATCTTCCTCTCCCGTCTCCTTCTCATAGCTGAACGCAAGATTCTGTCCGAGATGCGCACTTCCACCGTCGCAGCAGCGGCCGTTGCCGCCACCGGAGCAATGGCAAAGCCTCGCTACCTCACGTACTTTGATTCGTGCGTACCACTCCTCCAGCGGTGATTTTAAAAGATACATGTATGTGCTTACATTCTGCCACTAGATGGGACACGACAAATCTGCCCGATCATTCGGTTACTGAGGGTGTCACGCACGTGAGCACTGCCTTTGCCGGCTCAACAGTCTTCAACTCCGGCACCTGGTATCAGCCCTTTATGCCGTTGGACCAGATTCGAGCTCTTTTCGACGATGGAGTCAAAGTCTGCATGTCAATCGGCGGCTGGGGCGATACAATCGGTTTCAGTGAAGGCGCAAAAAGCAATGAAACGCGGCAAACCTATGCTCAGAATGTCGCTACAGCAATCAAGACACTGGGCTATGACTGTGTTGGTGAGTACAACACACGATAAGTGGCTGTCTACGTGTGCCTATATACTAATGGATGGCGGCTACAGATATCGACTGGGAGTTTCCTGGCGGCAATGGCCAGGACTACAGACAGACTCCCAACTCGGACAAGGTTTGGGAGATTGACGCTTTCCCTCTTTTCCTGCAGGCCATCAAGGATGCTGTTGGAAAAGATATTGAGCTCTCCATTGCTGCTCCAGGACGAGTCGAGGACATGATTGCTTACACGGCTGAAAATGTGGCCAAGATCAACGACATTGTCGACTACGTCAACGTGAGTACCCTCTCTGCTGTACTGGATGCGAAATTTCGTATCTTGCAAGGTCGAAAATGATGAACGCAAACTGACATATATAGGTCATGACTTACGACCTCATGATGCGCCGGATGAACGCAACTACTCACCACAGCGGCGTCTCCAACTCGGGCGATTCCATCAGCACCTACATCAAGCGCGGTCTCTCCCCCAGCAAGATCAACCTCGGCTTTGCCTTTTACGCCAAATGGTTTGAAACTGCCCCGACATTCAACTGCACAACCCCCGTTGGCTGCCCGGTGGCAAAGCTCGAAGCCGACGACGGAAGTGACACTGGCAAGTCTGGTGCCGTCACTTTCGAGGCCGCAAACATGAATGGCGATTTCCAGCGCGCAATGCAAAACGGCATCGCGGACGAGGAGCTAGGAGGACAATGGTACTGGGATGCCGAAAAAGAAACCTTTTGGACATGGGACACGGCGCATTTCGTGGCCCAAAAATTCACAAAGATTGTTGCACCCAAGAAGCTTGGTGGCGTCATGAACTGGGCTTTAGCACAAGACAGTCTTGATTGGAGTCATTTCAAGGCTATGCAGGCTGGTGTGAAGGCGATGCAGTAGAAGATGGATGTAGTGGAGTACATGTACTTGGACTGGGACGGATTACGATTTGTTTGCATAGATGTATTAGAATATGTATATTAACACCGATGATTGCCATAGTATTGAATATTGTTGATCTCTTCACAATGTGCACACAAGATGGAGGGCTGAAAGTGATGAGAACAAACGTTGTGGTGGGTGCGGTTCTCGAGTGTGTAAAGCTGTAGGGAGGGCAAGTCAACATGATGCTCGCTAATCTATCTATTGAATAAAGAGGCAAGAAAAGAGCAACAAGACAAAGAATGTGTAGTTTTACATTCGCGCTCATCTCTTTGTTAAGAGACTTACATGTAGACAACGCAATACTATGTTTTGGGACGAGCCAACACAAAGCCTTGGCGCAGGGTGTCGGTCTAATGCCGTGTGTGGAGAGGAAAGCTGACGAGCTGTACTCCCTTTGAACCAGATACATGAATGAGTCAACAAAAGGCCATATGAACTTTGTTGGAAAGAACGGCCTCAGTGGGTTTGCCTAAACAAATGTCCGACGGCATGGAACAAATCAAAAGCAGCGTTGAAGTCATCCAAACTTCCTTGACGAGGCTCCGAGGAGAACTAAGAGAGAAAGGAAGAACGAGCAATCGCCACCTCCGACATAAAAAACCTACTCAAAGGATTCACCGAGGCTATTACACAACAGATAGAGGTGATGGAACAAAGATTGGAGGCTGGGGGTTTCTTCTGCGGTTATACGTTGTTGGATGTAGTTGTAGATACGCCGGAAGGTTTTATCCGTTGCTAGAGCCGTCACGATTTCGGCGCGAAGATGCTCGCTCCTCATCGTGGCTGGCCAGCTGTGTTGTTCTCCCTCCGCAGGGTTCTTTGGACCCTGGGGAGATCTCCTTCCCCCGGCTTCTAGGTGTTTACTAGTTCATCTATGCTCGCACTTCCGAGCTCGAAAACTAGACCTTTATTCTATCAACAATACAATCATTCCATTCTCCCGTTTTGTTTCAACAGGTTATAAGCCCGGTGCTCCGTCCACCGTTCTTTGTTTTTGGTCTCTCCGACTTCTTTTTGATCTGGTATGTCAATCAAGCATCCGCCAACCAAAACCTCGCACTACGGACGTCGTGGCACTGGTATCTCGCACCCACAGACCGCAATTCCCTGCACAGAGCACTGCAAGCAATCCCTTTGTCCATTCACTGCACCGGTCATCATCTGTCTCGAGATGTCCCGTTTCTCCATGTCGTCCGTTGGTGCTCTCCCAGCTGGAAAGACTGAAATCACACCTTTCAGGACCACCCAGAACCGATCAAAACAACGCGCCTCTGTTCTCAGAAGAACTCTCTAAAAGTAGCTCTACAGTCTCTACCTACCTAGTAGTATACCTAGCATACTAAGCTACATGTACTGCATGCACGTGTACTGCATGTACTACTGCTGCTACTGCTGCTACTGCTGCTACTGCTGCTACTGCTGCTACTGCTGCTACTGCTGCTACTGCTGCTACTGCTGCTACTGCTGCTACTGCTGCTATTACAGTTACTACTGCTGCTATAACCAACGGATGATGAAGAACGTGGGATCTCAACAGAGGATGAAGAACATGGGATCTTAACGGAGGATGAAGAACATATTGGAAGCAACTCCTCTGGCTCGATGCCCCTCGAGGCAGGTCGGGCCCCTTAGGGCCCCTTCGGGGGAAGGACCCCTCGGTCTATCATATATAGTGCCGGGCCCCACGCCTCTTAGCTAGTAGCAACCTAGCCTTATCATCATCACAATACAATCACTACGTTCACTCTCTTGTGCCTCGTTCAATAGGTTATGAGCCCTCGTGCTCCAAGATCACGACAAAGATCACGTAAAAGCCACCAACTTTACTGACGCATTGTACAGTCGAGGCCTGAAGAACACCAGACTTTTCAGCTGGTGCCAGGTACGCCACCGCTTCCGATTGACAGCCCAAGGCGACGACATATTCGTACACACAAGAGACCAAAAATTGGTCATGTGGGCTAGCTACGGCAGGGGAGGCTTCTCGATCCAATAGAACATGGGATCTCAATGGATAAAGAACATGGGATCTTAATGGATAAAGAACATGGGATCTTAATAGATGAAGAACATGGGATATCGACGGAAGATGAAGAACGTAGGATATCGACGGAGGATGAAGAACGTGGAATCTTAACAAATGAAGAACATGGGATCTTAATGGATGAAGAACGTAGGATCTCGAAAGATGGTATCGGTTAGTACGTCGATTTCTATCAGTCTGTTTAGATTCATCGGTCGTATCGTTTCGGTGCGCCAATTTCTGTCAGTTGGTTAACGATGCTTGAAGACCAAAAGAGAATCATAGGAACCAAGAACGCAAAACGGCTGAGCGCCGGGCTCATAACCGTTGTAAACAGAAGATAATAAATATAAATCTTGTATTATAAGACTAAAGATTAAAAAACCTAGCACAAACGTATACTACTACTACTACTGCTGCTATTGCTACTGTATGCCTACTACATGTACCTACATATAAGTACATGTCCAGTAGTTGCGGCGTCCTTGACAGATTGCGAGTCCTGCCGCCATGCCATCGCCCAAGACCTTTTGTGGCGCCGTCTCCCATCCGATGCATGTTCATCACTTTCATCACAGTAAGCGACCCAATAGCTGGTTTGTGCCAAGTTAATCATCAGTGCTGAAAGAAATCAGGGTTCAATGTTTCTGCGCCCTTGGCACAAGTTCCACGAGCCTATCTATCCCCGGTGTGCCCACCACAATTCGCTATAAACGACGTCTCGAGACCACCTATCAATGCCCAAAGTGAGGGGTTTACTCTGCCACAATGCGTCTTTTTTTTAATGTCCAAGCTTATGAACTCAGCCATTTTGTCCCATTGAGTGGAATGTCTCCTGAAATCTATTCGTCGACACCCATGTGACTCGAGTTTAGAATACATACTCGGTAATCACCCGAAGCACCGCATGGAGTAAAGTGTAATTCTTTTTTCCCATATATAGACTTTGTAGATCAGCGACAATCATGATTGATACGCAGGTAAAGTCATTCTGCCCGGATTCTGTACCGTTAAAGGACTAGGTCCTCCTTGCTCCTGTGAGTAGCTGCATGTTAGTGCAGCGGAGCAGCGTTATGATGCAGCCACCACTTGCCCAGTTCTTCAATATCATATACTTGTACGTGTTAGTGACATGCTATTTTTAGAGCCCTGATCTTGTCCAATATGCAAGGTGATAATGCACCGCATGCCCATGGATGGCGGAGATTAAGAGGTCCCATCTGGGGTCTCTCGATCTTGCTGAGGGCGATGAAGACGATGAAGATGACGAAAAGACGCACTCCACTCCACTCTTCTCTTGGCAGTACGTCTTGGCAAGTGTAGTTGCACATATGTTGGGTATCTCAGCCTACAATTGAGTTCTCAGTAGTTTAAATACACATGCTTATCCTCAGCCTCGACATCATGAGCCGTGTCGTTGAACGTCATGCCTGCTTCTTGAATCGCCATTATAACATGAAATAAACGTGAATTCTTAAGACGTTTTCTTATTTGTATCCATCTATTGTACTATTATACTTTCTTTAAACAGAAAAGACGCTTTATCACGACTGGGGTTCACGCACGGAAGAGATTATTGGACTCGAGTGGATCGCTCCAACGACCGAACTCGTTAGAGAGCTAGTTGCCGCCGGAGCTAAAGAGACTGGATACCAGACCAGCCAGTAGTCTCCAGTGTAAGACGTAGAAAGACAAAAGAGGGGCGGAACAATTAACTCTTGCCGGGGTCCGGACACCGAAAGGCATGCGTCGTAAGCTATCTTGTACAGATAAACATGCTCAATCTGGCCCTTGCATCAACAAGCTTCAACAAACTGGTTACCAAAGCAGAAGAAGCCGAGTTAAAGAGAAAAAAAAAAGAGGTGAGTCGCATTTTGCCATGCCAAACTTCTGCAAGGATTCCGAGTCCGCCTCTAAAAATAGCCCCCAGAGGGGTTGCATTGCATGTTAAGCGCCTAGTCGGACATTGGCTTAGCGGAGGTCTCGCTTCGTGAGCCTGATTGGTGCAGCGCTTCCAGGATCAGTGCGAAGAAATCCAGCGATTGGCCCAGCCGTTTTTTTCGCCTCTTGCTGAGCGGCTGCGGGAACCTTTTCCGGGGGCGCGTGGAGGAAGCGGGCGGGCTTTTGTACATAATTGCAGGCGGCATCTCGCCTTTTTATCTTTTGCATCTTGCAAAAACACTCGTCATCTTGGGTGTGTATCTCTGTGTGTTTGTATGATCAAATAGCATCATCATCATCATTTGAGGATTCAGAGTGATTCTTTGGTCCGCCTTGCGCTGGCGACCGCTGTCTTTTATTTCTCCGAGATTGATTGCATCTTTCCACTTATTCGGTTGCATTCATCGACATTTCTAAAGCACAACCAACAGCAGCTCTCCCAAACAGGAAATTTCCCATTACATATCTCTTCAGAAAGGCGAAGCGCACAAGAGAATAAACCGATCAAACCGAAACTAACCACATCACCATCTGCCTCGATCATGGCTGCGAAAAGTCTGCTCATGGCCGTATGGCTTTTGGCTCTGCCACTTCTTTCATGGGCACATGTCGTTATCGTGTATCCCGGCTGGCGCGGCGACAATCTCATAACCAACGCGACATTCCCATACGGCATGCAGTGGATGTATCCCTGTAAGACTATCCATCTATCAATGCGATGCCTACCATCATTCTCTTTGTAGCGGATTGCTAACCATTCATCCAGGCGGTGGCCACCCCGTGACAACAAACCGCACCTACTGGCCCACGACGGGAGCCCCCATCTCGTTCCAGCCCGGCTGGTTCGTGGGCCATGCGACGGCGATGCTGCAGGTCAACCTGGGCATGGGCACCGACGGCCCCGATGGCGGACCGCTGCATATGGAGCACCAGATTGTGCCCAAGTTTGGCATTCTCGGCCCCAGCAACAACCCCTTCCCGGGCACCATCTGTTTGGACCATGTGACGGTGCCGACTGACATCGGCGTCAAGGCGGGAGTCAATGCCACGATCCAGATTGTCATGTCGGCACAGCACGGCGCCGCGCTGTTCTCGGTAAGTACTCAGCCATGAAACAACGTTGTATCGTTTGGAACCGTGAATGTGAGGCTGATGCCGAGATTCAACAGTGCGTCGACATCACCTTTGTCGAGCCGGGCGACAAACGCATCCCGCCTCACAACCGCACCAACTGCTTCAACTCTTCCGACATTGGATATTCAGACATTCATCTCGCCACCATCTCCACGGGCGTTGATCTTGGCGATCTTGGCGAGCTGAAGATGTGAGCGGTCATGACGATTCGGCCATTTATGCCGCTACGCTGGACTGAGGTTGGACATTTAATTAAAAAACCCACAAGCCTGAGATAAAAGAAACGATGAGGACAGATAGAGAACCCTAGGGATGAAAAGGGATGATGATACCCAAAGGCAGATGACGCGAGGTCATCGAAAACGGACCCAGAGGCCAATATTACGAATAACATTATTCACTGTACTTTAGAGCGCAAAGGTTGCCGGTTTTGCCTTTTGTTTTATTTATTAATTGTATATACTTTTATTCTTGAAATGAATGACTTCTTGCATTTATTCTGGTGGCTCTTGGACGCCATATTGCCTGTTTGTCTCGGAGGCTGTGCTACCCGTCAGACCAGCTTCACCCACACTACATCTTCAGCTAGTGACGTGAGGTGTGCCATATCCGTTGCGTGTAACAATGAACTACATGGTACAGAAACATGATTTACTTCTTCTCTTGCAGGGGATTGATGCCCGCCATTATCACTATTGCGGCTGTGAAGGAGTCAAAACACTCATTGATAAGATAGTTCACGTCCCTGACGCTTTGATTACTCCAGCGCAAACAGAATACTTGTCTCGTCGGCCGTTGCGTTTTGTTTTTGACGTGATGCATACTCAAACAGCTTCAAATGCCGGAATCAAGTGGTTTGCAGCCATTTCATTGAAGAAACTTGACTTTCCTACGGGAAACCTGGCTCCGCAAACAAGCTCGTAAGATGAGCAAACCAGTGGCAGATAAACGGAGCGGCTAAGCTCCCAACTTTTTTTGGTATAAAGTTCTTGATTGAACTCAGAGATTCATTGTTAGATAGCTCCCATAGTGGTGACAATTCTAGTTTGTTCCTTTCATCCATTGAACTTTGATACTAGTCTCGTCAATATCCCAGCTGCGATACAGAAGAAGCGCCTGTCCAAGGCATCATCTATCGGAAAACGACAACTCCTCATTGCAGATATCGTTCATGAATACTCTGCGTGCCTTAAAGTCAATCATGGAGACGATCAACTCCTTTTTTTCCTATGTTTCTTCGCCCCCTCCGTGGTCCTCACATCCACCACGACCGCCCTCACCACCATCTGAAGAGCCGACCACTTCTCTTAAAAACAGTTCCTCCAGAGGCAGCAATTCCAAAACCAGCCTTGAAAATAACTCAAAGAAGGTGGTTTATCGAGAATTCCGTCAAGATTCTCAGGATCCAGGCCTACTCTTCAGATTTATGGTGTATGCCTCTGGTGGCACGCTTCCCTCGGAAGTCAAGAAAGTGACGAGAGGAGCGCCGAAACATCAAAAAAACACCGCCAATTGCGTTTCTTCCAGACAAGCAACGCAGTACTCTTGGGTGGTTCAGCCTCAATGCCGTAAGAAGCGCAGAAGGAGTGATAATCTCGAAAATGAGACTGTACAGGCGGAAACTGGCGATATAGCTACACATGAGGTGGTCGCATGTGAGGAAGAGACACACGAGGAGGACATACATGGGAAGGATGCGCATGAGAAAGCCTTTTATGAGAAGAGTGTGCCTGGAAAGGATTCGAAAAAGTCCGTTACCTTCGACATGGCCGCCAATCTACCCAGGAAATCAGCGCTGAAAGTGACGTTAAGGGACAGCGCTCCAGCTCCAAGATCATGGAGACCTAGATTCAGGCTTTACTGATGCCAAAGCTAGGCGAATCAGGATGCTCCAACTTCTCACAGCAAATGTGAGAATAAAACGTCATCTTCTCTACGTCTTCTCAGCTTCTTATACACAAGTACACTCCATGTTCTCTTGTACCAATCTACGATGGCGCGAAAACGACTATACGAGATGCTCTCTTTTTGATGAGAGTTTCAGAAGAGCCCTTGTTGGGAAACGGACAAACACTCAGTCACACGCATACGCACATCTTCTCCTCGGATGGCATATTCTACGCCTCTCTGCATATATACAGAATGGGCTGAGTATAGATGGAAGCTTTGATGCGGTTTAGCTATTGACAGCATGAGTAAATACTGAGAGAAGAATGAAACATGACCGCCTCTGAAATAAAATGTTTCTTATTGCCTATCGAGCGAGTCTCCCTCCCATATTTTCGTTTTTCGGGTGATGGGACTCTAACACTAAGCAACTGCGGCGTAAGGTATTCAAAAGGTTTGAATTGAGGAAATTTGCGGATCAGGATAGAACTTAAATAAACTTGTATCTTGAAGAGAACGAGGGCAAGCCTGGGTGTTTTATCTTAACTTGATGTCCTAAAACATAATATCACACAGCCCACACACCGCTGATATTGCTCCCGAGTTACCGGGTTACGGTTCTCGGCATCGACTTTTTCTTGATCGAAAACACCTGTTCACTGAAGAAGCTGAAAGAGATGCTTGATGTTAATCACGGATGACGGAGATGTATCTGCTCCTCTATAGATTGCTAGAGCGAGTGAGATTGCGAAGGCTTGAAGATCGGGCAGATATTCTTGTCTAGGTGGGCGAGGTAAATTATAGCCTTCTCTAACGTTGAACTACTCCCAATGTTTTAAATAAAACATGCATACAACACTTAAAAAAGAGCAGTGGCAACGGTAGCAGCAGCAGCAGCCCAGGCTATATCTAGAGTGCTGTAATACAACTGCGGCGCTTACATACATATAGGCTCCCTTGGTTACTACTATAGTAGGTACTAGCGTTATTGTGGTTGTGAAGTTGAGATATGTGTGCTGATTGTATAAGAGTTCCCTCTTTTTCTTCGCGGACCTTGCATGGTCTTAGTTCCTCCAATTCCTCCATCCCCTTTCCATCCAAAGCTTGACCTTTCCCAGTGTCATTCTTCTTTCCAGTCCTTGCAGTATCATTCTCAGTTTGTCTTTCCTTCAAGCCAGTTTTGGCGTTGCTGAGGTCGGGGATCGCTACACTCTTCAGTCTTGGGCTACGCTGGCCACGCGATCGGTGGATTTCGTGGCGCGAGCGCCGTCATTCTTTCCGCGACTACGTCTGGCCTCTCGCTTAGGCTTGTCGACGGTAGTCTATTCCTGGTGAGGCCTGGCGGAGGTTGCTACAGTAGGCGCGCCATGAACTTGCGAGGAAGTCGGAGTGGTACCGTCCGCGTTTTTGAGGTCGATAACAGAGTCGTCAAGGAACTAAGGTTATCCCCTTCATCAAGATACTGTCGGTATTGGGCTTTCACGAGCCTGATATGTGCGGTGTAGGCATTCGTCTTCGCTGTTTCGCGGTTCTCCTTTCGGTTCTGTGGAAGTTTACCGCATTTAGCTGACGAGAAGGCGTGCCAGTCGATGTTGCCTACGGTGGTTACATTCTTGAAGTCTATCGCGGGCTTGTTGGCCATCTCAGGGCATCTTCTGCCGGATCTCCGTCTGGCAATTCTCTTGCTTATTTCCAGGCAAGTGGCTAGAGGCACACACCCCGTTCCATCCCATGACCGTTTCGATCCAGTCTCGCGATTTAAGGTAGTGGTGGAGGCTGCGCAGTGTGCGAGACTTGTGACCCGTCAGGACTGTCTCTTTGCTGACCAAGATAGTCAAGGCCTGCGCCCGCGTGGTCATAACTGCCAGTCGTTCATCTTCCACCAGGAAGCCTAGTTTCTTGAAACATACTAGGTCGCAGATTACAATTTCTGCTTAGTGACTGGGCGAGTCATAAACAGCCCGGACGGACCAGAGGCCGGGAGGTATCTTCGCGTAGGGAATTCCAGCGAGCTTCTCCTCGAGCAGGCGCTTCTACTCGCTGTATTCTGTCATCAATTTTGCCTCCGCGCCATCCTCTCTTAAGTTCTTGGTTGGGGCTGCATCTGAAGTCTGGGACTTTGAAGTAGTCCCATCGCCTCTCCCGTCCTTCTATCACGGGGAAGACGTAGAATTGGTTGGAGACTGAATGGGGTTGTAAACTCTGCTATACGTACATGTAGTCTCTGACGTTTCGGACAACGGCTTGGAGTTCTTCGAGGAAGGTTGAGAGATGGTCCAGCATGGAGAGGGGCTCACGGCGGTGACGTGCTCTGCCTCCACGATGACTGAGGCGGTCACGAATGAGGTGTTCGCCGTGCTGATGTATTTATCAAGCAGAGCATCTTTCACCAAGTGGAACATTTTTTTTTTACATCGTTGAATAGATCTCGGTGTTTCTCATTCTGATGATGGCCTCTAATGAAAGGCAAACGCTACGCCATGTTTACATTGCGAATCAGGAATTTCACCGAAAGCATGCTTTTAGTGTTCGGTCCTCATCAAGGTCTGATTTCGACGCGTAGGTCTGGAGCTTCGTCAATAGTTTTCTCGATCCGTTTAGCTGACGGGCCAGTGATGGGCTAGCGGCGGGCTGATCGTCGAGGGTCTTGGTGGGGAGATCTTAGGAGTTTTAAGCGCAATGCTCGGGTGGTGGATTCCATCGTGATGTTGACCGGATTTGGTCAAGGTCAAGGTCGAGATGCTTTTGACTACCTAGATGTAGGCTTTTCTGGTGTAGTGCTTGATGAGTGCTATTGCTCTACTACTGCTGCTACTGCTGCTGCTACTGCTGCTGCTACTGCTACTGCTGCATCAATCTATAGATAGAGTGCGGTAATACAACCGGGTTGCTGGATAGAAATTCCCTTACATTAATGCAGACTAAACAATAAGAGTCAATGAGAAGCCCCAAAGATATTATAATAGAGGATTGGGTCCTATACGGAAAGGAAAACAAACCCACCATTAGAGAATACCTATTGTTGGATATTTATGGGAGGCACGGGGCTCACGTGACCCACTGCGTACGCCTACTTCTTCCCTCCTCTTCAGCTTCTCACTTTGTTCCTCTTTTTCTTCTTCATCATCCATCATTTATCTACTCGTTTCCAGTCACATTCTATACCTAAGTAGTAGGGAGAAATTAATTCCGACGAGCTTCGAGTGTAAATACCACTCGAAGCTCGTCGGAATTGAGTTCTACCCAATACAGGTACTTTTTGTTTCTTTTGAGCTCCATTGCCTTTGGTTGTTGAGATTGATCTCCTTGTTTCTTGCGCTCATTTGTGTCCGCAGCCCTCAGGTTGAGAACATCCAACAGCCTTAAGCATAGTCAGGCGCGTGTTCCACGCGTATCATCCGCCTCGGCGTTCGATTTCCGTCAAAGAACCAGCCGCTCGTCTTCGTGACGAGGGCTGTAGAGCAAAGGCTCACCCCCGGTGCCTAACTGACTACAGCACCGGGTTTATTAGCTCACCCAATTTGGTTATTGGGATTGATCTCCTTGTTTCTTGCGTTCATTCGTGTCCGCAGCTCTCAGGTTGAGAACATCCAATCACTTTTCGTACAGTCAGGCGCGTGTTCCACGCGTATCGTCCGCCTCAGCGTTTGAATTCCATCAAACCAAACAGCTGCTCGTCCTTGTGACGAGGGCCGTTGAGCGTATGCTCCCCCCGGTGCCCATCTGACTACAGCATCGGTTTGTTACCCTCACCCATAGTCCGTCCTCGAATTTATGCCGACCCGCAATTCTGCCCGTCGTATAGCCTCCTGGCCGACTTTGAGCTCCTAGCTCCTTCACATAAAGGACGTCTGACGGAAACGCCTTTCCGAAGTGCAGCTGGCTCATTCAATTTCTCAGTTAAGCATATACTCCTTCCAGTGCCTACCTGACTACAACTTCGGTTTGTTACCTTCACCCATGTTTTGTCTACGAATTTATGCTGACCTGCAATTCTGCTCGTCGTGCAGTCACCAGTAGGTATTATTTCATGTTGCCTTTTTTTGGTGGAGCGCCCCGCAATAATGCCCTAACCACCCCACCCACCCCTGATTGCCCCACTCTGGGCACAGATTTATTCCCCGCTCCCACAAAGTATCCTCGTTTTCTCATCAGCCACCTTTATCACGCACGACCTCACACCACACCCTACCTCTTGTGTACATTGTACCTCGAGCACATCGTACCTTGCCCTTCTTGTCAAAGCGCCCCGCCAGAAAAGCATAGTCGAAAGCATCTTGGCATCAACCTTGACCAGATCTGGTTAACAGCACGATGGAATCCACCAGCAAGACCATCGATCTCAAGATCGTCCCCACCGAGACCCCCGTCAAGACCCCCGTCGATCAGTTCCCTGATCAACCCGTCGTGGAGTCCGCTGGTCATTGCGGAAGACGCAGCAGACGCAATGCCTGCCGAAAAGGCAAATTCGATGACCTTGATTATGACAATGTCACCTATGAAGGCGTGGACCGAACGAGCACTGCAGGCAGCGCGGCACGAACTTTCGTCTCCCGAGATGAAAGAACCTTGTCTCTTGTTGTCGGCGTGGTCGAGGAGGGCATATGGCAAGTCAAGCAAGCCATCGCTTGCGCTGAAATTCCCTTTCAAGCAACAATGTTTCCAATCCCCGGCACCGAGTGGAAACCGCATGCGTCCGACATCGATGTTTACGGCATCGAAGCGAACAACCGGCCGCGCGCCTACATGCTCACGATTATCCTAGACGAGGGCTTTAACCGCGAACTACTCCCGCAAGTGGGATGTCACGCAGAGATCTTTATTAACATCGCGCAACGCCCACACAAAGTGCTCGAGGCACGGCTCTCAACCGCTGAAATCATTGAGGTAGCCAGGAAACTACAAGACCACTTCGCAGTAGCCACTTCCAAGGCCGACAAAGAACTCTCAAAAGCTCAAAGGAAGCTCGACAAACTCGAGGAGCGCGAAGCAGATGAAGAAGAGATCGAGGAACAGAGAACCATCACCGAAGCAGTGTATGACAGTACCTACATGGAACATGCCACCACCAGTGTCTACGGTTATATCTCAAGAATATCAGCTCACATTACCCTGAGAACTCCCAATACAACAGACGATGTTCGTCGAATGATTCAGGCACAGCTCATCGCCGAAGAACTCCGCGCTCAGCCGGGAGAAGACGAGGTAGCACACATGAAGCGAATCCGGACCTGGCTAGGCCAGCAACGGAACATCATCCGCCCATTGGTAAACCAGCGCCTAGAAGAACCCTAGAAGGGCTTTCGAGTCAATCCACCAGCCGGAGTACGCAATGATATCGCCTTGTTCTATGCAGAAGTTCCTGTTCAGGCAGATTGGCCAAGTAACTTCAAACCGCCCCCGTTCATCGTCGACGCCCCTCATAAAGTCCCGCTTCACCTTGGTGCATATTTCGCAACTATTACTCGTGGTGAAAAGAAGATCCTCGCCCGTATCGAGTATGATTTTGATGATAAATCATTGTGTTACGAGGCAAACGCAATTAATCTCATGAACAACGTGGAGACTAATTCATCTGCTGCGGAATGGTGGGAATACATTCTAGCCTTCAACCCGGACCTTATTACCCAAGAGTCAGACCTGTGGGAGAGATTCCCTGGAATCGCGGACGGCGCTGCCAATGGTCGTTTTGTTGGACAGCACCTTGAAGCAGCGCGCATCCTGAAGAAGACTAACCAGGGCAAGGTCATTATTGCGGGAGGTCCCGGCTCCGGAAAGACCTCTTTTGGAATCCTCATCGCGCAGGCCGTTGTAGAAGGGGGAGTCGTCGACACTTTACCTACCCCAATCCCATCAGCAGCAAGTTTGACATGGGTGGAGCTAGAAAGACGACTGAACGAGCAAACCAACGTTCTGCGCAAGGCCCTGGTAGTGTGGACTGCACCTCAGAACGCGCAAGTTCTTGATGCGACAATCCGCCTGCACAAGGCAATTCCCGGCGGCATCATCATCAAAGTGCACACATGGAAAGCAGAAGTCGCAGCCTTACTGGACGCAGAGGTCCGTACCCCAAAGGTCATAGAGCCAGGCCCCAACGCCACCGCTACGGAACGCACCATCGCCCGATTGTTGAACACGTTTTACACGAAGGAGTTCAATAAGCACAGCCCAGCCGCAGACCCGTACTCCATCTCGTCGCAGTTGCGAGCACGAGCGATGGCAGATCCTGAAGCAAACCGGCTGATGTTTGAGGTTTGGGAGATGAGAGTCAACGACCCGGTCGTTTTCGAAACCAATTGCTCCGAAATTACAGCCAGATTTACAAGGATCATGAAAGATTTCGTCCGTTCTGCAAACGTTCTTGTTGGTACGCCGGTCGCAATCAAGATTTTATTCGACCACCTATCAAGCAGATCAGAAGCGTTGCGCCCTGATCTTATCATCAACGACGAAGCTGGCAGGAGCACGGAAGCCATGTCCCTCGTGCCTTTGGCCAAGTTCCCGGAGACACCAACACTTTGGTTGGGAGACGGCAAACAACTCGGTCCAATGACCCCGGCCGCATTCGACTCAGTGGACAAACCGCTATTCCAGGACCAACGTGGCATGAGCCTCCTCAAGAGAGCTCAGGAGACGGGCAACGCCGATTTCACCTTCTAAGAGCCACAGGGGACATGCTGATGCGCACGAATGGATGCGAGAGACAAGCTTTGGGTGGAAAGGGATGGAGGAGCTGGAGGAATTGAGACCATGACATGCATTACGCTGGATGGGATGTTGGACTATTGTACTACTATATTTCCTTTTTCTTCTTCTTTTATATATATTCTTTCTTCTTCTTAATTTTACCTTCTTTTCTTCCGTTTCACTTTATGATGCGGATATTATGTGACCTATTGCGTCGCGCTTAGTTGTTCTCTCCTCCTCAGCTTGTCACTAGGTAATTTGGTTCTCCTTCTTCGTCATCATCACAGTTTTCAGTGACAGTCACTCTTTGCTTCTCTTGAGTCCTCGTGCCTTTGTTTGTCGTGTCTGTTCTCCTTGCTCTCGTTTCGCTCGTGATCCGCATCCTCGTGATCCCTCGTATGTGGGAGGTGTGATGTGTAATCTAGATCTAGATCTAGGATGATGCGGGATGCGAGTCCCGCTTCCCACAGCAACTCAATTTAATTAGCAATCGGTAATTATCTCAACTACCTAGATATTCCTTATTACATACAGCTCTAGTAACTATCAGAATAGGGTCTCAGGGGCTTAGGGGTATAGAGTATGTATGCAAAGTGTGATTTCATTCTAAATGGAACTCATTTCGTTTTGAAAGAAAAAAGTATTCTCATAGGACAGAGACACAAAGGCCACTTCCCTTATTTTATTAATGAGATATGAAATTCAATGTATTAGGGCTTGTTGGGGGACACCTGCCCCGACGTCCCCAGGGAAGGAAGGACGAGGACATCAGATCTTATATATAGTGGCGTTAGGCCCCAGATCCTACGAATGCAAGCTTTTTGATCCAGATATACGTGCCCCTACGATCTGTACCGTAGAGACCACGTTCCGGATCGGCTTCATCTCTGACGACACTCGCTTGACGCGTAATAGGGCTAATCTCTTTGCTCCTAGCAAGCAAGCTCGCTTCCACCCAATTGCCTGGACCTAATGCATACATACAACTCCCGGATGGGTTTATCAAGGGGATTAATGGAACATGAAAAGTTATCCCACATCCCAGCTCTATTATCCCGCATCCCAGCTCGATTATTCAGTCACCCAGCAGTAGCAGCAGTAGCAGCAGCAGTAGCAGCAGTAGCAGCAGCAGTAGCAGCAGTAGCAGCAGTAGCAGTAGTAGCAGTAGTAGCAGCAGTAGCAGTAGTAGCAGCAGTAGCAGTATCAATAGTAGTAGCAGTAATAGCAGCAGTAGCAGTAGTAGCAGCAGGGTTGAGCAGGTCAATATGATTCAAGCTCAGCGAATATGGCTTAAACACGGGTGTAAGCTTGTTCCTGGATTGTGGGTAGCGATCATCATGTCAGTGTGAATGGGTTGCACGCGTCTTTGTTCAAGAACATATTTCCTTCGAGCCCTTTTGAGCCCTTTTGCCTCGCGTCTCTCATCCTATGAGGCTTTGCTTGAATACATGTATTCTTCTAAACGTGCTTTTTCGGCCGTTGAAGATCGGTCTTCCAGGAAGGCAGGATCTGGTATGCACAAGGTGACCTTTTGTCGCTCATCATCCCACCTGAATTCCTTGAAGAATAGTAGAGTAATAAAAAGTATCGCAGTTTTAATGATGGGCACATTTTTCGCGCAGTTTCTCGGTGGTGTAGCTAGAGCTTCTAGATCCGTGCTGAAATAGGCCGCAATTTGAAGTGAGTCCTTTTTCTGGATATAGAATTGTAGTTGACTGTGGGCAACCTTGTTGCGATCAACATACGCTCCTATGGCCTTTGCAACACCCAGCGTGTCCTGGTTTATGAGCCTAGCAACCACTTGCAGCAGCCTCACTAGGGGCACGTCGCTTGCCAGTGGGTCGTTTGGACATTCCTTACCGGTGTTGAATACATTTTTATCTTGTAGACGCTCGTATATCGCTGACCATGATTCGCGCAAGAAGAATTGCCATGCTTCTTTCTCCATGGCGTGAGGCGCAGGCTTAAGGTCATCGGCGGGCTTGAGCTCGTCCGGATGAGGCCTGCGCTCGTCAGGATCAGAGTCGGACTCGTCAGGAGTAGACTTGGGGCTTCTGATGACATGGTCGTTGTTGTTTCGGAGGTCTCTCGCTGCTCTTCTCATGTGGCTTGTGTATAGAGCCAGATAATCGCCGTATCGAAGATGAAATTGCACCTCCATTAGCTCTTCCAGTTTTCTAAAAGCTGGTTCATAGGCTTTGTCGGTGCTTATTCGATTATGCATGTCCGATATCTCTTTTGTCATCTCGCGAGCAAACCTTTTCTCCTTCCGGAAGTCAGGGTTTTCTATTTGATCATCTAAACGTTGAATAAGGCCTTGTACAATCTGTTCAGTCCTAGGGCTAATAACCCGACGGCCTTCTTCTTCGGTTTCAAGGAACTCGTGTAGTTGAACCCTGCAGTTTAAGAATTGCTCTCGGCGTGTGGTTTTGGCCATGCCGTCCTTTTCGGACGCTCAACTCGGAAGCCATAGCGGTGATTGGAGCAGAGAGCGGCGGTAAATATAACTCAAACAGTGCTGAGAGAAGAGTTGAGCAAAAACTGGCGATGCAGATGACTTTCGGGTATAAGGGTATAAGGATGTGGTAGGTATGAAGAAGACAGTTGAAGTAGAAACGAGGGCGAGAAGGCGGTTTATTAAATAACAGCTTCTTTACTATTGAGTCATTTATTACTGCCCCAGCGGTATTAAGTTGTTGGCATCAAACTTTATCTTGAGCGTAAACCTTTGTCTTAAATCTTATTGTCAAGCAATCTAGATAGATGATTAAGCTCTAGTTATCTGCCTTAATATGGCCAAGCGGGCTGAACTTTAAAATCTCTGTAGATAAGAGCTTAATTGCAGAAATACTCGGCGTCTTGTAGGTCCGTCTCTGCTACTGCTACTACCTCTTCTACCTCCACCACTTGTGCTACATCTACTTCTACTACGTCTACTTCTACTACGTCTACTTCTGCTACGTCTACTTCTACTACTACCGCTACTACTACTACCGCTACTACTGTTACTACTGTTACTACTGCTTAACTTTTAAGTGTTTATAATAATTAAATAGCTTATGGACTTTATATACACAGTCTAGCTTTGATGGAGCGAACTTCACTAGTACTGCTGGTATAGATGATGTGACCCAAACGGCCACTTTTAAAACCATCACTGGTCATCGTCGACGAAGCAGGCTGACTGACTGAAGCAATGAGCCTGGTTCCCTGGGTTCAAGTCTACAAAACACTGTTTCAGCCTCAGAGAAGGCAAACTCTCGTCGAGAGAGTCCAAGGAAGTGGAAAGATTGACTATACCCTCTCTGCAAGTTACAGAGTGCATGTTGACGCACATGAGTGGTCACGAAGCCGAGTATATGTCGAGGACATGAAAACGGCGGTGAAAAAGGATGGCATGTCAGAGTGGAAGCGCTACATTTCGAACGAGTGTAGCAAAAGCCACCGCCGATTCACAGATCCAGCTACTAAGATGGTGTTTGTTGATGTCAACGACGGCGAGGAGGGAATGCAAATGCCTCGTATGTGAAGGACGCTTCATACGAGAGCTGGTCTCAAAACTCGTTACATCTGCTGCTAAAGATGAGGTAAACTTGCTTCAAGATGAAAATTCACAATGCCCTATACTCATGCCATACTTTGCTATTTAATTATACAAAGTTTCCTAGCGGGGCCCTGAAGTGGCTTTTAAGCTTGCAGAAACTATGTGCCACGCAACATATACTCGGCTCTATTTACTAAATCTTGACTCAGCCCTCTTCCAATTACAGAGGAACATGGTCCTGAGGAATTCAACGGCTATTGGATAGGCTTGGAGTCGTTGCCCGATAGTGATGATGAAACATCTATCAGCTGAAGGAGTGTAATTTGTTTCACGGTGCTTGTAGAATGATACATTTCCTGGTATGAAATAAGTATATGTTGATGTGTATGTTGACTTAAGATCTTCAGACTTTGCTAATTTGTATTGACCTAACCATTCAAATCCTTCAAGATGAAGGTAAAATCAGTGGTGTAACCCAGTATGCTATTCCTTTAGGAGATGGATTTGGGTAACTTTGAGATGACTTGGAGTTTCGCTACCCATGATTCGGGTGATTGTAGCTGATCGTATCCGAATCTGAAAATCTCTAGGCGCGGATTTCATGTGTTATATACCATTGGCAGTGCGCAATACAGTATATATGTCATATGCACTGTATGTCAACACATGTCTTGCTTGAAGAATCCAGCGTTTAGAATAACCCGCTGCAGCTCACAGGTACTCGGGCAACATCCGTTGGGCTTCTACAATTTCTAGAGGCACATTTTGGCCGGGTCAAAGAGGCGGTGCATTCCCCTCCACTTTTCTCGAGAACCGCTGTGATGAACACAATTTTTTCTTTGCAGTGCAGATGCACGGTGAATTTGCACAGTGAATTTGCACCGAGCCTAGCGTGCAGCGTTTGGCCCAACTGGGGTTCGCGCTGATCCGTCTCCCCCCTGTCCAGGCAGCCTTACAAGGCACCTGTGACGCTGAACAGTGAAGTGAGGCTCATTGGGAGGCTGTGAGGCTTAGCTGCCAGCTGGAGCACTGCGGCTCATGATGGTTCTCGCCAGTGACTCAATCGGCGGTCAGATCCTTGTTTGACTTGTTTGATGATTTTTTACTGTTGTTGTGCACGGTCTTTTCCCTGGATCGCTCATGGCCGGTATGGAGGCCATGGAGAGGAAGATGATTGCATTGGGAGAAGCACTTTAACATGCATGCAGGGAGACGGATGGATGCCACAGCATGGGATTCCGCGCACGCGACGAATAGCCATTGAGGATTGCCTTGTGCCACGTTGCCGCCAAGCGCTGTGAAGTTGTCATTATTAATGACACAAAATCGCATAGTCCATGGTTACTTGATGTTCAATCATGATTGGAATAATAGCGATACAAAGATGAACATGATGTACACGTTTGCTGAAAAGCACATGCTCCAAGTACGTCAAAGCCGGTGGCGGCTCCAAAAAGCTCCAAAGAGGGGCCTCCCATCAAGCTCCGGCGCAATCAGGCAGCCAGCGCTCCACTCGGACGGGAGTCATCCAACGAGATCTGCCGGCAAGGAGGCGCTGGCCATTCACATCGCCTGGCCCCGTCTCCACCGTCCAGGCCGCAGCTCAGCTGTCAAACACCATCCAGCAGGATATATAAGGCAGACGGCGCTCGTCTTATGGCTGCATGTAAGACAAGACACTCTCACTCCTACTCCTGTTCTCTCTACAGAGCAGCGTTGGGACTTCGTCTTGGACATTTCTGGGAGGCGAGGCCTGTTCGAGTTCAGCTCGATTCACTGCATTCACATTGAATTGAGTGCTGCCTTCCGCTGGGACCCGTCCGTTGCAAACATTTTCAACTCACATCCCAACATACCGTCCACTCTCAAGGCCGGATCCAACAAGCAGCAGCCATGGATCCCTTCATCAACATGTCGTCCCTCCCAGGCGGCGGCGTCGTGCCCAATCCGCAGTTCGCCCTCCTCAACTACTTCTTCCCCGGCTTCTCCATGTTCTCATCCGCCTTGCACACCTACCTCGGCATCGACCTCAACTTCTACATCCCCCTCATAGTCGCCATCTTTGGCCTCAACTTTGCATGGGGCTACATCAGCACTTCGCTGTGGGCGTGGATCGACGAGTATCTCATGTCGTCCTTCAGGGTCCGCACCGACGACGAGATCTACAACATGCTCATGCTTTGGATCTCGCGCCAAAAGTTTTCGCAAAACTCGCGCCGCTTCCTCGTTAATACCGACCTGTACTCTCGCAGCAGCTACGTCTGGGGAGGAAACTCGGATGACGACAGCGACGATGAGGGCGATGAGGACGTGCCTGTTGTCGATTTCATGGGGCCAAAGCAGAATCTTCATTATACCCCGTCATTTGGCTCTCATCTGTTCTGGTACAAGAGCCGCCCCTTCTTCTTTGAGCGCCACCAGAACCAGCAGCAGATCAACTTCCAGAGCGCCAGCGAGCGAGAGGAGCTGTCCATCTCATGCTTTGGCCGTAACCCTCGCCTTTTAAAGGAGCTCCTTGCCGAGGCTCGCCAGATGTACCTCAAGAAGGACGAACGCAAGACTCTCATCTACAGAAGCTCCAGCGGCTCTGCCTATGGTGGAGAGCCATACTGGCAGCGCAGCTTGTCTCGTCCCAACCGCCCCTTCTCGACCGTCATCCTGGATGAGAAGCTGAAGCAGGATCTGATTGCCGACACCGCTGACTACCTCAACCCTGCTACTCGTCGGTGGTATGCCAACCGTGGTATTCCCTATCGACGCGGCTACCTCCTATATGGTCCTCCAGGTACCGGAAAGAGCTCGCTCAGCTTGGCCCTGGCAGGATACTTCCGCATGAAGATTTACATCGTCAGCCTCAGCTCCATCAATGCCACCGAAGAGGGCCTCACTTCTCTCTTCGGCAGCCTTCCCACTCGTTGTCTCGTCCTTCTCGAAGACATCGACACTGCTGGCTTGACTCATACGCGAGAAGAACCAGACGCTACGCCCACCCCCGCTCTAGGCATGGATCCTTCAGCACCCCCTCCTCCTCCATCTTCTGCAAATTCAAGCAGTGGATCGACTGGTCGCCTTTCACTCTCCGGCCTCCTCAACATCCTTGATGGAGTTGCCTCGCAAGAGGGACGTCTGCTCATCATGACAACCAACCACATCGAGAAGCTGGACAAGGCGCTGATCCGACCCGGTCGTGTGGATATGATTGTTCCCTTCTCTCTTGCCGACAAGACCATGTCCGAGTCCATCTTTCGTGCCATCTACGCTCCTTTCGAGAGCGAGTTCGCCTCAACCGAGCTTGCCATCAAGGCCAAGGGCGGTTCTAGTACTCCTAAGCGTGCTGAGCCCTCCGAGGAGGCAAAGGAGAGATGGGCTCGACACCACGCCGAAATCTCTGAGCGCATTGAAGATTTATCCACGCACTTTTCAGCCAAGATCCCCGAGCACGAGTTCAGCCCCGCTGAGATTCAGGGACTGCTTCTTAGACACAAGCGTTCTCCTGAGGAGGCCATTGAGGCTGCTGATGCCTGGGTGATTCAGACTCGCAAGGATAAGAAGGAAAAGGAGATTCAGGAGGCTGAAAAACGCCGCAAGGAGCGAGAGGAAGAGGAGAAGAATAAGCTCAAGGCTGAAGAGGAGAAGAAGAAGAGTGAGGAGGCTGAGAAAAAGACTGAGGAGGCTTCGGATAAGAAGGAGAGCACTGAAGCTAAGAGTGCCGACAATACTCCTAAACAGTCTCCGTCCGCTGGAGAAGAGGCTGGAAAGGATGAAGTGAAGCCCGAGGCTGTAGAGACGGCAGAGGCAGCGGGAACTGCCAAGGAGGATAAGAAGAACACGACCTCGGATTCCGAGTATGAGCGTGTATGATTGTGGCCTAACAATGTCACACAGCGGATCGCATAGCGTGGCGTTTTTTGGAATTTGTAGTGTTTGTATTTTTAGCCGATATGAATAGAGTACTATGTGAAATAAAAAATACCTAGGGAAACTCTCAATTTTAAGTCGCTCCGTTTCTTTGGCTTTTGAAAAATGTCATACTGATGGGCTGTTCTAAAATTCTTATGAACAGATTATATGTAGATATGCTGCTTTTACAACAAAGCTACGCCTCCAGAAGGTGGCATTGAGGCTTGGAAGTTGTCATGGTCGACTCTACGACCGTGGATTATCCAGGAGCTATCACTCAGATACGGAGGAGTGTAATATTGGCATGCTTTTAATTCGTCGTACTGTTGTTTACTGCCTTGTATCTCTTACTTGCTCGAATTATTGCATTTTATCCTTTTCAAGTCTCCTTCTGGTGGCTATTGCCGATTACGAGGTAGGATATTGGATCTCTATCCTGAGATGCTCGCTCTCGCGTATACGGAAATCTTTGTATCGATAAGACCTGCCTGGGATTCTGCTAATCTCAAGATCACGGCATCGTGCACGAGCACTGGGAGATGCCGCTTCCCCGCAATGAAGCAGCGTTGCGATAAACGCATTGACGTTGCAGCCTCTCAATTGTTGGCGATCATGTACAGAACTGACGGTACGAGTACGCAGCTCGCTGGCCAATAGGGTTTAGGCCGCTGCGGGCCCCATACCTGTAATTACCGCAGTCAAAGTACATATTCTTGTTCTAAAACTGGGCGTATTCGCAAGGTACTAGTCACATTCGTATTCGTATCTATTTTTATTGTACAAGAGCTGTTTCATGCACGGCAATCTAGAGTTGGCTGTAGTAATTCATCAAAATACGACACGTCACCGATGGTGAATCTTATCAACTTGCCAAGGATTGTGTATGTAATTCAGCTCTGCCGTTTGTCTTAGGCACCTTCCCTTGATTCTCGCCAAGCTGGGTCGCGACTTCTTGATCCGAGTTACGAGGCCGGTAGTGGGGCCGTCCCGGAATCCGAGCGGACGTCGTGAATGAAGCCATTGCCTGCGTGGTTGCGGAGCGACTACGGATATAGCCTCTACATGATGAGGCACTGCCTTGGGTCGCTTCTGGCAACAAATTGCGGCATTTACGCTTTATACCTCGCAAACTTCAAGCTTGGCGTTCCAAGGCTGTAAAGTTCACTACAAAGTACCTACTTGTACTCCAGAAAAAGACAATGGGGGAGGGATAAAGACACGTCTTAGGACGAGGTAGTACAAAGATTTTCCAAGCAGCCTGTCCCTGCGTATCAGATGTCGGTGAATGCAAGCCAAAAACATCCGTCTCACCGTGTTCTGTCTGACTTTGCATTTCCGCCGTTGGCCATGCAGAGATGGTTTTCGGAGCAAGCTTACGGAGAGAAGGGAAGAATACGTAGTCGGCGACATTGGATTCGGCGCATTAGATTCGGTGATGGAACTAGCCGCAAGTGTGCCCGGCCCGGCTGGGATTCGTCCTAGAACCGTGTAACTCTTGTCCAGGCCAGGGTCGATCATGCAACTTGCAGCGCTGAAAAGTGCCATCTACATAGATGGCTGAAAGAGAGATGATGCTGGCGTTGGTCCCATGTAAGTGACGCCTAAGCTGAAGAGGGAATAGTGGGACGAAGAGGATTGCAGCGATATAGGAAGCGGAAGAGAAAAAAGGTGGTGGGGCGATTGACAACGCAGCATGGTAAGACTTTGGACAATGCGCTGCGATCTGGGCGATGGGAATAGAGGCAGCGGGTGAGCTGGCAGTGGCACTTTACAGCAGAAAATCTGGGACGACATGCGGCCCGACTTGAAACGCCACATATAGAGGTATGGTAGGCTGCTGGTTACGGAATATGGCGCGAATTGGACCCGCGAGAAGTAAAGAGAGGACACGGTAGCAATGGCACGAGAGCATTTATTGCTGCTGCTACGAGGAATTTCTGGGTCGAGTAAGGAGTAGCAGCCAGAGCCCACTTGATGATGATGGATTTTCCTTTCCCCCACAAACTTACTCGCTTGTGAGCAATCAGAGATAACGCTCGCATGGATGATGGGGGCTCTCAGGGAGGAACAGATCAGGCAATCTGAAGACCAAAAAGATCAGGATTCGGGTGTCCTGCTGCATGTATCTAGATCTAGATATTCCCTGGCGCGTCCTCACATACTTGTTCGTATCTCTGTGCTCAGGCACGGCTGTATTCGCGTGGGTGCTCCGTACTCGTAGTCGCGATCCGCTAAGAGCAATGTACTCGCACTACCGGCAATCTACTCTCCATGCAATTTCCAAGGCCAGATAGATGCGATCAAAAAGAGCGCCAAAAGAAAAAAAACACCAACGGCCGATCCCCACCTGGCCAGCATCTGGATCCCCCCTGTGGATGCCCCTCTGCCTGTTAAATCACAGCGGGAGTGTCCACTGGTAGCGCAACCCCTGGCAGAAGCGCTGCCGCTATGCAGTCCCCTGCGACTATGGCGCTACAGCGAGGGCGGTGAAAACCTTTAAATGGACTTGCAGCCCGCCACGTCCCAGCCAGAAAGTCGACGGTATCCCCTCCTGAGCTGGCAGCTTTCCTCTCCTTCACTCCTCGACTCTTTCAACTCCCTCGAACAGCTCCCACAAGCTTCATTGCACACAGCTCTATCTTTCAGAATGGCCGCCCGACCTCAGAACATTGGCATCAAGGCCATTGAGATCTACTTCCCCAGCCAGGTTCGTCAATTGCCCCTCCATCCACCGTGCTTGAGAATCATGCCGCTGACTGTGATTTCTCCCAACAGTATGTTGAGCAGAGCGAGCTCGAGAAGTTCGACGGCGCTGCCGCTGGCAAGTACACCATTGGCCTAGGCCAGACCAAGATGGCCTTCTGTGACGACCGTGAGGGTGAGTTGAGCGTTTCTCTATTCCTCCCCGCGCATGATTTGCTACACTTTTCTTCTTCTTCTGTGCCTGTACCCCTGAGTTCTTGAGCCCACGGCTAACATTGGCTCTAGATATCTACTCCATGGCTCTCACCGTCACCTCAAGACTCATCAAGAACTACAACATCGACGTCAACGAGATCGGCCGTCTCGAGGTTGGCACCGAGACCATCCTCGACAAGTCCAAGTCCGTCAAGACTGTCCTGATGCAGCTGTTTGGTGAAAACACAAACATTGAGGGCGTCGACACCCTCAACGCCTGCTACGGCGGCACCAACGCCTTCATCAACAGCGTCAACTGGGTCGAGTCCTCAGGCTGGGACGGCCGTGACGCCATCGTGGTCGCTGGTGACATTGCCCTCTATGCCAAGGGCGCTGCCCGACCAACCGGTGGCGCTGGCGCCGTGGCCATTCTCGTTGGCCCCAACGCCCCTCTTGTTGTTGAGCCCGGTCTGCGCGGCACCTTTATGCAGCACGCCTACGACTTCTACAAGCCTGACCTGACCAGCGAGTACCCCGTTGTCGACGGCCACTTCTCCCTCACTTGCTACACTAAGGCTCTCGATGCTGCCTACCGGGACTACTGCAAGAAGGAGGCCAAGTTTGCCAACGGCACCACCAACGGTGTCGACGCCAGCAAGACCCCTCTCGACCGCTTCGACTACCTTGCTTTCCATGCCCCTACCTGCAAGCTGGTCCAGAAGTCATACGCCAGACTGCTGTACCACGACTTCCTGAGCAATGCTGATGCCGCTGCCTTTGCCGAGGTCGCCCCTGAGCTGCGTGACATGGACTATGAAAAGTCCCTGACCGACAAGGCTCTGGAGAAGACTTTCATGGGCCTCACCAAGAAGCGCTTCCAGGAGCGCGTCAACCCCGCCATCCAGGTTGCCACCCTCTGCGGCAACATGTACTGCGCCAGCGTCTGGGGCGGTCTGGCCAGTCTGCTGTCCTTCAACGACGCCAAGGCTCTCGAGAACAAGCGAATTGGTCTCTTCAGCTACGGCTCCGGCCTCGCCGCCACCTTTTTGTCTCTCCGCGTCGTTGGCAACGTCGAGAACATCCACAAGGTCCTGGACATCCCCGCTCGTCTGGAGGCCCGCCGGGTTGTCCCTCCCGAGACCTACGATGAGATGTGCAACCTCCGAAAGCAGGCCCACCTCCAGAAGAACTTTACCCCCAAGGGTGATGCCTCTACCATTGCTCCTGGCACCTACTACCTGGAGAAGATTGACGACATGTTCAAGCGCGAATACAAGGTCCAGGCCTAAGTTAGCCTAGACTGTCAATCTTCTTCTTTCACCACCTTTTTTCCATTGAACATAAAAGAAACCCTATTTTTTCTGTTTGAATAATTTGTGCGGCATGGAGCACACGGCGTCCTATTTTTAAAAAAAAACCACTATTGGGCGATTTTTACGGGAGTACTACGCTATCTAGTGGCACGACGAAAGCACAGCGATAGACTCATCTGCTTGAGGGAAAACGCAGATGATACACTTGGAATTTTGTTGCAATGATTTGATTTTTCTTTTTCTGAATATAGACGGCAAAGGTTGGGCATGTTCAAGACCCGTAATGAGAAAGCCGTAAAAAAATAAAAGACGAGGGAGCGAAAGAGATGATGCACACTCGTGTGCCGGGTATCATTAGTGTAAAGTATTTTAGAGATGAGCTTTGCTCTCAGGAGCTTGAGCCTTCAAAATATAGACATGATATGATGTGCGAATAAAGTTGCTCTATAAGATTATGTGATGAATATGTTCTACGAGATTAAAGGTATCCATTGGTTTCTAATTGTTTTACATGGCCATCTTGGCCCATCGTATTGCATGTCTAACAGTAAGCTGTAAAACAAGCCTTCTTTTTGTCTAATCTAATCCCTGTCATGTTCACATCAAGCTCCTTTTCTTCTTCTTTCTCTTTTTATATCATACATAAATCATTCATCTCCCTTGTATTTCCACTCCGCATGTCTATGCAGGTTGTAGTCCCTCGTCAGAATACTCCTCCAGATACCATACAATCCGCCCACAGGCCACTTGCTCTTGAGCGACTTCTTCCACAGCTGCCGCTCCCTCCTGCTCGCCTCAATGTCAATCTTGACCTTGTCGTAGACCGAGGGCAGCGTCGTGGCGCTGTATTTCTCCCGCAGGGCCTGGTACCACGGCTTGTCGTAGACCTGCCAGAACTCGTCCTCGGAGTAGTACGTGTGGGCGTAGAGCCACTTGCGGCCGCCAAGCTGGACAAGCTTGTCCTCGAGCGCGCGGTTCTTTGTGATGAAGTCGTCGTGGTTCTCGGGGCCCCAGCCCCAGACGCCAATGTTGAGCATGGGCTTGGGGACGACTGTGTTGCCGTTTTCTGACGTCTCCGTCTCGCACGTCGGGTGAAAGGTCGGGTTGGGCGTCTCCTTGAGGGGGCACAGCCAGAGCGGCCAGATGCCGAACTCGTCGGTGGTGTAGTCGACGAACTCGGCGGCCTTGTCGTAGGGAATGGCCAGGTCCTGGACGACGAAGCGCGCCGACTCGCCGCTGGCGTGCAGCGCGCGGTAGAGCATGCGCGTGTGCATAAAGTCGTCGAGGAACCAGCGCCAGAAGCCGGTGAAGGGCACGTACTTGAAGTAGGTGAAGCCCTGCGCGCCGACCCAGAAGCCCGCGCGGTCGTAGCGGAAGAGGTACTCGGCCAGCGGGATGTAGTCGGTGACGGCGTCGAGCGGCGTGTCGGCCGAGGTGTGTCGCGTCTTGTCCTCGACATGGAGATAGTACCACGGGTCTTGGGCGTGGCTAAAGGTCTGGACCTTGCGGTCGTCGGGCTTGTCGTCCGTCAGGCGGCCGGTGATGACGACGCCGTGGTCCTTGGAGAAGAGGATGCCGTCGACGTAGTCGTTCTTGGGGTCCTGCGTCTCGGCGCGGACGCGGGCAGCGGCCTCGGCCACGCTGTGTGTGCGGTGGTACGTCGTCTGGACAAACTTGCGCGCCTCAATGAGGTTGAGCTCCATGAGCGTCGTGACGCCCAGCGTGCCCACAGCGCCCGCCGCGCCGCGGAACAGATCCGAGCGCTCGCGGGGCGACGCCTGCACGACCTCGCCGTTGCCCAGCACCATCTCGACGTAGTTGATCGTCTCGTCGAAGAAGCCGTGGCGGAACGAGCTGCTCTCGCCGGCGGTGCCCGCGTAGCCGCCGCCGGCCGTGATGCCGGGAAACTCCATGACGACGGGCGGCACCAGGCCGTGGCGCAGCGTCGCCTCGACCAGGCGGTCCATGGGCACGTTGGGCTCGACGAGGGCCGTCCTTGCGCCGCGGTCGACGGCCAGGACGTTGCCGAGGGCGCTGATGTCGACGGCGCGGTGGCCGGGACCGGGACGAGGGCGAGTGCTGTTTGTCGAGCCGTGGAAGATGCGGTACGACTCGCCGCGCTCAAAGTAGCCCCGGACGGCGGCGGCAATCTTGGTCACGGCCTGCTTGTGGCGCTCCATTGTCGATCAGCGGCCTGGGCGCCCAATTGGCCTGTTTTGGGTGAGTTGAGAGGGATGAGGAGAAGAGGTTTGGAGTTTCACGTCACCAAGATGCATGTGCAAATCGCATAGCTGCGCCAGTGGCTCTAGCGGGCTGCGGTGCCACAGCGGAGCCGATTGATGAGCTTAAGCTACATGTTGATGAGCTTAAGCTACATGGCTTACAGATGTCATTCGCATTGACATGAAATATTGTAAGAGTAATGTAACTAGGTCAAATTTAAAATAGAAGTGTATTGCTGTTATATAGGTATGTATATATATAATTCGTCATGGTGTATGCTATATCTGATAATTTCTGGTATGCATATTTACAGCTTTGCTGCAATCTCCGGATGCTCAGCCTCGCCAACCTTACTTACAACCACAGCTTGTATCTCTTCGAGCGACTCATCAAGAAGCCCCTCGAATTTCAAAGGAACTTCTTCCAGCGTCCGGGCTTTGATGGTAGTTGCGCGGGACTCAATGGAGGCCGGACTTTCGACCGCCCTGCTGATAAAGCTGGCCCAGCTCTCGAGGCAGCGCTGAGAAGCAGGCAGGCGCTCCAGGAATAGCGCGAAGCAGTGTGACATGGCTTCGTATTCTTCAAATATCAAAGGTACGCCGTCGGCGGCGAGCTTCATTGCCAAGGCCTTGTCTTCGTAGGAGAGCACCTCCCAGCCCGTGCACATCCACATGGGCGGCGACCCTTCCCATGAGCGGTTCATGATGAGTGTCACCAGCGGGTGCGTGGCCAGATCGTCGTCCACATAGAAGCGCTTCCGCGGAGGACTTGCTGGCCAGATCGAACAAGGAGGTATCTTGGCCTCGAATTCGGGTCGCGGCTTGGGCAAATAGTCAAAGGGATGAGGATCCTGGCCTTGCCATGAAGGCGTACTCTGCGTGATATCGACCCACGGGGAGACACAAGCAACGCCCGCTGGAAGAGGAACCTCGCGGAGCTCGCCGTACCACTGAATTTGAGGGTTCGTGCGGCGCAGCTGGAGAAGCAGCTGCAGTAGCGCAAGAGCGAGATTTCCACCGGCGCTGTAGGACAAGAAAAAGATGCGTTAGCTAAAATGACAGTTCAAGTAGCACGGCATGTGATGATGTATATGTCCGAGAAGTCATACCTGTCGCCCGCAAAAACAATGTGCTCTGGTTTCACAGCCTCATGAAAGGCATCCGGGGGAGGGTAAAGCAGCGTAAAGTAGGACACAAGAGCATCCAGCAGCGCGCTTGGAAAGGGATCCTGGGGCGCCAGTCGATATCGCACCGAATAGCATCTTCCCTTGGTCAACTCGGCCAGTCTTTTTACCGTATCACGGTGCGTAGCAGGATCGCAAAGGTAGTATGCGCCGCCGTGAAAGTAGAGCACTGTTGTAGGTTTTTGGGTTTCTTTCATCATTTCATGATACTTGGCCACCTCCGAGATTTTAGGCAAATGCTCTCTTTTCGAGGCTGATGCTCTGTATCCTGTCCATTCCGCCTCTATGTGGGCAAAGGGAGGAATCCTGACGTTGCCCTCTTTCACGCTCGGGTCTCTCATGCTCTCCACGACTTGTATCAGTGAGTCTCTGATGTCGGTCTCGGGCGGAGGAGGAGAGGCGTATGAGCTGACCCATATCTTGCCCTTGATCTGAACGTTGCGCGTAGTGAATTTCTGGACAGAGGATATTGGCCGCGGATTTGAAGGCGTCAATATAGCGCGTATGAGAGATACCACCAAATTGGATTTCAGGTCGATGTATTTTGATGGCTCCGAGATCTGCAGCACATGTAGAATGGCGACTTGAGTTAAAAGGGGGATTTTTGACAGAAACAGAAGCAGGAGCCTGAGGCCGGAGGTGAGCTGGGCAGTATGAGATGGTGACGAGGGAGACACAATGGCAGCCGAGGCCACAGTTGGGGACGGAGGCCCGTCCATTGTGAGAACGAAAACGATGTAGATGTAAGATTGCTTAGGTTTGGTAGAAGAGAAAATTAAAATTAGGGAGACGAAGAATTAAAGGGAGAAGAGAGAAAAAAAATGTCTTATAAAGTAAAGGGTGTCATAGAAATCATTTCAAATTTAGGGGCGGGAAAAGTTGGACGGTGTAAGGGAAAATAGCCTAGAGTTGAGTGGAGAGGTCCATATCATCAGGTACAGAGTCGAGGCGTTTGCACTAATAATTCGCGGGGCTTGATTGAGCTGCGAGGCTGCGGATACCTGTCAGTTTGTTTAGTCTATCTACACTAGACAATTGTTTATGGTAAAGTTTGCGAGCATCGTGGTGGGCTGCCATTTCTAGACCACAATTGGGCGCGTTAGGAATCTGATGCCAGTGGCAGGGAAGAAGCCGAGCCTCGGCCCGTCTCTTTCAGCACTAACATGACAGCCGCTGGAGCTTAATTCGAGATGCATATTATAGAAGCCTTTCTTGGCTTATTTATGGCTTATTCAATGACATTTTATATCCTCTAGCAACTAATAATGAAAGAAAAAAAAAGTATGGTCCATTTGATATTAAATACATAGAAATTGCAACCAACGCTCCAGCCGTTATCCAATTGATGTCTGCATTTCTTTATCCGTAGCGCAACAGTAACCGCAATTTAGAGCAAAAACCGTACAATGCATGGCGAATGTCAACTAACGAATGATTTACGAGCTGCCTGCCGCGGCATCGGCGGTCGTCTTCTCAGCTTCTTTGCCGGAAGAGCCAGCAGATCCGGCATTCTGGCCGGCCATGGCCATCTGCCATGCCGGGATAGACGCCTTACCCGCAGAGCCAGAGGTTCTGCTGAACCTGTTCTGAGACGCACTCTTAGGGGCCTCGGGCTTCGGTTCTGCAGAGGTTTCAGTGGAAGGAGAAGCAGCCGCCGCCGGGGGTGATGTCGTTCCACTGGTTGCGCTGGCGCCGTTAACATTGGATCCATTGGTGCCTCGGAAATAGCCGCTTGAAGCAGACGCATTGGAGTTGGCATTCATCCTCTGCGACACGAGGGTCTTGAGACTGGTCAGCTCGGTGTTGATTTCGACGAGGCGGTTATCGGTTTGCTCCTTCTGGTTGTTCATGGCCCGTGGAATGGCGTCCTTGAGGCCCTGTACTTCGTCGCGAATGCGCTGCGCGTCATCTTCCCGGCGCCTATTTGCCGCCTTGAGTTCCGTCATGATGGTCTCAATGTCTGCGAGTGTGATATCCAGCCGCTCTGTCCGCTGCTTCTCGGCATCTTTCAGCGCCTCTGTATCCTTTGATAGCTGTTCAACCAGGGCAAATGCCTTGTCGAACTGCTCCTCAATCGACTTCTTGTCCTGCTCCAGCTTTTCAGGGGTAGGCGGCGCTACGAGAGGGTATACGTAACGCTATCATTCTCTCGTTAGTCCAGCTGTGAGTAAGACGCGTGTATTTGTTAGTCTTACCTTGCCCAAGGAGAACAGCCCGTAGCTGACTCCACCCACCACGGTAGCCATGATGAACCAATCTCTCCAATCCCTTTTCGGCGCGGCCGCAGGTGGTTGCCATGCAGCATACTGAGGATAAGGCTGATAGTATTGCTGAGGAGCACCCTGTGGCGGCGGCGCGCTTGGATAGGGGGCCGCAGCAGCTACCGCGCTGTTGCCCCCGGCTCTGGCCAGAGCAGCCTCAATCTCCTCCTGTGTCAGGTTCTTGGTTCGAAGAAACGAAATCTTGTTGTCGATGGAAGACGTCGCAACGCTAGGGTCTTGTAAAACTGTGCCATTGTCAATACCGAGTCTCGTAAGGGTGCCGTATAGTTAAAAGGCCGGGTGATGGGAACCAACATTGCGCCTAGAAAGAGTATTTGTCAGTAAGAGTTGAACCCGCGAATGTTTTGCCTTGAGGAGGCCGGATTGTATTAGACGACTTACTGCAGACGCCACGATTTCCTCGCGTATCGCCATGATGATAGACAAATATGCCCAGACTGAGCCTCCCAGCACCACCAGAGTAGACGAAAGTTTTGGCTGTAGATTGAGAAGCTGATGATGAACGAGGCACGAAGCACGAGATGCCCTTGATGCGACAGGCATATGCTGGGCTCGGTAATTGTGGACCAGCTGGATGGCTGAGCGCTGTCTCCGGAAAAGCGCCCAAAACGCCTGGACCGAGGCAACGGGCTCAATTAAAATCACAGGTACGTACCCTTTCTGGGCTTGTTGCCGGCTCTTCAAAGAGATCACGTGCAGCATCGTCTCACGTCTCTTGTCCCTGTCGCGCTAGATGCGCCGCTGCCCAATAAGCGATTTGTTTACTTTCTCACCGAGCAACCCAGGATACCTTATCTTTTTCCCAAGTCCAACTGCCCCACGAAGCCCATCACCCAACCCGCTTGGTTGAGCACAGCGAAGTTCTGATTTTTGCTTCTGAATTTATCCGCCAACATTGCAGGAAATTTTTTTTGATAATTCGGATCGTGTCGCAAAGCCAACAGCCCCACGGGAAGGCTATTCAGCATGTCTCAAGATACGAACCTGTGGAGCGTCCGCAGGAAAAGAGAGGTAAGTCGTTTTGTCGCAGAAGTTCGGAAAACTGGGACAATCGTCGCTTGCGGCGCGCAATTCTCATCCGCTGACCGACACCACAGACGCTGGCGGGCATCAATACGAATAGCGGAATACCAGCTCCGGGCAGTATGAAGCGCTCGAATCCGAGCTCCAGCTACGGCAGCGCTCACGGACGTTCAGTATCGGGATCTAGACACTCCTTGGCTGTAACGCGGCCGAATCCGCCAATGTTCCCGCGCGCATCATCGGGCGCCAACCTGGCTGATCTTGGACTATCCTCTGTCAAGCGAACTTCCTTTCAACAACCCAGAGCGACTTATACCCCTTCAGCATTCACCCCCGGCTTGGCGAGACCGTCGATGGAAAGCGACAGGCGCAGCAGCGTATACCGACCGCGACCATCAACAGCCGGCCCCATAAGCCACCAGAGCTTCTTCCAAACCACGCCCCAGGCGGCTGGAGTTCCACGCGACCCGCGGCCCTTGAGAGATCGATCGTTTCAAGCCCGAATCGCCCAGGAGCTGATGGATTTCATGGTACAAAACAACTTTGAGATGGAGATGAAGCATTCGCTGTCGCAAAACATTCTCAAATCTCCGACTCAAAAAGATTTCAATTTCATGTTCCAGTGGCTGTATCACCGAATCGACCCCAGCCATCGATTCCAGAAGAATATCGATCAAGAAGTGCCGCCCATTCTTAAGCAGCTTCGATATCCCTTTGAGCGCAGCATCACAAAAAGCCAGATTGCCGCGGTGGGCGGACAGAATTGGAGTACTTTTCTTGGTCTCTTGCACTGGATGATGCAGCTGTCTCAAATGCTGGATGGCTATGCCAATAACCAGTACATGGAAGCTTGTCTCGACGCGGGCGTCGATGTAAGTGGCGATCAGATCATCTTTGGCTTTCTTAGTAGTGCGTACAGAGACTGGCTCGCTATGGATGACGATATGGGCGATGAGGATGCGGAACGACTACTGGCTCCGCACGTCGAGGCAATGGCCAGGGCATTTGAACAGTCCAACTCAAAGTACACGGCGGAACTCGAGATGCTAGAAGCCGAAAACGAGAGACTGTTGAAGGAAATCGAAGACCTTGAAAAGTCGACCCCGGATCCTGCTGTCTTGGATAATCATTTCAAAATCATGGAGGAGGACCGCGTCAAGTTTGAAGACTACAACGAGCTCGCAGTTCAACGCTCAGAAAAATACGAAGCCCGAATCCAAGTCCTACAAGGGGAGCTGGATAAGCTAAGGGAGGAATTGAAAGAGGTTGAAGAAGAGCGACGAGGACTCCAAAAGGCCGTTGACGACCAGGGCATCAGCATGCAGGATATCGACCGCATGACTTCTGAACGTGAACGCCTGCAAAAGGGTATTGAGTCAGCCGGACAACGCCTCGATGAAATCAAGAAAAAAGTGATGGAGAAGGAAGCCGAAGCCAGCCGAAAGCTCGATGAGCTAGAGCGCGTGGTAGACAAGTACAACACCATAGCCTATCAAATAGCGCTCATCCCAGCTACGGCCGTCAACGCCAAAGGCAGAGAATACGAGCTGCAGGTCACTCTTGACGATAATAACATGGGTTCGTCAAACTGGAAGAGCTCGAGCACCACACACACTCCTGCGACAGATCGATTGCTAGTGGACGCCGTGACGGGCTATCAACCGGGGCATGTGCTCAACCTGGATCTTCGAGGACAAATCCGAAACAGTTTTATATCTCTGCGGAAAGAAATTGCAGATCGACGCGGGGCTGTCATGGATGACATGATGAAAGATCACGACCTCTTGGATGGCATTAAGGAGGCCATCGAAGATAAACGAAATGAGGTTGAGGCTTTGAACCACAGAGCCAGGGCGGCGGAAGAGGAATATGAAAAGACCAAGGAAGTTGCTACGGCGCAGAAGATGGCATCTGATGCGCAGATTGAAAAGATGGAAAAAGAGCTGTCCAGAATGCGAGCTGGTTTGACAGAATCGGTGCAATTACTGGAGCAGCGCGAGATCAACACCACTATAGAGTACGTCCGACCCCCCCCCCCCCTCGCTAAGCAAATCAGAATAACTAACTGTCTTGATCAGGTATGAACAGCTGGTATTGCGAGCCAATTCGCTACGGGAAGAGCTACACACGGAGATTGATCGCATGCTAAACGACGTAATCAAGTTCAAGATTCACGTTCAAAAGAGCTTGGACGACTACGAGGGGTTTGTAGCAGACGAGTTGGAAAAGGAGCTAGGGGGTGACGAGATGATGCTGGATGAAACTCGAACACTACCGGATATCTAAATTTCTGGCAGCTACTCTATTTGCGTGCTTTGAACGGTATTTTTATGATTGGAACAGCGTTTGATGGGCGGAGTTGCTGGTGTTGACTGGTAAACGGGTTCGTGTGTCGGCTATGTTTTGTGCATAAATTTTTGAAGATACCACTAGCAGCCATTTTGCTGATTCAATGAATGATGACTTTGAGAAACATGATTACACCATGTACTCATTACATTGCATTCTGTCGCCTACTAAGAAAGGTATATATGAGGGGGACATGCTAATAGTAAGGCTTGCAGGGATATATCGTTCTGGTATTATGATCTCTTCTTAGTAGTTGAGTTGAATTTCGAGTAAGGATGTATTTAGAAAGCTTTTTTACTTGAACAAGACTATAGATGGGATGGGCAAGAATTGACTCTTTGTCCCTTGTGATGTTATTTTATTTAGTAGAGGTACCTTGAGGCACATGTAAAGTACTACTTGTTGGCTTCCACCCTAAATCTATTGGGAAAGACTTGAGGGATATCAATTCTATCTTTCATAGGTAGATGGTGCTGTTTCTTTTCATCACTATAAGACGTCCTCTGTATGGCGTTGTTCATTCGTCGAGAAAGTTGTGGGGCAAAAAAAGTAAATACTAATTCTAATTGGTTGAAAAGGGCTCTATGTTTTTCTCGAAAGCAGGGATCATTGCATACCTAATTTATTCGTTGTCTTATATAATAATATCACGTGATTCCGGATATTCATTTCCCCATGCCGCGATTAGCTCCAATGGTCCGATAAGCTTTTCACCATAGCTATCGCCAAACTTTTTTTTTTTTCCTCGAAAGACGCATCTCGTCAACCATTCACCAACCTTTCTACCCGCCCCTCAAAACACATCCGGCCGTGAGCCTTGTTCGGGCGAGCCCCTTATTACCATATTCGAAAATGTCTACCGCCAATGAAGCTGGTAAGCCATCTCTGACGACCCTGAAGACTCTGGACACTCTGGACACTCTGAAGACAGTTATCCGCACCATTGCTTGATCTTGCTTGTTAACTTTTTCTTCTCTACAGCTTGGCCCTTGGCCGATGCCGCCCTGACCCAGGAGATTTTGGATCTCCTCCAGTCGGCCATGCACATCCGTCAGGCCAAGAAGGGTGCCAACGAGGGTATGTTGACCAAACTCTTTTTTACATTGCGATTGTGGCTAACTTTGATGATTTGCAGTCACCAAGTCCATCAACCGTGGCACCTGCGAGCTTGCCGTCCTGGCTGCCGACACCGAGCCCCTCGCCATCATCCTCCACATCCCCCTCATCTGCGAAGACAAGGGCGTCTCATATGTCTACGTCCCCAGCAAGACTCTGCTCGGACGTGCCTGCGGTGTGAGCCGTGCCGTCATTGCCGCCAGCATCAGCTCCAACGAGCTGTCTGAGCTTTCCGGCCAGATCAAGGCTCTCCAGCAGAAGGTCGAGAGACTTGCCATTTAAGTGTGGCATCTGCTGAGCCTTGCGGTTGCATTGGGAGGGGGGAATTGTGTTTTCGCACGTGTACTTTTGCACATCTTGTAGTATGTGTCAAGGGCATGCGATTGTAGCACAGTAGTTTAGCAGGATAGATGGTCCTGATGCGCCAATGACATTTTCACTTGGGTAAAACCTTGTGTTTTGAACAAAGCTTACATAATTTGCCTCTTGTGATTGTCCGTGATGAAATTGGTGTTCCTGTAATGATGCCTCTGTCCTCTTTGCTAAAATTCCCAGCGGAAGGCGTAAACCCGGAGTTGTTAATCAATTACTGCCATTGCAGTACATGAAGGATATTATAGTCTACTGTCTAATAACTTTCATTTACTGACATATACCTGTACAGCATCAAAGCATCTACCGATCTCTGTTTAGCGCAAGAATAGTCTAAATGCGGCAGTCAGCACTTGATCTGCATTTTCCGCAAAAAAGCGGCCAATCCACGTTTATTCGCCAGCGCAAAGTTAGTAAGCGGAGTTAAAAACCACGGCCTTGGTGAAAGCGGGCCGCAGGGTCGGAAGCCTAGTAAAGCGAAAAGATGTAAATTGCCTAATGCGGAAGGCAAGCCGTAAATGCAAGAGAGCAAGAGGCAGCATCAGTAATCATAAAAAAAGCGATTTACATAGTGACACAGAGTCTCTCATTATACTATCCTTGAAAGACGACTATAAGAACACGTCTTGGAGTAGTACTTACTATACAAGCATTGTCATCAGCTTCTACCCAGTTTGGGCAAATGCCGCCAATGGGCTTTTATCGGATTCCGAAGTCCGCACAAAAAAGCCCTAAATCCTTCAGCCCAAACCGCTTGCATAGACCACTGCCATCTCGGACAAGGAGAATTGGGAGGGGCGTTCGGTTCTCGCATTCGCTTGTATTAACTCCGTCGTCTATGGCTCGATAGATGGTGAATAAACAGGAGCATGGACAAATACGTGGACACGTACGCAGGCCCCTGCTCCGTCTCAGCCTTACTGGTCCACGTTTCTTTCTCTAGATGTAGCTTATTCTCATTGCACCCTTGGTTTTACGAGTGTTATCATGTATTTTAATTAAACTCATCCTGAATGTAAACATATATCCCCTTCTCCCCCTCCGTCTGCTGCCCTCATGTCGCAGTCCCGTCAACGGCTTTTCCCAAAGCTGTGGCACTTCTACTACACCCGCATCCAAGCCAGAAACATCACCAAATCTCCCCAAACGCAGCGAATCCCTCTCCTCCTCTTCGTCTCAGCAGCTGCCGCAACAGCCACCGCCGCCGCCGCCATGACGCGCAAATCAACCTCGTCCACCATCTCATCTCAGCACCTCTCCTCCACATCCGTCACCAAAATCCCCGGCCGCGACAACTTCCCGGAAGAGGCCGCCGCCAACCCGCACCACGTCGTCAAGAAGAGCGGCGCCATCTCCGGCTTCAAGAATCCCTACCCGTCATGGTCCAACCCGCCCAATTTCCTGTCCATCCTCGGCAAGGTCGTCTGGCCGACCATCACGGGCGAGATCAAGATGCCGGACACGACGCCGCCGACGGTGACTGTGGTGACGCCCGAGTGGCTGCCTGCGCGCGATGCGTCGGACAAGATCCGGGCGACGTGGCTGGGCCATGCGTGTTACTATGTCGAGTTCCCGTCGGGGCTGCGAGTGCTGTTTGATCCCGTGTTTGAGGACCGGTGCTCGCCGTTTAGCTTCATGGGGCCCAAGCGGTACACGCCAAAGCCGTGCGATCTCAAGGACATTCCCGTGGTCGATGCCGTGGTCATCAGCCACAGCCACTACGACCACCTGTCTCACGGCTCGGTGCTGGAGATCCAGAAACACCACCCGGACGTGCAGTTCTTTGTCGGGCTGGGCCTGGAGTCGTGGTTCCGCTCCAGCGGCCTGAAAAACGTCACCGAGCTGGACTGGTGGGAGGACGCCGAGCTGACCGTCAAGGTGCCCGTCGGCGGCGAGAAGCAGTCCATCTCGGCCCGCATATCGTGTCTGCCGTGCCAGCACACCTCGGCCAGGACGGCCTTTGACAAGGACACGACGCTGTGGTGCTCGTGGGGCGTCCGCTCCGGCGAAAAGTCCGTCTGGTTCGGCGGCGACACGGGCTACCGCGCCGTTCCCCATCTCCCGGCCGACATCGATGACTATGCCGCCGAGTACGATTCGTTCCCGAGATGTCCCCAGTTCAAGCAGATTGGCGAGCACCGCGGGCCCTTTGACCTTGGCCTGATCCCCATTGGCGCCTATGCCCCTCGCGCAGCCTTCTCGGCCATGCACGCCAATCCGTATGACTCGGTCGAAATCTTCCAGGACACGAAATGCCAAAAGGCCATGGGCATCCACTGGGGAACGTGGGCCTTGACGATGGAGGAAGTGCTCGAGCCGCCGCGGAAGCTGAAAGAGGCGCTGAAGCGCAAAGGCATTCCCGAAGAAGGCGTGTTTGATGTTTGCGACATTGGCCAAAGCCGAGAGTTTTGAAACCACTGATAAAGGAAAGAAAAGAGTAGCTCGGAGCCTAATTTGTGAGAACGAAAGAGCGCTCGTTAAACCGTGGCAGTTGCTTTGCTTACGGCCAAGCTAACTTGCTTAGGCCTATTGTGTATTACTAGAACTCATTCACCATGGAATTTTCCATATTTACCACTTTCAAGTGCGGGTCATTACTTGATGTCATGAATAGTCTATTTCTAGCGGCTCATGTTTGATATTTTCCAATATAGAATACCCCAACTCACTCATTTACTGGCGGATTCTGAAGGGGTGTGCCTCCGTGTTAAAGACAAACTTGTTGTTGCTCTTCTGCAGCTGGACGTCCGACTCTTCAGCAAAGATCAGGTAAGCGTATTTGAGGACCTCGGCAAACCAGAAGCTTTCCATATCGTCAGACGCTCCTCCGCCATTGGCCTGAGTCACATCGTTAAGAGACGAGTATGCGCTGCCGGCGCGGCATTTGCTGAGGATGGCACTGATGGCTTCCCATGCGATATCCTGGTATTTAGAATCACCCGTGATTCGGTACGAGTAGTAGATGCTCTCCAAGGTCTCTGGCCTCAAGATGTAATACGGAGCCGTCACCCAGAATCCTGCCGTGTTGTAGAATCCTGCGTCAGAGGAGGGAGGCTGGCTGCTGCTGCTGTTTGCGCTATCCACCCATTGGAAGCCTTCGGGGCCAATGCCAGAAGCAGTCTGGTTGTAGGTATCAAAGTACGAATTGGTGAGCTCGATGCCAAAGTCAATGTACTTTTGCTCGCCCAATAGAATACCTCCCAAAATGAAGTTGCCACCAGCAAAACTAGCCACTAAAAGGGAACAACAATCATTAGAGTCATGTCATTTGATCTGATACTTTGCACATGTTGAAATAACTTACAATGCCCTGACTGTGGCGATGTAGTTTGTCCAGAATACTGAGACAAGAAAGTCAGGTCCTTGCGCGAGGTCGGGTGAGAGGCAAGATGCGCAATCGTCGAGTCGGCAGCAAGAACCCAGCGGTCTTTGTACTCTCCAAACGTGTCAGGGTCGTACAGGTACATCTTGATCAGATACTCGTAGAAGCTGTCCGAGAGCGCGGACCAGCTGCCATTGCTGTCCTGGAACTGGCCATTGCTTGTGCTGACATATGTGCCTACGAGGCCCGGCCATGCCTCTGGGCTTCCTGTTGGGTTGAGGAGGTATGATTCACCCTTTTGGGCAAGTTGACCATACAGAGGATTGCCAGTGAGATCGCTGAGATGCGTCCACTCGAGAACCAGTGTTCCAATCTCGGCAACATTGTTGTTTCCAGTGCCGCTGTTCCTGTAGGTAGGGTTGAAGTAAACGGTTGGGTCCGGCACACCACTTGTGGTGTTGAATGAAACCTTGAGACCGTTCGCGAGTGATTCAGCCTGAGTCAACAGGTTGTCTACCAACGTCTGATTTTTCACAACAGACTTGAATGGTCCTTTCAGCAGATCATAACCTACAATAAATCCAATCAGTACGGCTACTCCGACAAAACAATACATATGTCATGAGGGGAAAACAGAGACTTACTGGCCAGCATGCCACCAATGTATCGAATGTTGGTCTCAAACACAGAGATGCCCTCATTGGCATTCGCAGTAGTAGTAAAGTCTATTTGAGGCACACGCTTGAGGATCGTGTTGACTATGGCGGAGTCTCTCATAAGAATGGCCGTGTCTAGGCCATCAATGGCTGATGAGCCCCATCCATTCCTAAGATAAAGTTAGCCACCACAGCGGACTCCAAATCTGGCGGGCGCTCAGAGCTTACCTCTCATCATCATAAGTATTGCTGACCGGGTGAAGATCATCGTGGGGGAAAGCATATTGGTGGTACGCGTTCCATGACGTTTGGAATGCGGCTTTGACCGCTGCCGCCCTCGTAGGATTGGGTGAACCGCGCTTTACACCGGCCGGGCGTGGAAATGCCAACGCAGGGGCAACGAGCCCAAGGGCAACAACGGAGCCACTGATGAATCTCATAGTGTATTGTATTCGTGCCTTTTGGATAATATAGCCGGCAAGATGGGAGAGGAGAGACCCAAGCTCAGCAGAAACCCGGGTTGGGAATTTCAGCCCGGGAGGCGGGAAAGCTCTGCAATTTAATCATTTCTGATTCCTTGATCCTCCCTTTTCTGCATAGCGAGAGAATGAGGGGGCGCTAGTAAACAGGTACCATGATTGTTTATGCTACTAGTATGAGGCCGAAATTACGCTTTTGCTCTATTTCAAGACATGGCGCCGCCCAGAGATGCGGGCACGGCATTCCGGCATGCTGTTTTTTTGAACAAAACGGCCGGCTTCGTGCATCTTGGCGCGTCTCGTAGCCTCAGAGCGGACGAAGCTTGCCGGTGGAAAAGGCCACAGCAGGCAGGTGACACCAGGAACTAACCACAGCTTGCATATAGCCTCTGTCCATGACGGAATCTTTTGGTTACTCCAACAAGCTGGACAAGATGAAGTTCCCGGATGGGTCTCGAGGACCTTATGACATTTTGCTTCGTGGAGCCTGATTGGCCCTGTTATAGGTATGCTGGGTATGCTGGGTACGCTTGCAAGGGGCCGTGAGGGGAAGTTGAAGATCACACCCTATTCTGAGGTATCATTGTGATCCGAATCTAGCATAAGAGCGTGTGTGGTGGTGGTGTGTGTGGTGAGGCCAAAAGTCCGGACAGCCCCACGAAAAGTCAGATCCCGGGAATGCCAGAGCTTACTGCTATACATGTTCGTTAATACAAAGATTCTAAAGCAAAATCTGTCTGATCCGAAAGCCATTGAAGGCTGTATTTGTAAAAGCACGACACCGCATGTTGCAAGTTCTTTTGAGTATCTCGTATGCATAATTACTTAGTATACAACGTAGTATGCCAGGATGCGAAGCTAGCTTGGCTGGGTAACACGGCCAACAGGATACTAGTGGTATAATCGATGCCTAGCAAAAGTCGACATGCCTGTGAATCCGGCATCCTCAACCTGCTGTTTACCGCTTAGCGCTTCGAGCACCTCCGAGTATTTAGGCGGCGTATGATATCAGAAGAGCTGGCTTCTCCACAGATTGGCGACGGCACTTCAGGAACCGGGCTGTGGCTGGGTCCCGCTCTCCAACCCAGGCACAAGCTTGCCCGAGAAGCCCAACGTTGGTTGGACGAAGCTCCGAGGTGCGGAGTCAAACGGTCCTGATGCGGCCGCCAGAGCCAAGACTCGATCGCTGGAGCGCGCGATCTCTTGCCGTTAGTCACCACCATTTCCTACCACAGTGCTGCTCCAATCCAGACTCAACAATGCAATGCATGTTTCAATATGGCCGACGGGCGTCTTGTCTGTACGTAAGGGCAAGACTGATCCCGCAATGTACTTGGCGACTTTTCTTTGCCCAGAATATCCTTCTTCTAAATCCATCCGCGGCTGTGAACGGTATAAAAGAGATAGTCTCGTTATGCGGAGTACAAGGTGTTACTGTTACGCATTTTCATGCGTTGATGAGCCGCGCATCGGCTACTAAAGCTAGCCCCCCTCTTTCTCGGCAGTTCTGCGGCGCTTGGCCGCGAACCGACATGTCGTGGATGTAGGATTCTGTGGGGGAACATGTGATATCATGCGAGAGAGAGTTAACGTCTTCACCCATTTTGTCGTAGCTTTGCCAGTGCTGCTGCCACGCCCTCACTTAGCTGGCCACTTTCCTTACTGGGCTGTGGTCCTGTAGGCTGAGGAGCCTGCTTTTCTTCTCGATTAATCATCTCAAATGCGTCCTCGTCATCATCGCTATCTTCGTCGAGGAAGCGAAACTGCGCGGGACGTTGGGCACTCCCAGATTGACGGTCTGATGTGCCTGCAGCAGGCGAATTATAGTTTGAAGAGCTGTGTGGTGTTGCCTTTGTTGGGGGAGCCCGAGAGATGGGGTTTTCCGTCTCTGACCGACCGCCGGTATCATTCGCGCTCGCTGTTCTTGAAATACGCCCAGCAGTAGCTGCCGACGATGATTGAAAGCCTCTTTTGGCCGCTTTCTTCGCTCGGAATGGCTCCTCGACCGCGGCGGTCCATCTCTTCACTTTCACCCCGCCCCATCCGCCCATCATACTCAGTTGCTCAGGCTCGGCATTTATCGCATTCTTCAGGCTGCCAAAATTGGCAACCAGGGCTACTGCATCTGACTTATTCAGACTCCTAGGCACCGTAACGAATTCCACCAGTTTGTCCGCATAATTGGTAGATTGCTGTCCGCGAATGGCCGAGAAATTAGCGTTCTCGTACGACTTGTAGAGCTCGAGATATCGAGCGGCCTCAGCTGCGGACCAGCACAGTATAACAGTGACGTTGTTGACCACCGAAGTCTTTGATAGTTCACGAATTGAGTCCTCGTGGTTTGGAATATCGACAAGGGTGAGAAGAATACGCAGATTGTATTTGCCTTGTAGATTGCGAATGCGCGTGTAGATGTACTCGGGATGTAGACGATGATATTTCAGACTAGATAAGGACACTCGAGGTTAGATTCAATGAACTGGGATCTAGTATTCTATGGCCGTCAATGAGATATCCTCACCTCAAGAACAGCACACAAGTGGTCAATCCGACGACATAGTCTGCTGGTATGTCACTGTATTCCCAGGGTATCGACCGGATAGACGTCAGCACCGGATTGCCTCGTTGGCGGGGCGATACGAGAATCGTCGACCCGAGGTTCTTTTGCTGAATTATCTGCGGTGTCGGCTGCACTATCGGATTCGCTGAGGCGCTGCTTTTGCTGCCACTGCCACTGCCACTGCCGGCTGCTGGTCTGTTGATAATCTGGGGCGTGGGCTGCTTGATAGCAGATGCCGAGGGGCCCGAATCCACGGCCGCCATGGCCTCTAGCAAGGCATCATCTGCGCCGTAATCTTCGTCGTCCATGGTTTTCAAGAGTGTGACAGCAATTGAGCGTGAACCAGACGGTTGAATCCGGTGATGGCGGTGGTGAATTCTGAGGATGGAGGGAAGCTGAGCTCTAGAATTAACGGCAGCTAAAGTGGGGCATATTTCCACATGCCTGCTGTAGATCAACAGCGTCTACAGCAGCCATTCAAGTATCAAGCCATTGCACACATGCTTTGCACTCTCCGTCTTTTAATTCGATTAAAAGGCCGTGTTACATTCAAGAGCATCATAGTCTCGTAATGCTATAATAAGTCAATGGGTCTAATCGCTAATCTTCCAACATTGAAACTTTGATGTGCTTTCTCTGCGTAACACTAACAGAGCATCTACGCCAAAGCCAGAGTGTAGCTTAGACCTTGACAGTCGACATGTATGAGTTCGTGCTTCAGGCTCTGGTATCAGCTTTGTGAGATATTTTGTAAGTCTCCCATGTCATGATATTCCATAGCAACAAACACGGAATCGCCAAGCTCTAGCCACCCAAAAGATTGCACAAGCAGTGAGCATACTACCAAGTCGATTCTTAGAGCTGAAATCGCGACACGGAGTCATCACGGATGATAGCATTCTTACTTTCAAGTGCGAAACCATGATTATGCCATCGAGTTTTCTTGAGTATTTAAACTCCAAGCTCTTGACTTCTTTGCGGCTCTTAATTTTTCTTGCTTATTGTTTTGAACACATTTCTCCATGTACACTGGTCCATACCCTCCTCCTCCAAGAGCTTTTGTCGCTTACATGTTTCTTCTTTTAGTATATGACGTTCTCGTGCTAATGGGCGACAAGTATACGTCTGTTATCATTACGTGTCCTACATATCTTGATCCAGACAACGAAGATACTGGAGACGAGGAAATGCGTGGTGACGACGGCATATTGGTTGGAGTCTGTTTTATAGAGAAAGTTTTTGCTTGAACTAGACAAGACAATATTATAGACACCCGATGTCCCTCTCGGGAAAATTAATAGCGGTTGAGTGGGTGACCGTCAGCGAACACCAGCTGTTGTATTGTTTTTTTTTTTTTTTTTTTTTTTGCTCTTTTATATGGTTCCTTGGTGATTATCTATACAAGGAGGCTCAGCAATCGAACAAGCACATGCGACCATAGGAAATGGAAAATCTGAGGTTCTGTCAAGCAGATTTCATGGGATTAAAAAAAAAAAAGAGCCAACATATCTGGGGATGCGCTTCCAGATTTACTTTTCTTTCTTTTTCCAAGCAATAGTGACGAAATACATACAAAATTGCCCCCACCTGAAAGTTGACCAGCTACGCTGAATATTTATTCCCTCCCCAACGCTCCCTTCTATTGAACTCTAACCTTACCTTGCTCATGTCTAAAGATGGGCAGCCGCCTCATAGAGGGATATGACGAAGGCTATTGAGATCTGGGGGACACGGGCGATGATGATTTACGTCTGAGCCTACCGGTGCGTTATGGGATACTGGGTGCAACATCACCCGAGGAAGTCAGACTCAAAAATGTACAGTCAGACATGGGGTTAGTTAGGTCCAATTTTATTAGCAGACAAAAGGCATAGTAGCATATGACGATGCAAGCCAGTGTCAAGCTAAACCGACTGCTGCAAGCACTGACCAGCTTGACTGTAGACCTTGGGCCGAACTGGAGACAACGATGATCATCAGTTATCGGGAGGTGTACCTTCCGAAGGATCCAAAGAGGTCCCTATTGACTGCTGAGTCTCCAGAGAATGGCATCCCCCAGAGCGAACCAGGAATCCTAAAAAGAGGCAAAGTGGCTAGTAGCCAAAGAATAATAAGATGACTGCCATTAATGTGGTAGTGTTGTGTTGTTGTGGGAATAAAAAGTCAAAGAGAGAAATGGTAAGCGATGTTCATCTTAAATATTGCGGCTAGAGGTTATTCCTTCCATCAATACAAATTCCTTTTATCTCTACAAACTCCTTCCATCTTTACAAACTCCTCGAACCTTCTATATCTGATAATCGACCATCTACTGTTTGTGGAGTCTCTTTCTCTGGGCGGAATCAGAATGGAAGAAAATCCGCGCATACAATAACTTCAGCTCAAGATCAGCAGGCTAATAGTAGTCTTGTGATTACTTCAGTCGTTTCTTTTATAATCTCCGGCGTAGTTATTCCAGATGCTCCATCTACTCTATAGGAAACGGCGGTTAACATCACCATATGCACAGGACCGTATCCCTGCTGGGTTGTTCCTCACTGCAACTGGCTGTAGGAATTGCGAGCCCTGTAGGTGCTTAATGATGGGATAAAGGAGCGCACTGTAGTGCATACAAGTGTATGATGAATGATACATAACTTCGTATTACAATATCCTGTATTGTGTGAAAATAAAATATATATACACACAGCATCTGTGTGTGATGTAGAGTCGCTTCCTCCTTAGATATATATAAATACAATAAAATATGTGATATGCAAATATTATATGCAAATGTTATATGCAAAAAATGTTATGTTCATCAACGCTCTACCGAGCATCATTAAGCGTCCCATGCATCCGTCATATAGTCTCTCGATAACGCGCTATGCGCCGTTCTGAACAAGCAAGTTGACAGTGCTCTCAGGTACGCCTTTGATGGCGCCTTTGAGAGCAGAAGAAGAAATGGTACCACAAAGGCCGCCAATCTTCTGGCCCAGGCCGAGAAGATAGGCACCCAGACCTGCTACGTGCGGAGAGGCCATTGAGGTACCAGACATGACCTTGGTGAGGTTTCCAGGCCAAGAAGAAGTAATGTTTGTGCCGGGAGCAAGGATATCGACAGCTGAGCCTCTGTTGGAGTAGAGAGCAAAAGTATCGTTCCTATCAGTGGCACCAACCGTGCAAACCGCAGGGACGCAGGCAGGCGAAAAATCAGCTGCGTCGAGGGCATCGTTGCCGGCGGCCGCGGCAAGGAAGAGCCCGGCATTTGTGATGGAGATGGCGGCTTGGTTGACGGCATCGGTCTTGATGCCGCCCAGGGACATGTTGACCACAATGCCCTTGGGGCAGTGCTGGCTGGATGCGTTCTTGGCGACGTAGTCCATGCCGGCAATGATAACAGAGCTATTGTAAGAGGTATTGTTAGCACATGAAACATGTCGATTTGAGGAATTAAGGATACATACTTGTTGCCCTGGCCATTGACATCAAGGACCTTGACGGCGAAGAGACTGGCCTTTTTGGCGACTCCGAATGTCTTGCCCGCAATGATTCCAGAGACGTGAGTTCCATGGCCAAACAAGTCTGCGTCGGAGCCATCGCCAACAAAATTTTCCAGAAACTTTGCTCGGCCTTCGAATTCAGGGTGGTGAACGTCGATTCCAGTGTCGATAACAAACGCACAGGTGCCCTCTCCGGCACTGGAATCATAAGAATACCTGGTGGTGTCCGGCTTTTTGTTGGAAATACGAGACAGGCCCCAGTCGGCACTGCCCTCAGTAACGATTGCTTTCGTACTGACAGTAGCATCTTGCTCAATGAAGTCGACCTGAGAGACTCGTTAATTTTCACTCTCATATTGGATCATGCTAACGTGGAGACTCACATTAGGATCGTTCTGCAGAATCTCAAGCTCCCCAGGCGTCAAGGAAGCTGCAAAGCCAGAGAAGCTGTGGGAATATCTGTGGGATGCGCCAGCGCTGACCCCAGAAAGAGCAGATTCAACTGCCGAGACCTGAGCTTCTGTCTTCATCTTGACAATGTATCTGCCCTCCAAGACCTGAGCACCGCGGGGAACCAATACTGGCGCCGGGCTGGCTCGCCTTGAGGGGGCAGCCATTGCTAGAGGCAGGAAGGCTAGAAGAGAAGAAACTCGCATATTTGGTGCTTGATGCTGCTATTGTAGACAAAGACTAATCATAAATGAAACATGGAAGAGCAGGTTTTGCACGAGGGGATAATGTCCTTCCTTTATCCTCAAAGATTCTCTATCCAAAGTGGTGAGGGAGGATCGGTACCGGCAACAACTCCACAGCGCTACACCTCGGAAACAGTCAATTCTATCGCCTTCCAAGCCATTGTATCCATATATGGTCCACTGCCCATCAGCTCTTGAAACTGCGTTGCCCAGTTTCGACCCATCGACAGTATCCAACAGGCCAATTAGCAAACCCAGGAACTGACCTGAAGCCAGCCGATCTTTCAGGTGGTGGCAAAGGCCGGATGTTCGCCAACAGGCACAGATCTCAGGTCCGCTACTTAGTGGTACGATAATATTGGCGCCTCAGAAGCAGCCATAAAGTCAAATCGCCCTATTCAGCAATTTATTGGACTGTGAGGTGCGCACAGTGGGGGGGGGGGGGGGTGCCTTTGTCGAGATGCTAAGAGTTTTCAAAGGCGTACAGAGTTTTAACTGAGTCAAATGGTGGCGTTAGCAATCCGAGGCGCAAACCACTTTTTGGCTGCTCCATCTGCTCCATATAAGCAGGCGAGTGCTCGGTTGATCCGCAATTGAGAGGTTTAACAGCTCGTAAGACCCGTTATGATGAAACAGAGCGAATTTTGGCATCTTGTTTGCTATCTTGACGTGGACGTTGACGTTGACATGTTTGCGAGTTTGTTTCACAATCTCATGTATATATATATCAACGTACACGCAGTGAAACGGCAATGTGCAAAGACAAAGACGATCTTTTACTGCTTGTAGCATTAGTCCAACCACTTTTCAGCAGTAGCAAGGAACAGATGTTTTAGCTTCAACTCAATTCTCTCCGAATCCTTGCAGCGGCCATGTGATGTGGCTTCGCATCTGGTCCCGCCACCTCATCGGTTTGCCAAGACGGGATGATTAATGAATCGTTTCGAGTGATCATCTCAGAGCTACACTAGCTCATCTACGGATGTTCACCGGGATGTCGCAGCTTGCCAAAGCGGATTCTGTGCAGCGAATATGAGGAGACGCGCTCCTCAAAAAGGCATGTGACTGCAACGCTTGGGAGAAGCTTAACCCATAAGGCGGGGTTGCGTGCGGAGACGAATGGTTAGTCCTTGGGAGCAAGACAGTGGTATTCTCAGCTAAGGAGATGGAATATATTCTCCGGGCAGTAGCGGGGAGTTTCTACTTATGATGACGACGAGGTCAGAAGGTATTCCAAATGAGTCGGGCAGTGTGGAGCAATGCCCATAGTATCCAGAGACACAGGAATGTGAAATAAGGATAGATGTATGTGGAAAGAAATTGTAATTGCAAATATCTGAAGATAAATGGGTGAGAACCGCTTTTCACCAACAATCATCAACCCAAGTACTGCATGCACTAGGGGTCTCGTTTCGAGTTAGAGATGAGAGAATGTACAAGTATAGGCATTGTACATACTCTTCTACTGACTGGGGTGAAAATTTTATCCAGTAATGTTTCAAGTACTCTAATGTATTGTAAACGTCTGGTCTAAGCTAGCAATTACATTCGTAAGCACGGCACAAGACAAGGTGATCAGGGAGACACAAGGCAATATGAGATGGAACAGCAAACAGGGGATTAACTGGGAAGCATGAAAAATAGGGAATGTTATATTATCACACGACTTTCTAATTACGCACATTATACCTGGACCGTACATTCTACTATCCAAATAACTTTCTACAGGTGCTATTGCATATGTTGTTTTAGAATTACTACCACATCTGTTTCTTCTACTACCTACGACTAGCACTCCTGATACTTCACTGCAGCTAATATTCTACAACATCTAGCATCTTTTACCGCATTTGTTGCTTGTACAACTCCTTGTATTGCTTTTAATGTTTTTTCGATCTGCTTGGCAGGGGTGCGTTAACATCTAGTAAAAAAATTTCTGCTTTTACCATGTACTCTATAACACAACGGGGCTCTTTGATAGTTTTTGTGCTCTCATCCCAAGTTGTGTGTTTGATGTTCTGACATGCAGTCCCTATTGCTGTTGCTCCCGCCTTGGCATCCTATCGTTCTCAACCCTCAACAGTTCACAGCCAGAAAAGCCGTCGGAAAAATACATGTACGCTTTCCCCGTTTTCAGCTACAGTGGAGTGAACCTCTGCTAAGTTTGAACGCCATAAGCCACTCAAATCCGACGGTTCGAAACAATCAGAAACGAAAAAAATCGTTCTATTAGAAGTTGCAGAAAGAATAATGAGGCTCAAAAATTTTCTCATCTCCAAGTCGATAGTGTGCATCTACTCCCCTGGTCATGACAAGCCACCCATCAATTAATCAGGCACGAGCTGTATGCATGTCTCCTCTTCCACATACACAAGCAATCATCGTGTTTAGCAAAGGCTCTCGGGCTTTTATGCCGAGCAAACCACGAAAAGCGCCATCGCGATGCGGGGGCGGGGATGAGGGGCTTCTCCGATAGAATGCCGAACCCCTCCATATCAGATACTGAGGCTGTATAGTAGGTACCGTGATATGTGCGGTATATGTACCTATGTTTCGTAGCAATATTTTGCCAAGGAGTGGACTCAGATGATTACATGTATTGAGACTAAATTGGGTGATCAATCAACTGCTGAGATAACTAACTCAACCATTGAAAGCGAAAAAAATCCATATCGAGGTCAGTTGCGTGACGAGGACTCTCATTCAACCAGACGCGCGCGAATCAAATTTCCCCAAAACTCAGCCCCTCAGGAACTATGTCATGAGTTCCAGTCTTTTTTCACGATTTGCTTTGCGCGGTTCCACTCCTCAGCCAATTGCCTCTCGGTCTAGATTGCAGCGAGGTGCATGGCCCGTTGAAAACCGCTGAAGAAGACGTTCGGTTGTTTGAATTCCACCAATAATCGGGCAAAACGAGCCGGCGAGGCGTACGGTAAACCATTTGCGGCCACGTATTCTCCGTCGCGTATATCCACGATGATGCTACTCGTGGGGGACTCGTCAATAGAGGCACCATTTGAATCCTTAAAGGGTCAGCGTCAGCGAAATCGGCTTTGTAGTAGAGCAGCAAGTAGAGCAATAAATACCCTTTGGCGATCGCGACGTGGGTGAGGTCATTCATCATACCTTTGACAAACTCTACAATCTCTTCTCCAGCTATTACTTCCAAGCACACATCATATACCCCAAAATGTCAGAAGTTACCATCACCGGCTTCAAGAGTCGCGATGTGCGATTCCCAACGTCGCTCGACAAGACAGGCTCAGATGCAATGAATGCTGCGGGAGACTACTCAGCGGCGTACTGCATTCTCGAGACTGATTCAAAATACAGCGGCCATGGCATGGTGAGTGCTTCTTTAAGCAGTTTTTAGATCCCGTCATCCATGCGCTCTGCGATCGCTAATAGCTTGCCTGTTTGATGATTAGACATTCACCATTGGCCGCGGAAACGACATCGTCTGCGCCGCTATCCTCCACGTTGCCGATCGCCTCAAGGGCAAGACACTCTCATCACTCGTGGCCGACTGGGGAAAGACATGGCGGTATCTCGTCAACGACAGCCAGCTGCGGTGGATTGGCCCCGAAAAGGGCGTCATCCATCTTGCGCTCGGTGCCGTCGTCAACGCAGTCTGGGATCTGTGGGCAAAGACGCTCAACAAGCCCGTCTGGCGCATCGTCGCCGACATGACGCCAGAGGAATACGTCCGATGCATTGATTTCCGCTACATCACCGACGCCATCACCCCCGAGGAAGCCATTGAGATGCTGCGTGAGCAGGAACCCGGCAAGGCCAAGCGCATTGAAGAGGCGCTCCAGAACCGAGCTGTGCCTGCTTACACAACAAGTGCGGGATGGCTGGGATACGGAGAAGAGAAGATGAAGCAGCTTCTGAGAGACACCCTTGCCGAGGGATACAGGCACTTCAAGGTCAAGGTTGGCGGAAACGTCGAGGAGGACAAGAGGCGCCTGAGAATCGCACGAGAAATCCTCGGCTTCGACAAGGGCAACGTCCTCATGGTCGATGCCAACCAGGTCTGGTCCGTCCCCGAGGCAATCGAGTACATGAAGGAGCTCAGCGAGTTCAAGCCCTGGTTCATCGAAGAGCCAACCTCTCCAGACGACGTCATGGGCCACAAGGCCGTTCGGGAAGCTCTCAAGCCGTACGGCATTGGCGTCGCCACGGGTGAAATGTGCCAGAACCGGGTCATGTTCAAGCAGCTGCTCATGACCGGCGCCATTGACATCTGCCAGATCGATGCCTGCCGCCTGGGCGGTGTGAATGAGGCTCTGGCTGTTATGCTCATGGCCAAGAAGTTCAAGGTGCCCATTGTACCTCACTCTGGCGGTGTTGGCCTTCCCGAATATACTCAGCACTTGAGCACAATCGACTACGTAGTCGTCAGCGGCAAGCTTTCTGTTTTGGAGTTTGTTGACCACCTCCACGAGCACTTTTTGCATCCCTCCGTTATCAAGGACGGATACTACCAGACGCCGACTGAAGCTGGATACAGCGTCGAGATGAAGCCGGAAAGCATGGACCGATACTCGTATCCCGGTGAGAAGGGAGTGAGTTGGTGGACGACTGATGAGGCCCTGCCTATCCTGACTGGCGAAAAATATTAAGAGGATGAGGGAAGAAATGACGACGAAATGAGAAGAAATATCTTGTACTAATACCTTATTTATCTACTCCCCTAGAGATGCAAGCTCGCATTTATACCTAGAGCAGATGGGCCATGCAGGGCAGGAATTCACCATAGATGAGTAAATAGCCAGCGGATGATGCGCATAAAACATACAAATTATATGCACCCTTATATACAAGATCAAATTTTACGAGTCTACATGTACTGTTTCTAGTGCCAGGGTGATTTTATGTGATGCTGCGCGCCCATCTAGAATCTTGTGCTGGTATGAGATGTTGAAGCTACCAGAAATAATGTACCGGTCTAACAGTCTTACTGGGGGCAAAAGTACCTTCAAAGCCCAGCCCCGCGAAATCTCCGCTCAAGAACACTAGAGTTACACGATTACAGCTCCCAGCCATTCAACTGGTACTAAATATTCGCTAAGTCGCCCATAGACCAGTAAACTCCAACTGCACTCACGTATTCAGAATCAACATGCGATTCACCTTCAATGCCTGCCTCATCCACTTCATGCCAGACCTACAACTTGTCTGCACTCTCTCTACCCTGATTCAATTTTCTTCAAATATGCTCTGCTAATGCCAATTCCGGGACCACCCAAAGCAAACTGAGCTGCACGCACCCAGTCGATGTGAATCCACTCAAGCAAATGGTCTAAAGCATCAAAGCCAAAAAGCCGCCATCATCCAGCGCCCATCCCTCAACGACAGCAAAGATGGGCCTTATATCTCATGAAACCTCGCCCACTTACTCTTTATTTGCCGTCTTTGCCGCTTGGAAGGCCTTCTTGCTCTCCATCGCCCTCGGAACCTCCATCAGCCACGACTATGACACGTCAACGTCGCTCTTCTTCGAGCACCTGTACGGCGCTGGCGTCAACGCATCAGCCCTGGCAACCAAACTGACGCGATGGGATGCGCTGTACTTCATGCAGGCTGCGCATGAAGGTTACACGTACGAGCAGCAATGGGCGTTTGGGGCGGCGCTGCCCGTTGCCGTCGATGGCATCCTCAGGCCGCTCAGGGGGCTGCACCTGGTTGGCGATGGCGCCCTCGAGCCGGTCGTGGCCATCCTTTTCGCAAACTTGGCGCATCTTGCCGCCGTGCTGGCTCTCCACCGGCTCACTCTCGTCCTTTTCAACAGCAAAAGACTGGCCTACGTGGCGGCCGTCTTGCACGTTCTCTCGCCCGCCGGCCTCTTCCTCTCTGCCCCGTACGCGGAGAGCCCGTTTGCCTGCTTGTCCTTCGCCGGCAACTTGCTTTTTGCAATGGGTCTGCGGCCCAGCACTGCGACTTGGAAACGGATGCTGGCCTTTCTTAGCGCCGGAGTCTCCTTTGGACTGTCCACTGCCTTTAGGAGCAACGGCCTGGTCAGCGGTCTCCTGTTCGCGGTGCAAGCGGTCCAATCTCTGCTCGACTTTTTCCGCCACCCGAGCGTCTCCAGACTGACGCTTCTGGCTTCTTTAATCATTGGTGGCCTCTTCATCGCGGCGGGGAGTGCGGTTCCGCAGACGGTGGCGTGGTACAGGTACTGCAATGTTGGCTCCATTGACGCCGAGCCAAGGCCGTGGTGCCAGCGTCTGGTACCCAGTATCTTTACCTTTGTACAGGCACACTACTGGTAAGATGATGATGCTGCTTGTACTTGTACAACCACAGACGCGTCCGGAGTTTCCATGGCTTACACTAGTTCTTTAGGAATAATGGGTTTTTGAAGTATTGGACCCCAAACCAGCTGCCACTCTTCCTGCTGGCCAGCCCCATGCTCGCAATTCTGCTCAAGTCGGGGCTCGATTTTAGTTTTAACCTAACCCATGGCCTTGGTAGAACTGTGCCGGTGCCATCGGAGACGTTTCGCGCGTTTGTGATTACATTGGCCATGATCCAAACGTTGATTGCGACCTTGGCCATTACCAACTTCCACGTGCAGATTATCAGTCGGCTGTCATCTGGCTATCCCATATGGTATTGGTGGCTGGCAGGTAGCCTGAGTAGCGACAGGTCTCAAAAGCTCGCCTCACGGATTGTTGTATTCATGGTTATGTATGCCAGTATCCAGGGTGGCTTATTTGCATCCTTTCTTCCGCCCGCATAGAGACCTCGATTGGTCTACCTTTTCTATGCAGCTCTTTCTATCCACATCCGTGTAACAATCTGCCTGCCAACAGCCTATATACATTGTCATCATGCAAGCGGCCATAACTCTGCAACTAAATCTTTCTTCTTTTTTTTCCCCCGTTCTTTTCTATACTCCAAGAAAACGATCTCCAAGCACCTGCCTAGTATTGCACACACGTTACAGAAGTGCTTTCTCTTAATGATAAACGCCTACTGAACAGTCACAATGTGAACCGTGAATAACACTACTGGGCTACCATCAATCACTTACGCATGCAAACAGCTGCCTCGCGCGTTGACATCGGATGCCTACATTTACTGTCGTGATTCGGGGCCAGTTACCAGCAGCCTATTCCGCATCCATCACTCCTTGGCCACAAAACGGGCAGTCCATCTGTTCATTGTTTTCAATTATACTAGGAAAGTTATACACCGCCAAATTTTGCTACCGCTTGTGCATTTAATCTCCAACAAAGTTGTCCAACTCTTGGCCAGTGCACATATATAAAAGGCCACGGGGCTCTCATGCTTCTTTGTTTACATGATCCAAGCCCATGTAATACTTGTTTCGGAAGATTTTAAGAATCCAAGACTAATTAAATCCCCAGCCGTAAGTTGCTGCCAGTCTGTGTAACAAGAGCACGGATAAGCTTTGTTCATTGTCAACCAAGTTGCAACGTGCACCCCGAAACCTTGGCCATTTTTGGGTTTGAACAAAGCACAATTTCGTTTGTTCCATTGCGTATATTCTAACAATGAAATAAAAAAGGAAATATTCCGAGTACCACTACCTAGTACTTATACGTGGTTACCAGCCACGTCAACATCCTATTACAACCACGGCAGCCATCATCAGCCTTTCCATAGGTAGAGAGACAGTATCCCCAACAAGCCCGCAGAATCGCATCTCAAAACAGAAATCATGACAGCCGACAGCGACCATGAAGCCTCACTTGCAGAGGCCATGACAAACCTCTTGCAGGAGAAGACGGCCCTGGACACGCCCGATGCCCCCGGCGTAGATCTTGCGGCCGAAAACGATGTGAAGCTCTGGCTCCAGCATACCGGATTCTTCGATGTCGAGCACCGCCAAAAAGTTCTGGGCGCACTGCGACAGCTGAAAGCCCTAGATGAACAGCGCCAGAAGATCATCTCGGAGATTCACCACACCACGCCTTATGTTGTGCCTCCATCGACTCCCGTCTTCTCTCAGAGCCAAAGCCAGAGCCAGAGCGTCTACTCGCCATCTCCGTACTCAGCTCAGAAGCCGAGTCCATTGGCTCTCGGCCGTTTGGGAGACTATACGGGTCTCAGGGGATATCATGTTGCGGGCGCCCAAAGCGCCGGAGAGCTCTGTGGCTCTGAGCCCTCTTTGGTTAATAAAGGAGCCGACTCAGAGTCTGCGTATTCGGCATTTGGGAATGGATCGCTGTCTAGTCAACAGCACGATATGCCTGCTCCCGACTGCTCTGTCAAAGAAGGACAGCGAAGTGGTGATGATGCTGATTTGGAGAATCAAAAAAAGCAATCATCGTCAAAGGGGTCGATTGTCGTCGAAGCCAGCGACACCGATGCATGGCCCGAGGAGGTCGCTCAGCCCTCGACACCTACACAAGGTATTTCAAACACTCATGCCAAAGGGACTCAAAGCGACCCTCGTTGACAAAATCAATAGAAGCACGATTCTTCTTAGTCAAGTCTTTCAACTCGATGAACGTTGAAATGGCCCAGCGAGACGTAAGTACCCTGCATATCACGCTCGCTCCCACAAGTCTACACGTAGCTAACACTTTCACCAGGGACTATGGATCACAAAAGCTGAAAACGGCCCCATGCTAAGCTTCGCCTTTAAACAATGCAAAACCGTCTATCTCATCTTCTCCATCAACAAGTCAAAGGCATTCCAAGGCTATGTAAATCCAGTCCCCTCATGTTTTTTTTACCACAAAAACCTCGTCCCTCAAAATCTAATTGACTGTTTTAACACATTCCGCAGGCTCGCATGACCACGGCCCCTGATCCCAACATCGCCCCAGCCAAATGGATGAGCAACATCAGCTGGAAAGCCAGCCACCCCTTCCGCATTGAGTGGCTCAACACTCGCCGCACCGCCTTCTGGACGCTGGGAGACCTTAAAAATGCCTTTAATGACCACGCCCCTGTCTTTGTCGGTAGAGACGGCCAGGAATATCCCGAAGACTGCGGGCGCAAGATTCTAGAGGTATTGGATTCAAGTTTGGAAGAGACTAAGAGTGGCGGTGATTCTCCCAAGGCAGCTCCGGCTTCCCCGTGGGCAACTCCGGCTAGCCCGCGTTCACATGCAAAGTCTGGCAAGACGGAGGCTTTGAGTTGGCGACGCGAAGAACCGTCCGGCTGGCGCTGGGATGAAACGGCCCCTGCTCATACGTGTTCTGAGGTGGCGGATGACATGCCCTTGATAGAGATAGAGTACTGACATTCCATACCTATTGTGAGATACTGATACAGATAGACATACAGATAGACATTAAGGTTCAGTTTGCAAATGGTCAAAATTCTGATTTGTGCGTGAGCCCCTAGATACAAAAGTAAACAATCGGGCTTGCTGGGACAGTTTGCACAAATAGTATTTCTATAAAACCAGATTTATAACGCACAATACCTAGTGCCATTTGTTTAATTATGAAGCCAAACTTGTATACCAATCACCAAGACGAGCAAAAAGAAAAGAAAACCCAGGAGTTGAAAACAATCTCAGTTATGCAAACTTCGAATACATTCCGATTCACCCAGTTATACTCCGTGTATGTTCCCATTATTACATCCTAGCAGATTATCGCAAGACTTCCAGCGCACCATACTCCAGTTAATTTAATGAAACGTTTCTTCTTTCGAGCCAAGAAAAAATTAGCAGCCTATTCTTCGTCATAGATAGGACAGTGAAGCACCGTCATCTGAAGATTTGTTCAACGTCAACGATATCAGCACAAGGTTTGGACTAATAGTCATCCTCGGAGTCGCTGTTATCGTGGATCCTAATTGCCCGCCAGCGTCTATCAGTCAAATCCTGAGCAGCAGTGCCCTCGCTCTCAGGGTCGACATAGCCTTCACCTCCACCGATGCTCAACGCAACTGGCAAAAACACCAGAGCGTGAAGAGCAGCAAAGACGACAAGCGCCAACCAAACTCGGAAGTAGTAGATTTCGAAAATCTTTGACCTTGTGAATGCAAGTACCCCAACGCCCAAGAATTTTGTAACCGTGATACCCGAGAACACCGATCCGCCAACGTTTACCAATGCTGTCCAAGCACGGGCATCTCGTCCATTAGCATTAAAGCTGTTCTCCATGACCGTCCGTGAGGGGAACATGAAGGCTCGCGCAATGTGCGCACAAAACTCCACCGAAATTCCAACGCAAATAATGAGATTCACTAGGGAAACGGCATTCAAGGAGACGTTGAACACCACCATTGCGCCCATGATATCCACAACACTCATTATGACTGTCAAGGTCACAATAGCTGATGTCCGTACGGAACCCAACAGGAACGACGCAATGACGAAGATGACGCCAACGGCAGCGCCCAAAAGGCCTCCTGTCAGTGGGATGATGCTAAGGTATTGATCAAAGAAGATATAGAAAACGCTGTAGGGGAAAACGTCTGCTCCAGTTGCTTTTGTAATGTCCGACGCGATGCGGCGTGCTGAGGAGTAGGCTTTGATAAAGTCTTCCTGGCTGCGAAGGCGAGTATGAGCGGTTCTGAAATGACTGGCTTTAACATGTGCCGCTTCGCTGTCCAAGACTACTGCATCTCCGTAGGAAGCTTGACCACCCAATGGGCACACGTCATCAGTCTTTGCTGCGAGGAACTTTTGAAGGTAGTGAATGAATTCGTCATCTTCAGGCATTCCATAGAGTGAAGTATTCCACGCCGGCTGACGGTCTGCAAAGCAAGTCGAACCGTGCTCAATGCAGCATTGATCATAGATGGGGTTCAACCAGAGGAAGTAGTCATCAATCCAGCTTGCTGCCGGGGACATGATGTACGAAATGTCGGATCGCTGCCTTTCGAGCTCCAGAGTATTTGTCAACGAGAAGGGCTGGCAAGTGGTGAATCTTGAGCACATCGCTTGCTGCTCTTGGCGCTGGGATGCGTCGACTCCACGGGTAACAAAATAAACCGGAGGTCCAGTCTCAAGGTAGTCGTAGAGGTCGTTGAAATATGGAATCAAATAAGATCCATCGGGAATAGCGACGCGCTGGTCTAGTCCGAGCTGGATACCTGGCAGCAAGGCAATGGCAGCCGCTAAGAGACCGAGGAAGACAGCAACAACGGCGACCTTGGTCTGCTTGCGTAAGAGGCTGGGAGCATAAGTGTTTCGAATGAATATTTGCAGATAGCTTTCTTCATCGGCATCAGACGCCCTACCGGTAGACGGATAGCCGTTGGTCCCATTGAGATTGATCCTAGCCTTCTTGACCTGCCACCACGGCCAAAGTTCGCATCGATGATCCTCTACCCTCATCTGGTTCAAGGCCAAGAAAGATACAAACATGGTCATCTGAAGAACAGCATTGATGAGAACCGCGCCGGCGGCATAAGCAGCAAAGTTTCGGACAGCAGGCATGCCAACCGCAGAGCCGAGAGCAAATGCAAACGTTTCAGTCAAGGCGGAGAAAAGGATAGAAGGTCCCATACGGCCCAGGGCTCGAGAAACTCTCTCTTCCACCATCTGGTCAGGGAAGTTGATGTTGACTCTTTCCAGCTCGTGAACAATGAGAAAGATGTTATCAACGCCGACGGCCAAGACGATGAACGGGATTACTTCAACGATGATGAGGGTGGCCTTCAGGCCAACCCACGAGAAGAAACCAATGGAAGCAGAAATAGACATGAGGACAATCGCAATGCCAGCAAGGCCCAAAGTGACCTTTGATTCAACCAACAACAGTGCCGGATTTCCAAACAAGTGCTTCAAAGGCGTGCCGAGCGCCAAGCATGCATAAATGAACATGACGATGTAGCTCACGACGACGATTTTGGCATCCGTATTTGTAGACTTGTTGAGCTCCTGCTCCAAGCTGATTTCCGTTGTGAATGACAATCGAAGGCCTCGGCTTTTAGCTTCCTCCTGTGCTTGGAGGAGTCGATCGCGGAGTGCATTTTCCCAGTCAATAGCGCGAAGAAGCGTATCAGAGTTCTCAGCGGCGTTGCTAACGACCCATGTGACTGTCATTGCTTGAGAGTCAACGACATCGTCTTCATAGCCGCCAAGGATCATAGTTGGCTCAATGGGCTGTCCAAATGCAGGTCGGCAGTCTACGGGCGATTTTGCGCAGCTGCGAAGGTCGTCCTTCCAATACTTGGAGTCAATGCCGCCTTTCGAGTACCAATACTGCGTAACAGATTGTATAACACAAGCATCGCCGGTAGGCTTGAAACAAACATCGTCAAGTGTACTGCCATACATGGAGCCTTGGAGTGCTTCAACGCTCTTTTCAATTTCCGCCCACCACTTCAACGTCTCATAGCTAAGAACAGGGCTGGGACCAGATGACTTGGTGTCGTTGACCAAGAAAATCTTTTCAGCTCGGAAAAAGGGGCCAAAGTTGGAGTCGAAATATTCCTTCTCTTGAGCAGCTTCCGACGTCGGGCTGACCCAGAGTCGAGCAGGGTCTTGCTCTATATCAAACCGGAACCAGCCGGCACTCAAGATAGCAACGACCACCAAGCTCACACCTATGGTGAGGCTGGGGAACCTTGCAGACATGTTTCCTAGCTGGCGGAAAGCCTTGTCGCATCTATCGTTGAGCCAATAGCGTTTTGTTGGCTGGTCGCGCATAGCATCAGTAAGAATAGGTCCACCCTCGTCTTCGTCATCGCTGTGCGACGACTCGTGGAGTAGCCGAGTCCTTTCGACACGACGTTTCTGGTATTTAGCCCAGAAGATATGGCCAAAGACGGCGACGAAAAGTGCCAGCAGCAGAACACCGTATGTGAAGATGGATGCGAAAGAGAGACAAGGGAGCTTTCCCACTCGGCAAGACCCAGCTTCCTTTACATCAGGCAGTTTAGGGCATACTTCCGGGCAGTCGACACAAACACATCTATAAGCCGGATCCTCGTCGTTGCATTTCTTGGGCTTCGTCTGCAATGGCGCCATCCCAGGCTGGTCGTATTTTTCCGGGTAGTTGATCTGAATGGGCGAACCAACCAGCGGCTTCTTGTCGCCAAGAAACTTGAGCATATCGTGATAGTTCTTGGCTCCGCCGCCGATCAAGTCCATTGCCCTGCTGTTTGCGCCTCCGAACTTGACCTCCTTACAGCTATTATAGAGCCCTGAGCCGTGTTCCTCTGAAATCAATTGGTCAAGCTCAGTGACGAGTAGCTTGTTTCCCTTTTTCGCGACATCTGTAACATTTATAAAGGTCGATTGATCGGGAGAACACGTGAATTTACAAAACATGTTGAAAAAGTTCTCTTTGCAGGCAGGGCAGGATCCAATCAGAGTCCTTGGGGTGCCCATTTCGGATTTCAAAGCTTTAACCTTGAGGTGGGCATCAGCATCAAATCAACAGCTTCCTACAAGACAATTCAAGGCTTACTTGATCCAGGTTGCAGCAAACAGGTCCCTCGCTCCACTGGGAGCCGCAAAGCTCAACAAGCTCCTTTCGAAGGTCATCGTCCGGGTCTTCAGCAAGGCCGTTGTCGACGCATGGGAGCTCCTTGCCGAAAAAGCTCTGCTTTCCACACTGCCCTCGAAACGCGCATCGGCCCAGCTCGTGCTTTGGCGTATATGATTCCGCAGAGACGCTCGCCCCGAAGAGCAGGGCGGCAAGGCCAGACTGCAGCAGAGCCGAACGCATGGCGCCGACCTAGCCGATCGGCTCTCAAGAGGCTTGCTGAGACGAGCTTTCCAGCGCCTCGGTGATGCGAAGCTGAGCGACAGTGATGAGTCGTCTGGGAGGAAGAGTGGCGGGCTGGATGCGATGCTGCAGAGGTGTATGATTGCGTCACGATCTGGAGAGCGACGGGCGTAGCGGTAAGTGGGTAGATATAGTGCTTGGCACAGGCGCCAGATGTGGTGCCTGAGACGGTACGTATTTGCCTGGTTTAGGCAAGGTTCCGGGCACCTTGGGGGGCATGCTTAGCGCCGGGGTAATATCCATTAGGTCATGGGCAGAGGAGCAAAGGGAGCTGGAGCTCGAGGAGCTGGCTGCATGTGCTTTGTGCCATGTTAAGAGACAAGGTATAAGCATGGTGCTCATGCCAAGCACCAATAATATTCCGCAATGTTGCTGTTGTGAACAGTCGATAAGGATCATTATGCTTAAAAAATTGCATCATCGCGAAGCTTGGAACACCGGCATTGCGCGACCACCGACGTCAGCAGCCCGAGCAATCTATGCCATGTACCTGGCTTATGCTGGTATTATTATTTCAAGTTAATAGTTCCAAGATTCTCATCCAACCAGTTTGAAACAGCTTGCTGGCCGAATTCATTAAGTTCCAAGTCTTCTCTTTCTTGCCCTACCTCGACGACCCGAATTCTGCGTTTCGGCTCTTCTGCCAGGTAATGCATGTCCTCCTCATATCTCGCTTTCTCCTTAAGCTCAAACCTAGCCAAACTGCGCCTCATCAAACTGGCAATTTCATCTGTTTGATTCTTAAATGTGTTCCTTTGGTCTCCGTCACTACTGCCTTTGAGTCCCATTTTTGGTCTTGGCTGCCGTGCCGGTGGTCCAGACGGTGCGTCATGTAAGAGGATGGTTTCAGGTATCTTCATCGTTGAGTCTCTAGGAGGGAACCCAAGATACGAGTTACGGGGTAGGACATTTTCCTTGGACTCGTCGCTCGCCTGCCCTTTCATATTGCGAATAATGCTGGCGAGCCGTGTAGATGTGTAGAATGATTCAGGTATAGATAGCCCCGGGTTGTGGAAGAAGAGGCTCGGGCTTGCGAAGGGGTCAAAGAGATTGGATGGCGTCTGAAACAGGGATACCAATTTTTGTTGCAGGGTATCAAGTCTGAAGTTGCCGTTTGTACGCCGCGAAAGACTTGCAACGTCCATCATGGACCTAATCATATTTATTCTGTGGCCTGGCAAGAACATGGTCCAGTTGTAGATGCCATTGTAGGCCGCGATGCCACGCACACAAAACTTTTTATTTGGACGTGACTCGGTCAATGAGAGAGACATGGCTAGGCCGGCGCCGAGATGAGATCCGTAGACGTAAATGCCTCCTCGGCCATTGTCTGGAGGCATCAGAGCTCTGGTTATCCACTGGTAAGCAAAAGCCACATCATGTATCGGCGTAGGCCAATCTAAAGAGCCGGCAAACTCGTGCTCTTCGCTGGCGGCATCTTGACTTGCGACATCGCGACGTTCAGTCTCCCATCGGTAGTTGATGCTTGCGACAGGCCAATCATACAAGAATTCCGGCAGCTGCTTTGCGCTGTTGGCACTCCCCGATGATGGAGGCAAGTGAAGAACCAGGAATTTTGTAGGTGAAAATTCGTCAACATTATACAAACTGCTGTAGGCGTTAGCGCTGAAGTCGCATCCCAAGGAGATTTTGTATTCACATACTCGATATCTACAAAGCCTCCAGAGCCACAAGGTACAGACACGCTCTTTCGAATATGAGGCCATCTTAGCACGCTGTAGTACCGGCGGCGAATAGCGGCCAGCGATGAAAACATGGCATAAGTTTAAGAATTTGCCCATGGGTTGATGATGCGCGAGCAATTGTGGGTGTCCATCAGGCCTCGCTTCTGCCTTGCTATGGCTGCTTGCTACCCTGCACCGTGCAGAAGAAACGAAGATTTTGGCAGCATTGGCTATATCATTTTGGTGTTACAATAGAGAGCTTCTAGGTTTTTCGAAGTCTTGACTGTGACTAGTTTTATCTCCGAAACAAATACCAATAAGAGATGGAGGGACACTCTGAGGCGGTGGCTGTTGAGAAAATATTGGGTTGGCATGCACGCCTCTAAGCTGGCACACCGAACCAACTGTGTGGGTAATATTCACTTGGTGCCTGACAAGATGGAGAACAAAAAACGGCTTCTAGTCTCATTGTTAACTTGCAGAAGCCCCTAAATTAGTGAGTCGTAGTTGTATTCCATACTGCTAAGGTATATTAACCCGTCATCAAATCATTATACTACCAATATTCCTCCTCAATTATCGCTCAAACACTGGGTAGCCGCCTACCCTGCCTGTATCTTTATTCAAAATCTATTGCTTTTTTTATTTAATTTTTTTTCTTTCATTTCATTTTTTTGATACGGCATTTTTGCTTTCGCCTTAAGTCGCAGCGCACGCAATTGCTGCGTGAATATTAGTGCTGTGAATATGGCACTCCTGCGCCAATTTATTGCCTTCGGGACTGATAATGGTGTGTTGCATCCCCAGGCCACTTAGCGTGGGAAATCAGCACATTGAACAGGAAATCATGTAACCAGGTCTCCAAACAATGCTGACGCCTGCCAAGCCGGAATCGAGCGATCATTACGCTTCGTCCAGGCTTTAGTCTCTCTCTTCGCCACATATCGCTTCTCTGCAGCAGCCGCATTGCTGCCTCTAACGTCAACCAAGTTTCCACCGTCAACGTCATTTCTGGAACTGCGGGCCAAGATCAACGTAACCAGGCGTCTCCTGCGATTTGTTCGGTTCCTTGAGCAATTCCAATTGGGATGGGATTTGTACTCTTCCCAGGTATTGGACTTCGAGACATTACTCGATGTGCTCGGCAAAACATGCCTGGGGCTGTATGGCATGCTCGAATCAGTGACCCTGCTCGACCTGCTAGAAGTAGACCATCTGAAGATTTTCGGCGCAGAGCAGACTGATAACTTGAATTATCAAGCTCAGGTCTTTTGGCTCATCGCTTTATGCATCTCGCTGTTTCGCTCCAGTATCGCACTGCTGCGCTGTCTTGGCAAACAGCCGGCCCCGCATGCATCATCCAACCACAACTCCAAAGAGAACATCTCCAGTGAGAACAGCGAACATCAGAAGGGAGATGGACCATTAAGGGAGAATGGCGATGGATCTGGGGATCAAGTGGCATCGCAGAGCGGAGCGACAGAACCCAAGGAGGCTGTTCCTTCGCTGATACTGAAGCTCGTAGCAACCACCATGGACATTCTCCTTCCAGCCGCTGCTGTTGGCTTGATTGAAACTCATCCTGCAGTGATCGCACTGGCCATGATTATTAGCACAGCAATCACCGCCAACGACGTATGGGTTAGGTGCGGCAAAGAGATGCAAAGTCGCTGAAGGAAAGCAAACTTCATGTGTAAAAAATAAACAAGCTTCATAAATACAGTTAAACCGTCGCTAAGGGGATATTGTTTGTTGCAGTTTCATGTTTCTCAGTAGGGTATTTCTCTTCCCACTCCACTCTCTCGCGGACCATATCTCGCTTGCACCAGATGACTGTAATCCAGCCCCAGACCGCACACCATATGAATGGCACGGCCCAGCATACTCCGTACGCAACAGTGGCTGGAACTTCATGTACGACGGCAATAACGGTGAGGGCGCCGGCCAACAGAAGCGCAGGCACGGACCAGAATACAGATTGCTTGAACAGCATTTGCCGGAAGCGGGGGCTGGCATTGTAACGGGCCGCAAAAGCTTCTCGGTATGGTCTACCGGCTCCGGCATTGACGGCAACGACATCTTCAATAAAATAGTACACTCCCGGCAGGACCTGTTTGAAGAAGAAAGAGAATGTTAATATAAGACGCCGACTACTAAGGAGGCAAGGGAAAGAGTCATTGCAATCATACCTTTTCGCCTTTCCCAGTGGAACTGAGGCGGAACGGGGCAGGCCAGTTCATATAGTTGAACAGCGTGATGAGACCGAGGACGCCGCCAAGGCTGTACAGAATGGCTGGTGCTGGCATGCAGAGAACTCTCAGCCAAACTATATGCGGCGCACTGCCCACGATGAAGAGCGCCGTAACGGCGGTGATGGTAAGCACCGATGCCCAGTTCAGTGTATCGAAGCACCAGCGGCTATTCGTGCCCAGTGGACGATAGAATCTCTCCTTCTTCATGAGCCGCCAGGTTCTGATGCCAAATTCGATGTACGTTGGACCGCCCCAAATACTCGTGACCACGGCGAAGATGATCCAGCCTTGGACATGGCCGGCATATCGCATGGCATAGTACAGCACGATGGGTATTAGAGAACCATCGATAAACACCAGAATCGCAAAAACAAAGAGTCTCCAGCGCTTCCATCCATGATGCCACGTGAAAGGCAGCTGCGGCAAGAGCTGAGGATTATTCCCATAATAGTCTTGTAGCGTTCGGTCCCGTCGTTTCCATTCATCGTGTGTTGCCGCTCGCGAGTCGTAGTAAACATCTGCTTCTTGTCGCAAAGCGTACGAAAGGCTTCGCCGGCCCGCATCTGCTGTTCGGGGGGACTCTGGACCAAATGCACGCTGGCTTGTTCTGCTTCCGAAGCTATCCGCATGTGCAAAGGTTACAATATTCGGTAGCGAGGCGGTTCCCTGTACAGACCCCAAAGGGCTGTTCGGAAGGGCTCTGGCGGCTCTCCCAGAGGCTTCATTTGGTGTATCGGACAAAGACCGGCTAACGGTGTTATCTTGACCTATGCCCGGCATCGTTCGACCTATCGCGATGCGTTAAAGAAATACAGGTCGAGTCTAAAGAGCAAAAGAAGAAGAAAAAGTTAATTGTTGATAAACATTGTCTCACTTGGATGCCGTGGGAGCCATTTTTTATTATGATCACGGAAGCAGGGTGGTCAAGCATGGTCGGGCAACCTGTTTAACGGGCGATGACGTTGTGCCCTCAGATGTCAACAGCACCTGCTGAGATCATCCGGCTGAGCCGATGGCATAACAAATCCTCCGTACGGGGCAACCAAAGAATCCTCAAAACAGTAGTACTAGAAGCAGCATTTCTGGGCGCTAAACCCTATTTGGCAACTAAAATTGATGAAAAAAAGAGCATTTTATGATAATTAATGCTAAAATTAGACAAATCCATCATAATCAGAAGATCTGTAAAACGTCGCCGTGGAAGTTCTAGGGCTCCGTGGAACACTTAAAAGGACCTCGGTGTCCCCCATGGTCCGCGATTGTTAAAAATCGGGGCTCCTAACTCTAAAAGGGCTCAGAGCAAGAACTTCGCCAAAACAAGCCTAAAGTGCTTAAACTGTGCGCTTTGCAAGCGTCTACCCGCGTTTGGGGTAGGATCCGCAACCCCATATGCGCATCTCCATTATCACCACCTCGTTATTGCATTACTTGACACACAGCAAAGCTGTCAGCTTTGCACGAGGAAGAACATTGTTCCTCTGAATCCTTCGTAAGCACGAAATCGGGGGTTCGGGATAGTCAGATTGATCCCAGTCAATTCAATTGGGTCCTCATTGGGCACCTAGGGAACTTTGTAGAAATATGTATATTAAGACCAGATTGCTCGTTAGCTGCTCCGTGTGTACGTCTCCCGCCTACTTTCGTGACTCGAGTCAAGCAAGTGCCTCCTCCAACTCTTGGTAGCCGACGTTGATGAATATCGGCGCCTAGCTCTTGGCTACTAGGCAATAGCCGCGGTTATTGCTATTTAACCTGTCACTTCACATCGGCACTCAACTTCAACCCCGCAAACTTCCAAGTTATCATCATTACCGCTGAGAATACGAAAAGGAACAAAGAATCATGTCTGCTACTGTCAGAGTTGTGCCAAATGTATGCTTGTTTCGCCAATTGATGCTTCACTTGATTGATGCTTCACTTGATATATACCTATACTAAGCACAACCATAGGCCGCCAAGCGGGCTTCGAGTCTCCTCCGGACAATTCAGTATACTCATCCTCCATCATGTCCATGCCACTCAAACCCGGGTTATCACCAGCGTACCCCGCCCAAGCTCTCACAGAGCCTGGGAGGCCGACGCTACGCCACGCCTTCGAATGCCAATCTGAAGGAGTATGCCTTTGAAATGGCAGCGTCATCTATTCGCTTTGGCGCTGGCGTGACCCAGGAAGTCGGCATGGACCTGAAGAACCTTGGGTCACAGAGAGTATGCGTTGTTACTGACAAGACCGTGGACCAATTGGATGCCATGAGACAAGTGCGAGAGGCCCTTACTCGCGAAGGCGTCAACTTCAAAGTCTTCTCCGACGTGAGGATAGAACCAAAAGATAGCTCGTAAGTGCCCTCCTGTCTAGCCTATACCAATCTCTCTTGGTCGGATTGTTCACTTTACTAACATGTCTTGGGGGTGAAATAGTATCAAGGAGGCAATTGCATGGGCAAGGCCTTACAACCCAGATGCATTTCTTGCAGTGGGTGGAGGGTCCGTCATAGACACGGCCAAGCTAATGAACCTGTACACATCATATCCGGATGCTGATTTCCTTGATTTCGTCAATGCGCCATTGGGAAAGGGGCGTCCAGTCGACAAGCCTCTTAAGCCGCTCATCGCAGTCCCAACTACGGCGGGTACTGGTAGCGAAACTACGGGAACAGCCATCTTCGATCTCGTCTCGAAAAAGGCAAAGACTGGTGTTGCTCACCGAAATCTCAAGCCAACGCTGGGAATTTGTGACCCCCTCAACACACGAACCATGCCTTCTGCTGTCAAGGCTGCCTCTGGTCTGGACGTCTTGTGCCACTCCCTGGAGTCCTGGACAGCCATCCCCTACACCGAGCGAACACCGCGACCAACGAACCCAATTTTGCGGCCAGCGTACCAGGGAGCCAATCCGATTTCGGATGTCTTCTCTTTCCACGCACTCAAGGCCACTGTGAAGTATCTCCCTCGTTCTGTGAAAGACCCTGAGGATTTTGAAGCTCAGAGCGAGATGCTCTTGGCAGCAACGCTGGCGGGAGTTGGCTTTGGAAACGCTGGAGTTCATTTGTGCCATGGTACGTAACCCGGGTCCCTTTTATATGTGTGTGGTTTGTTCAAAGTTGATTGTTTCATAGGCATGTCGTATCCCATCTCTGGCCAGAATCCAGGTTACACGCACGCTGGCTATGAGATTCCAAACCCTCTCATTCCCCACGGTGTTTCGGTAGCAGTCTCTGCCCCTGCTGTCTTTAGATTCACTGCACCTTCCAACCCGGAAAGGCATCTCCTCGCAGCCGAGGCATTTGGCGTTGACATCTCCAACGTAAAGAAGGAGAGTGCTGGAGAAGTCTTGGCCGAGGCACTGACCAAATTCCTTGAGGACTTGGGTGATCAGCCAAAGGGCCTCAAGGCGCTGGGCTTCGGCAGCGAGCATATCGATGGACTCGTTGAAGGCACTATTCCTCAAGCGCGAGTATTGATGCTCGCCCCCGGCCTTGCCTCTGAGCTGCAAGCTGAAAAGGACCAGCTACGTGCGCTTTTTGAAGACGCCATGACTCATTAATCTAGCATGGTATTGGATGGTCTATCGGAATTTGTCTGGGTTACTTGGGATCATCTTTCTCAGCATAGCAATCTGTTTCACGATGCTAAGCTTTCGAAGCTCTGGGGTTCCGCGCTTGTCGGTTCGCCGTGTACCATTTGAATAGACGACCGTGTTGTCAGGTAGCACATCGCCATTAGCAATAACAGACAAGTGTGATACCGTACAATTCTATTTTTTTCCCCACTCGTGTTAGCCTCTCCATGTAAAAGGCCAGTAAATCTCAAGTCCTTACCTTGCCAATCTTCGCACCGCTTCCAATTTTGCTTCCCACCTGGATGATGCTGCCCTCGCCGATTTCCGTGCCTCCAGCCTCGATAACTGAGCCCGCTTCGATGAGCACGTAGTCCCCAAGGCTAACACCACCCATGCCCTTGTCCAGGTTCTCTGAAGCAGCTCCGAGGTGCACGCGCTCTTGGATGATACATCGTCGCCCAACAAGAACGCTGCCGACGCTGGACTCGATGCGTGATCGGGGGTGCACTACCGTCTCTGCCTGCATCGTGATCGAGTGTGTGCCCTGCAGAACGGCATTATCGGAAATGGTAAGCGACGTAGAAAAGTTGACAGGCGGTTTCGGGCCGCTGCGGTCAACGGCCGGGAGGACGGAGTGCCTCTTGGACGACATGATGGTAGAGCTTGGAGGAAGAGGTACAAAAAACGCCGGCAAGTGACAATTGGTGGAGAGCTTCAGATGCTCGGAACTTCAGAGGCTGATCTAGTGCCGTTTCGTACTAGCTTACAGGTACCAGGCACTGGAGTTGGCAGCACTACTACTATGCCGAATCAGGAGGTCTGGCGGCTGAGCAATTTGGACTCAGTTCTCGTCATCTCAAGTCTGGTTGTCTGGGTACTAGGAGAAACGGTCAAATTTCATGCGAGTACCTTTGTACTTCGCCTATAAAGATATTGCCATCTATTCGATACCGCGGTATTTACACAGAAACCACTACAATGTTTGATTGATCTGCACTTTGTTTGCATCTTATTAGACGGTGCTGGCTCTATTGGTTGGACAGCTTGCAACACAAACTCATTCGAGATGGACATGAAAATGTACATCTATTAACAATTCGTTGCCTTATTTAGCCTTCAGGCTGTCTATACCTCCATCGAAAGATCCAACATCATACTCCTCTGGATACTTTTCTAGCATTGTTCTCAGCTGCTCCTTTTGGTCCTTGAGGTCTTCCGTCAGCTCCTCATAAATGTCCTCGAACATAGTGGCAATCGGTGGCTTCTTCTCCCTCTCTGCTTCGCCAAACGCCTTTAGGATTTCCTTTCTCAGGTCGGTTCTGGCATCCTTCTCCTTGGTCTCATCCCAGCATCCCTTTGCCTCCATCCATTTCCTCAGTCGAGTGAGAGGGTTATCTCGTCGCTTCCAATCCTCGACTTCAACGCGGGCTCGGTATGCAAAGGAGTCGTCAGAAGTGCTGTGATGAGAGACGCGATAGGTCATTGCTTCGATGAGAACTGGCTTGCCACCGCCCTCAAGAGCCATTGCTCGTGCCTTCTTTGTAGCCTCTCTGACGGCCCAGATGTCATTTCCGTCCACTCGAATTGTGTCAATGCCGTAGCCAATTCCTCTGCTTGCAATGCCATCCCCTCGGTACTGGTCAAGAGTGGGTGTGGAGATGGCAAATCCGTTGTTACGGCAAATGAAAACAATGGGACATGAGCGCGTGGCGGCGATATTCAGCGCTGCATGGAAATCGCCCTCGCTGGCAGCTCCCTCACCGAAAAATACTACCGCTACTCGCGGCTTTGAGCTGGGATCTTGAAGCTTCTGTAGCTTTAACGCATATGCTGCTCCCGAAGCCTGCGGAAGCTGTGTTGCTAACGGTGAAGAAACAGTGTGCTTTGCCGGGAGCGTTAGCCAATAGGTTGCGATATTGCGCGTTCAAGGTTGGTTACTCACCATGTTCAATTCCTTGGATCCGTAGTGGACCGGCATGTTTCTTCCCCGACCAGAGTCTTTCTTGTTGGCAAACAGTTGTGACATGAATTGTTCAGTGGTAAATCCCCTCTCCTTGAAGAAGCCCTGCTCTCGATACTGGCAGAAGACGACATCTTCCCTGTCTAGTACGCTGGAGCTACCCACGCTCACAGCTTCCTCGCCTGCGCTTACCATGTAAAAGCTTAAGCGACCTTGTCTTTGGGCATCGAACATGATGAGATCCATGATGGAGATGAACAGCATGTCCTTGTAGAGCTTGATGACTGCCTCATCGGAAATGTCAGGGCTGAAGGAGGGGTCGACGATCTGGCCATCCTGATCCACGACTCGATAGGTCTGAAGGGCTGTGTATGAGTCGGGAGTCTCGAATTTGAGAGAACTGGTGAAAGAGCTCTTCAGTGCTCCAGGAAACGAGACGAAATTAGAATTGGGCCGCTGAGAAAGGCTCCCAGCACTCCGGATAGAGTTGGAGATGACAGAGACGCATGGCTTCGTGCCGGCGGCCAGCCTCCGCATGGAGGCCCTCGGAATGACGCGAGAGCTCATCTGGATCACAGCTGGGATTAGACAAAAGGGTTGAATCTTTTGCAGAAGTGCGGAGTGTTTGAGTCACGTCAAGATGCAGGCACTGTTACTTTTAATATGGAAAATGGAAATCCGGGGAAGGCAGCTTGATCTCGGGACAAGGAGCCAGGATGCCGATAGAGAGCGGTCGCAATTGAGCCGACAGAATCCGCCAGCGCTAACACCACTAAGCCGCAGCACGCCCTGGCCTTGGGGGAGATGCTACAGTACTGCTAGTAGTAGTACCTATGTGCAGAGTGCTGATGAAACAAACCAAATCAATTGCAATTGACGCCTTTGGATCATTGAGTGGTAATGCTGATATATATACCGTGGAAGAGTGTCAGGTGTAATGAGACTGCCCAATTGTCTGTGGACTGGTCACAGCACGTACCGCATTACCGAAAGCTGCCTCAACAGGGATAGTCTCAGCCAATGATCTTGAGTCCTTCTTCAATCCTTATTCTTTCATCTCTCATCATATTCTTTGAAATATTTGTTCAATTGCATTGTGCACGTTATATATTATGTCTGCTGTCCTAAATGAAGCCCTAGAGTAGCACGATATGATGGCTGGCGGCCAGGTGGCAGCAGGCCTGACAGATTCGGTTGATGGCAAAGAATAAATCCGACAGCCATGATTAGTGAATTTTCAAATTCCATCTTGTTCTTCTTGTGAATATATTGCATTTTTTTCAAAAATATCTCCTTCACATTGTCCGAAATGGCCCCTCCAGCAGCTAATCTGGTGATACTCATTCTCAGCATCTTCGGCTTCATCGCGCTGATTGGCTGGTTCTTCCAGCAAAGTATCCACAAATTTATCCAGGCACTTCTCGCCTATCGCCGTCCAGAAGCTCAACCTCAATCTAGCCTTCAGGACGCTGAAGGGGCGGAAAGTCTATAGAGACAAGTCTTGTTGCCCTACGGCAGATTTCAAATCGTCAAAAGTTCTTCAATCTTCTTTATTCACGCTCTTTTCATTGGCAATTGGCGGAGAATTTCCTTTGCCAAGTCTGCAATATCTGTGGCTTGCCGAAAGAGAAATTTAATCCATTAACCAGATCTTCATAAGAATCCTTGTTTGAGAGTGACAAGCAAGCAACACATTCCGGAGCCGTCTCTACGCCTCAACTCCATCATCATAAACGCAATTAGCAAATTACCGCCAACGCTTCTTTCTAAAAGACCAACAGGAAAAAAGTAAAACATGTCTGCTTCTTCAGTGGCAAGAAGCCGCGCCGGGCTATTCCGGCCTTCTTCATGCATCTCTCGCACAACCCGCTTCTTCTCTACCAGCCGCCAGCTTCGCGAATCAAAATCAACACCTACCTCAAACCGTCCTACCCACTTTGGATATGAGACGGTTACCGAGTCTGTGAAGCAGGAGCGAGTTGCCGAAGTCTTTACCAGCGTGGCAGAATCATACGATAAGATGAACGACTTGATGTCGATGGGTGTTCACCGTCTGTGGAAGTGAGTTTTTACCTTTAATGCGTTTCTGCAACATTACTAGGCCGGTAGCTAATGCTCCTGTAGAGATCATTTCGTTTCCTCGCTGAACCCAGGGGCCACAAACCCTACAGGCATGCCACAGCGCATCCTTGATGTCGCCGGAGGAACTGGCGACATCGCCTTTCGCATGCTGCAGCACGCCCATGTCAACAACGGCAACCCAAACGTGCACGTTACGATATCAGACATCAACCCAGCAATGCTTAGTGTTGGCAAACAGCGCTCCCTATCTCTTCCAGCCTCTCATCAGTCTTCTCTTTCCTTCCTAGAGGCAAACGCTGAAGTTCTGCCATCATCACTCAAAGACAATTCCCTTGACTTGTACACAGTTGCCTTTGGCATACGCAACTTCTCTAATATGCCCGCAGCCCTGAGAGAGGCATATAGAGTCCTCAAACCTGGCGGCATCTTTGCTTGTATGGAGTTTTCTAAAGTGGACAAGTATCCCATCTTCAATGCAATTTACAAGCAGTGGTCCTTCAGCGCGATCCCATTGATTGGCCAGCTGGTTGCAGGAGACCGTGACAGCTATCAATATCTCGTTGAAAGCATTGAACGGTTTCCGTCCCAAGAGGAGTTCCGAGACATGATTGCTGGCGCAGGGTTTGCCATTGTGGGAAAAGGTTATGAAGATTTGACTGGTGGCGTCGCGGCTATCCATAAAGGCATCAAACCCCTATGAAGACTTCTTTAGACTTATATGTCTAGTTTGTATATTAGTATTCAGTAAAGACGCCCACAAAGGTTGCTTTAATAAGAAGTCATATGATATTACAATCAATCACTTTCTTTGTTCAAGGCGATTCACCCTTTATTTCACATGACGTGACACCAGTACAGCCATCTACCTATAGCTCGCACTTTTAATCAAAAGCTGTTGCATTTTTTTTCTTTTCTGTACTGAACTAATCGAGGAACCAATGAAAGACGAAGGCTAATAATACTCTCAAGCCGACACCGAAACCTCCTGGAAGCTCATGAAATACGTATGTACACATGAATTTTTCTGGACCTTGCTCTCAAACCTTCCAGAGCCTAACGCCAGTTTGCCCCAAAAGGAAAACCACGCGAAATGAGATAGAGTTCTCAAGGCTGTGCGCGCCCGAAATAAAACAAGAAGAATGCCATTACAGTGGCTAAGATAATCAGAGAACATGATGTTTGACGTTTGATGACTGGGTTTAATCAGCACTAGGGGTAGAAGGTGCTGCTGCGGGAGATACACCAGCATCTCCCTTTATGCCTCCTCGTCCACGAGAACCACGTCCTCGCTCACCACCCCGAGCTCCTCGACCCCCACGGCCACCTCGTCGGTTGCTTTCCGAGTCGCTAGTCCCACCAGCGCTGCGATAGCCACTGGTGGTAGACCCGCCTCGCCCGCTACCTCCCCAGGTTCCAGCATTGCCGCGGCTGTTGAAAGGCTTGCTCTCTCGATGAAGGAAGATCTTGACAAGTGGCTTTGATCGATCTTCCTGAGTTCGTGTCTTGACCGCTTCTGGCAGCCTTCCCATGGCCCCATCGCGGTCTTCAACTGTTTTGAATTGAACAACCTTGTTTGAGCCACCCCATTTCTCAATCTTGAGAATTTTAGGCTTGTCAGCCTCGTCAAATAGATCGCGGCACTGATCTTCCGTGTTGACATTCATAATAAACAGACCAATGATATCAGATGCCGACGTCTTTGGGGCTGGCGAGGTGGCTGGTTCAGGGACATGTGCCGATCCATTTGTCGGAGCGGCTGTCTTCTCAGCCTCTTTGTTAGCAGCGTTGCCTGCGGTGGGCTGTGGGGTTGATCGGTTCGGTATCGTGGGAATAGGGGCAGCTGGGGTAGCCTTTGGTTGTTGAGTTGGTGGAGATTGTTTGGCGGCCGGGGGTGCAGTAGGGGTAGCAGAAGAGGCTGCGCTTGCTGGAGGAACGGCGGCAGCGGCGGCAGTTCCTGGGGGTGCCGTAGACGACTGCTGTTTAGCTCCTCGGTGGGAGAAGTTAAATCCCTGGGCGCGCATCTCAGTTCCAATTCTTCCATCTTGAATTTCAAGTACCAAATAGCCAAAAGCAGCGTCAGCAAGGTTGAAATTCCACATATTTTTAAAAGCGCTTTCGTCAACTGCACCAAGACCACCCGAGCCCGGGACCGGACCCCCAAAAGGATTTCCACCAGCAGCCGTCGAGGGCATCTTTTCCACAATTTGCAGAGCATTCTTCAGGAGATTTTGCTGCGCCTCGTTCTGCTGGATGGCAGGTTCAACTTCTCCCCTGACAGTTTCCCAGACGTCATTGAAGGAAGCCTTTGAGGCAGCAAGCTTGCCACGATAATGGTCTAGCGTAGGGTTGACACTGAATTCGTTGTAGGAACTTCCATATCTGAAGTGGAGTCCGGCTGAGATGGAAAAGTCCGCTTTCAAGGTAACAGAGAGCTGGTTCAATATACCCTCGCGAGCCGGAGAGGCGTGCGTGATAAAGACTCGAGTCTCGGTGGGGTCATAGACACGATGAGCAGTGTCAACTAGCTCTCCCATTTGCAATAGAGTTGTCCACATCGTACCCTGTCCTCCCGCTATGGTAGTACGGCCCTCTCCATTGTCAAACAGTTTGTGCATTACCACAGCGCCACCCAGGCCCAGGAGTCTCAGTTTTACACCACCAACTTCGAGTAACATGGAACGAGCTTCGTCGATGATGTGAAGGTTGTGGACTTTGTACTCGGATGATCTGAACTTTTCAAGAACGCGGACATCTTCACAGGCGCCCCAGACGGTGTATACTGGCACATCCAGTTTCAGCTCTCCATTAAGGAGCAGAGGAAGTTCGGAGAGGGGGAGCTCGCTCGGAGAGAATCTAGATTTCACGGGGCCAGATCCGCCCTGCTGAATAGCCTTCTTGACCGGTTCAGAAATCAGGGGCGAATACTGTGCCACATGCTTCAATGTCTTCTCCACAATTCGTTCCAGGGACGTATGGTCGTAGAATCCGAAGTCGCCAGTGTGAATGATGTGGTCAGCCCGGGCCTGTCTTGCAAGTTCGTTGAGCGATCGCAGGTTTCCTGTGTCAGTTGTTAGCACGTGCCACGGACAGCTGAGATGCTCGCAGCATACCTCGAACGTCTGCAACGCAAAGAATCCGTATGGGTCCGGTCTGGATGATACGGCCTTGGTTGGGCAGGAGAGGCGCTGCGCCAGGCGATGGGAGGCTCGTTGCACCATTTTGTATGTAGCCAGGGGCATATGCTCGCGGCTGCACTCGTTAGCTAAACCGCACGTCACAGATGGAAATCCGGCTGCGGAACCCAGCAGGCATCAGAGGAGGGGTCAAGCGGTGGTCAAGACCAGATTACGCCTCGAATTCCCAATGCCAAGATTGCAGGGCTTGCGAGCAGATAAGACAAACGGCCATGAAGAAGAAGGCAAGGCCGGATGCTTCTGTAGTGTACAAACATGGAGAGATCCCGAACGCGCAGCTCCCCAATCTGCCACGAGAGCCAGGGTTGACGAAGGGCCAGGAAGAGAACAAGGTGCACTTACGACAGCCATCCTATCAGCCAGTAGAGTATATTAAATTCGTAATCGGAAACAAGTCGCTCGGTGTGAAGGGTTCGTTCGACAGATAATTCTCTCCGGGGAAAGGATGGCGGCTATCAAATGAGATGGTAGACGGACGGCGAGCCGCAAGTGAAGGTGAATTTGGCTGGCTCAGCGAGCAAGAGCACAGTTGTTCCACAAAGTTGGGTAGTGGTGGCCACCCGCTGCACTGATTGGTAGCCTTGCTTGAGAGGTTGTTTTAAGCTAGGCCATTAAGAGGTGGGACTTCCAGGGAAAATTTTACAATGAATTCATAGTGGTTTTATTATATATCAATTTATTAAAAAATAGCTCTTTTGCTTTTGAATAGAATAAATGGAATATTATGTAAAGATAAATAGCTATTGATTTCTTATATAGTTTCATATTAAGTATAAGCTATAAGTTATTGTAATCCTATTTCATATTAAGGGTGTCTCTATAGAGCTCCACCAACTGTTCTCTACTAGATGGCCTCCACTCAAAGCTCTTTGATAGCTACTCTTTCACACTTCCACAAATGGAATCATGTCACATCAATGGATAGGCTGGACACGAGGCCTTCTACAAATCACGCCGCGCTCGGCCTTTGTACCGCATACTAACTGTCTCTTCAACGTACCCGGATTGATAAGGTTTGCTTCCTCTGGAAGTCAATGGAAGCAACGCCAGGGCCGCGACCATTTTGTCCGCCATGCCAAAGTCCAAGGACTTAAAAGCAGGGCAGCTTTTAAACTGTTGGAGGCAAGATTCGCCCATCGTCAGCTACTTATGGCCTCTTCGTGATATTAATTCCCCCAAAAGATAGACGCAAAATACAAGCTCTTCAAGAAGAACCAAACTGTAGTTGATCTGGTAAGTTAGCTTGAGCATGCATATGCCAAATCCTGGTACTGCTGCACATCTCTAAAACTTGACCTTTACACCAGGGATATGCGCCAGGCAGCTGGTCTCAAGTACGTTGTATCCATACTGGCATTCGCAAGAGTCTCTAAAAACTTGGGATATTCACATGCCTGAGTAGGTTGCTGTTGAGCGCACTAGACCGTACGGTCAAGTCATCGGTATCGACCTCATACCCGCTCAACCTCCCAAAGGTGTCGCAACATTCCAGGGAGATTTCCTGTCTCCCGTCGTTCAACAACTTTTGAAAGAGTTCATAGCTCAAGCGCACCATGATCGACAATCTAGAGCAGCACAATTTGATGACAATGGCGAGGATGACTTGAAATCTGACGGCACTCTCATCGAACAACCAAGCTACATTGACTTAGAGAGACACTCAACAGAGGGCTCAAAGTCACCTCCCGGTAGCATACCGACAAAGTCGACGTCAAAAAATCTTGTGGATGTTCGTCAGACAGCACCCGCCACTACCACCAACACTGATATTTTGGTTATGCTAACATCGATATAGATCGTGTTAAGTGATATGTCAGCACCATGGGAACAGACTTCTGGATTTGGTTCCAAGACTTTGAGTAACCCTTATGACAGGCTCATGAACACGAGCGGAATTACGTCTCGGGATCATGCTGGCAGCATGGTAAGGATGAAACCCGAGCTTGCGTAGATTAACGAGGACTAAGGATGACCATAATGGCTACTAGGACCTTTGCGAAGCTGCACTGCAGTTCGCCAGCGATACACTTAAACCTGGTGGCCACCTCGTATGCAAATTCTACATGGGAGCAAGGGATAAAGAATTGGAGAAACAACTCAGGCTACTATTCGCAGAGGTGCACAGAGAGAAGCCAGAATCTTCAAGATCGGTAAGTTTCGACAGAGTACACCCCAAGGGCCATCACAACTAACCACCTACCTACCCGCAACAGGAAAGCAGAGAGGCGTTTTTCGTTGCACTACGTAGAAAATCCACAGCAAGTGTTAGCATACAAGGCGATCACAATTAATATGGACGCATTTAACCATCACATTTAGCGCTACGATAAATTGGTCAAGCTGGTCGTCAATTGGCCATTTGTAGGCACGAAATTTTTTAACTTTGAATGATATCAAGTCACGCCATCCCTTTAGGTCCCGTAAATAAAACCAAACTGGAGATAAATAACACCTCCATCCCGATGCTCGCCCAATTTTCCCAGCATAATTTAGACCTTGAAACCACGTGAGCGTCTGCGACCACGAGCGCGCTCGAACTTGCGTCCCTTGGACTCGACGAAGGGTTTCTGTGACATGGATTAGCATCACTGGGCCACCGTAGGATCTTTTCGTAACCAACCTTGTGCTTGTGGGGGCCCATGCCGAAGTGCTTGACGGCCTCACGGCTGTTCTTGGGTCCACGGAGGATCAGGGTGTTGCTTCCGGTAGGGGCGCGGAGAGCGAGCTGATCAAGGGTGATAGCCTCACCACCGGCAGCGGCAATTCGGGCACGAGCAGTGGCGGTGAATCGAAGAGCGGCGACGGTAGTCTTGGGGAAAGACAGAAGTCTGTTGTCATCGGTGACGGTGCCGACAATGACGACGGTGCGCTTCTCGCCCTCCTTGTTGATGTTGGAAACAATTCGGGACAGGGAAACGGGAGGGCGGTTAATCTTGGACATGAAGAGTCGTCGAAGGATAACCTTGTTGAAGGCGGCATCGGTTCGGCCTGGGGCACATCTGTTAGTCGCTCAACACAACCACCGCGAAACCGCTAATTTCCATTTTTTTTTTCTTTTTCCTTTTAGAATGAGAACTTACGGGCCAGGAAGCGGTAAAGCTTGACCAAGAGCTTCAAGTAGACATTGTCGCTCTTGGGGGCCTTGCGGTGAGTGCCCTTGACGTGGTGGCGGTCGAGATCGATACCTGGAAATTGGAAAACCGTATCAGCCAGATGGTTCATGCTCAAATGTGGCTGCTCATCTTCTCGGAAGAGAGCATCCAGATCGCAGAGACGATACACAAGGTATCATCACCACTCGCATACGCAGGCTATACATATCAGTTCTTTCACGTACCCATGGCGACGACTGGTGCTGAAAAGCTTGATGATGGGCTTGAAAGTCGAGGTCGAAAATGTCTGGGAATACAGGCGAACTTTCCAACCAAAAATTTCAGGGCTTTCGATCTCGAGTAGCGCTCTGATTGGCCAGCAGTTGGACTAGTGGCAGAGCGGTCAGCCGTGGCAATTAGGGTACACTCTGATGACTCAACCAGCCCACTATGAAAATGCCTGCTAAATTCCCGCTAGTTTCAATCAGGTCAAGCTTCGCTAGCAGTTTGTTACATTGAAACGCGACAGAGCGCTTCGCTGAGAGAACTGCATGCGAAAATTCGGCGCTAGACTATTTGCGTGACAATGCGCCAACGGGGCAACGATTGAGTGCATGTGAAGCAGATGGATGCTACATACATTTGGACCCACGGGTCGATCGATATCTCCTACAGCACTCACACGTTGGTTGGTATTGCTCGACAAAGTTTGTATCTTTTTTTACAATTGCGGCGTCTCGATGAGAACTTCCTCATCCCAATTCAGTCATATTTACAACGACACCGGCTAAAGACCTCTTCCACTGCATCAGTAGAGCTAGATTGCGAATGTCGGTCGTAGCTTATACCGCCAGTAGTTACACCCAATGCAACGCCCTCATCTACTAACTAGTTACTATGATGTCGACGATCCATCCTTTCAGACATTGGTATCTGCGCAGCAAGCGCAGTAATGTATCAATTAGGGCCTTGCTAATTGTATAAATGTTCACCTTGATATGTCTTATCACACTCCACTTACATGAAGGGAGGCAAGGAGAATGGGTAGCCAGAGTTCTTGACGCGGAAGACGCTTAGGAGAAAGCTGTATACCAGGAATAGTATAACGCTCCAAACGACAACCGCGACCTGCTGGGTTTTGGCATCGGCCATGCGAGGAACCTTGACAGCCAAGGTGATGGCACAGAATGAGAGCACACCGTCTATCAAATGCGTTAGTGTCGCCTATGAAATTGGCGTGAAAGGACTTTGTCTTACAGATAGCCGCCACGATTTGGGTTTCCAATCCAAGCTGGTTCTGGAAGCCTCCTGCGATATAGCTGACGCCACCATGGCCATCTCCAACAATGTATGGAACTTTCCGAATGTGGTTGAACATATGACCGCTAATGAAGAGGAGAATAGCAATCAGGCTGATGGAAGCCCAGATGTTGCGGTTTTGGATGATAGGCAGCACATAAGCAGACGCACTGGCCAACGCAGTACCGACGCCGAGGACAATGGTCACGGTGGAGGCCCATCGAAGCCAGTTGAAGGGTCGTTGCACAGGCGGGTGTGGTCTATTGGGAAGCTGCCGAGAGATCCAGGAATGAACTTGCTCAGCTGCGGAAGGCCTGGAATTGATCAGTATCGAACGCAGGTATGCAACAACAGATAGATTCGCATCATGGCTTACCCTGCCGTGAAATCGTATCGAACAGGCTCTGGAGAGGCAGCGGCATGGGGTCCAATAGTCGGGTTAAAGAGGAGGAGCACCGGGGCGGTTTGGAGGCCAAGCTGTGATGAATTGATACATTAGCTTTTCCATGGAACAATTACTCTTTCTAAATTGAGATGTTCACCACGTACCGAAATAAAAGTCTCTCGACCATCAGCGAAATCCAGCGTACCAAAGATGAGTCGTGACTCGCCGGCTTTGTCGCCTCGAGTCCAACTGCGTCCGAGAACCTCCCACTCAGGCGCGAATTCTTGGCAAAGCTGGCAGCCGAACCTGGTTTCCAAAGCAGTGAGGAGGACAGCCACGCTATGGTTTCTTGGAGCGGCTGTTAAAGAAGAATATGTGGCATCATTCAGCTTCAAAGGCGAAGAGCGCTGGGATAGCTGACGAAATTCCTCATATGAGTCTTTTTTCGCGAAGCCCCCAGCGAACAGCAGGCACAGAGGAAGAATTGACTGGAAGATACGCATCTTCGCGGTGGTTTGTAGCTGTCCGTATAGACGCAGCTGATGTTGCTGCAACTACTAGCCTAAGCTGCCAACTAAGCTGCCAGGTGTTCCTGTGCTGTCATCAAGGTGTTCTTGTTTCGCGATTACATAATTCAAGCTACAAGCATGGCGCGGGGCTTGACTATAAACGGCTAGCGCAGCATTTGCAAGTTGATTCAACTGCCTGTCAAGCTACTCCGATGTTGGCGTATCGATCGTAGAATCTGGCTGACCTTTAAGTACTCAATACCTCCCAGATCTCGCTCGAGCGCATGCTAGTACGCTAGGCGCTAAAAGTTCTAGTCCGGCGTCGATTATCAACACTTCCATTCTATGTCAGACGCCTTGGGCAAATACCTAGAACATCGAACGCCATACCATCTAGGAGTACGCATTAATCGACAGATTTACTTTGTAGCCTTTTTCTCTATTAACATCGGTTTTTCTCCGCATAGCCTCAGTTCCATAAGCATTTGGATGATACGACGGCCATGAGTGACCTCTCAATTGAGGTAACCATCCCCTTCTAAGCCAGCGCTACCTTGACTTTGGCATTGTGCTTATGTTATGCATCTAGCGGACGACGCGTCTCCATGAACTTGATCTGCAATATCAGAAAAGCCTCCACGAAACCGACCTCATAAACCGAGACGAAGAATCTCGCCGATTACAGCTACGAGTATTCCTGCTTCAGGATGAAAATACCCAGCTGCAGGACAGATGCGCCGCCAAGGATGACGAAATAAAAACTCTGTCAAGGAGGAACGATAAACTACGCGTCAAGCTTGACGAGGCCAAATCGCAGAATACATCCGAAGATGAGCAGATGAAGGAGAATCCAATTGAGGCCGTAGGTTATTTCTAAACTCCAAGAAATACCACAACACATTTACTAAGAGGCCAAAGACGAGGACAGAACCGATTGCGGCGACTGCAGATAGCTCGATAGAAGAGAATGCTGCACTTGCAAAGGAGCTCCAAGACTTGCGATCAGAAGTTAAGCTTTTGCGGCTACGGGCGGCGGACGACGAGAAATCGGAATCGAAATCGCATCAGCAAGAGTACTTGGCACAAGAGCCTGCGAGTAAATCACAGTCAAACTCAAACAACTCAAACGATACAAACGAAGAAGTGATTAGACTGCAATCGATGCTAGACAAATCAACCGAACGAATAACGGAGGAAGAACGGCATCGCGAAAGGATGAAATTGAACCATCAGAAGCAACTTTACGAATCCGAGCGCCAAAACAATAAGCTGGAGGGAAAAGTATTGGCACTGGAGAAGAAACTGAAAGACGCACAAACAGAGCTGCGAGAGTTCCGGCAGGCGTCACATTCTGGCTTGAAAGATAGACCAGGCGATGGTCTTGATTCTACCCAAGATGCCGCGACGAAATCCCATGATAGAGATCAATCTCCGCCTGCTGAAAAAGATAAGGTGCCCCGCAAGAGAGTGGCCAGGAAGCGTACGACAGAGCAAGCGAAGATTGGAGAAAAATCAACATTTTCAATCACACCACTACTCAATAAAATAAAGGGTACTGGTGGAACTACTGGGCGCCCTAGCTTAACATTTGACGACATACTTTTACAAGAGGGCGACGATCCATCACCACTCCGAGCAGCAAAGAAACCTGAGGCTCGATCTACAGCAGCAGCACCGGCTACGGGACTGGTAGCTTCTACACCTTTAAGACCTCGGGAAAAATTGGGTTCCAAATCTTCTGAAACGCAATCCCAGCCGAAAGCAACAGAAGTAACATCAGGCAAAGTGCCCGCACCCAAGTCCAGCGCTCCCAGTCAGGGCACGGAAGACGAGAAGCCCGAAGATGCAAAGGGCGAAGGAGTATCGAAAGCAGCCGACTCAAAAGAAACAGCTCTTCACAAAAGAATTAAGCTTCACGAGTCTACTACTACTACTACTACTGATCGTGGTGTTGATTTGGAGCAAAAGAAGAGGAGGAGAAAGCTGATAAACAAGGCTAATACCATAATAGAAGAAGATGAAACTGGTGAGGCAGCCCAGCCCACAGAGGCCCAACCTGGCCGGGCCAGGAAACTAAAGTCAGCCGTGGGAAGTGCCTTCAGCTCGGGAACCGCCTCGAAACCATTTTCGCCTCTTAAGCGGCATAAGCGAGGGATGAACGCAAGCTTTTTGGTTTGAGTACCTTGTTATGTATCCATAAGGCAAGTGATTCGTACCACCTATGAAGAGATTTACATTAGGAACTGCGTGAGTGAGATGGTCACCTAAAAGTCCAATGACGGCGGACAGCATTCTTTCATCTTCCTCATTACATCATATATTAAGCCATGTCCAGATAGATCATAAAGTCAACCGGCGTTAGAGAGTTGATTGACTAGATAAACTCCTGTAGAGTTAAGCATTAGGTAGCTAGATGCCAGCGTCTAGTATCTAACCCGGCTACGTTCTGTATTAATAGATGTGTAGCATCAAACAGCGTTTAAGAGTTTCTGAGACCTCTCCTGAGCGCTGAGACTATGATGAAGTCTAAGGCAGCGGGCAGTCCCTTGCTATGTCAGTCAATCTTTGATAGTTGATGCTCTGATATGGGAAAGCGAAGTCTTAGAAAGAGTTGGTTGTACTAAGTACTAGTAGGTATTAGATCGCACGAAATCGATTGCGTCCGTGTGCCAATCAAACACGGAAAGCAAGAGACAAAGGAGAAGAGAGAAGAGCTCAAGCTCAAACCAAAGTCACTGGCAGTCTACATATGTCCAAACAGGCCATCTGCGCTTAGGCACTCTCCATATTAGTGTCCATCTCTTCTCTCTTACTCACCCCGCTATGCCAATGCTGTAACTTTTTTGGAGCCCGCCCATGCTAGCCTATGGTGCTAGTTTGATAACGAACTGATTGCCAAATTCTGATCTTAGTCAGCCGTACTGGCCAATCGCATTGCTCGGCCCTAATTTTTCGCCCACACAAAAAATTCACAATTTCGTTCAGCCCCAACTTAGAGAGCTTAACATCCGGTGCTGACCTTTTGCAGAAGAGAAGTGGTCTTCTCAGCTAAATTTCTCTCTCTTCTCACCCATCTCTCTGAATTCTTTGCGGGCGAGGCTGTACCAAAATGGCTGAACAACTGATCCTGAAGGGTACCCTCGAGGGCCACGTACGATTGCTCCTCCCCATCGCTACCCTTTCTCATGGTTCGGAGCGAGGCTGACATTTGATGTGATGCAGAATGGCTGGGTTACCAGCTTGGCCACTTCAATGGAGAAGTATGCTGGGATTTCACCTATCGCGAACGCAATCGACCTTGAAAACTAACAAGAAAACAGCCCCAACATGCTCCTGTCCAGCAGCCGAGACAAGACCCTGATCATCTGGAACCTCACCCGCGACGAGACCCAGTACGGCTACCCCAAGCGATCTCTCCACGGTCACTCCCACATTGTGTCCGACTGTGTACGTCCACTCGGATTCCGTTGATGATACTACGAAGAAAAGAGTTCTCGGGACTGATTGAAGTTGATTGGTTAGGTTATCTCCTCTGACGGTGCTTACGCCCTGTCTGCCTCTTGGGACAAGACTCTCCGTCTGTGGGAGCTCGCTACCGGCACCACCACCCGAAGATTCGTCGGCCACACCAACGACGTTCTCTCCGTATCCTTCTCCGCCGACAACCGACAGATCGTCTCTGGCTCTCGTGACCGCACCATCAAGCTGTGGAACACCCTCGGTGACTGCAAGTACACCATCACCGACAAGGGCCACACTGAGTGGGCTTCTTGCGTCCGATTCAGCCCCAACCCTCAGAACCCCGTCATTGTCTCCTCTGGTTGGGACAAGCTGGTCAAGGTACGAATTCTTGTCGATTTTGCCCTATATCTCTCCATCTTACGATGCGCACCACTTCATGATGTATTGCAACATTCAAGTATTTGCTACTTCAGAGCCAGAAATGGCAATGAGACAAACATAACCTATTGCCCTGAACTTTGGTTTCCTTTTCTTTTTTTTCAACATGCCCCCCTGATTCTTCTCTCCAACTATATGTGAGATTCGGATTTTAACAAAATTTCCAGGTTTGGGAGCTCTCTACCTGCAAGCTGCAGACCGACCACATCGGCCACACCGGTTACATCAACACCGTCACCATCTCTCCTGATGGCTCTCTTTGCGCCTCCGGTGGCAAGGACGGTACCACCATGCTCTGGGACCTGAACGAATCCAAGCACCTGTACTCCCTCAACGCCAACGACGAGATCCACGCCCTCGTCTTCTCTCCTAACCGATACTGGCTGTGCGCCGCCACCGCCAGCAGCATCATCATCTTCGACCTTGAGAAGAAGAGCAAGGTTGATGAGCTGAAGCCTGAGTTCACCTCTGTCGGCAAGAAGAGCCGGGAGCCCGAGTGTATCAGCTTGGCCTGGTCCGCTGACGGCCAGACCCTGTTCGCTGGTTACACTGACAACATTATCCGTGCTTGGGGCGTCATGTCCCGAGCATAAATGTTGCCGGGATAGGTAAGGAGAGATGGGGAAGCTTGGCTGGGACGTGGTGGAATATAGGGCATCACATAGTTAGCTTCTTCCTCAAACTGTAACTGAGATTAGGGCAACAGTGTGTGTGACAGAAATACTAAAAAAAGGTACTGGACACAAAATTCGCTTCTAATATAGAAGATGGTTCTTAACTGCTGTTTCTACTAAGTACTAAGGGAAAAAGGAATACTACACTTTCATACTGTTCAAGCCATGTTATTTATTGAATGAATGTATCGTGAAATAATTTTCACTCTTGTATCTGTATCCATTCTCTATTTGTCTTCATTCCATTGTGTATCTTGCCATGTGAAGCTAAGCTGGAACGATGCTTCGGGTATAAGTATAATGATAAGTGCTAAAACAAGCGATGCGCAAATATGAAGTTTCAAGGTGTTCAGCCATTCGTTTAGCAATGGACAGAGCGATATAGTGGCATTTTGAATCTGCATTACAATGCATTGGACTTCTTGCCCAGGCGAGATACCTCTCTTCGCGAGAATTTGGCATCAGCATTTACAAGCATGCTGTGATCTGCAATTTCCACCTTATCAGCGTGCTCTCTGAACCGATCGCCCCCCATGAATCGTTTCATCGTAGACTCCCATAATCGGAAACGCTCTTTGCCCTGGCTATCGCGCTCGACCAATGACTTGACTTCTTTTTGCTTGCGCATTTTCGAGGCCCGAACCAACCTGCGCAGCGCATCTTCGCCGAGCTGTGCGCTCTTGGCCGCGTCCTCTCTGATTTGTTTGGAATCGCGCGTCCTTCTGTCTTCCTGTGGAGTAAATCTGTAGGTGTGTGTGCTCGGAAAACCGGGAAAAGAAGCCGGTATAAAGGCCTTGCTCTCTTTGTCTGGTTGGCCACTGAGCTCTTCGCCGAGAAGAGGGAGGGAGTTGAATGTGTCATCGATGGTTATGAGGTTTTCACTGCGATTCGTCACATCTTGGTTGCTGAGCCGGCCCTTGATGTGCGGTTTTAGAGAGGAAATTGTCAAGTTATGGTGTCTGAGCATGAGTTCAAAATCTGACGGGATGGGAGCCTCGCGACGTGATGATATTGCGAATCGCTTGACTTCCTCGATAATGGAGCTTAAGTCTATTGAAATAGAGACATTAGCTTCAAAGATAGAAACGACGATAGAAACACAATGTTTGCCTACACGTCTCAACTGCGCCTGTGAAGCTCTCAAGCGCCTCAGGACTGGCCGATTGAAATCCATCATGCGCCAGGACCATGGCAATAGAACGCTGGATACCGCGGCGAGCAATGTGATGTAGGGTTGGGGATAGAGAAGGCACTGCTGAAAAGGACTCTTCATCTGCCCATTCCGAAGAGGAATCTCGCTCCGCTCCGTTTTGGGTCGTTTCAAGTTGCTGTCCGCTGGAAGGCTCGTCTTCTGGGGTCGCATGCTTAGGCCGTTTTGTGTCCGAATCAACGGAAATGACGGATGCGCTGCGCTTGCGCGACATTGACAACAGATAAGATGATCGAGGCGAGTAGATAATAGAGGCAGATTCGGGATTATAGCCGCGATGTGTGGTTGCCAATGCGGTCGGTCGTGGTATGAAGAAAATAGAGAGCTGGCCAACGCGCCTGGCGCACACGCTATGGTGGTGTATAATCCGCAGCTACGCACGTTTATATAGCTAAGGGAGTTTCTCACAATCTACCTTGAGCCACAATACAATGCACTGAACGACGACTTTATAATGACCTACCACATTCACAGCATTCTAATTAACCATGTCTTTAATTGCTTTCTGCTGAACTTGCATGGCAAAAATACTCTTGCTTTTCTCTAGACTACTACTACAAGTAAGCTGTAAAGAATGACTAAGTTTTTTAGGTAAGCCAGCAGATTGGTGGGGTCTCATTGGCATTTCCACCGTCATCTTCTGAGCATCTGGTCTAGCCTCCTTGCTGCTACTAGTAGTAATTAGTACCCAGTAATATTACGATTGGGTACAATACGGAGTACTCCATACCTAGGTATGGAGTACTCCTATTCCAAAGCCACTAAAAACCATCAGAACAGGCGCCGATGATAACCCGAAGTCAAAGCACAGAGGCACACAAGCGCCAACGCATAGTCAGAGTTGACGGACCTTTGCATTTACACTTTTGTTTGCTTCAATTCGGAATTTCGTTCAGCTAGGGCTTTGACAGGGGTCGTTGCTGTCGCCTAGAGATACCATTCTTAAAACTTGCTTCTGTATATTATATTAATACTCTTGGTGCTACCGAATCCCTCGAGATCGACGAAAAGGCGACAGCTAGCCAAGCGTTTCTGCGGCCAAATGCCCTCGCGAATGCATCGTCAATAGAAACCCGTACCCGTTCCGAGGCGCTTAATTTCACGAGCATGCTACATGCATTTTCGATTCGCGAGTCGCTCATTAATACAACTTTCTTTGCAACAATTACGATTTTCTAAGACATATACATTGACGGGCAGCGCTGAGTGGTCGTGGACCAATGCTGCCGCCATAGAGCGAAATCGCCTGCTTCTGGATCCTCAACTTGAAACTCGGTCGAAGATTTGAATCAAACGTTGGCCCAATTACCTCTGTCGCCATCATGTCAACCGTACGCAACACTTTACAGACTGCCGCCATGCGTACATGTCCAGCAACTAATTCACTTGTATAGTCAGTCCCCGACGCGATGAAACCATCTGCTCGCAGCGATTGGTCGATGCAGTTTCGAGATACGATATCCCAACCGATAGTCGCCGCCTTTTGCGGCGGAGGCGTAGCCGGCGCTGTATCCCGAACGGTGGTATCGCCACTAGAAAGACTCAAAATCCTGATGCAGATTCAAAGTGCTGGACGAGATGCATACAAGTTATCAGTTGGTCAAGCGCTTGGGAAAATGTGGAGAGAAGAGGGTTGGAGGGGCTTCATGCGAGGCAACGGAACAAACTGTATACGCATTGTTCCTTATTCCGCTGTGCAATTCAGCAGTTACAACTTTTACAAAAAGGTATTTCAACCATATGCCATGATCAGCGTCAGCGCCAGCGCCAGCGATCCGTGCCCCCAAATGGAATATCAGCGGTGCTAACTGTAGATTCAGAATTTGTTCGAACCGTATCTAAGAACTGACCTTACTCCCGTTGCCCGCCTAGTTTGCGGTGGATTGGCGGGAATAACGTCGGTCTTCCTAACTTATCCTCTCGACATCGTCCGAACACGGTTATCCATTCAGTCAGCCAGCTTTGCAGAATTAGGAGCGAAGCCGGATAAACTACCAGGAATGTGGGCAACTCTGGTTTCCATGTACAAGACAGAAGGAGGTGTATCTGCTTTATACCGTGGCATTGTCCCAACCGTTGCTGGCGTGGCCCCTTATGTATGTTCCGTTGACTATCACTCAACAACCCCCGGTTATGTGACGGAATGCTGACTTTTAATCATTATAGGTCGGCCTGAACTTCATGGTGTATGAGTCAATCCGCCAAGCATTTACGCCTGAAGGCGATAAGAACCCTAGTGCATTGCGCAAGCTTTTGGCGGGTGCCATTTCTGGCGCAGTTGCCCAAACCTGCACGTATCCATTGTAAGTAGCCCCAGTTGTCCTTTCTGCCTCTTGCTAGATGCCCGATCTCATACTGAACAATTGCATAGTGACGTACTACGGCGACGTTTCCAGATCAATACCATGTCAGGCATGGGGTACCAGTACAAATCCATCACCGATGCAGTCCGTGTCATCATCCGTCAAGAGGGCGTTAAAGGATTGTACAAGGGCATCGTGCCCAATCTCCTCAAAGTAGCTCCCAGCATGGCGTCGAGCTGGTTGAGCTTCGAAGTTACACGGGATTTCCTCACAGATTTAAAAAGAACCGATGATACTGAACGTTTATAAAGAAAGCAACAGGCTAAACTAGTGCGTTGTTACTTTTCTTCACTTGGGTTGTTTTGGCATGTGGTGTGTAAGTAAATAGGTACGAAGCAAATGGGTCTACATAGATGGCGTAAGAAAATAAGTGGTTATAGATGGCATGAATATGAAGAGCTCGCGCTGCATCAAGGGACATGAGGCACCAAAAAAAAAGTAGGTAATGGCTTGCTTTGTGGGATAAGATAGGGCTCGATATAATTTTTAATACTGAAAAGAATTGCATATGGTAGATTTCTAACCAAAAAGTAACAACTGCTAAAACAAAGGTCAAAAATCGAGCACATACAGCACTGTAGCACTCTGTACCTTGCATGAGACGTCTAACCCATTTTGATGGTGGGTCTGAGTGCGTGAGCTCCCTGAAAATTAGCGGGGCATCAATCAACACGAAAACGCCGTTTGCTCACTCAGAATCGATCTGATACGTCTAAGCGTGCCGTGCACCGACATAATCGCTGAAATACAATTTACCAAGATTCGAGGGACAAACAAAGTGACAAACGCTTGCCATGACGACTTTATGATAATCTCATTCTCTCTTTCTCTCTTGCACCTTCTTCCCACTTCTATCAACACCAAAATCTTGGAATTCATGGCATTATAGCATACGCAGCCGGTGGATGAGACTTGGGTGGGAGCCACGCTGCATCCATTTCACAGACGCCTACCATTTCAATCATCTCTAATGACGCTGCTAATTAGTTTGAAGCATCAGAGGGCCAGTTTTAGGTGCTGCTTTGGCTACAGTCTCTCCGCAGGAAACCTGGCCACAAAGCGTCTGTGTCTGGCGGATACATGCATGAGTTGCGACTGACTGCTCTCACTGCTCTCTCCATCTCAATTTTTACATTGCTTAGCACTACTTCCCCCCCCCCCCCCCCCCCCCCCGTTTTGTCCTCTTTTGGCGATAATTATGCCCCCAGAACCTCACTCTAGTGGTACTACCCGAAAAAGTCGGGAATGTCGCTCGACGGGCTCTACCAAGCAGGTCCGTTTCCCTACGCGGCGCAGGAGAGTTCGGGGCCAGAGCAATGGGGTCCAGAAACGAGAGAACTCGTCGTTGAAGCGAGGAAATTCATCGTTGGAGCGAAAAGGCCCGTCGTTGAAGCAGCAGACATTGACACAGATGAGTTTCGTCTCGTCATTCGGTGAAGAAGTTACCTTGGCCTTGACGGATGACGATGCCTCAGATGAAGACAGGACAGCTTGTGACAAGAGTGGCTTGACGGTTCCTCAACGGGAATCTGAAACTCTGTTAACAAAGGAGCCACTAGAGTTGGCGACAAGAGAAGATGCCATCATTATTCAAGATTCCTGTGGCTCAACTTACGACGGCTCTGACGATGACGATGCACCAGCCGGTGTCAACATCTCTCCTCCACAATGGCCTGAACATGTACAGGAAGCTGCTGCGATGCCTCCCCGATCTGTGGAATGGGCCGGTTCGTTGGATGTAGTTAGAGATTCTCCACGGCGCCGTGCGCATCTGAGCAGAAATCTGGAGGAATTGGAAAGCACCCAGAGCTCTCAAGAAGACGGCGCATCGTTATCGGCACATGTCCATTTTGCAGCTGTGGAAGCGGATGACCGGGAAATTCCAGACTCGGACGAGGAAGACAATGAGGAGCTGCAGCTGAGAGATTTCAGCAGGCTGATACACCAAGAAACGCTCTACGCCGGCCACGAGACTCAACTTATTATGCAGGAAATGGCTTCTTTGGAGGACCCGGTACTAACCCCTGAGAATTCACCAAACAGAAGACAGCCGACGGCGTCTCATAATTCGCTCGCCTTGACGCCATCGGATGGAATTGTGGATGGCAAACATGACTTTCTGATGGAAGATACTCAGAGCCAGCCTACTGCAATACCACAAACTCCTGCCTTCTCATTACCATCATCACAAACGACGCAAGTCGGCCCCGATGACCAAACTGGTTTCAGCCAAGGGCATAATAATCACCACGCTCCAACACATACACAATTGCCCAGTCAGGGTCAGATCTTTGAGTCTCAGCGCGTGCCACTTCAAATTCTCCAGTCTCTCGCCCCAGTATCCGCGCGCACGGATATCCTCATTCCCACGCCATCCGAAGTACTTGATCCCATCATTAGCGGCTCCGAGGCATTTGTCCATCTTGCTTATCGAGTGCCCGAAGAAGTCCAGCGGTTCTGGCTATTCAGCCACGGTTTATTACGCTACATGGCCTGTATACAGCCTGGCAGGCCTCACGGTCGTGGCTGGGATTACCAGATTGACCAAGTCTATCAGCTCAATAACGCATTGGAAGAGCGTGATATGCAAGAAGAAGGATGGGTAAATGGCGAGGTCCGACGATACATTTACCTTCCTCCGGCAATAGCGGGCCAGCTTCTGTGGAATTTGAGATGCGCCACGTTTGGCCAAGATAGATCACAAAAAGACGATAAGATTGAAATATCATCAAATCACCCGACATCCAGCCATAAGGACCCGACTAGTTCAGCTACCACTCTACAGTCAGCCAAAACTAGTACTGCTTACATCCGTGACCACGATACTGCTGGCCAGCCAAGCAGCTTAATCTTACAAGACTATGGGAGCTCTACAGCTACTCTCCCGGCTAATGCTGTCTTTGGCTCATCTCCGCTTTTGACAAAGAGCCAAATGCTCTCTGACAGTTTGATAAGCGATAAACTATAATACCATTGGAGCGCTGAAAGAAGAAAATAATGGTCAAAAAGATGGACTTAAGCTAGCTATCATCTCTGCTTGAATTATCACGCTTACCAATATGTGGATGCCCCTTGCTTCATTATCGTTAGCATCTTGACGGCCTTTCCATAGAAGCCACTATGATTGATATATATATACAGTCTTAGCATGAAGGCTTATTATGAAGACTTGGTAGCGGCAAAGCCAGCTCTGTGTCCTCATGAGGCCGTGAAAGGTTCTTAAATGTAATTAGTAAATGCTCTAGTATTCATCCAGCGGTGAGCTCAATTATCCTCAATACTTCCATGTCTCGTCTCATAAAGGGAGGATAACACGCTGAGGATGCCGATTATACAGTTCACTTGGCTTATAAGTCTAAAGATAACCGTGCCGCAGCGTAAATTCGTCTTCAGTGTAAAATATATTCACCCAAGTGGTGTGCTAAATCTATCATTCTCCATCGAATATATACTAATTAAGATTAATAGAATCTTTTATCTAGCTCCTTTTTTTTCCCCTTTGGGGGCATGCCATACTGCCACTGATGTAATGGTCCTGATTTCAGCAACTCATGACAAATGGAAAGCTCCCTGTCCTTCCCTGATTGCAGTATACAGCTGTTTCTTCAGGATGTCCATCGTCGTATAATCTGGAAGTTTCAGATAATTCACGCACGTCATGACACTTGGTAGATAAGCGTCAGAGGTGTACGGAGGCTCGCTTGGTTTACAAACAACGGTAAACATCGGAGTTAAACTTTTAAAGCCTGGTACACTATAAGCCTCCTGTTCAAAAATCCGGACTGGGATGTAAAATACTTACCGCCAATAGGAAGCTTTGGGCTACCAGTGGTGAATTGTAGGAAATCTCTTCGCTGTTTGGGATCCAGCTCGCTCATCGCCTGCAGTAGGTTCTTCACGCTTCGACTGTCCATGTTGAAGCCATGGTCCGCCTTGATAGAATCCATAAGAGCTAAACATCTCGTGTCAGTTATTCTCCTCTCAGTATGTCTAACATATGCAGGCACTCACTCTCAAGGCTCCAGTCTTCTTCTACTTGTCCAAACAGCGATACTAATTCGTCGGGAGTGAAAGCTCTCAGTGCAGTATATGGGAACACCTGCGAGAAACCAGTACGAAAAGCATCAATTTGGCGTTTAACACCAGTCCCCAGAGTCATATCAATGACTTTTTCCAAGTAGGTATCAACGTTTTCCATAGTAACTCGCTTCGAAGAACCATGCTCGTCAAGTTCAATTTCGGGGTAGCCAGGCAACGTAAAGTCGAGACAGAAATCCTCTAACCTCGCATTGTCGATCATGATTGCCTCTGTATCAGCCACTTTTTGTGCTGGTGTGAGATTTGGGTTTTCATCAATCTCTTTCTTAGCCAGCACAAATTTCTTGATTGTTTTCAGAGAGCGAGCAAGACCTGGGTCAACAAGCTTTACCGCTCCCAAAGAGGGCTTGACACCAGTCAGGGAGGGATCTCCAATTCTGAAAAATATCGGATTGAAGTGGATATCAACTATACGAGAATCGATCATTGATCGGGCCACAAATTTGCCGAGAGCCTTGAATAAATGAAGAATGCGCTCTCCATTTGGCGTTGTTGCCTCTTCGGGGCTGAGAGGCCGGGGAAATAGCCCCGTCTGGCCCATTACAAACTCATCTGACCCGGCAGAGTCGACTTCTCGCCAAAGTTTGAGTTTCTTTTTGCAAAACTCTTTCGATACGGTAGAGTAGAATTCGAGCGTCGGGCCTAAGCCAGTGCCAACTTCTTCAAAATATTCGACTTCCAATATACTTTGGGAGGCGCCGTATAGCTCCATCACTTTCAACGCTGACTCGAGGATCTTGAGTCGGGAGATGCGGACTTTCTGCCTCTGAAGTCGGCCCAAGAACGGCCGCTCATTGGAGCGATCTCGTCGATTATCATCCGTCGACTGTGCGTTCTGCCAACGAGCCATTGACCGGGCATATCCGAATGATGTTGACTGGAGAAAGAGATGCCGAGTCTCGAAGGGGAACAGAAAAGGGTAGAGGCGTGCTAAATCTTCAGACCAACTCGGCAAGCAGCTGCTCGCAACGATTAATGGCTCCTCTAATTGGCGATTAAGCTTAGCCGTAAGCTTTGTATTCACGAACTGAGACAATTGCTCAACCCGGAGGCCAACCATACTATTCCTATTTTCAATTAAAACGTCTTCTATGTTAGCATTGAGGTCGTGAAGGATGTTGAGAAGCTGCAGGATAGAGGCGGTTATTGGGTGCTTCGCTAGTGATGCCGAAATCCCATTCTCCACTTCTCCATCAGTCTCGATATTGAAGTTGGTCGGTCTAGACTCTGCTGGAGGCTGTCCAGAGACTCTTCGAAACTTGATGGGGTGTGTGGATGACCAAATGTTTTTATTGTTGTGGTCACCTGACGAGGGTGTCGACATATGAACAGCACGATAAATGGTCGTCTCATTTGGAATAACTTTATCATCCAGCGTGAACTCAATATACCAATCCTGAGGGGCAGACTGGAGTATGGAGGAGTATGAGGGCTGTCGCGATGAAGAATGAGATGCTGCCGGGCTGCTATGCTTATACGAGCCATAGTCCTTGAATCTTGATCCAGTCGGTGTGGGGACTCTCGTGCCGTCCTCTTTTCGAGTGATGATGTTTCCAGAGGCAACTTCGAGATTTACGGCCGATGGATCCGGATCTCCTCTTCCTTCCATATCTTCATCAAGCTCGCCGACAATAGCATCAAGAGCAGTACTGTCGCCAGCTTCGTCGTCGTCATCGTCATCGTCAGTGAGCTGTTTCTCATCTGCACACTCCAAAGTAGGCTGTGGAGCCTTGTCTTCATCAGGAGGACGAGTCGAAGGATTTGGTATTTCTGCGGATGACCGAAAGAGCCGTGAAGAGCGACGTAGTGACCCCTTATCGGTAGATGGCCCGGCAGGCTGCGAGTTGGCTGTCTCTCCCTGATGAGATGATAGCTTGCTGTTGGCTCCGCCGGAAAACCGTGAAGCCGAGGACCCTGACATTAGAGGCAAAGGAGGCTGCGTGGTAGATCCAGTTAAACTGGCGCCTGCAGCAAAATTTTGCGACATGCTAGAATTAGCTATAGCCGCAAGGGCTCTGGAGAGTCCATCTCTCCGGGAGATCCTTGGCCGCTCCGCCAGACTAATTCGTGGACGAAGATAATCATCAAGGGACTTGAAGGTGGCGATTGCGTGAATGGAAACCATAATGTTTCGGTAAGATCGGGGAATCGATAGCTCATCATCTGCAACCAGCCTGAGTTTGATCTGCTTACCCAACATTGACGCGGGGCTGCTGCGATTACCATCAAAGCTGTTTTGATGAACGGTAATGACTTCAAAATGCTCTGACCTACTGAGCAAATCTTGTAATTTATGAATTAATACGCCGAATGGTGTTGCTTGTGATTCCGTGACGCCAGTTCCGGGCTTGGGCTTCACCGCGGGATTCATGAACACTTCCAAAAAGCTTGCTTGGGCAGCGTGCGCCAGCGATTCGTCAGGATTGCTGAAAATTGCAAGAAGCACTCTCACTATACCAGACGCTAGAAGTTCTGCACTGGTAATGCTTTCCAGGATGTCGGTATCAAAGTAGCTTGAGAGCTTGGAGAAGAGTGTCCGTCCAGTTTCTGGAGATGAATGTTTTGACGTGGCTAAGTAAAAGGCCTCGAGTTCTTCTGCTAGCTGGGATAAAGTTTGCAGTATCTGCGTAGTTTGCGTTCGCATGACCTGGCCGTGGCCGTCTTTTTCGTGGACTTCTAGAAATTTCTTTGCAATGGTGATAATACGGGACTTCATTAGTTGGATATTGGAAACATAGGGAAGAGACGTGGCATCCAGCGACATCGAAGATCCGCGAGAACTAGCAGGTGATACGTCACTAGCATTAAGCTCATTATCAACGTCTTCTTCGTCGCCGCCAGAAGAGTGGTGTTCATGAGCAGCACCTTCGCCCTCGTCCTCTGCTTCTTCGTCTTCGTTATCATTGTCTTCCGACTCATGGTCTGATGATGGCGTGCTACTATCGCCAGCATCGGGCAGACTGCGTCGTCGGGACGTGTTCCTCAACTTTGAATCTTCCTTGGTGCCAGGCTGGCTGTCGTCGACTGCAAGTTTTTGAATCTCAAGAATTACGCCTTCGCGATAAAGTTGGTATCGATAAACGCTACCAAGGCGGGTAAGGAGTAATTCCGTTGCTTGGAGGCCTAGAATAACTAGGGAGGGGTGATCTTGCTGTGATAAAATAGAAGCTAGAAAGGATGCATAAGGCACTGGTGCTAGTGCCTCAGCCAGAAGATTTTGGTCCAAATTGGAAAGCATCTTTATCTGAGCAGTCAATACTTTCTGGCGTACACTCAGGTTGATTGTGCTGGAGAAAGCATCTGTTAATGTTGGGAAAATGATGAGCACGAAACGGCGAACTTGGTCTTTGCAGTCTTCCAAAAGTTCAAGCCGGCGGTCGTTGGGGCCCGGATCGCATCTACTGCCCAAAGATGACGGTGCAATTGGCTCAATCGCATCATGCAGCTCCATAAAGTCACCCACGGCAATTCCTGCATTACGAGGCAAGTCTGGAAGCAGCTCACATATGACATTGAGGGCTTCCACAATTTGCTCGCGGGGCCGGTGGATAAGCGCCTGCATAATGATGACACTGTCCAGCTTAGATGCTACATCCTCAGTGCCCGTAGGAGGAGAAACTCCCGTCAAAATTTGATAGAGTGTCTCGACAACATTTAACTTGAAGAGCTCAGAGGAGAGTCGGGCGCTTGCCCTTGCAGTGAATGCTAATACGCGGAGAAACTGAGTATGAATGTTGGGGCCAATGAGATTCGTAGTCCCTGGGACAAGGAGACGTAATATCGCGCGCAGTAGGTCAACACTGATTAATTCTTCGAGCTTCGACGGGTGATATTTGAAGCTTTCGACGATTCCTGAGACACACAAGGAAGCCTGCTCCACAACTCGTTGGTCATTGCTGTTGAGGACATTGAGCAGGGTTGGCATGACATCCTTGACTACAGGGAATGAGTCATCGGGAATATTCCGACAGCAATTGGCCGCTGTAGTCACCGCTGTTCGCTGAGTGCTCGTTGCAAAGAAGTCGAGGTATGATAAGCATGCCGTGAGCCCCCCTTCTCGGACAATGCTAGACGGGTACTCGGTG